AACGCGCAGAACGAACTACTGCGACAACATGATGAGCAGCTCCGAGCGATCGACCGACAGCTGAAAGATACGTCTGCGGAGTACGAGCGCAGAAGCCACCGGGTGAAGGAGCACCACGACGCGGAGGTGTCTGATCTCCAAAAGAGACTACACGTGTTAGAGACGGAACTTGCTCGAGCCAAGGAACAGCATGCCAGCGCGTCTGCCGATCTGCAGGCGACGATCGAGACTCTGAAGTCCGATGCGGACAAGGCCAGGGAACAGCATGCGGCTCAAGTTTCTGACCTGAACAGCACCATCCACACCATCCAATCCGGAACCGACGACAGCAAAGACCGACATGCCCGCGAGGTGAACGACCTCAGCGAAACGATCAAGAGCCTGCGATCCGAGATTGACCGTGTTCAACAAGGGCATCGCACGGAGCTCGCCGAATTGAAGTCTGCGAATGAGAAGCTACACTCCGACCTCGAACGGCACCAAGCAGAGTTTGGCGAGCTGAAGTCTGCGAACCAGAAACTACAGTCCGAAGTCGAACAGCACCAGAAAGAGGTTGGCGAATTGAAATCCGCGAAGCAGAGTCTACAGTCCGACCTCGAGAAGCACCAATCCGAATCTACCGAGCTACAGTCCGCGAACCAGAAACTGCAGTCCGAACTCGACGGGGCCAAGAACCAGTCGACCCAAGATGCCCAAGGCATCCGTGACGAGCTTTCCTCCCAGTCTTCCGCCTTCGAAAAGCGGGCCAAAGAGGCGGAGAGTAAGCTCGCTCAGATGGAGGCGGACGCACAGCGATCTGCCAAAGCTCTGGAGGAGGCACGCCAGCAACTGGAGAAGGCCCAATCCGAGACCAAGGAGAAAGAGGAAGCCCGCCAAGGTGCGCAATCCGAGCTGGAGGATCTGTTGATCGTTTTCGGAGACTTGGAGGCGAAGAGGAATGAGGACAAGGTGAGTCACTGCTTTCTTTCTATTCTTTCTTCTAATTTTGCATGCGCATGACTGATTGAATCCTAGAAACGCCTGAAAGATCTCGGACAGGAAGTGTCGGAGGATGAGGATGAGGATGACGAGGAGGACGAGGAGGAAGATGATTCATGAGGAATTACCGGGTATATACGCATTATCCAAGACATTTTTGCATTGCGAAGAAAAGCCTTGTCATTATTCTCTTTTACTTCGTCTGCGTCTTACTGTCGTAGTTACATTCCGCATAGACACGGCTCATATTGGTGGTTTTACAATGGTCCTCACAGCATTGAGTCCTACGGGCTGAACGAGTGATGAACGTCTCTCAATCCTTTCTCAATAACCAAATTCAGTCCTTCAAACCAGACGAATATACAAACAATCTAAAGAGTCAATCCCAGCCTCATCCTCTCTACTTTATACTGTAACGTAAATGCATATCCGATACCGCCAGGCGGGGCCGCCACACTGATTGGCTCGTTTTCGGTCGGCGGGGGTGAACGGATTAAGTGAGTCAACTTTCCCGACCATCTTTTTTATCGAACTTTACCCCGCGGCCCATTCCACTCCCCTCTCTACGGAAGATCGCACACGACTGTCACGACCCGCAACGCTCGCCCGTCATGTCCATTGATTTTCCCCGTGAGGAGGAGGCCATCCTCAGCAGGTGGAGGGAGATCAACGCCTTCCGCAGACAGGTTGAGCTGTCCGAAGGCCGCGAGCCCTACACGTTTTACGATGGCCCTCCGTTCGCGACTGGTCTGCCTCACTATGGTCACTTGTTGGCGTCGACTATTAAGGATATTATCCCCCGGTATTGGTCGATGAAGGGCCACTATGTTGAGCGTCGGTTTGGTTGGGATACGCACGGTGTACCCATTGAGTACGAGATTGATAAGAAGTTGGGCATGTCGGGCTTGGAGGCCGTTGAGAAGCTGGGAATTGAGAAGTATAACGAGGAGTGTCGCGCGATTGTGATGAGATTCGCGACTGAGTGGCGTCAGACGGTCGAGAGACTTGGTCGGTGGATTGATTTTGATAACGATTACAAGGTATGTTTTTACCTGGGTTCCGTGTGCTTTTTTTTCTCTGCCGTCAATGTACTTTGCTAACTGGGTTCTATCTTTTCTCTACGATAGACTATGAACACGTCTTTCATGGAGTCCGTCTGGTGGGTCTTCAAGCAGCTCTTCGACAAGGACCTCGTCTACAGAGGCTACCGGGTCATGCCTTACTCGACCGCCCTCAACACCCCCCTCAGTAACTTCGAAGCCCAGCAAAACTACAAGGATGTCCAGGATCCCGCCGTCGTTGTCACCTTCCCCCTCGTCAACGACCCGGAGACTTGCATGCTCGCGTGGACGACCACTCCGTGGACTCTGCCCTCCAACACGGGCCTTGCGGTGCACCCGAATTTCGAATACGTCAAGATCTTCGACGAAGCATCTAAAAAGCACTACATCCTCCTCGAGGCCTTGCTCCGGACCCTCTACAAGGACCCCAAGAAAGCCAAGTTCAAGGTCGTCGATCGATTCAAGGGCTCGCACATGAAGGACTGGAAGTACGAGCCTCTGTTCAACTACTTCTACGAGGAATTTAAGGACCATGGATTCCGCGTCCACAATGCCGAATACGTCACGGCCGAAGATGGTACCGGTGTGGTTCACCAGGCCCCGGCCTTTGGTGAGGACGATTACAAGGTCGCCATGGACGCGGGTGTCATCGGTGATGGACGCCTGCCCCCCAACCCCGTCGACCCGCAGGGCTGCTACACCGCCGAAGTCCCGGATTTCGAAGGCCAGAACGTGAAGGCCGCCGATCGAGCCATCATCAAGCACTTGAAGGCCGCTGGTCGTCTGATTGTGGACAGCCAGATTACGCATAGCTACCCGTTCTGCTGGCGTTCCGACACTCCCTTGATCTACCGTGCGGTGCCGTCCTGGTTCGTCAAGGTCCCCCCCATCATTCCTCAGATGCTCCAGGGCATTGATGAGTCGCACTGGGTGCCGTCGTTCGTCAAGGACCGGAGATTCTCCAGCTGGATCCAGAATGCCCGCGACTGGAACATCTCCAGAAACCGTTTCTGGGGTACGCCGTTGCCCTTGTGGGTCAGCGAAGACATGAAGGAAGTCGTGGCCGTGGGCAGTGTTGAGGAGCTCAAGACGCTCAGTGGATACCAGGGTGAGCTGACGGATCTTCACCGTGATAAGGTGGACCACATCACCATCCCGAGCAAGCAAGGAAAGGGTGAACTGCGCCGTGTGAGCGAGGTGTTCGACTGCTGGTTTGAATCGGGCAGCATGCCTTACGCCTCCCAGCACTACCCCTTCGAGAACAAGGAGCAGTTTGAGAAGGGCTTCCCGGGTGATTTCATCGCCGAGGGTCTGGATCAAACGCGCGGTTGGTTCTACACCTTGACCGTCTTGGGTACCCACCTGTTCGGCAAGCTGCCGTTCAAGAACTGCGTCGTCAACGGAATCGTGCTGGCCGAGGACGGCAAGAAGATGTCCAAGCGCCTGAAGAACTACCCCGATCCCACTCTCATCATGGACCGCTACGGCTCGGACGCTCTTCGTCTGTACCTGATCAACTCGCCCGTTGTCCGCGCGGAGCCGCTGCGTTTCAAGGAGACCGGTGTGAAGGAGATCGTTGCCAAGGTCCTCCTGCCCCTGTGGAACAGCTACAAGTTCTTCGAGGGTCAGGCGGCTCTGTTCAAGAAGACCAACGACACCGACTACGTCTTCGACCCGGAGTCTGAAGCCACCAACACCAATGTCATGGACCGCTGGATCCTGGCCAGCTGCCAGAGTCTCCTCAAGTTCGTGAACCAGGAGATGGCCGGGTACCGCCTGTACACCGTCGTCCCCCGTTTACTCGAGCTGATTGACAACACCACCAACTGGTACATCCGCTTCAACCGGAGACGTTTGAAGGGCGAAAACGGCATCGAAGACACGCAGCACGCCCTGAACACCCTCTTTGACGTGCTCTTCACGTTGGTGCGCGGGCTCGCTCCGTTCACGCCTTTCATTGCCGACACCATCTACCTCAAGCTCCTCCCCCACATCCCGGAGGCTCTCCGTAGCGAAGACAGCCGGAGCGTCCACTTCATCCCCTTCCCCGAGGTCCGCGAGGAGCTCTTCGACGAGGTCGTCGAGCGGAGGGTTGAGCGGATGCAGAAGGTCATCGAGATGGGTCGTATCTCCCGTGAGCGCCGTACCGTGGGTCTGAAGACCCCCCTGAAGACGCTGGTCGTGATCCACCAGGACCCGCAGTTCCTGGAGGACGTGAAGTCCCTGGAAGGCTACATCCTGGAGGAACTGAACGTGCTCGAACTCATCCTGTCTTCCGACGAGGAAAAGTACAACGTGCACTACAGCGTCAACGCCGACTGGCCCACGCTGGGCAAGAAGCTCAAGAAGGACGTCCAGAAGGTCAAGAAAGCGCTGCCGTCGCTCACCACCGACGACGTGAAGAAGTACGTGGCCGACAAAAAGATCCTGGTGGACGGCATCGAGCTGGCCGAGGGTGACCTGGTGGTCAAGCGGGACCTCAAGCAGGACGCGTCATCGGCCAACATGGAGCCCAACGCCAGCGGCGATGTGCTGACCATCCTGGACGCCAACCTCTACCCCGAGCTGGCGCACCAGGGTCTGGGCCGCGAGATCATCAACCGCCTGCAGCGTCTGCGTAAGAAGGCGGGCCTGGTCCCCACCGACGACGTGAAGATGGAGTACGCCGTCCTGGCCGATCCGGAGGACGTTGGCATCGGCGGGGCGTTCGAGACCCAATCCCCGGCCATCGAAAAGGCGGTGCGTCGGCCGCTGGAGCGGGTTGACCTTGTTGACGGGAAGGCCCCCAGTGGCAATGCCGAGGCCTTGATCATGGAGGAGGAGCAGGAAGTCCAAAAAGCGACCTTCCTGTTGCGATTGCTCAAGCTATAGACGTGATCCGGTCCGGGATAGTGGCGGATATGACGTCGGTTTAGACCTCTATTTTTCTTAACATATAACGCTTTCAAGAGTATTGAATTTCAAAAGAAAAAAAATTTGTTCACTCTATAGATAATAGAAATACGTATCGTATTCTGTAATGAAAGAACCCCCCCATGCGCCAAATCCATGCAACTGGGCCCTACCTTGCGGCCCTCTTTAAGCCTTCTTAGCCGCGGCCTTTTTCATGCAACAAGAATTCCCAGTCAGTATATTATTCCCAACCCGAACCACCCATGAAACCTTACCAGATAGCAATCTTTCAACCTCATAAACTCCTTAGCACACATATCCTTCTGAACTGCGGTGTAGTCCGCTACAATGCATTTGCCATATGCAGCCGCCTAAAGAACTCGTCAGCGCTGATCTCTCAACATCGAGCATCAGTGCCCGAAATCGGGGTAATCACCTCCACTGAGCACTTGGCTGTGGCCTGGGCAAACTTCTCAATCGGTCTGATCCGTGGTTGCGACATTGTAGACTCGTTATTCTCTGGGGATGTCAATCGAGTCTCACTTTCCATCATGCGATGCGGTAACTTGGGCGACGCGGGCGCGATTACATCAGCACATATCACACGTGACCCCGCCATTCCATGTTTGGGTCGGCGCGACAACAACAGCAGGAACGACGGACAGTGGGAGACTTACCAAGTGACTGGGAGTGTTGGTGCCTTTCTCCTTCCATTTTTAAATCGAATTCGAATTGAGGGGCATTGGACTTGCCGAGCGGTGTACTGCAGGTTCTCTCTCTCTCTATACTCGCGATTTTCGGGTCCCCGCAATGATTGATTTCGTTGTCCGCCTCTATGACCCATTTGCGAAAAACGCGCCTTAGGTCGCGGATATTTCGATGCCTCCCATTTCCCGTCAGAGAAGACCTCTGTCCTATGACGATCCGGCGCTGTCAGACGAAGGTATACTTTCTTTATAGCTAGATTATCCCTCTTTCTTCGCCGGGCTCTAATGTTGTTGTCTCGATCCAGATGTCGGCCTCATCTTTCAGGTTATCACTTTCGCGGAGGCCGACCCCGAGGTCAAGCGCCTGCCCTACCGAGCTCTATTTAGGGCATACGATCAGGTTATCGAGGAACATGGCGTCGACGCCGACCCGAGCTATGCCTGCATGCGGTTCCTGCTGAAGATGGGGAACAAGAATGTTATGGGAAATGACCTCTACGAGAAATTCGAGAATCTGTTAGAACAGGTGGGGATCGTGCTGGAGATCGGGACGAATGCCGACGAGGGAAATGAGTCGACGTATGCGGGCAGTGTGTCCTCGATCGACAGACGGCCGAGGAAGAATGTCCCTCCTGCCGACGACACGACCCAGGCTACCCCGCGGAGGCGCGCTTCTTTCAATTCGATGTACGATGTGGGGGACGATCCCACGCAGCGGAGTTTGCTTAATCGCCCGAGTTCGCGCTCCTCTATGTCGCGACTCCCCGTGGAGAAGCCGGAGTTCTTGGATCAGGATCAGGATCCGGATCCGCGGCCTTCTCCTGGGCGGGCGGGCGCTCGCAAAGGAACTGAGTCGCCGGATAGGACGCAGCTGATTGCCCAGTTTCTTGACGTCGGTCGCAGACTGATGTACCGGATGGAACATCTGGATCCGAATAACGAGACTGGCGGACAGCCTGTTGTGGCTGGTCGTGGTCGCCGTGCGAGGTCTGCTGTTGACAAGGACCGCTCAGCGAGAATGGTCGAGAACGCCATGCCGCGCATCCAGTTTCGTAATCCACACCCGCTCAGCTCGAGCGAGGATGATGAGGGAGCGGACGAGTCGTTGTCTGTCTCTTCGCATAACGATCACGATTCAGTTGGACGGGTGGAAGTCGCTTCGGAGATGCTGTATCGCCCATCATTGTCAGACCTGCTTAGGGACGCGTCAACGTTCAATATGTACCGACAACGCGCAATCAATCGAAAGATCTTGGCTCACTGGGTCAAGAAGGCTGTCCAAGCGCGGCAGAGCCACCGGCATATGGAACTCGTCGCTGTGAACCGGGATAGTCTTACCCTGATGCGCCAAGCGTTCGAAACGTGGCATTCGATCATCCGGAATAAGCGGCGCGCAGTGCAAACGGAGCGGTTCTTCAAACATCTCGAGGAGCGCGCCGGGCGAGCGCGAGACCTGTATCTTGTCACAAAGGCTTTCAGCCATTGGGCGCAAGTTGCGTCCGACGAAGTGGCGAAGACATCTGCCGCGCGGCGACACATCCTCGGCGTGAAATACTTCAGTGCGTGGCGCGAAATCACCGCCGTCAATGAGATGAAGGCCCAGAGGTTCGCCTTACCCGACCCTTCCACAACTGGCAACAGAAGGTCCGTCGGCTGCGAGAGATGGAGGAAACCGCCGAAGCTACGCGGCAGGCCAACTTGAAGCATAATGCCTTTTGGCAGTTTTTCCGGGGTTACTGCGAACGCCGCGCTCCTCAGTGGTACGACTATCGTCTAAAAAGGCGCGCCCTGCTATCCTGGCTACGGAAGTTCCGAACCAACCGAGAACACTACCAAGAGATCGCGCTGAACGATAAACGGGATGCCCTCGGATTCGCGTTACAAGCATGGTCGCAGAAGTTCAGGACGATTGCTAGTTCCGAACAACAAGCAGTGTCCTTGCACCGTGGACGGGTCCTCGAGGACACATATACGGAATGGCAGGTTCAGACCCGCCTCGCCCCAGCGGCACGCCAAGTGTCTTCCATGGTCGACAAACGGATACTTCAAACAGCCTACAAGCAATGGGTCACCCGGATGCAGATGATCCAGGAAGCAAAGGAGATGGATCAGCGACGGATCCTGCGCAATGCATGGACCAAGTGGAACGATCTTCTCCGGTGCCAGGCACTGAATGCGCGCATAGAAGAGCGGATCAAACTGGAGACCATGTACAAGTGGATCCTCGCCGAACGCTTCCGTCTGATGCAACGGATCCGAGAAGCGCGAATTAAACGCGAGGTGTTTGCACGATTCGTGACCAACACCCGTCGGACGTATACCCGCTTACTCGACCGCGCCGAAGCCATTGAAGAGAGTCGGAACGAAGACCTGCTTCGATCGAGATTTAATTGCTGGCGGGACAAGCTCTCGCTCCAACGCCAGCGAGAGGCTGTTGCGTTTGAATTTTACGCCCCACGACTGGCACAGGAATCACTGGTGGCCTGGCGCTCCAAAGCTGGCCATGCGCTCAGGTTGGAGGAATGGGCCCGGGATGCTCGATTCTACTTTCTAGCCACGAAGACCGTCAAGCACTGGTACGCAGCGTCACTGGTCGCTGCCAAGCGTCGCCGTCAAGACGCTTATGCGAGAACGCGGCGGATGGTCAAGGTCCATCTTGCATCCAGTGCGCTGACCACCTGGTCCGCCAGAGCTCGCCATGTCGCGACCATGGAACAGCAAGCCCTGGAATTTTGGCGGAGGCGATCCATGAACATCGCGTCTGGCGTCTTGGTCCGGTGGCGGGGGGAGACCGACAAGCGAGTCCAGGAGTGCGACGACGCGGAGGTCTACCGTGCTCGACATGTCGCCTACGATCAACTCACGCACTGGGTCGAGAAATTGATCAGTTATCAGCGCATGCAGAAGCAAGCAGACGACGTGTACCGCCTGCACAGTCTCCCACGCGCCAACACGCAATTCCGCAAACTCAGTCTACGCATCTTCCAGATCAGCAGTCATTACGAGACAGCAGATGCGCTGCATGAACGCAACTTCCGGAAACACGTCCGGGGCGCGTTCCGCAACTGGTTGGAGAAAGCTCGAATGCAGCTGGAAGCCCGCGATTCGCCCGGCCCCTTATTGAGCCCCTCGAAGACCACAACAAACGGCCACCTCGAAGGCCCGATGATATTCGACCCCTGGTCCCCGATCGGCACGCCTTTCAAAAACATGAGTTCCAACTTCGTTGCGGACTCTCAGGGACCCTCGGCCGCGCCATTCGTGACGCCCAACGATATGACATCCCCCTCGAAGCGGGCCGCGCGGGCGAAGGCGTTCGCCCAGGCTTCGACCACCCCTGCCACACCATTATATACGCCGTTTGCCAGTCGACTGCGACTGGCCTCAGAGGGGCGACCCCTCTCGAGTCTTCGGGGCCGTAGTGGTCGTGGGAACTCCATCGGGGCCAATGTTCGTTTTGTCGACGAAGAGCCGATGTCCCCATCAGAGGGACGGAAATCGGGCGGACGGCGGGGATAGACCATGTGGTTAATGTGATATGACTATCCATATCCAGATGACTTTTTCTTTCCCTTTTTTTCTCTTTTACCATACATAGTTAGGCAAGGTCAATTTAAGATACCCTTTTGCGCGTCAAGTAACAATGGTATGAATCTCTATATTCAGTATATTTGTATCCTCTAATCCTACTTGTTCTATAGTTCTGATTGTTCTCTAAAGATGCGGTGCATACTACGGATTGTCTGCTTTCCTTTTTCTCTTCGCATTGGATAGTTCTAGTGTTGTGTTTGTAACAGACTGTGTCATCAATGTATGGAAGAGTGGAAAGAGAAGAGAGGAGTCAACTCCTGTCATCTCATTGTTCTTAGTTTCAATGGTGTCAGGAATATCAGACTAGTTTGTAAGGCTAATACAACGATATCACTCCCCTTCCAGTGAATGTCAGTCCTTCTGTTTCCGTATATCACCGGATGCCACAAAACGGTAGGCTTGCCAGCCCTACCCTACAAGCCCGTGTACCCAGCCGTTGATAACCTACCTACTTGTCAGCTGTAAGAAACACCGATCTAGCTAGAAGAGGTGGATGTTTATTCACTGTGATACTGTGACAGCAAATACCCCTGTTGTATCAGAGTGGACTGTCACTATTCTCCTGGACCGCGCCTTCCTAATTTAATCTTGTCAAGTATTATAGGCGGCAGGTACGAGATGGGTTAGTACTACGTTCGTCCGGGAATCAGATCTCAGATCCTCTTTTTCTTTCTTTTCCTTCCTGTAGGCCTAACTGGCTCTCTTAACAAGAGTATCAAAGACAAGAACAACAACGGTTATAATGATATCACTCTGGAAGAAGCCACTGAAATGGGTTGTCGAGGAGCCTTGAAGATACTCATGCCAGAGGCATACATGCGCCTCATTGATTATGCCTGGTCTGTCTCTGCATCGATCTCCCAGACAATTGGTCTGTCCCTGAATCTATCCTCCAGGCTGTTTGAGCGAATTAGATTGACTCATTACTATTTAGGCTGGAACCTCAAAAGAACGAGCTTGGGCGTTTGGAGGCCGGGACACGCTCTGTAAATCCTGACTGTCCCGGCTACAAACGCCCGGGCCGGACAAGAAGCACGCGCGGTTGGGGGGGGGGGGGGGGTCATTCTGGCGTGGTTTTTGATAAAAACCACTCAGCATTATTTTCTTCTTCTTATTCTAGCTTTTTTTTCTTTTCAAAAGAAGAAAAAGAAGATGGCATCTCCAACACTGCGAGAGATTTTTGGTTGGTGGTTCCTAACCGAATTGCTCAAAATCGTGATGGCGGATGCGTATAGACGCATCATTGACTGGGTCATGTCTGTCTCTGAATCAACCTCCTAGAATGTTTGAGCGGATGAGGCTGACCCAATACCATTTAGTGCCCCTAAAACAAAAAATCATGGATCACTATCGATGGTTGCTGATAAAATCTCTCGAAATACTATACCAAGAGTTCCTAAATAGATGCTTGAAAGAGGAGTGAAACCATTGTTAGATCACTGTTGGTCTGTCTCTATATCTGTCTTCCAGGCTGTATAAGCGGATGAGACCGACTCAATGTGATTTAGCCCATCGGACGACCAGCAGATGCTCTGGCCTTTGTTTATATATCTACTCAAAGTATGATATATTATACATATATCCCGAACAAATACCCGTTGGAAAGCACTGGGTATTCAGGGCCTTCCTCGAGTCGCTCATCTGGCTAGCAGAGAGGGTAGTGGGCAAGCTGTTGGAGGAGACTGTGTTGTGGGTGTTTAGGCGTACCATCGAGTTGAGGCTCGATGGGTACTGGTCTGTCTCTGAATCTATCTTCCAAGCTATTTGAGCAGATTAGACTGACCGCGGGCAGGGGGGAGGATGGGATTGTCTGTCTCACGAATGACGGACGGCTCGTGTGTACCCGCTGCCTATACGACAGACATACCTGCTTGCGGTAAGCAGTACCTCTGTTTTGGAGTGTCCCTGCTAACCAATGCGGGTATAGGTTCGCCCCCCGAGCACCGCCCCCTCGCGGAAGAGGTTTTCGTGCTGCGGGCAAGATTGGCGTCCGCCACCCCCCAGTGGGTTGGTCGCCGGCGCCGGGCGCTGGTGGCCGCCCGGGAGGCGGTGGACGCCATCTATCGCCAACCCCGGCGTTTTTGGGCCTCGGCTGCGGCTGCGGCTGCGGTGTTCAATACCATTTAGCCCACCTGACGACCAGCCGGGGTCCCAGCACGAGGAGACCGGGGATTCCCTCGACCCCAGCCGCTCGGGGCTGACAAGCAAATCCTGCCAACAGTCATCGGCTTCCGGAGGGGTGGACGACGCCCACCTGGTTCCCGTGGCAAGCGGGGGTGTCTTTTATCATTCATACATACATAGATTGATAGGCCTCCGGAGTCCCCACGCAAATTGTCTCCTGATATTGTCGCGACTTCACTCGGGAGGTGTGGCGTCCGCCGGGCGACATGGGGATGGTATGGATGGCACCTGGTTGTGGAATATTGATAATCTGCGAATGAAAGCAGCGGGCTATGGCAGCAGAAGGCGGCCTCTTACCGGCTTAGACCCACGGGGCCCCTACTATCGATACCTTGGTAAACGCTGTGCGAGCGTTACCTGCTTCATGTTAGGATGCTTCGATCTAGCGATAGAAAATCAAGAAAGGCCCTGGGAAGGCCTGTGTCATGATGATGATAACGGATTTGGCTAGAGGGCTAGACGCACATTGAGAAAGCTATTACCAATAGATGAATTATCTTGTTGAAAGATTACCACTCAGCTACAAAAGACATGACACTTTTGAGCTTCGTAAGTAAACCTATCTCCAATGGGTGTCGTGCCGATGCTAAAGTATCAGGGAATAAACTCAATTTATCACCTAACAGCACCCCGAAACCACTAAAGGGTTAAAGAAATACTACTCAACACTTCGGCTCCCGAAGGATGCCATCAAAGTAGCCGCCCAGTCCGTCCACATCTTCCAACTCCCCAGTCCATCCAATATACTGATCCGGCCGCACCACCACAAGAGCGCCTCTCACCCGGTCCACTCCCCACGTTTCATACGCCTTCCCATCGCAGTAGCGATCCAAGGGGAACACGCTGTCACTCCACACCTTGTCATATCCCCAGCCCCACTTGCGGTCAAACAACCGCAACACTTCGGGGAACTCCGAGAGCTCGATGTCATCGACCGAGAGGCTATGGATGGTCTTCACCTCAATGACGGTATCTAGTTTGTGGCCCTTGGGGGTAAAACGCTGGATAACGGAGCCCGGCGAGGCCAGATACTGGCCGAACGCCACGACGCGCTGCTTCTGGCTCTCGTCTCGCATGTCTCCTGCGAGGAGCATAATGCGAAACCGTCCGTCGCTTTTGAGGAAGCGCGAGGTCCACTCCGAGGCACCGTCCGATTGGTTGCAGACCTTGACTAGGGGCAATCTTTCACCTGGTTCGAGATGTCTGGCAACGCCGGTTGCCTCTTTGAGCACCAGTGGGCTCGCTTGGTAAAAGGACTTGTAGCCCTCGGCAAACAGCTCGAATGCCTCCAGGACATTTCTCATGGTCTCGGCTTTGTTCTCGAAGCACGGCGAGGGACCAGTCTCCGGTGGTGGGCCTTCCTGGAAGTGGGCGAAGAAGTTACGGTCATAGTGGAGGACCTCCTCGGCAACGCGGTGGCGCTCCAGGTCGTATGTGTCAATTATCGACGGGTGGGCGATCCCTTTCAAGACGAGGGCTATCTTCCAGCCAATGTTGAAGCCATCCTGTATGGAGGTGTTCATCCCGAGACCTATCTTGGGCGAATGGGTGTGGACAGCGTCTCCGGCCAGGTGCATACGACGGCCACGGCTGAACGTCGGCGCCAGTCTCTGACCAACCTGATCCCTCAAAGCTTAGTCGAACACTTGCGATATCGAGTTTTCATGGGTAGGACCAACCTGATACGCCGTCCACCAGTCACAGATCTCGTAAGTGAACTGAAATGGGCTGAAAATTTCCTGCACCCTCTTGCTAATCATGTCGAGCGTTACCGAGGACCGCTCCTTATTACTTGCATCTTCGTCTACATCCTTCAGCGAGACGTAGAAACGAATCAGTTGCCTTTCCCTGGGAACAAACAGCATGGTCCCAGCGTCGGTTGCCACGAATCCACCACGGCGAATGTCCGCTAGCTACAGGTTAGCCCCAGCACGATCTTTCCGGAACGAAGGACACGAACGAAAATCTGTGATGGGAATAACATCCATGACACCCCTGCAAAACGTCAGTCTTGTGCCGGGGGTGTGACAAACAGGATATGGTACCATAAAGCCTCAGTTGTAGAGCCCTCCAGAGGTATGTTCAACTGCTTCCGGGTCCAACTGTGTGCCCCGTCACTTCCAATGATGAATTTGGCCTTGAGCGTCTCTGTCTCTCCTGGGTTTTTGGTCTTCTTGGGGGTGAGATCGTCCCACTCATCTTGCGGCACGTCGCTACGATCAATGACTCTCAAGTCGCCGTAAGGCAAACCGGTGTTTGCTTCCTCTTCGGTGAGCGCCCTCAACTTGACAGTGATGGGATATGCATCGGTTTCATCAATTTCCACATCATCGGTGTAGGATAGCGATTCCGCCACGATGCCCCTCTCGACATCAATGTCGGAACATTCCCTGATAGTATCCAGGAAGAAGCGTTCGATCCGCGCCTGGCTCAGTCCCATGGGGAAATAGGGTGAGCCGCTGAGGAGGTCATACTGTCTGTTACCACCATGCCGGTGTAACCCTCCGTTGCCGTCGGATCGCTGTGATACATCTGTCAGTCTGAGTTTCTCCGGGCCCAGATGCGTACGAAATCTCCCAAACGAACCCAAAAGGCGTAATGCACGAGACTCTGCGCTTCGTGCAAAACCTTGTGCTGGAAGCCTATACTGTCGAATAGCTCAAGAGTCCTCGTCCGCAGTCCATCGGCATGGCCCAGCATGACCTTCCTCGTGCGCTTGTCAATGACGCGGGCTTTAATCCCGCAGCGTGCCATCCAGTACGCGGCTGCCAGTCCGGCTGGACCAGCGCCGATGATGAGCCTGCATTATGGTAACTGTCAGAGCAGTCCGACTGTGAAGCGGGGGAGGCCAAGACATACACGTCAGTGTGAGAAACAGGTGAATCCGCCATGGTGCAGAAAGTTCAGTCGTCTCGTAGGCTAGCAGGTATGTGTGCAGCTGGTGCAAGCAGACAAAGGCGGCTTGAGAATAATTTACACGGTTCTACAGCTGGATGTTGAATCTTTATGCAGCCCATCTCTGGTACTCCCCCCACCTGTCACTTTTTGACACGAGATTGTCCTACTGCTGCTGACCGCTTCACAGATTATGGGCCAATTCGGAAGGCTGAGCTGGGCACGAGTCGCTGTGAGACATGGCGCTCTCTCCCTCAAAGATGTACCAACTGGCGCTCTCATTGGGAGGCCATCGTGCACCACAGCGGTTATCCCTGTCGCTAAACGAGGTCGTGTCGTGTCCAATCGGCGCCTCCGGAAAGCTAGGAATCACACTCGAGACTAGTCCCTAGTCACTTTACGAAAGACGTCTTCTCAGACGCTTAGATGAGAATCAGTAGACGATGCAGCTTCCACATGCTTAAAGCTTGTGTCGGATCGGCAAGGGTCCCATATCCATGCACGCTGATTTGGCTATTAATGCCCTGTTGACTGTGTCCAGTCAGCTGAGGTCAGCTGTGGAGAATGCTCATCGTTCCCAAAAACGAGCTGATAATGACCTGGTATGTCCCCGAAACCTAGCCACATACTAGTATCTCCTTGCTCGAATAATTGGGGCATCTTGAGGGCAAGTCCTGGGAAGCCAACGCAGCGTTATGTTTACCATTGATTGACATTTTTGGATCAACTGTCTTGGCAGGGTCTAGCTAAGGGAGAGATTTCTTACACTTCTCTCTTGGAGGGCGCCACCCGTAGATTAGAGCATGGTTATCGCGTTTGGTCCTTGCGGGAGAGGCTTGCTGACCTCTGATGTACCACCATCGAGTCTGCTGAGTAGGTTGACTTTACGTACCGATTGACCTCACTACTGCATTGGACTCAAGCAGGCGCACAAGTAACCCATCATATCTGTTACGCACAGGATATGCGTGCAGACTACGCACAGGCCCGAGCCCCGGCCCCAGTCATTACTGGCCCGCATTAGGGTTTCAAGCGCTCCCCCACTGGAAGCTGCAGCAGAGAAATACACACATGAGCCAGGAGACTAAACTCCACCCTCATGTTCAACAGCAGCAGAAGCACGAGTGAAATGCTCTGTTTACCCTTCCTACCCCTCAGGGTTGACGACGATGTGTATGGACCTCAGGTTCAATACAGGGTGCGTGCCTTGCAGACAGGCTCCACTGGAGCGAGCCCCTTGAGGCAGCTCGCCCCGGTCAACGTATGCACTATCCGGCAGACAATTTAATTGGCAGTGCGTTCGTCTCGAGGCAGGATCGGCAGCAAGCTTTGGCCTCATGGAACGCTCGTTCGGGCTCACTTCGTGGGGAGTGGCCATCCAACTCCATGCTCACTCACACAGCTTGTCGAGTCGACCTCCCTCAATCACCCTCGGAGGAAGGGATTCACATTCCAGGCACTACATTTTTCCTTCCCTTGTTTGTTACTTCTCTATGCGAATCCCTTTGCTGTACACCCAACAAGCGTCTCTCCTACATTCCCAGGACCGAATGTGTACATTTAACAACAGCGCCATAACATTCACGCGTCAAGGGGGAGACGAGCCAAAGAATGGACAACAACCCTCAGTGAAACCGAGTCATACTTAAGGGAATATTTTTCCTTTCCCTCGTCCTCGGGCTTTCCAGTTTCCTCAGCAATTCCATTCATTTCACCCGGGACGCTCCTTCCACCACTACCTCCTCCCACACTTGCACCAGAAGTCATCTACCGGCCTCTCGACACAATGCGTTACATTGTGAGTATCCCATCCAGAAACCCCCATAAAATCACAACTAACGAGCAACAGACCCTCAGCGCAGCCTCCATCCTGGCCATGGCGTCCAGCGTCTACGCCGACCCCTACGGCGTCGCGCAAGTCAGCGTGGCAACGCACAACGGGTGCGGCACGGGCCACTACCCGGCCAACAAGGCCGCAAAGGACACGAGCAGCATGTCCGCCGCGACCAAGGACACGTGCACCTTGATCAAGGTCAAGGACAAGATTGGCATCACGTCCTACTCCGTGGGCGCCGAGCTGATCACCAAGGGCAACTGCTACGGCGTTGGCGTCTACACCAACGAGGAGTGTCTCGGGGCGGCGGAGTCCGTCGCCTTCTTTGACTCTCATTCCCACAAGGCTCAGAGCGTCTGCTTCCCTAAGAGGGTGTTCGGGAAGCACGTTGCTGTCAAGTTGCTGTGTGATGAGCGGAAGCCGGATGTTATTGTGCATGCTCCTAAGGAGAACGAGAATGAAGGTGTGAAGCATGCCCCTAAGGAGCGGACGGCTGAGGCGCCTGTTGAGGAGGAGAAGCCCGCTGAGAAGCCTACCGAGAAGGCTGAGGAGAAGAAGCCTGCCGAGGAGGAGAAGCCCGCTGAGAAGCCTACCGAAAAGGCTGAGGAGAAGAAGCCTGCCGAGGAGGAGAAGCCCGCTGAGAAGGCTGAGGAGAAGAAGCCTGCCGAGGAGGAGAAGCCCGCCGAGAAGGGAGAGGAGGGCAAGAAGGACGAAGATAGCAAGAAGAAGCCCCTCGACGGCATGGTTCAGTTCCTGCGCAAGCTCGGCCTGTAAGGGCCGTACTTAGTGCGAGTACTGCCAGCTTAGCTGTCCGTGGTGTATGAGTGTGACACGTTAGGGATGTATACAAGTTAGGGATGTATACAAGCATCCCGATGTAACAATGGAGTCTATCTATTTCTTTATCTATCTCTCTATCTAGAATAATAGCAATTAATTTAATTGTGTTGTATCTTTGATCGTCATGACTTGTTTCAATGGGATAGATGGATAGCTTTGGTTTTGTCACGGTAGTAAGTAGTAGAAGTGTCGTCAGACATAGCATCTCCAAAAACCAGCCAGCTGGATTCACAAAAGCGGAAATGGATGGGCTATATCACCAAAGTGACGAAAGGCAGTAGTAGCCAAGATAAACACAGAATATTCATCGATTTGGTCCTCTCTGGAGACAGACACCTGCAAATCCAATGATGAAAGGAATTATATATTTTCATCCATTCATGTTATCTTACTATACTGTACTCCGCTTGTACTGATATAATTATTTCTTCGCAGTAGACATATATATGTGTTTACCGTCCTATCCTCACTACATATACATCACACCACATCCCACACTCGAAAAAGGTCACACCTTGTGTACCTAACAGTAACAAGTCGAATATCAAACAAATAGTAGAAAAAGGTCGCTAAACTCTCAATCATCACTAGCCACCACCAACAACGCCTGCAGCCAAACCACACATGATAGACAGAGCAAGGGACAGGAAAAGAAGAGGAGGGGGAAAGACTAGAACCCAAAACTATCAAGCAGCGAATTCGCATCCGGCTCATGGAACGTCGTCGGCGGCGGCTTCGGCTTCGGTTCCTGCGGCGCCTCCTCGGTGTCCACGGCTTCGGCTTCTAGTCCCTGCGGGAAGCTCGGCTTGATGGGCATGTCTGCCACTACGAGACTGCTCCGTCGGCGGAGCATCTTGCTGTAGTCGATGCCGTTGGCGTCGTGGTGCAGGATGGGTGATGGCTTTGTGGGCGGGTGTGGGATGGTTGGGGGCCCGCTGAGGAATTCCCAGTGGCGGACTAGGTCTAGGGCGAGGAGGTCGCAGCCCATGCGGTCGTAGAGGCGGGCGTTGCGGATGATGAAGTTCCATTCGGCTTGGGCGGAGACTTTGGAGGCGCCTTTAAGGGTTTGGAGGGTCTTTTCGCGGATTTGTTTGTATAGGACTACTAGTGCTGGGTCGTTGGAGAGGTAGGACTTTGCTTGTAGCGGGATCGTGCCGGCTGATGCTGGGGATGCTGGGGTTGATGGGATGAGGGTCTCGATAGAAGACTATCAAACACATTAGTTTGTATGACTCGAAAGACGAAATAGAGCACACGAGACTGAACAATAAGAAAGGGGAAGAAGGGAATAGGAAACTCACGATCAGTGATCGTACAGCCATATCACGTCGACCCAGTAACCAAAACGCCCACGACGCCATCCACCGGTTGCCGTCTGATGCCGCCTCCGGAATCACCCTCTCTTCCAGAATTTCTTTTAGCACCGGCCCATCGTCTCCCTCGTACGCACGTGTGATGGCGATAGCAAGCTGGACGTCGCCGACCTGGTTGAGACACACCATCGCGGCGTCGCGCAAGTGGTCTGCGAGCAGAAAGAATGCAGCCGCGTACTCTACACATATATGTTAGACGCCGGACACTAAGGCAAGGACACAAGGCTCTCCACTTACCAAATCTCCTCCTCCCGAGCAGAGCATATGCATTTTTCAAGGCAGAGGTTTTCCACCGTGGATCCTGGAAATCGTTCGCCAACAGCCGTTGCGTAGCCCCTTGCTCCCGATTCCAGTGCGCCATGCGCCAGAGTCCTTGTAGAATATTTTTCTTCCGGAGTGCCAAGTAGAACAGAGAACAGTCAACGGGGTTCTTCTCGTCTGTCTTCGTATACTCGTTTCGTGCTATAATCTCGAGTTGCGCTCGCTAAAGACTGTCAGTAACGGAGCCGCCTTGGAACGATGAGATCAGTACTCACGATAGCAGTAGGACTCGACAGCCACATGAGCATTCCGCTCTCCCGAGCCGACTTCCAGAGTAGCTTGCCACCAAATTGCCGGGACACGAGGTCAACGAGGATGTCCTGGCTCCCGCTATGGAATGCCCATACAATCTCCCTCCACGAGACGGTATCTTTGTTCGCAACACCCTGCGTCCTCCGCAGCATGTGTTGCCGGAAGAACAAAAGATAGCGAGCGGCATTGTCATCCATCGACCGTCTGTGCTTTTCGACGGTGGCAACGCACTCAACCGTATCGACCAGTCGGAACTGCTCCTGGCTGGAGAGCTGCGGCAGTGCGAACCGAGATAGGTACTCCGTGAGCGTCGCGGCGGAATTCTCATCCACGACACTAGGCTCATCCTCCATAGAGAGATCGCCGAAGGACGAGTTCAGGTCTTTCGACGAAGCTTTTGGCGGAGACTGTGAACGTCAGTTGTGTGCGACATAAGTTAAAAGTGGCCCAACTCACATCACTATCCAAGTAAAATCGTTCCAATGGCATCTCCAAGAAGCCATCAATGTCGTCACCTTCCGTATAGAATTTCAGCTTCCGGAGCAGATTCATCAAAACAGAATGCACAAGACCGGTCTTCCCACTCAGGATATACTGCGCCAAGAACTGGGGATGGAAAACCGGCAGCGGGCCATTCAGCCGGCTCACGACCTCAAAAAGATCTACCGTCGACGACCCTCGGGACGGGAACCGAAGATGCGTGATCAACCGATCCGTCGCATCAATCTCGTTGCCATACACGAACAGCTGATTGCCCGCTCCGATAGCCAGGTGCCCACCGCTGAGCCAGCAGGAATCGCCAATGGGATGGGGCGTGAGGTCTCGGATCCAGATTTCCCGAATCTGGGTCCATGAAGGGTGCGCATCCAGGTAATCGTACCGGAGCTGTGACAGTAGGATGACCTTGTGGGGAAATCCGACCGCAAGGACCGACTGCCGATCCGGGGTGGACGTCCAGTCGAGATCCCGGATGATATCGTGCTGGGAGAATTGCTCCTCAAATTCCAGCTGAGCGCCGCTCGTGTCCCAAATCGTTAGATGCGTGCGATCCTCATCCACGAGGGCGGCCTTTTTGATGGAGCTTCCGCTCGCCAGTGACAGATTCGTGATCCCCGTCTCGATCGTCGACGTCAGCAACCAGTCCACTCGGCGTTTCTTCTTGTCCACTTTCGCCGTCCACGTGTGGACCGTTCCACTCTTCGTGTACGACAGCGCAATATCCGGGGAAAACAGGTCAAAGAATCCCGACGTCTCCGTGGCAGGTCCGGCCGGGTCCACGGGGAGAATGTACGAGATGTCTTCTTGGATGTCTAAGCTGAAGGAGCAGAATTTCTCCAACGAACACCGGGGTTCGGGGGTCGCACCGTTGGCTTCGTGTGTTGCGGTTGGCAGCCGGATTTCCCAGACGAAGCCATTTAAATCTGACCCGATGGTGGCGACGTACACTACCTCGGAGGCCTTCTCCGTGGAGGGGACGGGGAGAACGCAGAGCGGTTTGCTAGACAGCTGGAACGTTGTCGCGGCGATCTTCTGCGCATGGAACGAGCGGATGTCCCAAACCGAGATCCCGTTACGATGAAGGTTGACCAGAAAATCGCCGCTTTCGACGACGCAGCTGCGATGGATGTGCTCGTCCGAGTATAATGTGCTCTGGCGGAGAAGCACCGGCACGCCGTGTCGCCGCGTCTGCCGCCATATGAGCGCCTTGTTGTCGCTGGTGCGCGAGGCCAGGGTATCCCCGATGGCATTGCGAACGATCTTCTTGACCGGACCGTTGTGGCCCGTCCAGGACGCTTTCATCGAGATCCGGTGCTTCCGCGGAGCCGGATCGAATAAGACATCCACCCGGGAATCGAACCACTCAATCCGGCCGTCGAAGTGGTGAACCAGTATACTGAGCGAGTCGTCCGCATGGGTGCTGTGGAACGCGCACACCTGGGCGTAGTCCTCCTCCGCGGAGCGGCCCGGCATGAACGCCAAATCCAAGCCCTCCACGTGTAGGACGTTAAACGTCTTCAAGTCCGCCTTGGTCTTGCTGCCGACATCCTCCATTGCCCACGCCGACATATGACCCTGACCGTCGAGCACCACGCAGATCTCGGGACTCCTCTTGGCGACCTCGATGATATGCTCCAACGTATGGTTCCCGTGGTTGCCGGAGCGCCGCTGGACGGCTTGTTCGGTTGCCACGCAAAAGTCTCGGCTGTCGACCACGAATCCGTATCGGCGGGTCATGCTCGTCTCGTCCGTATGTCGCGGTTGCACCGACGCGCCCATATCGATCAGCGTCCACAGCTGCAGCGCGGACGGGGTATGATGGTCCACCGTCGCCCACACTCGGATCTTGTTATCGGCACACCAGGTATAGAAGACGTTCTCCATGGACTGCTCGCGGTGGAGGGGTTTCCGCCAATGCATCCCGGTCACGACGGCGGGATGCGGCAGATAGGAGACCTCAAACCGCACGTCATCGGCCCCAAACGACAGCCGTCGCCACACCTTCACCAGACGGTCATATTGCCCCGTGGTCACGACGAGGGCCGCATCGGGGGAGAACTGGGCGAATTTGACGGGGGAGGCGAGGTCGCGCTTCCAGACTATGCGGGGGTCGTCGTTCAGAAACCACAGGGTCAAGTGCGAATTGCCCAGGAGCAGCTCCTGGGGCGAGCCCCAGGATAGCGTCCGAATCGTTTCGTCGTCATTGTCGGATCGGAGGGTATAGGCGAGCGACCACTGGATTCAATTTCTTCATATCAGCACGACCGTAGCTCCCGAGTTTCCACGCCGTAGTCATCCAATTCCGTCATCCCGCACCACGCGCCGGAGCAGCACCACGCACCTTCAACGTCTCGCCCTTGATCCCATACGGCTGGTATACAAAGACATCCGGACCACCACACGCCGCGATCTTGCCGGAGGCCTCATCAATGGTCACCGCCTCCAAGGCATCGGCATCGTCAATGTAGATTGTCTGCAGGAGTTTGTGTGGACCGCCGAGGATCACCAGTGCATTCCCGGAGATATACGCCTACAACACCACGCGCAAGAGTTAGTACCCGCGGGCCGAACACAAAGATAGACAGTAAAGTAGAAAAATAGCCAAGAAACGTACGACAACGCGGAGACCGTCCCACAGCGCGGTGGTGAAGGATTGGAGCTTGGGTGGGGGGCGCCCCGGAAGTACCGCTCGCATAGAGGCGGGTTGTTGTCAAGTCGATCAACTGCGCTCAAGGGGGGATTTACACCATTGCCAGGCAGGAGGCAGGAAGACAGTAAAGAAGATAAATCGAGGTAACGAGCAGGGAGAAAGAGTGGAAGAGACAATGAACGGTTCAAGGAGTTGTCAGCGCTGGAGAGGGAGCGAGCGGAAGTTGGAGAAAGGCGGGAGTTTCCCCGTGACAGCTCGACTTGGATTCCCCACAATTGATCTTTTGGTTCCCGCGCGTCGGACCCAAGTCGTCTAGCTCCCATCTCGATCCAGATCGTAAGCAACGTGTCTGCCGGAGAGAAAAGCCTGACACTTACCAACTTCCTCTGTTCTCTGTTCCTCTTTTCTTTTTTCCGCTTTTTGGGGTTTTGGGGTTTTGGGTTTTTTTTTTTTTTTTTTTTTTTTTTTTTTTTTTTACCCCGTCGGAGAATGGCTAGCGGGAGGGCGTAGGAGTTTACTTGCCCCTACCTGCCCTGACCTTATGGGAAGCCTTAGAAGACTTCCCCTTGCCAGGGGAGCCAGGTGAGGGTCCTCCACGCCCCCGGGAAGCCGATGACTGTTGGAAGGGTTCGCTTGTCAGCCCCGAGCGGCTGAGGTCCGGGGTATTCCCGGCTTCCAAACGCTGGGGCCCTTGCTGGTCGTCGGGTGGGCTAAATGGTAGGTATTGAATCAGTTCAATCCGCTCAAATAGCTTGGAAGATAGATTCAGAGACAGACCAATACTCATCGAGCTGAGGCCCGATGGTATGCCGAAACACCCACGACACAGTCTCCTCCAACACCTTCTCGACCACCTTCTCCGCTAGCTAGCTGAGCGTCTCGAGGAAGGCCCCGAGCGCCCAACTCTCTCCGACGGGTATTTTCTTTAATAGAAAAATACAAAAAAGCAATACAATTAAAGTAATATAGAAAAAAAAAAGATCGAGTTCTTGTCATAGTGATATTGTTCATATTGATGTATGATAATAGCTATACTACGAGAAAGGAAAAGAAGATCTGATTCCCTGACGAACGTCCACTACATGTATAGATGTTGTCTACCCACCTCGCACCTGCCGTCGAAGCCATCCTGTCACTGTTAGAAGGTTGGTTTGGGAAGGCACGGATCAGGGCGATAGCAACGGCGCACGCGGATGCAGCAGGGACATTCATCGCCACAGTGTGCATAGACACCCACCTCTTGTTTCTCGAGATCGGTGTCGCTCACGGGTCGCAGGTAGGTGATCAATGGCTGTTCACAGCATCCACAGGATCGGCCACAGCAGCCCCCAGTGTCCGCACAGGTCGCACGTTGAAAAATCCACGCATAGGAACGTCCATGTCGATCATGGTGTTCAACGAGGAGCAGGATCCGATCCACCATGCGGGTCAGTGGAGGTCTGTCGTCATATATCTTGGAAGCTTTGTAGGCACAGTCCCAGTATCGATTGGTCAGTTGGTGGATTTCCTCTTCCACAAGGTGGCTCGTCGATGAACTGCACGCCTCGGTGTATCCTGGCGGGTGGATGGGGGGCTTTGCTAGCTGGTTAGTCTGTCCCTCGGAGTCGGGCTGTCCTTGGACCTGGCCGTCGTTGTTCCAAGACAGAGCCCACAGCTGTCCCGCTTTCTTCGTCAAGGATCGGATCCAAGACAATAAAGTGAGGTCGGAGCACGTTTTGGACATATCCAGGGTTTCACCCAGCCAGTTGGTTGGTCGGGCGTGTTGGCCGAGCATCAAACGTTTCCTCCGCAGGAGACAAACCCGCCCTATTGAGTACTCTTCCTCGAAGGATTTGACCCATGCCTTGGCCTGGGCTGCTTCATTTTCTGACTCAGGAACATCGGCCCACTTTGTCTCCCATTCCTCATAGGCCTCGAGGAAGGCTTCCTCACACTCTGGTTTGGTGTTGTTGACTATGCGCGTCATCTTGTGATGTTTGAGAGGATTAAATCGTGGAAAACAGGTGAATGAAGAGGTAAGATGCAAGAGTTCTGCTGGGGTTCCCACCTGGGTATTTATACCTTTTGGGAGTATGACTCGTCTTGAAGCGATGAAGTCAGTTCGACGGCATTATTACACGTTATACCGCTGCCTGGCCCCGGGAGTCCCGGCCCATGGGGCGCATGATCAAATGATAAATTTGAGTAATAGCCTTCGATCATTTCTCTCAGAACTTCTAGTATAGAGCCGGCAAGCCTACCATTTTGGGGCATCTGACAATATATGGAAAGAGCAGGGCTCTTGTATTCATTAGAAGGGGATAGCAAAATTGCCATAGTGGCATGGCAAGCTGATCTGATATGGCACCATTAACATTCCACGAGACAGTGAGATAGACATATCAATGGAAGGCAGTATCCTAGGTAGGGGCCCACGTGGGTGCTTTCAGGGGGCCTACACGGGTGCCTTTAGAGGATATAATATAGTTAATAATAACTTACTTTCTAGAAGAACCAATAAGTACTTTCGGCCACGTCATCAAGCCGCCGAGCGAATCGAGGGTCTACGGTTTGTATTGTTATGTGGAACAAGGGGATGAGACCGCGTTCGAAACAATGCAAAACGATGATATTCAGACCATGTAGAACATTGCAGAATAGTTAAAAATACAAGATGGAAAACAGTGGGAATAAGGACTCTGCAAATGCTGCAGGTCAGCTGACATTCCAACCAATTGTAGTCACTTCCACAAGTTTTAGACATGAAGATTGCCCGGCAGATCTCCGTCTTCGATTTCGCCGCGTTGTAAATGCACACTTCTTGCCATGCAAGGAGCTTCTCGCATGGTCGTCACTGATGGCTGGGTTTTGAGAATTGTTCTTGCATTCCGAAGACAAATATTCCTAGGTCTATCCAGTTGAGGTTATGCATAACTATCAGTACTAGTTCGCGTTACTAGACGATCAAACCACCAAGGAAGGATCGCACCAGGCGAAGAGAGATTGTACCTCGCGGCGATGTACGTCGAGGCAACCAGTGAATCCACTGTTGACTCGCTGGACAGATCACCAGTCTCTTTGGCCAACTACTAGACCAACATGGCATTGAGAACGCAGATTTCACGAGGGGCACCGCATTTAAATGTGGCGCTTCATGTTGCAGGCTGGTCTGCCATAGACAGATTCGCTTTGTCGCGATTCGACCACGACAGAGGGCAGCACCGCGCCAGCGAAAAGTAAAGCAGCATCTGGCTCCTTATATCCGTGACCCGTGGGGACGGGAAGCTGTCAGAAAATGTATATATACAGCTATCTTTCATCAGTATCGATTGTGTGTAGGAAATACCCTCGGTTCTCTCACATGAATTGGAAAGCTGGTCAAGGTCGTTTGACTCTGTCAGGGTAAAACACTTCGACATGAACGTGGCTATTTGCCACTCAAGCAAGCGCACTGTCGTGGGTTTGTGTGCGCATATTGGTCCAGAACATGTCGACCATAGGATTGAATGAATGAGTATGTTGCGCCGTTCTATCTCGTCGTCCTCACAGAGGCTTCTCGCAACTTGATACCCGACTTTGAGGGTAACAGTAGGCAGAGCCACTGATGGTTGTGATCTCTCTTAAACTATAAAAAAAGCTTCTTCTGAAGGATGGGACGGTTGGTCCATGTTGTCATAAAAGAAGGGAATTACCACTAGGCCACAAAAGATGCCCTGACACTTGGGAGATTTGTAAGTGATCCTATCTCAGTGGAACAATTGGATGGAGCAGGATGTTGGTGGAGGGGTCGCAGAGGGTTGATTTTTCAAAGCAAAATATAGTTTGCAAGATGTCTAGAACTCAGTTAGCTCTGATTTTCTCAATGATTGAGACAGGGTGATTGGGGAGGGGTGATTGTGAGGAGAAAGAGAAAGGTAGTGAAGCTGCAAAGTGAGTGATTAATGGAGGACTTTGCTATACAGTGGAGGAGTACTCCGTATTAGAATTGAACTTGGACTTCAATCCACCTGTCTATTGATCTAACCTGTAACTCGCTCTAATGATAGGCTTACACAGTGATATAAGACAAAGTGATAGCCGCTCCTCTTCCCCGGACTACTGCATCTCTGACCAAACAAACATTCCACTCGGCAATCCTTGAACAACGCGTCTCCGCAGCCATGATTATCTCGCCTCCTCCTACTCTGCCATCAAGGGCTGTGATAGATGACGAGCGGAGATTCGAAACAATTACTTTGCCCTGTGAATGGGTGGAGGATTATCACCCCGGGGGTTATCATCCCGTCGTTCTCGGCGATGTCTTCAACGACGGCCAGTACAAGGTCATCCGCAAGCTCGGGGAGGGCTCCTACTCTACGGTCTGGCTCGCCCATGACCTGAAGTAAGCTCGTTGTCATTGTCTGCCCAAAGATCGCTACTGACGTCCATGAAGAAACAGTGGATATGTCGCCCTGAAGATTCTGGTGTCAAGACATCTCCAGATTGACCACTGAAGTACAAATGTTACGCCACATCACAGACACCGCACCAGCACAGGCAGCCCAGTATAATACGCGACTGCTGGGTGAGTTCGATCACCGTGGCCCCAATGGTGTCCACAGGTGTCTGGTCTTCGAGCCCATGGGTCCCAGCGTAAACACGATGGTCGAGGAGCTGCCGCAGTTTAAACCTCGTCTGTTTGGCATGAACATCCGCTATCCGCTTCCGATGGCAAAGAGTATCCTCAAGCAGTCCTTGCAGGCGCTTGCATTTCTCCACGAGAATGGGATCGCCCATGGAGATTTCCAGCCAGGAAACATCCTCTTCGCGCTAACTGATCTGGACTCGACCCCCGAGGACGTGCTCCGGCAGGAGGAAGACGTGCAAGCCCGATTGGTCTCGCCGCCGGTAGAGAGGCTCGACAGGAAACAAGACAAATGGGCGCCGCGATATCTTTGCGTTGCGCAGCCGCTGGTGCCTTTCACTCGCTACACGGAAGGGTTCAAGGTCAAATTATCCGATATGGGTGGCGGTCAGTCATCAGTTCCTTTCTCTTTCACGACGAGGATCTATACTCACATTTTGAACAGCATATCTCTTTACTGACCCCCCAGCCAAGCCCGTTACACCACTTGGGCTCCGAGCCTCCGAGTTAATCCTGACCGGCACCGTCAACAACACTCTCGATGTCTGGAGCTTCGACTGCCTGGTTTTTGAGCTAATCACCGGACAGCCACTCTTCTGTATCCCGGGACCCGAGCATGAAGATGATGACCATCTTCTCTCCCTCACTGCCCAGCTCGGGCCCCTCCCCGACGAGCTCTTCAAGCATTGGAAGACCTCGTCACTATACTTTACCCCCGAGAAGAAGCTCTTCAACTGCGAGCTAGGAGGAGCCACTCCGGGCGAGGAACCACTCATGGTGGAGGAGAGCTCCATGGAAGAGTTATTCGATCAGGCGGGTCCCGATCTAGATGACGAGGAAGCTCGTCAAGTGAAGGCACTCATTCGATGGATATTGCAGTATGATCCTGCGAAGAGACCGTCGCCTGCGGAGATCTTGTCCGATCCTTGGTTCAGGCAGATTGATATAGAGGACGATTCGTCCTAGATACCTATAGACTAGTTGTGCTTGTTGGTATTCTCCAGGCGTTTATAGTTTCGTGTGATAGGCCAGCGAGAGTCTACATAACGTAGAATTAGTATAATACCTCGCTCCTCAAATCCAGACACACAATAGCCAGAACGTCAGGATAGAGACCCATAAGGATAAACCCCAGGCCGACCCACCAGCTGCGTCAGGATGAAGCGTTTCCCCACGGGCCGCATCCCATTCGATGGACGATCGTCCCGCCCATTAGGCTGCACTAAACCAGGGGGAGTTTAACCGCGGGCATGGAGTCATGGAGGGGCGTTTCTCACATCACCGACCGAGGCAGGAGCTCAAGAGATAAAACAAAAGTACTCAAAAAATCTCCCTTCTTCCCAGCTACTGGATCCAACCCTGACTATCCACATCTGGCACATCACATGATAAACCGAGTCCGATCAGCCAGCCAATATGTCACGCTCTCTTACGGTTCAAAAAATTGACGGCAAACCGGGGCAGGTTTACTACCCGCTGCAGTTGCATGATACACCGAAACCGGTCCTTGGCCCCGGGGAGCTGCTAGTGAAGATCCACGCAGCGGCGTTAAACCACCGGGACTTGTTTGTCCGACAGCACCTATACCCCGGCATCTCATTCACCAGTCCTCTTCTCAGCGATGGCTGCGGCACGGTCGTTGAGACGGGCCCAGAATGCAGCGCGCAGCTGCTCCACCAGCGAGTCATCGTGTGTCCCGTCCGGGGGTGGGACGCTGACGTCGACGCGCCCGAAGACGCCAACCGCTACGCTGTGATCGGGGCGTCAAACCGGTACCCCGACGGCACGGCCCAGGACTATCTGGTAGTGCGCGAGCCAGACGTAGTGCGCTGTCCCGAGCACCTCTCGACGCTCGAAGCGGCTGCTCTTCCCCTCGTGGGCCTGACCGGCTGGCGTGCGCTGGTCACTAAGAGTCGCAACGCGCACCCGGGGCGCAACATCCTCGTTACGGGGATAGGGGGCGGCGTCGCCCTACAGGTCCTGCAGCTCGGTGTCGCGAGGGGCTGCCGCGTCTACGTCACATCGAGCGATCCCGAGAAGATCGAGCGGGCTGTGCGCATGGGCGCCCAGGGCGGCGTCAACTACCGCACGGAGGCCTGGGAGAAGCAGCTGCAGGCGCTGCTTCCGGCGGATCGACCTTATCTTGACGCGGTGATTGACGGGGCCGGGGGCGATATCGTGGCGCGGACGACGCGGCTTCTCAAGGCTGGTGGTGTCATCTGCGTTTATGGGATGACTGTCGCGCCCCGGATGGAGTGGGCTATGCCGGCGGTACTGAAACATATTGATATGTTGGCGTGCACGACGGGGTCGCGGGCGGAATTCCGCGCCTTGGTGGAGTTTGTGCAGGAGCATCAGATCCGGCCTGTTGTTAGTCGGGTTGTTCGGGGACTGGATAATTTGGAGGGGATTGATGGCTTGTTTGAAGATATGAAGGTGGGACGTCAGTTCGGAAAGCTTGTCATTGATGTGGATTCGACGGAGTCTTGAGACAGGGCTGCCATGTGACTGTCGAGATGCTCATCGATGGGCAGCAGGGGTTTGGTCGCAGTGTACGGGGTATAGAATAGAGTTGCGATGACTCCATTGCATTGGATTAGTCGCTTTGTCGACACGGGGCATGCTACAAATTACTTATGGGAATACCCTCAATATCTATACCGGAATTGGGAAGCAGGTTAAAGCATCGACAGTGGAATCAGGGCGACAACTTATAGCTCAAATCTTAGTCGTGGATCTGTTACATTCCGTCATCTCCCGGACTTCCTGTCATTTTGTTAGTATCTCTTACATGAAATAATAAAGAAGGAAAGTCTCATGTCATATAATCTCCTACAAATAGTAATCAAGTCTCGTTATCAATCATGGCAGACCACGCACGTTTCCAACGAACTATATGGTGTATAGAAGCCGAGGCGCCCCACTGCAGGATGTCATCCGCAAGGCGCGCGAGCATGCGGGTACTAGCGGGGGATGATAACAGACTTATAACGACGACGAGTCCGTCTCTTCGTCCCATCTCACCAGATCGATTTCAATAGAGGTTCGGAAAGCACACCATCATGGACCCCTCACCCTCCAAGAACCATCACCACATTGTCTACCTCCAGGGAGATTTCATCCAAACCCCCGATTTTCAGCTTCCGGACCCACATTCGTACACCAGCACGATCTACCCCCAAACGACACTCGCGGAAGTGCACGATCGGATCCACGATGCCTCCATTATTGTGCTCTCCGCCCTGAGGCTGGACGCCACCGCACTGTCTCCGGAAGTGTCCCCAAACCTGAAGCTCATTGTCGCCGTAGCCACGGGCTACGATTGCATCGACCTGGACGCGTGCCGCGCAAGAGGCATTGTCGTGTGCAATACCCCTAATTGCAATGTGGAGGCTGTATCCGAACATGCTATTGGACTGTATTTCACCACGCGGCGGAAGATGCTCGACCTGCATACCTTGACGAGGGCCGGGGAATGGCCCCGAAAAAGGACACTGATGTTCCAGATGCTCGACAGGAATAAGGCACCCCCGCTATCTTGCCAGGACGAGGTTGCTGGGATTATTGGGAATGGAGGCGTTGGTCAGTGAGATCTAGTCTATATTGGCGCTTCACATCAAGCTGACCGTAACCACAGGGAAAAAAATCGCCGCGATCGCACGCAACCTGGGAATGAAGGTTCTGATTTCTGGGCGCAAAAGCACAAATGGGTCTGATGTACCCACCCAGACTCACAATGGACAACCCGAGAGACTCCCATTCGACACGGTGATCAAGCAGAGCACCGTACTCTTCCTAGCCGTGCCGCTGATGGATTCTACCCGGAATCTTCTCTCCACCGCTGAATTCGAGGCCATGTCACCACGGACCATCATCGTCAATGTCTCCCGTGGGGGCATTGTCGACGAAGAGGCGCTTGTTCAGGCTTTGCACGAGGGCCAGATTGCTGGCGCGGCCACCGACGTGTTTGGACAAGAACCTGCTGGACCGGAAAATTCGCCTCTCCTTGCGGAGGACACCAAGGATCTTAATTTGGTTGTCACTCCTCACCTTGCTTGGCTGGCACAGAAGACATTGGACAACTACTCAGCGACACTGAAAAGGGCAGTCGAAGGATGGTGTGCGGGACAGCCGATTAATGTCGTCGTGTGACAAAAACGTCAATCAGGATCATTCAAGCTCAGTACCTAGGTATATATAGACTGATAGATAATGGACAGATAATATTTTATCCACAGCACCAAAACACTGTTCTGAGCTAAAAGAAGCTGAACATTCTGACGGGATTTTGCTGATGAAAGCCGTTGTGATCTTGACCACGTGATACCTAGGGAGGGCTGTCACTGCCTCGTTAGTCTGACGCAATATAAAACCTATAGATTTTACTTCCAGAACGCAGAAAATGTCTAAATATCGATTGTGGCCGAGTATAGTTCTTTGCCACCGATGCCGAAGAGCAGTGTGTTTATGCGTGTTCATGCCATGTATATGTCTCGTATCTGATTGGCCCGTTGATGGTGTCATATTAATGCTGAGTCAGCTGTGCGGCTGGATTATTAACATAACGAGGGGAAGTCAATCCAGCATCATTCAGCTCTCTCCACCACTTCTCTCATTCCTCTCTTTCCTCATTCCTCATCGCCTTCATCGCTCTTCTTGTTGAGTCAAGCTGTATGCCCGGGTTGCGAATAATCGGCCCACCGGTGCAGACAGGAAGGCAACCTTCATGTTGAACCGATGAACTATCAGACCATGGCGGGCAACGCCTCCAGCGCCATGCGCCCAGATGGATCATCATTTAGGGATGGTGACCAACGCAATGGACACGACACGGACAATTTCGAGTCTGAGCTCGACCCGGCCGAGACGATGCGACGCTCCCCGACGACCTCGCCTCAGAGCTTCACTACCCGGTCCCTCCTGGTGGGCATTATCATCGGCGCCCTGATCACCTTCTCCAACACCTATTTCGGTTTACAGACAGGCTGGATCAGTACGATGGCGATGCCATCGGCCCTGATCGGGTTTTCCGTCTTCAAAGTCTTCTCCAAATATCTTTCCTATCCGTTTACGCCGATCGAGAACGTCCTCATTCAGACGGTAGCGGGGGCGGTGGGAACAATGCCGTTGGGATGTGGGTTCGTGGGGGTCATACCTGCTCTGGAGTTTCTCCTGAAAGATGGAGAAGACGGACCCTCAGGTGATGGCGGTACCGGGGAAGGGGGTCCGCTGAAGTTGAACTTCTGGAAGCTCGTTCTCTGGAGCCTGGGGGTATGCCTCTTTGGGGTCGTTTTTGCCGTCCCACTGAGGAAAGAGGTCATTGTCCGAGAGAAACTCAAATTCCCTAGCGGGACAGCCTCTGCGCTGATGCTGAGGGTTCTTCATGGAAGCGGGCAGAGTGATGAGAAGATGAAGGGCAGCATGGCCCGGCCGTCCGACGCTCAGCGCGACGAAGAAAGTGAAGCGCTCATGGCAACACACGAGGCTGAAGAAAGCGACAGAGTCGTAAAGGACGCTGAGGCCCAGAAAGAGCTGGCCGACAGAAAAGACTGGCAGTCAAAGATGCGTTTGTTGATCGGCGCTTTTGGTGTCTCTGGCCTCTATGTAAGGTTCTTGAACATTACCAACGAACTAGAAGCTGACGGTGGTAGACACTCTTTTCTTACTTCGTGCCTCAAGTCCGAGACATCCCCATCTTTGGCCTTTCTCTGGCGCAGAACTGGCTGTGGACCCTCAATCCATCACCAGCGTATGTCGGGCAAGGGATTATCATGGGCCCGTCGACTTGTATGCACATGCTCTTTGGAGCTGTTCTCGGTTGGGGCATTCTTTCTCCGCTCGCCAAAGCGCGCGGCTGGGCCCCCGGACCTGTAAAGAGCTGGGATGATGGAAGCAAAGCTTGGATTGTGTGGATCTCTCTCGCGATCATGCTAGCCGACTCGCTCGTCAGCCTCAGTTGGCTGGCGATCAAGCCCGCCCTCACCCATGCGCCGAAATTGAAGAGCGCGGTTTTGCAAACCAAGGCTGGGCGCTGGGTTGAAACGCAACGACAAAACAAGTTTAGTCGTCGTTCCCATATCAGCTACTCCTCGTTGAGCCCCATCTCCGAGGAGTCGTCTATCCCCAGTCACCGGTCTCAGCTCGACGGAAGGGATCTCGGTTCGGCCCCCAGCGACGACGATGACGCGCCACCGTCACAGCTCATCTCAACAAGAACCGTTATCATCCTCCTCCCTCTCACCCTTATTCTGAATGTCGTCTGCATGCACATCGTCTTCGGCGACGTCATGTCGCCACTCCTCTCCAGCTTCGCAACCCTTCTCGCAGTCCTACTCTCCATCATGGGCGTCCGCGCCCTCGGCGAAACCGACCTAAACCCGGTTTCCGGGATCAGCAAGCTCACCCAACTTCTCTTCTCCATCGCAACGCCCGCATCCCACTTCTCCCGACGCACCGCACTCGTAACGAACCTCCTCGCCGGCGCCGTCTCCGAGTCCGGCGCCCTACAAGCCGGGGACATGATGCAGGACCTGAAAACGGGCCACCTCCTCGGCGCGAGCCCCAAAGCCCAATTCTACGGCCAGATCATCGGCAGCCTGGTTGGCGCCGTGCTCTCCACAGCCGTATACAAGATGTACGTCAGCGTCTACGAGGTGCCGGGCCCGCTGTTCGAGACCCCCACCGCCTACGTCTGGATCTTCACCGCGCGGCTCGTCACCGGCCAGGGCCTGCCCCCCATGGCCTGGCAGGCCTCCCTCATCGCCGGCGCAGCCTTCGTCGTCATCACTGCCCTCCGCATCTACGCGGCCACGCCCGCCGCCAACGGCGGCCGACCCGACACCACGGCGCCCTGGCGAGTGTGGATCCCAGGGGGGATCGCCGTCGCGGTCGGCATCTTCAACGTGCCGTCATTCACACTTGCTCGAGCCATCGGCGGCACAATCGCCTGGTGGTGGGCACGCAAGCATGCACCCCCCTCCCCTGAGGCTCTCCAGCAGCAGCAGGACGAAGACAACGAAGACCGTCCCGCGGTAGGCAAGTCCCCAGAGCAGATCTCCCAAGCCGCAGACGCGGCGTCATCCACAGTGGTGGTGCTGGCTTCGGGGCTGATCTTGGGCGAGGGCATCCTCAGCATTGCGAACTTGCTTATGGCTAGTGGGGGAGTTCCGCACCTTTAATATCTTTGTATATGGCGGGTAGTGTAGATGATCGTATCTTAGATATTGATAGTATATTTAATTAATATACATACATCCAATACCCATGCTTGATCGTTAATGGTCTGTTTTGCGATGATTATAGCTATGCTATCTATACTATACTCCGTAGGGTACATTGTATCACAAGCTACGCTATACCACAGTCTAGCTAACATAGTAGCTACACAAGAGGGCTTCAACCCACCTAGGTAATGCCAGAGAAACTAAAAGGGAAACCATGCAAATAAGCACTGCAATAATAACAAATAGCCAACCCCCTGTGAGCATGGTTCTTTTCTTTCATTTTTTTCTTTTTTCTTTTTTACCTTGACCATTCGACCAACAACACCGCTCGGCTGGGTCTGGATATATATCCAATAACCTCAACACATAACTTATGTAGTTCCTTTTTTTGCCCTCCCGGCGAAAGTATCAAGAACTCGGTAAATATAAGTTCATCGAGGGTTGTAAAGTACTTGTTTGTCTTTACGGATCTCTTTATTTTTATATATTTGTCTATTAATCTTCCTCGGGTTATCTACATTGATATAATAGTTGAAAACAGTGTTAGTGGGCCTGATTTTCATATTATTCAGATATATAATATTTGTATGGTATATTGGGTTTGAGTTCAAAAGATACAGTCATGTGTAAACACAACATTCAAGTGAAGAAAAGAAAGAAAGAAAAAACAAGAGAGAATCAAAGAAAAGAGAAGAAAGGGGTATATCCGGTCAATTCGAACCACACATTACAATACATTCAACAGGATATCAGAGACTGAAGCCAGTCTGATTATTTACGTTTGCTACTGTTTCATCAGACAGATAGACGATGCTGTATCGTGAGAAAGCGAATTGAAAGGCCAACAGAAGGGGAAACATGGAAAGAAGAGGAAGAAGCATAATAAGTGTAAGAAGAAGAAGGAAAATTGCAGATTTGGTATTTGGTATTCGCATTGGGCGATATGGGTCGTTCGTCGCAGACGCAGTAAACATCATAGTAGACATGTCTCCCGTCCAGCGGCGATTAGACGGGTGATCACCCAGATCGATGGGTGGGTTGCCGTCTGGCTAGAATGGAACAGTCATGGGGTATGGGTCCTTAAGCGTTGTTGTCGGGTGTCGTCTTCGCGGCGTCAGGAGCCGGAACGGCGGGGAGTGCGCTCGACGGCGGAGGCGTGGCCGGCGGCGCCAAGGGACTGGGGCCCGGTGGGGAACCCATGCGGGGGACTGGTCCGGCAGCGCCTCCGGTGCTGTTGCTGCGCTTTCTCTGAGCAGCGGCCATGTCCGGTCGCTGCATGCCCGGGGCTCCGTACGGTCCGGGGCTCATGGATCTAGGCGGCATGGGTCGCCCACCGGGGCCGGGGGACTGTGCGCGGGGCACGGGCGGAAACCGGGCCGCCGGCGACATGGGTCCTTGGGGGTAGGGACGGGGCGGAGGGCCACCATTGGGGGGACGAGCTGGGGACATGGCGCGAGGACCCGGGGACATAGAGCGAGGACCTGGGGACATCGGACGGCCTCCCGGGGATTGCGGGCGAGGATCCTGAGGGTAGAAGCGACCCGGCGGGGGCATGCGGCCATTGGGTCCCATCATGGGAGGACCGTAGGGGATCGGACCAGAACCCGGAGGGGGAGGGGGACGCGCACGGGGTTGCACAGGGCGAGCAGACAGGCAGGAGCGGGGAGCCACACCTTGCTGCGAACGATCTAACCGGATGCAAAGAGCCCATCCGTCATCGTACTCATGCAGCAATCGGACGAGCTGACCGGCCTGGAGCTCCAACTCGTCCTCCATGGATGGCGCGAAATCCATCTGGATGCGGTGCACATTGCTGGGCCCGGGCTCGGGACCTGGAGGGAGAGCCCCCGACGGTCCAAACGCCGGGACCGCGGCCACCGCAGCCGCTGGTGGGGCACCTGGGTCTGCGGCGCCAGCTGGCGACGGGTTCTGCGATGCCGAACTGGCGGGGCGACTGGGCAGATCCTTCTCGCCCGCTTTGGTGGCGGCAGCGGCGACAGCAGCGCCCGCGACCACTCCGGCCGCCGCTGCCCCAGCAGCCGACGGGTCATAGGCCGACGTAGGAGACGGCCCAACAGGCACATCGGGAGCGGGGGCCGCGGACATCGCGGTGGCGGCTGGTGGGCCAGTCGGTGGCGCCCCATTGACAGGGGAGGTACTCTCCGCCTGATTGCCGAACGGGTTGACCGGGTCACTGAAAGGATCACTGCTTTGCGGGGTCTGGGGAGGCGAGGGATGTCCGGTAAGATTGCGCGAAGCCCCGCCCGCGGCCAGAGTCGCTCCGGCTCCAGCTCCAGCGCCGGCCCCGGCGGCGGCAGCGGAGAGACCGGCAACGCCACTGGTACGCGGCGTCAGATCAGGAGCGAACTGAGTGATGGGGCGCATGTTGAGCTGCGGTGCAGTGTTCATAAACGCCATCGGAGCCGCCTTGGGAGGAGGCGGAGGGACATAGGCCTTTTCGTTCTCTGCCACTTCGGACAGGTCTCGGCTCTGCTTCCTCTTGCGAACGAAGAAGAAGATCAGGGCAGCAAGGAGCCCCACGCCCAAGATGACACCAATTGCGATTCCCGCCTTTGCCCCGCCGCTCATCCCTTCCGGGGCCGGCTCTGCAGAGATCGAGGGCGCCGCGGCTGATTGATTGGCGGTTGTCGACGCCCCGTCCAGTGCGGTGTTGGTCGACGACGAAGTGGACGTGGCGGTCGAGAAGGTCGTGTGGTCGGCCGTCTTCTCCGACTCGGTGGTCTCGTGAGTGGTATGTTCAGTGGGCTTGGTGTGGTGTTCGGTCTCCGTCGGCTTCGCTTCGGTGGTGTGAGTTGGCTTCTCCTCGACCGTGGTCTTCTCGTGCTTGGTGGTGTGAACGATGGGTGGGTCGGGCTTTGACTCGTGTGTGGGCTCCGGTTCTTCTTCTTTGGAAGCGGTTGCCGTCTGTCGAACCGGCTCACCGACGCCCATGTTGGGTGCCGTGGGCTTAGAGTCCGAATCGTCGTCGCCCATGGTCATATAACCGCCGACGGGGCCGTCGAAGTCCACGGGGGCCGTCACATAGATGACGTCCAATTTGGGGTGGTCGTCTGGGCTTCGGCGCTCCAGGTTGGCGCCATGGTCATGGTGTCCGTGTGCATGCACCATGATGGACGAGGACCGAATCGATCGCTCGTCGGTGAGATTTGAACCGGTAGAAGCAGTCGACTTTCGAACGGGTTGTTGGATCTTGGGGTAATCAGGGAACCCTTGTAATCGACTGTGATTCAATAGAAAAGAGAGTATGTATGGGAGCTTGCCCACAAGATCAAAAGTAGAAGATGAAATCAAACGAAATAAAAGAAAGAATCAATCAATCTAAAGGTGGAATGTCAACCACGAATGGATCCGAAGGTAGGGTCAAGCCCACGCTCCGATCTAGATCTCTATCTCAAAGCTCGACCAAGTGGCCGAGTGATTGGAAGTAACAATCCAAGGGCGCAAGCGCGTCAGGGAATGTGGCTGGCGAAACGTCCAGTATGAAAAGAATGTATAATCGGATTGAAGTCAATGGATGAATGCTGGACCATCGATCAAAAGAAGGGACAACGAGCTTCCAGGCCGCGCAGATCAAACGAACGAACTCGAACAGGGGAAAAGAAGGGAAAGGGGAAAAAATCAATCAAAAACAAGAGCAACGCGGGAGCCCCACGAATGCAGGGAAGAGAAGAAGAAAAAAGGGTAATCAAAAGAAAGCGAGGGTGAAGAGAAGAGGAGAAAGAGAGAGAGAGAGAAGAAGACGAGAAGATGATTGGAGTTGGATGGAGCAACGAGGCGGTACACTGTAATTACCAGTGTTGTGGTTCAAAGTAAACGAAATGAAGGAGGAGGGGCGCTGGGCCAATCATTGCTGGGGTGTGGTTGTGTATTGGGTGGAACCAATCTAACGAGATGCAGGGGAGATTCATGGCGATCTCCATAGTTAAGCCGGACGTTTTGATGACAGTGCCTGGTTTTATGACGGTAAGACAAGACCCATGGGACGGGAGGAACGTGCCCGTTGAATCTGCCCATTGCACGCGGGTATTGATACGGTAAGATACATACTCTGGGCTGCCAGTCTAATCTCTCGTTGGACTCAACCCTACTCCGGATACACCCAGGTCGATGCTGATTCCCTGCCATGGGTTGGAATCTCGGGGCAATCAGAGGCATCCACGGAGATGAGCCAAGCCTCTCGACCGTCCCGGCGCTTCCTAGCGCTCTCCACTCCACGGTCGTTCAGAGATCCGAGGTATGCAGGCACTCGATTCATAATCCAGTCTCACAACATGATGTCTGATGGGATCGGTGGATCAAGGCTCGTCAGGAACACAATGGGATTCTTGTTGAGCAGTCAATGGCACATGGACAGTATAGATCATGCGTTACGCCCGTAGAGCCGTAGGGGAGGCATTCGATCTCAATCGCGTCTCCGCTCGGCGAGGATAGCATAATCAATCCTCCATCACATCATACGGGCAGTACTGATCGCCATTCCAGTAAACGCACTCAGGAAGCAAACACCAACAAGACACACGGTGGTGGAGGTATCATTCTTGAGGTGAACTCGACTATGTCTCATTCTTTTTCTGCCCCCACGATGGAGCCGGCCTATCGCTGAGACGGTAGCCTCGGAGAGACCCACCATCATCTCCAGAATTTCGAACCGTCGAAGGGCTGAAACGCCTGAAAGTGGCTGTGGACCCACCCGTGATTGGCTCGATCCCTCTCAATATTAAACCCCGATTATTATGGTGGTATCGCTAAGCGTGCGACTATCCTCGATTCTTCGCTACTGGGGGGCTGAGTATTCCACCAACGTGTTGTTGTTCGTCCGGAATTCTTGGAGGATGGCTTCACATTGTTGAGAAATAAGGGTGTTTCAAGGCCTGGGGCGCTGTTAGGGTAATCCTTCTGAAGGACATCAATAGACAAGCAACGTACCTCTGCGGCGGACAACCGCTGGCCACTTTCATAACACACCAGCAAACTCACCAGGTCGCGGCCCTTGGAGGACGCCCCGGGGAGAGTATCATCCCACTGTTTGGCAGGATATTTATAGAAATGGACCTTGTCCCAATCGGGTAGTAGTTTCGTCTCCTGTGCATCACGTCAATACTGCTGTATAAAACAACGTAGGATAGAATTGAGACGACAAGAGAAAGAAAAGAAAAAGCGAATAAGAAAGCAAAGAACTTACAGGCCAGCTCTCTGCGTCTGGTGTACCCAGCGTCTTGAATATCGACTGGATGAGGGACAGGTCGCTCCCCAAAGGACCCGAGTCGAAGAGTTGCTGGTGCCCCACGGCCACGGCTTCCGCGACCACGCATCCCGCGGCCCAGAGATCAAGAGCAGGCCCATACCCTTGGTACCCGAACAGAATCTCTGGTCCTCGATAACACGTCGTCCCGACATCGGTGATTTTCTGGTCTGCTGGTTCAGACCCCTCGGTTCCTTCTTTCCATGCAATCCCAAAGTCCGCCAGGTAAGCAGGGCCATCGGGGGACTCCATCAGGATGTTCGAGGGTTTGATGTCCCGGTGTATGATGCCTTGCGCATGGAGATGGGCCACAGCGCGGAACATGTCACGGAGGATAGTCTTGGTCTGGGTCGCGGTAACCATGTCCCGACGGAGCAATTGCTCAAAGTCATACTGGAAGAACGGGAAGACGAGCACGAGCCGTCCGCCGTCCAGCTTCAACGTCTGGAGCAACGGAACTACATGCGCACTGGCAGACGCTTGAAGCAGCCGAACCTCGCGTCTCACGTCGTGTGGTTCTGCCAGGAGATGGGGGATGGTGACTTTGAGCGCGACCAGGGTCCCGTCGTCCCCTCGGGACTTGTAGATGGTGGAATGGAGCCCTCCGTAATGGTGCAGGCATGAGTGAAATGGCCCGATGCTCTCCCCTTGACCCCAGCTGTCTTCACTCGGATCATTGGGACCCTGCTCCCGGTCCCCGTCCACCGGTGCCACCGAGCCATTGGCCTCCGCGGCGTCGATCGCCTCCTGACATAATTGGCTATAATTCTCCTACGACCATGCTACGTGAGACGAGGCGAACACGCAAAGTCGTCATTTGGAAAACTGACCTTCGATGTAGCCAGATCGTAAGCTTCCTGTTCCAGCTTCCTGGCCTGCGACTGGGCTTCAGTAAATGCGGCTGTTGATGAGGCACGTTGGTATGCCGTCGTGCTGGGAAGTCATGAGCATGACGTTTGGCTAATTCAGGGGAGGAGTCCTCACAGGGACTGGATAGCAGTCAATCTATCCGAGAAGCCCAATTCCTTCTTCCACTCGGCGGCCATATCATAGAATCTAGTTTAGAACGTGAATAGAAATAAGCATAATCATATCAGATCTGTATTGAGTCTGGACAGGCCATGTGACCTCCGCCCCCGAGGCAGTAAGGCACTAACCCCCTTTGGGCGCATCCGTCTCGGCTGTTCCGAGGAGGCAGTTAATCCGTTGCAACGGAACCCCGTCATCGTCATCACATCCACTCTTCTATTCTTATCTGTACTCGTCCCCGACTTCCTCTGGCTTCTATTACGCTTCCGATTCATCTTTGACCTGGTATTACACTCGTCTTTTCTTCCTCGCGTGTTTGTTTCCCTCTCCCGTCTCAATTGCTTCGGAAGCGGGTATTCCTGCCGTTCTAGTCCCTCTATACTCCTTATTATGCGCCATCCGACCTCTCCTGACCAGACTGGCGATCTATGAGTATTAGCGATGGATCTCACACGGCAGGAATATCCAGCATTGCTGGTAAGCACACCATTCAATCAAATCTCCGTTCTTTGCTCCCAACCTCGAGAGCCCTCCGGACGCGCCCAGCTAACCCGGTTCCGCCGTCATGACAGGCCTCGTTACAACCCAGCCAAGCGACGGCCGTGCTCAATGATCGCATCCGACTGATCAACAAAGTCAATGCGGATATCGCGGACTGGCTCCAGGTAATCATCCCATCTTCACGCTGATTGGCGTCCCGGTGAATAACCCGTTCTAAACTCTTCCGTTCTTGCGATAGGAGCGCCGTCGCGTTGAGGAGGTTTATGCCCAAGGATTACGGAAACTGGCGACTCGGTCCCAGGCCAATGACGGAGCAGCGCTCGGGTAAGAACCATTGAAACATGCTCCCCCTTACTCTCCGCTCGGAGGGGTCGCGCCCCGGAGGATCACGATCACGAGCACGATGCTGATGTGCGGGTTCGCGGAGGGCAGAATCTTCCAAATTCCATGGCAGCGCATCACCAATGCCGTCGAGACTATCGCGGCGTCGCACGAGACCTATGCGCAGAAGATCGATGAGGATGTGGAGCGGCCACTGAAGGAGTACAGCAGCAAGAATCGAGAACTGGCCTCGATGCCGGGTGTCCAGAGCGATCTGGCTTCCTTGGCGAAGAGCTTGGAGGCGTCCCAAAAGAAGGTGGAAAAGGCCAAGGACAAGGGCCCCAAAGGCGCCGACAGGTTGGCCAGCGCGGTCGCGACCTCCGAAGAAATCAGTCAGCAATGGGATTCGAGAGCGCCCTTCGTGTTCGAGCAGCTGCAGGCGGCGGATGAGACCCGCTTGAACCATCTTCGCGATGCCCTGACCCAGTTAGAGACCCATGAGGTCGATCAGGTGGAGCGCTGTCGCCAGGCAGCGGAAAGCTGTCTCAATGTGCTACTCAACGTCGAGACGGCCGATGAGATCAAGACGTTTGCTGCCAAGGTGAACGGCGGACGGCCAGTTGTGTCAAGGAGGCAGCAAGCCGCTTCTCCTCCACCTGTGGCGCCTGTGGCGCCTCTGGCGCCCCCGCCGCGCATTCAGGACGACGCTGCTAGCCAGCACTCGGAGGCTTCGAATCCTGTCCGGACACCGCCTGGTGAGTCCCTTTTGTTGTTGACTTGTTGACCTTTCAATCACCTTGGTGGGATTTGGGGGTTGATGCTGACTCCATACTCGATAGCCCCGGAGCCTCAGCCCCGACACAACACTACTCTGGGTGGCCTCAGGCGCCTGGGCACTGTGATGAACCGAAGAAAAAGCATGGTGCAGCCTTCAGGCGGTGTCTTCTCAGAAAGGAAACACCGGAGCCCATTTGCGTCGTTCAAGAGGGGCGACTCGTCTCGGGAAATGCAGATCCCAGAATCCCCCCCTGACGGGACCGACCGTCCTGATACCGCCATCACCGCACAGAGTGACGCGACACGTCTGCCGAGCGAGTCTCATGATCGCGAGGGAATCAGTGCCCTCTCGACCAGCCCGGTTCCACCGCCGGCCCCGGCAACCTCGAATGGAACGGCACTACACGACGCGCCTACCGAGATTGGTCTTCTGAATCCACCGGCAAGCGAAGTAAGTACCATCGTAGACACGGGTTGGTCCCTATTGCTAACCTATCCATCTAGCCACCGCGAGTCGACTCGGAAGGCTATACGGAACGACCATCCACCATTGACGAGATCACGCGGCTTCAACGTGAAGCAGCCGGGTGAGCCGCCCCGTCCAGACCCACGAAATTACAGCTAGACTGACCCTGTTTATAGCTTGGACGAGCAGGCCATCAATCTGACCATCCGGGAGCAACCCATCTTTGAAGATGAGAGCCAAGCGAAACAGGCCATGGACGAGATGGCTAACCAATTGAGATTGGTCGGTGTGCCCACAAAACCTGCCCATGTCCGTGACTGACTCCGTGTACAGCGAGCCCCACAGAGTGGGATGAGACGCAACGCTGGTACCATCCGCGGTCGACGCGATGTCCGCAACACCGTGTTCATCCCTAACCCGACCGGTCCGGAACTACCTACTTTGCATTCGGGTGGCGACCCGGGCTCTATGCCCACTTCGCCGGCCATGCCGATCAAGCATGTCACGTCGCCGAGCACGGCCACTGACGACCATGCGATGTCAGATACCACCTCGATTCGCTCTTCCCACACCTTGCACAGTATCTCCGGCCCCGTCGCGCATCCAGATCTCCACGAACCCGGCCTGAATGCCTCCGTCGTCGAGACGGTGAATGCGTGGTTCTCCGAGGGCGCGGTGACGAAGGCGTTCGTGGTCGGAGAGCTCGCGCTGGCATACAACGCCGCGAGCACATTCCCCACGGACAATACTCGAGTGCGTCTGAACAACTTCCAGGTGCTGGAAAAGGTCGCCGCGAACCCGCATTTTGTGCATGAAGTCGCCGACCAGTCCGACGATAAGAGAGGCGAATACAGTATCCAGCTGGCCAGCATTGCCCGCCAATCACCAACCGTGGCGTTCAAGTATCAATTGCATATCGGCCCGTCGGAGGCGTCGGCCCACTGCCCCGTAATCTTCAAGCCAGCATGGAATATCGAGGAGTTCCAGGCCAGCGTCATTGTTTTCTACTCCCTGAACCCCTCCTTTACCTCCGCAGGCAACTCCATCACCCTCCGCAACCTGGTCCTGACCGTCAACCTGGATACGTCGCCCGAGGAGGACCGTGAGGTGGTCCACGCCACGAACGCCGTCATGTATCCCAACACCGGGGCGGCCTTCCGCCGCAAGCAGTCCGCCGTGGTGTGGAAGCTCCCGGAGCTGGAGATCAAGCCCACCGAAGGGAAGCTCCTCGCGCGGTTCACCACGTCCAGCAGCTGGCCGCGGAAAGGAAAGGTCGAGGCCAAATTCGAGGTGCCCACCATTGACGCTGGCTCGCGACTGGGGATCAGCGCCGCTGGGCCATCCCAGGAGACGGGGCCAAAGGCATCTGACCCCTTTGCCGACGACGGCACAGGAGTACAGCCTCCGTCGACTCCTTCCTGGAGCGAAGTCTCGACAGTCCGCAAACTGGTGGGCGGCAAATACGTTTCTTCATAGACCACATACCCTTCCGCCCGCCTGCTTTGGCGCTCTTCCAGGAGATTGAACCCAGTCTCCAATCTCCAGCCTTCCTCATACTTAGCATGTGGCCCAACAACGACCGATCTGATCACCTGACGAATGACCCCAGGGCCAAGACTGAACATAGTTGCAATCGATGCATGGATCCTAAAAAGCAGAGAGGCTCTTTTTTCATACCCACGCAGGGCCACTCCCAGCTCCACCTGTACATCGGAGTTCCTGAGTAAAAATGCCACATACAACACACACCACGACACCTGTGCTGTACTCACAGCACATACTAATTAATCGCTTACAATTTCCCACGGCGCAGTTTGATCTTATCCATCTTTCTTTCGTTATGAATGCGTTGGTTCTATTTTTTTTCCCTTTCTTTTCATTTTCATTTTCCTCTTCATCCTCATCCCTTTTTGACCGGTCATGCATATATCAACCACACCACCACAATCCATTTTGTATATGCCATACTCTCTCTTCCTCTCTGATCCAAGTGTCAAGGAGAAAGAAATTGCAGACCAAAATATTTGTTTGTAAATAAACCCTCTTTTTTCCCTTTTTTTTTCTTTACTTATCTCTTTTGTTCTCTTTTGTTTTCTTTTTGTTTATCCTCTGGATCACACATGCCTGTCTGTATATTCACTTTGTTTCCTTTTTTTCTCCTTCGAATTTATTTATCTTTTTGAGTGATAGTGCGTAGTAGTATTTAAGAATCTTGATTATATCCATGTTTGTGCCTTGCAGCTACTACTGCCATTCATTTGGTGACTAGGTGACTACACTACTGTAGTACAACGTCATAGTGATTGGTGTAAATCATACGCAAAGAAATACCTAGAAGGTAGTGTATACCATATTGCCAATACAGAGAAAAGGAAAGGATAGAATAGATAGAATAGAAACAATTCATAAACATGACACGGGGAATGCCTGTGCCGGGGAATCAATCAACCAACTTATAACCACAAATGGAAGACCGGACAAATAAATCCAACCAGATAGACAGACCAAAAAGAAGAGAAAAAAAAAAAAAACAAGAGAAAAGAGATGAAAGACGAAAGAAAAAGGGGGAAAGAAAGTTACATCCGCGCAGCGCGCGTCGTCTTATCATAAAAGTCCAACGTCATAGCAGCCAAGAAACAAGGAATGTCCTTTCGCTCCTCGACCCAGAACTTAATCAGGTGCTTGATCTCCATAGCGAAGAGGCTGTTAGGCCCACCCGAGATCTTCATCGTGCCGTTCTCGCCGTCGAAGATAATGGAGTTCTCCTCGTCGTTGCCCATGCTTCCCGGGCCGCGGGAGTCCGACGAGGCGTCGCCGTGGCGGTAGGCAGACGAGAGGTGGAACATGGAGGTGACGCGGACGCGGCCGTTGGGGAGGAAGTCGAGTTTGTAGCCGAGGAGGGAGGCGACTGCTTCGCGGAACTCGGAGGATTTGGCTGTCCAGATTTCTTTTAGACGACGCATGCGCTTCTCCTTGTCGGCGACGACGCGCTCCATGTCTTGGATTTCGAGCTTTAGGCTCTCGAGCGTGCTGGCGGGGACGGCCTTGGCGCCTGTGAGGCTGCCGCGGAGCTGGGCGAGGAGGTCCTGGTTCTCGGCTTTTAGGGTGGTGATGGTTGAGAGCTTGAGGTTTTCTGCTTCGGCGGTGGGGTTGTCGCGGAGCTCGAGGATGCGGGTGCGGGATTTCGCTTTGAGGGATTTGAGCTGGGATTTGACGGCGTCGAATTCCTTGCGCAGGAGGGCGGTGGCTTGCTCGGATTTGGAGAGCGATTCCTGCAGAGTCCGGTTTTTGCGGGAGAGGATGGATAGGCGTTCGCTCTCTGCGTCGCTTTCGGCTGGGGAGAGAGGACGCTTGATGCCCCGGGGCTCGGGGTCGCTCGGTTGTGGTTGCTCGCGCTGGGAGAGCTCTTGGTGGGCGGTTTCCAACTCCGCCCTGTATTCGTCGATGATTTTCTCCAGGTGGGCAATCTGCTCCGACTTGTGCTGGTCGAACTGGCCCTGATCTGCGTTCATGGTCTCTTCCTCGGTGTCGAAGGTCTTCAGCTGAGCGCGGAGATACTCGACCTCTTTCACAGCGAGGGCTCGTTGGCGTTCTAATCTTGCTTTGGCTTTGGTTTCGGCCATCGCGCCTCCAGCGGCGCTGCCTGCTGCCCGGAGTTTCTCCAGCTCCTGTCGCAAATTGGCCTTCTCTGATTCCAGGCCCTTGATGATTTCATCCTTCTCCAGGAACTGCGCTTCAACTTGGCCGAGTTTGTCAACGAAGCTGGCTTTTTCGATCTGTTGTTGAAGAAGAGCCTTGACGACTGCCTCCGGCGAGTCGAGCTCTGCAGCTTGGTCATTGTCTTGCAGGAGACTAGTCCATGACTGGCGCTCATCCTCTAGGATTTGTTTCTGGATTTGAGCGGTCCCCAGCTCCGACTCTATTTCCTTCATCAACTGCAACTGGTTCTCCAGGGATTTCTTTTGCTCTTCCACGACTTCCACATTCTTTTGTACCTTACGCAGATGCCGTAGCTCCACCATTTGCTCTCTGTTTGTGGTCTCCAGGTTCCTGATATGGTTGACTTGCTCAGAGAGTTCCCTCTTGAGAACTGCCAAGGTTTCTGCGTCGCTTCCTTCCGATTTGAGTCGCAGATTCTCCGTCTCCAGATCAGCGACGTCGGCTTCCCGCTCCCCCAGCTTCTTTTGTGTGGTTTGGACGCTTTCGCGGGCACTTTCCAGTTCACCTTGTAATTCCTCAAGCGTCCGCTGGAGGGACGAGCGGATCGTTTCGAGTTCGTTGATCTGATATTTGTGTTGTCGTTCCTGGTCAAGCAATTGCGCCTGGGTGTCGCTTGCGTCTTCCTGCAGATTCTGATTCTGGTCTTGGAGGCTTCTAATTTTTCGTTCGAAGTCACCTTTCTCGTTGAGGGCGTTCTCTTGGGTCTCTTTGAGCTCTTTCGCGAGGGTCTCGGTCTTGTGGTTGGCACGGTGGCTAGCAGATTCCGCGGCCTTGAGTTAAATCCGTTAGTCGCTAGCCTCAGGTCACCATTTGTGAAGTCTCCGACGCACCTGGAATTTCCTGAAATCCGCATCCGCTTTCAACTGCAGGTCTCGCAATTCTTTCTCGTGACGCAATACCACCAAATCCCGCTCTTGCTTGAGGTTCTCCAATTCATATTTCAAAGTATTGTTCTGTATGCGCAATTCCTCCTTTTCCGTATCTGCAGTAAAGGATCAGCAAGGTCAGTCGCATCCCATCTCACGGACGCGCGAGCATACCAGGCTTTGTCGGAGGCGGAGGAGCCCGGATCGATTGTCGGAAATTCGGCGGAGCTGGAGGAATCGACAGCGGGGACGATGCACGAGGCGGAGAGCCCAAAAAGGGATGCGAATTCCTGCTTGAATCCATCTGATCCAGTCAGTTCGTCCGTTGTAAGCTCTTCAATGCACCGCACTTCATACCTGGTGATGTTGTTACCAGGTAGCACGCCCTAGTGGTCGACTGTATGGCATTGATCCCTAGATAGTCTGAAACTCACACCACACGATCTCCCCTTTACTAGCGGACGGTCACAGTCTCTCAAAAGGCAAGTAACTCCAGGATATGGAGAAATCAAACCGATGGAACTCATCTCTTGTTTTGCAAGTCGAATGAATCCATCCGAATCGGGACCTGCTGAGTCATCGACACTCACCGCCCGCGGCAGCTCCAGTTCCCGATCGGGACTAGTGCCAAAATTTTGAAAGGAAGAAATCGAATTTTTGCCATTTTGTTCGCGGACTTGGAAAAAAAGTGACCGACGACCACTACTGCGCAACTGTTGTCCTCCGATTCACCCCCCTCCCACCTCTCTACCTACCAGTTAAATTCACCTCGGGTGATACCAACCGTCACAATGGGCAAGGACAAGTCTGAGAAGAAGGACAAGCACGAGAAGAAGGAGAAGCGCGCCGAGAAGGACGGCATCCACAAGGCCAAGAAGGAGAAGAAGGAGAAGAAGGACAAGACCGCTCTCACCAACGCTGTCGAGCAGGAGCTCACCACTAAGGTTCTGGATGGCATTGACCAGGCTGTTGCTGGGGAGGCTGCCACTGGGGACGTGCAGATGGTCGACGGTCGCCCCATTGGCGCCCTCGTGCCGTTCGCCCAACCTCTGGTCGAGGACAAGGCGGCCAAGAAGGTTCTCAAGAGTGTGAAGAAGGGTACGTTTGATCTAGCTTTTATTCGAGGCGTCATATTTCTTGGGATGCAATTTTGTGTCTTGTTGCACGGACAATGGGAGACGCTTGTGTCTATATCCACTCTAGGGAGTTGGAAAGAGATACTCGCCCCTCTATTGTGCCTTGCTATCGGAATGAGCCATTAGATTAGTGTTGTCATTTGCTAACTTTATTCCAGCCGCTGTCAACAAGTGCCTGAAGCGTGGTGTGAAGGAGGTCGTCAAGGCCCTCCGGAAATCCGCTGTTCCCGCTCCCAACGAAGTTATCGCCATCCCTGGTGGCGTCGTCATCCTCGCCGGCGACATCTCGCCGATGGATGTCATCTCCCACATTCCCGTCCTGTGCGAAGATCACGGTATCCCCTACGTGTTCGTCTCCTCCCGAGCTGAGCTCGGTAACTCTGCCGCCACGAAACGCCCCACGAGCGTGGTGATGGCCGTGCCCAAGTCGGCCGCCAAGGGCAAGAAGAAGGACGATGCGGAGGACGACGGAGAGGACTTCAGCGAAGTCTATGAGGAACTGGTCAAGGTCGCCCGCAAGGAGGCCAAGAAGGCGAACATCTAGACGCCCTTCAGTCAATGGAGGGGGACCAACCGTTGATTTCATTTCCTTTTTCATCTCTTAATTCTTGAGCTTGTCTTGTCGCCTGCTATGACTGTACAGTTCCACTTTATTCTCTGACAAGACACTGCATGTCTTTGGGGTCTGGCCTATGGGACGTGTTTGGGTAAATTTTCTTTTTTTCCTTTCCATTTATTTATGATATGTCTGTTGCAAATCTGGCGTTATTTTATCAACAGGTGTATGAAAAGGCAGGAAGTATCAAAAATAAAAGAGTTCAATTTCAATCTTGCCAATCTTATATTTTTTTCCTCAATTGCGTGAGACCAATTAGTTATCGCTTCATATTCCTGGTCTCGTCGAATCCCACTACTCGGACCAAAACTCAACCGCATCCGAAAGACCGAATTATAAGAAATAAAAAGGGAAAAGTAGAAGAAAAAGAAAAGGCAGATAATCAAAATGAAACAATAACAACAACCGGTGAGTGTTCTCCAATAAGACCATGAACAACCCGACGATCCCAGCACCGAGGAGATATATGACCTCAGTCACTCACCCACAATAATGCAGCAGAAAAAGACATATCGAATATGAGCCGCGATTCCAAGAAAAATCATCGTGCAGGAGGACCAAATAGCGGCAAGCCACCGGAGTCTCAGTCCGTCAAGGCCATGAAGCTTATCGGCTCAACAGCCAGCAAGGGGCAGGTCATTCCATCCAGTATCTCCTGCGGGAGAAAACTCCAGATCTATTGCCCATTGGACGTGGGCTCGTTCGTCATGCAAGGATACATACAGTTCGGCATTAGTATTCTCTTGGTCGGTTGATATATCGACCGGTGGTGCAGAGCGCTTGGGATGCAGGTTGTGGAGGGTCAGTCCTAAGAAGCGAAGATAAAAGGTTATAAGTGCTCTCCAGCGACTGACTGGCAGGATTGCCCCATCCCGCGAGATCAAGATTCTTCGGCTACCTTCTCCTCCGTCAAGATGTTGGGATATCACACGGTGGTGCTCCTTGCGCTGGGCTGCCTCTCTGCTATCGTGGCCTCGTCACCACTGCCCGTGGCCTATGCCAGGACGAGCCACAAGCTCGTTCCCATCGTCGGAGCAGGCGAGAATGCATTCGAACCGGTAGGTTTTATATCCTTTTTACGGACTGAAGACCCGCGGGTCAAATCCAAAAGTCACTAAATTAGTAAATACTAATCCACGTGCTCACAGGACACCCACAAACCGTCCATGTTCTTCTTCAACCACTTCGTCGAACACACTGTCATCCCCAACAACAAACAAGACCACACCACCAGCTCCTCCTCCACGTCTTCTTCTTCCTCCTCGTGCACCACCACCTCCTCCGACCCACTCCTCGTTCACTGGACAAAGGACTTCTACGGACGCTTCATTGTAGAACGGCCCCGCACAACGGTCACAGACTGCCGTCATCCAAGTCAGGATGGACCCAAACAGACGAGTATCCTGTCTGCACTCCGGAACAGGGAGCGCGTTGTGGCGCCGGCAGCCATTCTGTTCGTCATGCTCTGGGTGGCCCTCATAGGGGTCGGACTTGTCGAGGCTGTCAGTTATCTGTGGGAGAAGTGGGCTGGTTCTGAGGAGCCCGCTGAGAGTGTGGAAGACGAGGATGTATGGGATGAGGTTACGGTTGGTGTTGTGCCGGTGGAGGACAGTGATGAGGAACGCGGTGGTCTGGGAGAACTCAAGGTGGCTGTTTTTTGATGGGTTACGCTATAAATTATGAAGTATCAACAGCGTTGTTGGTTGTCGATGGCACTAAAATGATCTCCAAGTCGTTTATGAAATAGGTTATGGAAACAGTACGAATCGGTTATTTCCAATCATTGATTATTCTATTATACATTCAAACTCAGACCCAGTCTGCCTGAAACCAAAAAAAAAAATCAACCAGAAACCAATCGCTCACAAGCTTTTCATCAAATCATACAACCATCAACCCCTTAAGCACGCTGATCCCGCTCAAGCGCCTCAAATCCCCCATGGTGAGACTCAACGTTCTTCTGCCTCGCACCGCCGACCTCAACACCACCCTCAGCAGCGCGACTCTGGAAAGTCCGCTCCGCAGCACGGGAAGGGTCATTCTGGTTTCCAATCTCGGAGTTGAAGCTAGCATTGTGGCGCGGGTCATCATCAAAGCCACCCTCATGCAAATTCTTGCCCTTAGGCTTGCTCTGACCAGGCAGGCCCGTCACATCCGAGACATACGACGGCGCCTGTCCGCCGATGTGCGAGTATCCGCTTCCGCTTCCACTGGCAGCGGCAGCTTGCTGCTGTTTAGCGGCGGTGGGACCGCCGACATAACCGGATCCGTGGACGCCGGGGAAGTCGCCCTGGCCGCCGAGGGCTTCGGGGTACTTCTCTTGGCGGTTGCGGTCTTCGCGAAGGCCGCCGACGGGCGCTGATGGGAGCTTGGTTGCGCCGGAGGTGGTCTGTTGGGTGGTTGTGGTGCTGGTAGTGTGGATGCTGCGGTTTTGGGAGAATCCGCCGCCGTGGGCGGTGGATTCGGCGGCTAGAGAGTCGCTCTGTACGGGACCAGTGGACTCGTGGATGGGGTTGCGGGTGGCGGCAGGGTCGTTGGTGACCTTTGTGCTGCGCTTGCCGTGAGGGAGAGGGTTTCCTTGGAGATCCATTGTGGTGGTTGGCGGTGGTGGTGGTAGTGGTGTAATTGTTGAAAACGAAAAATTGGATAGACTTTGCAAGTTCCAATGGAGGATATAATGAGAATTAATTAATTCGATAACGACTGAGGATGTGACAAGGCCAGCTATATAGCAACCTTCTGATATCTCAAACCCTAAGCAAGATGTAAACGACGTCATACTGACGGAGCAAGGTCCCAGACTCGCAGGTTTGCTCTCAACAACCAGATAACGTCAACGAAAGCATCACCTCAACCCCACAACAGGGTTCTAACTGGTACTATGTAAGTCTCTGATCCACTCCTTCCAATTTCATTTCGTCCAGACTCTGTTCTGGAAAAAGCCCGAAACGCCCATGGCCGGATAGTGGCCGCCAGTATGGATCTGCGCTGATGTGGTCTGCCCCACCGTTTCTCCCTCCAAGACTGGGATTGACATGTTGGCCGGATGTTGCAAGCCCTGGTTATGGGCCCCGCTAGACCATGTTCTGATATCAGAGTGAATTGTACATGACAGGGTGGGAGGTTGGACTCCGCCATTTGACGTCATGGCGCTGACCACCTGGAGAGCGTGCATTCGTTCCCAGCACCATCATGCTCAGCATGGGTATCAATACTACGGTTTTGAGAGAAGTTATTTGCAATTGTAGTCTCACTATTTGGTGGCATTTGGCACAATTGGCGCCTTTCAATCCATATCTAAAATGCTTACTTTTAGCCGTAGCTTCCATACTAGCCTTTGATTAGATATACGGGGTGTAGCTCATCTTTGTAGGCTTGTCAGCGATATTAAGATTGTGAGCAAGATCCTATCCTCACTTCTCTCTATTTTCAAGCGTTTCTAAAACAGGGGTTCTAAACTACGATAATAACTCAAGCACAACACGCACGTGAAGAATCTCAACGAGTCATCGCTCATAACATTACATTTCAAATCCATAAACTAAATATACATCATTAAATTACCGAGCAAGGGCATCCTTGGGAAGACCGTCGAGGTTATCCTTGCCCTGGCGTCCAACATTGGACGTGGGCGCAGTGTTCTTGTGCAATTCGCTCCCCGACTCGCGCACGCTACTTCCTGCAGTCGCCGGTTCCCTCAGAGCGCTGTTGGCTTCTCCAGAAACGGGGCCTTCGGTGCGACCGGAGCCAACGTTGACGGTTCGCGCGTCGGCCGACGACCAGTCACTGGCGACTGGGGGCTGCTCGGGTAGAGGAAGGTTGGCCTTGGTCTGCTCGATATCCTTCTTCTTGTCGGTGGTCTGGCTGATGTGGGACTGTAACGACGTTAGCATCGGAGTCTGCGCCCGGGAAAGGAAGGGTGACTGACCTTCAAGGCGGAGACGTCGGACTCCTTGGGGGGGTTGCCACCGTGCGCCTGAGAGACCTTGGACTCGGCCTTGCGAATGTCCTGGCCGGTGGGATCGATGGTGGAAGACATGATGGTTGATGGATGTAGACGGATGTGGATGAATCAGAGGGTGGATGGGGTAGTAGGTGGTAGTCGATTCTCAAGTGATTAAAGAATAATTGAAGTAGAAATCTGTAAAACAGAAAAGGACAGACAGAATCCAAAGCCCATTATATATTGTCTCATGGAGGGTGTGGATGCATGGGCGATGACGTTCTTTCAACCAAGATGAGACTTGCCCTCGCTATGATGTAACCAGGCCGACTCGATCAATTGCCCTGCACCTTACGTCGATATGCCATCTGGAATCCCTTCGTGTGGACCCATAGATGGCGTATTTCACAAGCCGGTCTTTTGTTTCTCATTAGATGATTTTTCCATGGGTCTCGATTTGGTTCTTCTTGTTTGATTTACTCATCGTGAATATTGCGGGAGAATCGCGACTCCGACTTAGGGCTTGGAAACACTCCCGCTATTACTCACTCTCCATAGAACAACATTATCCATTAACTCACGACACATACTCCGGAGTAAAGTATATAGATCAAAACAGGCTGCCACTGGTTAAAAATCCTCCATCCTATAAACCCCATAAGAGGGCTCCTCATACGGATGCGCCCTAGAAAACACATATATCAGACCAACAACCCATCATCGATACAGAGGTTTATCATACTTTTTCAATGCAGCAACAGCCTTTCTAGCGACCTCCTCCCCAACACACAGCGTTTCGACCCTGATCTCGTCGGTTTTCTCCAGTGCGCCCACCATCCCAATGTGGGGATTCGCCGCGTCGCCAGGGCGAAACTGGCCTTTCCCAGCAGTCGTCCAGCAGCATTCCGTGTAGTTACCGGGCCCGGGATAGCGGCCAGCGCCGGCAGCAAATATCGCCGCTTTGCATGCTGCTACTGCCGATGGTGGGGCGTTGAATACCAGTCGATATCGTACTGTCGTCATTTGGGTGTTGATGTTTGCTATACTGAGTGTTGGACTTAGGGCGTAGACAATAAGGTCGGTTATAACTTCCAATTGGGTTTCTGGGGTTGGGGACAGAGTATTTGGATACCAAAAGTAATAGTCTCAATCCTCAGTTGCGGGGTCAGCGCTGTCCTCTGTTGGGCTAAAGTACTATACTATCTTGTGCTATATATACACAGCCACATTAATGTATTCTAGAAAAAACAACCCGTAGACCCTCGCTTCGCTCGGCGGCTTGATGACGTGGCTGAAAATACTTATCTTATTAATTATTCTAGAAAGTAGACTATTATTTACGACATCATGTCCCCTAAAAGCACTCCTGTAGGATCCTTGAAAGCACCCACATAGGCCCCCTAAAAGCACTCGCGTACAATTTGGGGCACACTGGATCGACTTAAAACTCTAGATCACTAAAGACAACCCGCATCATGGCGCCCTCCAGCGGTAAGGGATCGACAATCTTCTCAATATACGCCGGCCAGTCGTCAAACCACTGCAATAGGGGGAAGATATGAGCATACTCCCAGTACGAAGGATACCATCCCGCCGTTTCCCAGTCCACAAGAGCAGCTACTTCATACTCTTCTTCACTTGTGGCAGAATTGACGATCTTTCTAACAACGACATTCTCTCTATAAAGATCTCCATGAGTAAATGTAGGCGGATGATTGAGAAGTGCTGATGGGAGGTGGCGAGCTAGATAGTCAGAGAGAAAACTGTGACTATTTGATTCACTCCACATAGCTTTCGAGCGAAGTGCGATGGCTTTCCCGAATTCTTCTTCCGTCTGAAAAGGGCCGGTAATGGCGGGGTCTTTTTCACGAGAAAAGAAATACCTATGGGGAACGGGTCCTCGGTTGACACTGCCGTAAAATCCTGGCGATGGCAGCGCTCTCATCTGATCAAAGATGCATCGTAATTCTCTAACAATCGAATTTTTATTTCCCTCAGTGAGTGACGCCCACACCGTCCCAAGAGAAATGCCGGGGACATATTCCATGACAATATACAGGTTGTCCTGGTCGCGGTACATCGCGTAGAGTCGTGGCGCTGCGATGTTGAGCTGTTCTTCAACAAAAAGAAGAGCATATCCCTCATTTTCGGCCACAAGGGGACCGTATTTCACAACAAATTTGTCTCTAATAACGACCAGGCACCCACCATAGTCTGATCTCTTGGGGAGGGTTCGTGTTGCTTGTTCAACCTCATGCTGATCAGGAAGAGGCCCTGGTAATTGATGAGCATCACGATAATAAGGAAGGGAGAACGGCATAGTTGGAGGGCAACGTCTCACTGAAGAGTTAGGAATGTAGACCCGAGTCCAGAGTGTCTATGTCGGATGCTGGCAATTAGGCTTCCAAATGGGGTGGACTTTTGGATCCTGATCCTGATCTGCTAGATTTCTGAATTATGGAATTTGATATAAATCTGCCTCGTGATTTAATATAGGATAAATTAGGATGAATTTATTTCAATTCTAATTTATATAGAATTATCAAGTCTTTCTTTTTTAGTTATATAAAAATTACGAGTGCATTTAGGGGCCCTACATGAGTCCTTTCAGGAGCTCTACGTGGGTGTTTTTAAGGACTCTACATGAGTAGTTCCTATATTTTGATTATTCTTTGAATAAAATTGTAAAATAATAATTTCAAAAACCCACGAGTTTAACTGAATCTGCACTGAATGCCACTCTACTTCAGGTTCTCTAAGCATGGTTGTTTTGAAAAGGATGGGCGAGTTGATCAGGAAATCCATTATGCTGTGCATAAGCAATATTAATAATTGCATAAATTATTTTTACACACCGCCTTCCTTCACGAGCCGGCAGAAATTGATCATTTCCCCGCGGCCACAGAAGTCCGAGTTTGTAAAGCATGCGTTAGAACAGATTAGATTTCATTCTGAAGCCATTCGCATTTGTTTTTACATTAGAGCATCGATAGAATTATCAGCATGCCGAGAGACCCGTTAATTGGGCTGGTGGGCAAGGTCTGTGTCTTCTATCTGCCTCGAGCGTCCGGCCGCTGACAGTGAGGGGCATGCAGCCATCTAGCGGAAAATCGACGACGTTGAACAGTTTGACCGATGCGTCTTCCAAAGTTGGTAAGTTTTTAACACAATTTGCTACAATTTGTTGCCGTGCTCTTACTATATTTTTTTTTTCTCCAGGAAACTTCCCGTAAGTTTACTCGAGTATCCGCGCCTGTGGACGAATCCGTTCGAAGTTTAAAATCCCAATATCCCACATCGAGACTCTGACAAACGGCAATTCAGTTTCACCACCATCGATCCCCAGCGTGCCATCGGATACCTCCAGATTGAGTGTGCATGCCAGCGACATGGCGTGTCGGATCGGTGTAAGCCGAACTATGGCGGCTGCGTGGAAGGACGGCGATCCGTGCCTATCGAACTTTTAGATGTTGCCGGTCTCGTGCCGGGAGCGCACCAGGGTCGGGGACTGGGTAACAAATTCTTGGATGATCTGCGACATGCCGATGCCTTGATCCATGTGGTGGACGTGAGCGGTACTACGGATGCTGAGGGTGCGTTATTTCAAACGCTTTGAGTAATTGGGTTTCGTTGTGCGCTAGATGCTGACAGATATTTGGGGTTATAGGCAAGGCAACGCGCGGTTACGACCCGTCGGTAGATATTGAGTGGTTGCGATCGGAAATTGTCCGATGGATTCTGGGCAATCTGATGCAGAAATGGTATTTGAGCTTCCCTGTCAGGCCAACGTGCAGAGAGCTGACCAATACAGGGGATCGATCAAGAGGAGACACACTGCGATCAGTGAGTTTACATATACCTTACTTTGGGAAGTTGTCATTGTTCTATACAATACTAATCTCATGGTATAGAGTCCACCGCAGTGGAAACCTTGCAGGGCCAGTTTTCTGGTTACGGAAGTACATCGCAAACCGTCGCACGGTGCCTAGACCGAATAGCCATTAAAGAACCCCTGGAACATTGGTCAGACGAGACCGTCCAGCGGGTTGTCGAGGCCTTTATCGACGAGAAGTTCCCCACCGTGTTTGCTCTGAACAAGATTGATCATCCCGACGCGGACAAGGTTTGTTCTCATCTGATCAGTCGAAAGTCTGTGTACTGATCGAGCTCCAAGAATATTAGCAAAATCGCCAAAATGCAAGATCCGCAAACGATTGTCCTCTGCTCTGCCATCTCGGAAGTCTTCCTTCGGAGACTGGCGAAACAAGGCTACGTCAAGTACATCGAAGGCAGCGAGTTTGTCGACACAAAGGAAGATCTCGAGGAGATGGGCGAGCCCGACGGAGGCGGGCTGAAGGAGATGGATGAGAAGCTGAAAACGTATGCTACTCCTGCAATACGTGAATATCTGAGACTAACGCCGCTATAGCCGGGTTGAGAACCTGAAAGACATGGTTCTGTATCGTTTCGGATCTACAGGAGTTGTGCAGTGTCTCTCGCGAGCTGCGGAACTCTTGGGCCTGGTACCGGTGTTCCCAGTGCGGAATATCCATACGTTCTCATCAGGCACTGCGGGGTCCGGCAATGCCGTATTCCGAGATTGCGTTTTGGTTAAGAAGTGAGTATCTGGAACAAGCCCAATTGACCCATATCTTGCCTAACACCAAACAGGAACAGCACAGTGGGCGACGTCGCCCACAAGGTGATGGGAGACATCCCCATCTCCTACATTGAAGGTATCGGGGGCACCCGGGTGTCGGAAGACGACATTGTTGAAGTAGGGAAACATGATGTATGTGTCAACTTTTCATCTTTTGCTTTTGGCACTAACGGCTAACCAATTTTAGGTTCTCTCATTCAAACCCGGACGGTGAAGAGCCACCCATCCTATGTACAGTTAATATGATTGTTAATGAAACAATGACCGCAATGACGTAATTTTCATGGCGTCTCGCCTGCGCATATACATCCAAACCGACCCATCAATATTTGGCGACATTGGAGGGAACGCGTAGCTGCATCATTGACCCTTCTGTTCGACAAGTCAGAAGATGTTTCCCGGCCGCGCCAGTTCACAGCTAAAACCAAGGATGTCAAAAAAAACCCACCTCTCCTCTCTCATCATTCATCCCAATAATCGGAGTCGGCGCATTAGGATGTTCCTTCTTCGCCTTCTCCGCCTCCTGCGAACCCTGCCGCTGAGTCGTCGCCTGCGACTTCGATCTATCCGCCTGACCCTCCCTTTCCTCTCTCTCCTTCATGCCCGCAGCAGCCGCATCCGACGTCGGATCCGTAGTGTCTCCCCTCTTCGCTCGATCAACCGCGTGGTCCTTCGTCGACGACTGAGTTCCTGGGGTAGGCGACGAGCCGTATAAACGGGACCGCATGTACCCGGGTGTGGGAAAGACGACTGGCTGCCAGACGGACTGGAGGGGCAGCAGGCACGGGAGAGGAGGACGGGGGGTGAGGGCTGTGCACACCCTAGACGCTACGGATGGGATGCGGGGGCTGTTGACCATGTTGTGTGTAGTAGGAAGTCGTAGTCTGTGTCTGTATGGAGGGTTCAAACTAGTAGGAGATGCGTATAAGGACAATTCTACAACCTCTTCCGCTGGTAAGTAGACCGATTGGTTTTATGTAATCCCCTACAATCCTGGAAGTTAATTATGCTGCTCCATATCGTCATTGCATCCTGTAACCACATAGGGCTGGTTTTTCTATGATCCGAAATAGATGACGTCTAGATGCTGCAATGACGACTGGTCAGTTCCGGCTTCTAGCTAGGGATGATTAATCGGAGCTAAGCTGCAAAGAGATGTGGGTCGCGTCGGGTCGCGTTCCACTTCGTGGCCTGCAGTCATGTTTACAGAGCAGCAATATCGTTGATCATCAATATCGTTGATATTCACGCGGACATACCATGACTTGCTGCTCAAAGATATTTACGAACAATGCGTCTTATATACCACTGACCTTACTTCGACGTTCAAATCCAGTTTTCCAATCCATTATCCGCCCTCGACAACTCAAATCGGGATATTTCGCGAGGCTAGGCCCCACAACGGCCTCAGACCGTCGCATCGAGTACAACTGAATCAAGGATGTGGAGACACTCGAAGAATATCAGCCCGGGGGTTATCATCCCATCAAGATCGGGGACGTGCTGAATGACAGATACCATATTGCAGACAAACTTGGCTTTGGGGGCTATTCGACGGTCTGGCTTGCCCTAGATACTCATCTGAAGCGATATGTTGCAGTCAAGGTCAATATTGCAGACGCGCTTCCGCGTGAGTCGAAAGTTCTCAAGGCTCTGTCTGCCCCTCTTCCGCCGTCCTCGTCCGTACATCCTGGACGTGGATTAGTGGCTGCTTTCCTAGACGAATTTAAAGTGCAAGGTCCTAATGGAAAACATATGTGCTACACGATGACCCCTGCACAATGCAATCTTAGAGAAATCTCTTTTAGTCGTATCTTCCCCCTCGAGGTTGCTAGAGCACTACCGTATAGACTTACGCAGGCCGTTGCTTATACACATTCTCAAGGATATGTTCACGGAGGTTTGCCATGTGACTATGAGATCTCCTTGGGTTTCATACCGGTAAGCTGACATTCCAATTGTTGCTTTAGATATACATCTAAGCAACACTTTGGTCAAGCTCCCGTCAAGCTTCGATGACCCCTCCATCAAGCAATTTTATGAAAAGTATGGTGAGCCAGAGACAGTCCCTGTCACTCGATGTGACGGGGAACCATTACCTCCCAATGCGCCAGCCAAGGCAGTGGTACCGCTGTTTCTAGGGAAGTACGCAGAGGAGTTCACATTAAGTGATGCGCATCCACTTCTGAGTGACTTTGGCGAGGCGTTTGCACCCACTTCGGAGACTCGCCTGGGACAAGACTGCCACACACCACCCGCATTTCGAGCTCCAGAAGCCAAATTCGAGCCGCAGACCCCGCTCTCGTATCCCTCAGACATCTGGAGTCTGGCTACGGCTATTTGGGAGATCATCGGGATGAAAGCCATTTTCAGCACCGAGTTCGTTCCTGCGGATGAGATCGTGTCTCAGCATATCGATGTGCTTGGACCTAAGCCTGCGGAGTGGTGGCGGCGCTGGGAAGGACGACCCCGATTTTTCGACGAGGATGGGTGTCCGATAGAGTCCTATCGGCAAAATCAATGGCCTCCGCTCGAGGAGTCATTTGAGGTCGGTGTGCAGAAGTGGAGACGGAGAGTGGGAGACGAGATTGGGGAAGACGAGAAAGCTGCGTTTCTGGATCTGATGCGTCGAATTCTGTCTTTCCGGCCGGAAGAGCGACCGACTGCTGAAGAGGTGCTACAGTCGGAGTGGATGGTTAAATGGGCATTGCCTGATTGTGAGCGGGGCTAGATCTATTATTCTCCATGTACAATCAATAATATCAAAGGATCTATGCGAAGTAGATCCGCCGTCTTATCGTGTACACATTCTGACCTTATGCGGGCAATAATGCCAGATTTAGTCAGACGAGCTTATCCTTATCGATAAGCTCCGACCGTGGATAGCTCAACGAAAGCGAACCTAGGCTTTCCCCCGCTCCCCTCCAATCCTACCGGTCGTGCAAAACCAAGATTGTAACGACATCACAGCAAGCTCAGACTGGCATTGTGACCATGAGACGGGAATTTCTCCCCATCGAGACATTGCCCTCCTGGGCAGTTCTCAATGACATCTTCGCCGATGGCGTAGCCTTTCGGAGACTGCGGTCCCTCGAGGACGGCACAGACAAGGGATCAGCTATCGTCGCAACGAGGGACAGACGGGACGATGGGTCGGGACTTAACCCGCAAGTACTTCTTACAATCCCGCTGGATATGGTTCTCTCGCTGCAGTCGGTTGAGAATCATGCTAAGTCTGATGGGAGTCTTCGGGAGGTGTTGAATGCGGTGGGAGATTATGGAAGGGTAGGTTGGTGATGTCCCTATCATTATATTCCCCTTTTTGCATATGCGCTGTGACAGTTGCTTTGGTGGGAGAGGAATAAATAACTGGATAAATGCGGTTAACACGGTGGGTTATAGATGGATAGAGGCGCGATCTTGATCTTCCTGATCATCCAAATGACACATTCGAGCCCTGATTTCGCGCACGAGCGACACCGAGTAGGATTATCGGGTCCCTGGACCGAATACCTGAAATACATGCCCTCCGACATACCGCTCCCGACACTATATACCCCGCAGGAACTGGAGCTCCTACGCGGGACCTCGCTAAGGATCGCCGTTGACGCGAAACTGACCGCGCTGGATCAGGAGTTCGAGAATCTCCGGCGAGCGACGGAAGAAATATCGTGGTGTCAGAAGTACTGGTGGGATGAGAAGACCGGCCGCTTGACGCTAGACGACTGGAAATATGTCGATGCGCTGTATCGGTCGCGGATGGTGGATTTGCCGGGGAGTGGCCATGCGATGGTTCCCTGTGTTGATATGGCCAACCATGCGTCGGAAAGTGCTGTGAAGGCGCTGTACGATGAAGACGAACATGGGAACCCTATTCTGCAACTGCGACGGGGGAAAGAGTTGAAGACAGATGATGAAGTTACGATCTCGTGAGTTTGTTCCCTATTGGGTTGACGCTTGGTTCCAGAAGGCTTACGTGTGTAGCTACGGGGGAGGTAAGTCCGCGTCGGAAATGGTCTTCTCGTACGGGTTCCTCGACAGGGAGATGGCCGATGCTAAGCAGCTGTCTCTCGACCTCGATATTCCCGACGACGATCCCCTGAAGATAGCCAAGAAGATGTTCTGTAGACACGCGCCTGGGTTTAAACTAAGTTCAAACCCTGGTGCAACAGAACCACCGACTACTAGCTGGGATAGCCCGATCGTGTGGTGGGCCTGCGTCAACGAAGAAGATGGACTGAACTTCAAGGTGCTGCAAACGACCGACGGAGCCCGAGAGCCCAGAGCCACGTGGAAGGGAGAAGACATGGAGCACCCCGATGCACTGAAAGACGTCTTGGCCGCGAATCCTCAGTTTGATATTTTCCAACTCCGAGCGGTGGTGACCATCCTGGAGCGATTGGAAACCCAGTTTTTTGTCCTGCGCCAGACCGAGCGCGTGGTATCGGAGATCAGGGAGGACGAGAACATGCGCGCCATCTTCCGACCTGATGTGTTCAAAACCATCGTCAAACTACGGGAGCTGGAGTCACAGCTGATGGAGAGGGGGATTGAGGACCTTGAGAGCCAGGTAGGTGGTCTTAACCACGTTCTGGACCATGATAGCTAATGCTCGTCTTCTTTATTTACAGCGACAAAACCTCATGGGCAGCGAAGCAGTGAGGGCGTATCTGAGCCAAGGAGAGGAGCAGGCTCAACCCGAAGAAGAAGACGATTTCTCCTGATATGTCTTGGCGAGAATAGAATCTGACTCAGGCAAGCCACCTACTGTACACTATCATCTATAGCGTTGTGATGAATATTACGCGAGGTTATCATTAAGATATGCAAAACTTTTGGGACCTCCCCCAATGTCAACAGACCAGTGGCCACCAAAGAACTCCAAGTAGGTCGAGGATCTTTAAAAAATACCCACCGTGGGGGACGATCACACAATCAACCTTCCCCAGTACGGGGTATAAACTGTAAAAAAAAAGAAAAAAAAAGCTCGGGTTTAACTTTGGGGGCCCAAAGTAAGTTCGAGGGTCGGGAGGAGTCAAAGTCGGCAGACAAAGAACGCATCCAAACCACCGGGCCAAGAAAAAAAACGACACTAACCCCATGACGAATCTCTTATGACGTTGTCCAAGAAAGAAGATACTCCACTTCTGACGACTCCTTTACTGTTTGGGGGGGGAACCTTTGGAACGGGAGTTGGAAACCTGTATGTACCTAGGACACTGCCAAACTGGATGCGGCAAGGCGAGAGATGGACATATCGGGCCCCCCCACGTGGATTGATTGACATTGCTGGGTCCGTCCTACTCCGTAGGTGGTTAAACAGGGAATGGGAAATGGGGAGAGATGGGAACGGGAAAAGAATTGAAAAGTATTTGTAGAAAATGCAGCCAATCCTGGACTGTCTTCTGTTGATCCATGCGGGTCTTCCAGGTCTTCGGGCACTGTGGCTTCGGTAGATGGACTGGTGCAAGTACCCCGTATTCCATATCCATATACATACTCCATGCATCATCATCAGTCAATCAATCAATCAATCAACCAACCCTGACCCCTTGACTTGTTGGGTATGTCCTACATGGTATGCTGCAGGTACTTTGTACACAGGACAATGGTAGCTCATGTGGGAAACTCTCGTTCAAAGACGGCAAGAGGAAGGAAAGGCAATGCCGAATACTCCCATTCATTATCATGCATAATCTATTATTTCCAAAAGTCTATTTAATTTCTTTGTCTCCTGGATTGAACCCCAAACTATCACCCCAGAACCAGCGACTGCATGAACTCAAAATGTCTGCATGGGTAACTTTCCGGGAAAACGCCGAGTTATGATCCAGTACTCGAATGATCTTCCCCGTGGGTAAGCATCTTTGGCTGTCATCACCCCGCGTGGGACCTGATATCGTAGAATATTAATGTGGTACAGTTAATGACGAACGATGAGGATGATGATGATGCTGATGATGATCCTGGGATGGCCCCGCTGTACTCCAGTTGCGAACGGACGGGGAAATAGACACAATGATAACAATAATAATTTATTATTATTATCAAAAGATCAAAAAATGAAATCAAGACGTGGCAATTGGCAAGACCGAAGAGTGGATGTAAAGAGTGGTCCTGCCAGACTCAACCAAACCTCAACCAAACTGAGGCAGACGAACCTGATAAGGCAGAGTGAGAGATTTCGGAGAAGAGTCGGCAGAAGCGTGGGGAATGATCAGGTCTGAGGTAAGGAAGTTGGGAAGATCGCCCTGGAGATGCCGAGTGAAGCCCGAGAATTTGCCTGCATGCGGGATGATCCACTTCCATCCAGGTTCCCTTTTCTGCCTGTTCGGGTAATACACCCCTATCGATATCTGTCTGACCTTGGTTTTGGGATGTTTCAACATTTGGAGTACTGGTGTGTACTGTGTAGTTTGTGTTGTTTATTGTATAGATATTATCAGAATGGAGAGCATGGTATTGCCTATTTTTATCCAGTTTTATATTCCAAAGAAAGGTGGATTCGGTCAAGATTCGGGGCGATCGTACATCGCTTCCCAGCAGGTTCTCTGGATGAAACTTGCCCTCAATCTAGCTGGAACTTGGATCACTGTTTAATCTGGTTGGCTTCTGGAAGAAAAAAAGAGGGAAAGGAGAAAGATGTTCTGGTTCGAAGATCCTCGTCACTGGGGCCGCTATGGTTGTTAAACTGATCGACTGCAGATACCTACTGTAGTAGTGTTGATTCTGATGAAGTCGGTGTGGGTGGCTGCAATCTACTACCGTGGTGGTTAGAGGCGATCGAGTTGTTATGATACCATGTATTCATCCATACTCATGCTGTCACGTCGTTGGAGGAAGAATCTGGGGGTTCTTGACCATGATCACCCGGTTCATCTAAGCTCTCGCGTGGCATCATGTCAGGTTATTACGATCGTTCTCCCAATACGATATACCCATATCATAATCCCAAGTCCTTAGTGTTATAGTATAGCTCAATCAGACGTGCTCGATTTCAGTCTCACCGCATCCACCAGCTTATCCACTCGTGCCAACGGCAGACCCCAGATCCAAACGGGATGACAGACCGGCTCTTTCTCCCTGTTTCATGCGCCACTCATCCGCTGTCCGGTATAATCCGATATCATCATCCACTGACTGGTCAGACGAGAGAGGGGAATGCCATCCGCCATAGTTGCCGAGAATAAGGTAAAGCAGGTCAGAGACACCGAATAAAGTTACGCTGTGGAAGAGTGAGATACGAGTGCCAATAGTTGGAACAGGAAGTCATTGGATGGACGGGGTTGATTGGGTTGAATATCGGCGCATGACTCCACATGGTCCAACCCCACATATCCCCATTATTCGATTATTTTATTATTTTATTATGATTTATTCTGTGATATTTTTGTGGTTATTGTTTTATTCGATTGATGTGATTGAGTCTGGCACATCCCAAAAAGTGACGGTTTCCGCCTCTCTCTCCCGCTTCCTCCTCTCTTCTCCTATATTATTCCCCGACTACCTGACTCGCTTCCTTCACTTCTCCTTTTCCCCTTTACTCCCCCACATTTACCTATTCCTTCCTTCTTCTATACTCCTCTTTCTACCTCTTCTCATTTCGCTGTCGGATCTTCATCTTCTTTCCGACACGTTTCTACCCATTCTCTATACTTTGCGGGATTTCCTCTTCTCATACTGTCCCGTTCGGTTCCTTGCTTGATTCCTTACTACCAGAACGATCATTATCCGATTAGTCGACTTTCTACCCTGATAAGGAATCAGCTGTTCAATATCTTGTGCGGCAGCTGCACAGCAGCATCCAGCCAAAATGCCCGGCATTCTGCCTATGAAAGTCATCAAGGTCGGCAACAGCGCCCAGAGTCGCATTGCCCAGGCCTGCGATCGCTGTCGCAGCAAGAAAATCCGCTGTGATGGCGTCCGCCCGTGTTGTACGCAATGCGCCAACGTTGGGTTTGAGTGCAAAACCAGCGACAAACTGAGTCGTCGCGCATTTCCCCGCGGCTACACCGAGTCGTTGGAGGAACGCGTGAGAGCGCTCGAGACTGAAGTCAAGGAGCTGAAGGACCTTCTGGACGAGAAGGACGAAAAGATTGACGTTCTCTCGCGAATCCATTCGTTTTCCCCCTCGTCGCAGCAAAAGGCTAGTGCCGCTGCGCTCTCACCATCGCAGCCGGCTAAACTGCAACCGTCCGATCCGAGCGAGGGCGCCATCCACGTTCCGTCGCCACCCGAATCTCGCGAAACGCCTGGAGTCCCCAGTGGTGGGGTATCAAGCACTCAAGGGTTCAACGGTAATTTTTCCCCAATCGATTCGCTCTAACGCGAACACATGAAGAGGTCAGAAGTGTAGAAAGAAGCGGCTCGCTAATATGTTCTAGATGTCTTCACGAACCGACTCATTGAATTGGGCCGGTTACCCTCAACGGTTTCAACCAAGGCTCTGACAACCTCTCCCGCCGTTCTCTCCCATTTCCACACCGATCAAGCCATCCAAACCGCGCCCCGACTGGTTTCCGACCAGTTGATCAACATTTTCTTCCAGGAGTGGGCGCCTTTATACCCCGTCGTCCACCGCCCGACCATTCTCAAAGCCTATGAACAATATCTTTCCACCGATTCGCTACAAGGGGGGAAGCATGATCTCGCGCAACTGAATTTGATTTTTGGCACTGCGGCTCTCACTTCAGGTGTAAGTATTGACATATCCATGTCGGGAGACCGAACCCATGGCTCACCCGCTCGCCACCACAGTCACGAACCAATCAAGATCCCACCTTCTTCGAAGAGAACTGGGTGCCGACGCTGGAAACCCTCTCGAGCGATGTCTCCGTTCCGACGCTACAATGCTTTGTCTTGGCCCAGATGTACTGCATGACACGGGGCGACTACAGCAGCCTGCTTCGCTACCGAGGGCTGGCTGTCAGCCTCTGCCAGCAGCTGAGACTCCACCAAAGCCAAAAGTGCCTGTCCTCGAACGCTCTGGCAGCCGAGACTCGCAAGAAGGTGTTTTGGTGCCAATATGTGCTGGATCGGTATGTCTTTGTACGACTCTGTTTAGACCCTCCAAGCTGACCTTAACCAGGTTCACCGCCGCCTTGACCGGCTTACCCGTCCTCCTCCGCGAAGGGGACATTCGCACCGAGTACCCCGAGGATATTGACGACGAAAATGTCACCGAATCTGGTTTCTTGCCTACGCTGCCCGGTGAATCCACTCGCATCTCCGGTGCGATCGCGTTGTTCTCCGCGTCGCGGATTCTGAACAAGACCCTGGAGGACTTGTACCCCGCCGACGGAGACTACGACATTCCGGTTTCGAAAGTGCGGGCTCTCAGCGGGCAACTCGACAGCTGGGAGAAAAACCTGGCTCCCCATCTTCGTCTGGAGTTCTCGCAAGACAAGCCGAGCACGAATGTCACAAGTAGCCGGTCGCCTCTTCTGGTAAGTCCATTCATCTGCAATCCCTGGTAAGGTTCCTCGCTGACGATTGCCCAGTCCTTGGTTTATTACTTCATCCGTTCCCTTATCCACCGACCGGCGGTCTGCTTCGGCGAGGAGCAAATCCGTTCGCCGTCCGTCCTGGCCCTGGCCGACTCGAGTAAGCACATCGTCCAGATCCTTCAGCTGCTCGACGAGAGGCGCCTGTGTCTCTCGCTCAGCATCAGCCGCAAAGAGGTGATCTTCACCTCGGGATTGGGTCTCTTGTGGCAGAACGTCGGCCTCAAACGGGAGAGCAAACTGGTCAAAGAAGGCCAAAAGCTCCTTACGACGATCATCGAACTCCTGGAAGCCGTGTCCTCTCCGGCCGCGGCCGAGTTCAGCGGCATGGCCAGCGTGCTGTTTTCGCTGGACGGCAACCGGCGTCGCAGCGCCAGCAAACCCCACAAGGAGATGTCACCACCCACGCAGCGGTCGTCCAAGTCGCCCAAGAAACAACCGCTGGAGACGTTGAAGGCCCAGCTGATGGCCCACGCCGATCCACAGCATTCCGTCAAGACGGAGTCGCACTCCCGCCGCGCCACGATCTCCGGGGACCGTCCCCCAACCGGACCGCGCCAGTCCCGGTCCAACACCTGGGCCGGCTTGCCTCCGGATCCCTTAGCCCACCCACCCCCTATGGCGGATCCCGCCTACTTCCCGCCCCATTCGTTCGGATACGATCCCTGCGCGTCGCTCTCCCACTCGGCGCCCTCGGACCCGGCCGCCCCGCTGACCATGTCAGACTGGGAAGTCGTCCTCGGCGACATGGACCGCGGCTACTCGAACATCTTCACAGGGATCTACGGCGGCAAGGAATGCGGCGAAGACAGCGGGCCGTTCGCATCCCTGACAGCCGAGTACGCCCACAAGCCGGAGCACCTCCCAGCCTCCTTGCCCACGGCACCCAGCGAAGCACAGGGCCTGTCGCCCGCGGCCTGGTCCGCCAGCAGCACAAGCGATCTCCCAGCGAACCACGCCGGGCCGGCGCAGAGCGTGTTGAGCTTCTCGGACGAGAGCCTAGGCGGCGCGGACGAGAAGATGCCGTACAAGGATCATCACCTGCACATGTCGCCGGAGCAGGCGCATCTGATGGACCCGTTCCGCAGCGTGATGGTGCCGACCGTGGACGAGGAGGTGGATGAATTCGCGTTAGGGCATGGGTGGAATCGACGGCTGGCCGTCTAGACAGTGTTTTCTGTTTTATTTTTTTTTTGATTCTTTTCTTTTGTTTTATGATACCTGGACTTGGGAGTACGCGGGATATGGATTGGTTCTATTTTCTTTACATATACGATAGTTTTGACTAGCAAGCCATTGATTCTTTCTTACACGTTGCATCAATTGTAAAAACCATCTAAATACTTTGATTATATAGACAGTTCGTACCTAGCAAGTGAGGACCGACAAACAGCCGCGCCCAGATCTCCCACCCCGCAATCTTACCTCATTCCGTCGAGTCGAGTGAGCGACAGCCAATACGACGCTATCTATCAGGCAACGGATCGATTGGCGAACCGAGCGGGGGAATGAAGCCGGGCCATCTCCTGGATCCGAAGGTAGGTAGATAATTTAATGAATGGCCTTGTTCATAACAATTTATAAGATACCTGGTTTGTTGATCCTGGCTTAGGAGGTTGTTGTCGGGTATACTCGGATTATCCCACCTGTGCATTGTCTCGGCCTCATCTTGTCGTCTTGGTTTGGAAGGTTTCTGGTGGAATCTGGAGTTGGCCTGAATTGGCCTGACTGCCTTATGACGTCGTCTCAGATGTATGGTTCGTAGATGGGTGCCTGAGGAGCCGTCCTCACCTCACCAGATCTGATGTGTTGGTTACTATCTCAGTAGATACCATATATGACTGACCTGATAAATATATACCGGCTCAACAAGGAAAGAAGAGAAGAAAAACCCGCATCCCATGTCACCTAAGTCTAGATCTAGACGCCGGAATGATTTTCTAGCTGCTGCGAGGTAAAAAAAGACCAGACGGAGCTGTGTCCTCCGACACTTGGCGTTCGCTGAACTTTCTCTTTCTTCTTTCTTTCACCGTGGATAAATGGGAGGTATAGCTGGTGGGAGGGTGAGGGATCTGCGTGGTACTTTTTTACTTGCTTCCATCGGAGGTATATTGGGTGATGGGATTGGATTGGGCTGGTGGGTGGCTTGGGAGGGGTACTTACTGGACTTGTTTATTTTTACTTTTTGAAAGTATTGGGGGATGATTGTGTGTATACTGTATAGAGCTGTACATATAGTAAAGAGAATTGAATCAATTGATCGGATGAATAGGTAGAGATCAATGGAGTGATACTCGTGTGTATAGATGGAGAGAGAGCCTGAGGCGGAACACCGTCATCCGATCCAAATTCTTGACGTCTTTCTCTCTTTTCCCCCACTTTCTCCATCAATAAACAAACACATTCAATTAACCATGGAGTATAGGTTAATTCAAATCAAACCCGTCTAGTGCCCAAGAACGGAGTGAGAATTGCCTATTGTTGACATCCCGAGAATTGCCCCACCAACTCATCCTTCTCTTGGTTTTTCCCCCCCACTTCTTCCTCTGCTGCTTCCACTCACTCACTGCCCCTCCATTTCTCTGGAGCTCCATACTCCGATTTCTTATTCTTTATTATTTCTTCCTCCTCCTCCTCTTCTTCTTCTTCCTCTCTTCCCTTCTCCTTCCTCATCCCTCCCTTCATTCATCCATTGTAGTTGTTGATTTCAGGTATGTCTACCCCTCATCTCATCTCATCTCATCATCATCATCATCATAATCACACCCCACCATTACTCTAACTAACCAACTTCTTCAGACTCAGCAATCATGGGCTACTCCGATCTTGATCAGTTGGCTATCAACACGATCCGCCTTCTCGCGGTATGTCATTCTTTTCTGTTCCCTCCAAGAGATGTCTCTATGCCACTGGAGAAATCCTCCGCGTCACACCGGAGCTCCCTCCTATATCGGCCTCTTCCTCTTCTTCCTCTCCGATGACGCATCAAACCGTCTAAGCTCCATATCCTCGCCGGCTTCGGAAATGCCCCTTTCAGCAAACCCGCCCCTCCCTCTCAATTGAAGAAATAAAAAATAAAAATAAAAATCCCATACTGATAGACAGCTCTAGGTCGATGCCACCTTCAAGGCCAACTCCGGTCACCCCGGTGCCCCCATGGGCATGGCCCCCGTCGCTCACGTTCTTTTCAACAAGTTCATGAACTTCAACCCCCAGAACCCCGGCTGGGCCAACCGTGATCGTTTCGTCCTCTCGTACGTTCTTCCCTTGTCGCTCATCATCACCTACTCGCTGGTTGAACAACGCAATGGACATCAAATAATTGACTGACGTGTATAGGAACGGCCATGGCTGCATGCTGCAATATGCTCTCCTGCACCTCTTCGGCTACAAGGTCACCATGGACGACCTCAAGAACTTCCGTGTATGTCCCTGCAAATTCATCTCTCTCTACTAAACACCTCTGATTGTTATCCAGCAAGTCGACAGCATCACCCCCGGCCACCCCGAGGCCCACGATACCCCCGGCATTGAGGTCACCACCGGCCCTCTGGGTCAGGGCTTCGCCAACGCCGTCGGTCTCGCCATGGCTCAGGCTCACTCCGCCGGCGTCTTCAACAAGCCCGGCTACAACCTCTTCGACAACTACACCTACATGTTCTTCGGTGATGGCTGCGCCATGGAGGGTATCGCCTCCGAGGCCGCCTCCATGGCCGGTCACCTGCAGCTCGGCAACCTGATTGCCATCTACGATGACAACCACATCTCCATTGGTAGGGTCCTATCCTCCATCCCGGAGTTCCCTCCTACGCGATGCTAACCAGTCATACAGACGGCGACACCAAGTGCGCCTTCACCGAGGACGTCACCAAGCGCTTCGAGGCCTACGGCTGGCACACCGTCTGGGTCAAGGACGGTGACAACGATCTCGAGGCCATCGAGGCCGCCATCAAGGAGGCCCGCGCGGTCACCGACAAGCCCTCCATGATCCGTCTGACCACCACCATCGGTTTCGGTTCCAAGCTCCAGGGCACCGGCGGTGTCCACGGCAACCCCCTCAAGGCCGACGACAGCGAGGGTGTCAAGGCCCGCTTCGGCTTCGACCCCAAGCAGTCCTTCGTCGTCCCCCAGCAGGTCTACGACCTCTACCACAAGCACGCCGCCGAGGGTGCCGCCAAGGAGCAGGAGTGGAACCAGCTCCTCCAGAAGTTCGGCGCCGAGTACGCCGCCGAGCACGCCGACCTCACCCGCCGTCTCTCCGGCAAGCTCCCCGAGGGCTGGGAGAAGAGCCTGCCTGTCTACAAGTCCACCGACGCCGCCGTCGCCTCCCGCAAGCTGTCCGAGACCGTCCTCGAGAAGATCCACGACGTCATCCCCGAGCTGCTCTCCGGCTCGGCTGATCTGACGGGCTCCAACAACACCCGCTGGAAGGACGCCGTCGACTTCCAGCCCCCCGTTCTGGGCATCGGCAACTGGGCCGGCCGCTACATCCGCTACGGTGTCCGCGAGCACGCCATGGCCGCCGTCATGAACGGTCTCACGGCCTACGGCGTCAACATCATCCCCGCCGGCGGCACCTTCCTCAACTTCGTCTCCTACGCCGCCGGTGCCGTCCGTCTCTCCGCCCTCTCCCGCGTCCGCGCCATCCACGTCGCCACCCACGACTCCATCGGTCTGGGTGAGGACGGCCCCACGCACCAGCCCATCGAGACCCTGGCCCACTTCCGTGCCCTCCCCAACTGCATGGTCTGGCGCCCGGCCGACGGCAACGAGACCAGCGCCGCCTACTACTCCGCCCTCACCGCCAAGCACACCCCCAGCATCCTGGCCCTCACCCGCCAGAACCTGCCCCAGCTGGAGAACAGCAGCATCGAGGCCGCCATCAAGGGTGCCTACGTCGCCGTCGAGGACCCCAGCGCCACCGTCACCCTCATCTCCACCGGCTCCGAGGTCAGCATCTGCATTGACGCCGCCAAGAACCTCAAGGAGAAGCACGGCGTCGCCGCCCGCGTCGTCTCCGTGCCCTGCTTCGAGGTCTTTGACGCCCAGGACAAGGCCTACAAGCTCCAGGTTCTCCCCGACAACATCCCCATCCTGTCCGTCGAGGCCCTCTCCACCATGGGCTGGGAGCGCTACTCGCACGAGCAGTTCGGTCTCAACCGCTTCGGCGTGTCGGGTCCCTACAAGGAGGTTTACGCGGTATGTCCCCCATCTTTTCTTTTCTTTCCTTTCCCTTTTCTCTCTCATGACTATATACTAATCTCTGGCAGAAATTCGAGTTCACCCCCGAAGGCATCAGCAAGCGTGCCCTGGCCACCATCGACTTCTACAAGGGCCAGCCCGTGCGGTCGCCCGTCAACCGTGCTTTCCAGCAGATCTTGTAAAGGTGTGATGGTTAACTGAATGAATTTTCTTATGTTTATTTTCCTTTATTTAAATTAAATTGTTGCTCTTGATGTCTGATTTTGAGAGACTGTGAAAAGTCCCTGGGAAAGTAAGTCCCCAAGGACCCGGGAAGAATGAAGAGTGGATAAGGACCATCTAGATGAATCTTTTAGAGGCAGCAAAAGAATACCATGGGTTAATCTGCGTTCAACTCTGTTCATTACGTGATCGATGGGGTCTTAAGCGTAGAAATGATTATGTAGTTAAGTAGACATCGCAATAATCGGTGGAAGATCGGAAATGCATGCTCAGAAGCAGATGGATCCGGGAGTACTCGTATCTAGAGATCTGGGGAGATGTCTGGACGGATAGATTGTAGTCATACATACATACCCTGACCGCGTGATCATACAATTATACAGAGGGGAAGAGATATAGATAATGTAAGTATAAAACATGGATTGAATAATCTCATCATCGTCAGATCGTCACTAATAATGCGTCCCACCAGCAGCACCCGTGCGGATGTCCCACTTGGAAAAGAAAAGAGGAAAAAAGGAGATATTAAACCGACACTGCTAGACATACTGTCGGAGAGACGATACCCATTTGTTCGAGGTAATGATATAAAGACATGATCTAATGGGATTTGTTTCAAACTTTTGTTTTTTTGTTCGTTGGGTTCGTTATTTTTCATTGTTTTAAAAAAAAAATCTCTAGTTCAGGAGCTTGCGGGCAAAGTTGGGCAGGACGAAGCTGGCACGGTGAACATCCGAGTTGTAGTAGCGGCAGAGACGCTCCTCCTCCTCGCGGGACCAGGAGCGGATGGGCTCGCGGACGTTACGGGAGGCGTCCTTGCAGCAGACCATGAAGCCGATCTGGCCGGAGGGGTAGGTGGGGATGGTGGTGTAGGCGTATTCGGCGACGGGGAAGACCTCCTTGCAGGCCTTGCGGAGGTCGGCGATCAGGGAGAGATGGAGCCATTGGTTCTCGGCTGTGGTTTGAAAAACACGAATCCAAACCGTTCCCATGCCGAGAGGCGAGGGTGGTTTGGGACGCAGATTGGTTAGCTTGTGATTCTTAGGACTACGTGGACGAGAGAGAAGAGAGGAGGAGAGAGAGAGAGGAGAGGGGATGAGAAGAGAGAAGAGAGGAGAGGGGAGAAGAAGAGAATTGGAAGAGAGATAGATGGAAGGAGGGAGAGGGCATGTGTAAAATAATTGGGTAATAAGAAAGGCGACGAACAACCTTGTGTGGTGATAACACCTCCATCACGGAGCGCACCGTTCAGGAGCTCAAAGTAGGGCTTCTGGAAGAGGCTCTCGGCGGGGCCCTCGGGGTCGGAGCTGTCAGTGATGATCACGTCGAACTCGTTCTTGCGAGCCTTGAGGAACTCGAAGCCGTCACCGATGTGGGTCTTGACGTTAGGGTGCTGGAAGCCGATGCTCATGCCGGGCAGGTACTTCTTGGAGACACGGATGACGGCCTGGGGGTCTGTTAGACTGGCCATTGGGAGGGAAGGACGTAGATGAAGATACCTCGTCAATGTCGCAGAGGATGGCCTCCTCGACGGACTCGTGCTTGACGACCTCACGGAGCACACCACCATCACCACCACCGATGACCAGGACCTTCTTGGGGTTGGGGTGGGCGTTCATGGCGAGGTGAGTGATCATCTCCTGGTAGCTATGGGGTGGTTAGTGGGGGTATATAAGTCGAAAGTCTCGAGACATACGAGAACTCATCGCGCTCGGTGCACTGGATGACGTTGTCCAGGACCAGGACGGTGCCGTAGTCGCTGCTCTCGAAGACGAGGACATCCTGGTACTTGGACTTCTCGTGGTGCAGGATCTGGTTGACCTTGAGGTTCATGGCCTGACCGGGCCACATGACGGACTGCTCGGAGAACCAGCCATCTGGAGGAGGATAGAGTCAGTGGGAATCCTGATTAGAAGCTGGAGGTAACAGTCCCAAGTCAATTGACCTCAGAGACCAATTCTTCTTGGATGTTGGTGGGGTTGGCTCTGAGGCAACTGGCGAGTGGGATGGAGGGGTAAGAGAGGGGAGACTAACCCTTGATGGTGGGGTGGGTGATGTCGCTCATGGTGATGGAGGAGAAGGGGGAATGTAAAGGACGATGAGAGAGAGAGAAAGATGCGTGAGGAGAGGAAAGAAAAGAAGAAGAGGAGGGGAAGAAGAGAGGAGGAAGAGGAGGATGAAAAGCCGGGCGAAACAAGCGAAGAGAGAATCGGGCCGCCGTGTGGGTGTGGGGGAACATCAGATTTCTCCTACTCAATTATACCGTATAGTAGTAACTTAGTGAGGCTTTTTATTATTCTAATTTAGTTTAGTTTGTTTCATTTTTTCATGTTCTTTTTACATTCTACTACTAGAATCATGCTTCCCTGCATAAATTTCAGACGAGTGGGGGAAATGAACCATTCAGCGTCGTCCGGATGCGGATGACCAGCCAGCGGTACTTTTACCCAATTCAGCCTAGAGATGCCTATCTCAACATGATAAATAGAACAGAATATAAAGATAAAGAAGTAGAGGAAGAAGATATAGAACGATCGATTGCTCTAATTAATGTACAGCGCAATCCAAACACGAGATTCCTCCATTTATTCGTCACCACCCTCGGCGAGACGACCGGGCTTGGATTGCAGGTAGTGGTTGCTGAATATTGTTAGTCATTATACCAACTAATTGTACAACACTTGCACAAAGGAGAGCAAGCAGAGATATAGGAGATATAGGAGAAGAACATACCGCTCAATGGCCCAGTTCATGGCGGCGTAAGCGGCAACGAACGGAGGAACGACATAGAGCACCTGGGCCTTGCAGCGACGGAAGGTGTTGAAGATGGCCGCGTTGAAGGCACCGGCCAGCGGGCGCTGACGGTTGGGCGACAGGGAGTAGGTCGCGATGCGCTGGGGGGTAGGGCAGCCTGAAGTCGATCGTCGATCAGTATGTGTTTCCAATTCCATTACTCTTAACACCTCAACCCTCGCAATGACCCTCGTAACGACCCTCGCAATCGTAGCATAGCGCCGAACCAATTCCTCACAGACCCAGGGTCCAATTGACCAACTGCGGTCGGGCGTTCGGGGTTGATTGTTCGGAGCGATACTTGATACTCGCAGGGGTCGTCGTCGTCGGGTCGACGGTCGTTCACGGAGTCGTCTTTCTCGAACACTTACCGAAGTTACCCCAGCCACCCATGAACCTAAATCACCCAATGATTAGCAATTGCATCACTCCAGTAGATCGATTGAAAGTCGCGAGAAAGGCCAATCCAGTAACCCGACGTCTCCGACACCAGCAAGGAGAGACGCCGACCGGACGACCGAGGGGTAGAATACTCACACGCCGTTCTTAGGATCAATAGAGCCAGCACCCATGATGAATGTGTTTATAGACTGAAGAGAGGAAGGGAAAGAAAGGTACCAGAAAAGAGTGAAGACAGACCAAGAAAGCAAAGGAAAAGGCGAGGTTAACAAGTCGGGCCAAAACGGCAGAGAGAGCGAGGTGAGCCTTTCCGCCTGGAACTAAACCCGATCGGGACCGCAGCAAAACCGCTCGGAACATCATCTTCTCCATCCTCAACTCATCAGTTCTCTCTCCTCTTGTCCTTCTCCTCACCCCCCCCACCCTTCATCCCCCACGAATCCTCCACCATGTCCTCCCGCCTTTCCACCTATATCTTCCGGCTCGGTGTCCCCATCTTCCTGGGTACCACCGCCATCCAGTCCTCCATCTACGATGTCCGAGGTGGTACCCGTGCCGTCATCTTCGACCGCATCTCCGGTGTGCAGGAGAAGGTCATGAACGAGGGCACGCATTTCCTGATCCCCTGGTTGCAGAGGGCCATTATCTACGATGTGCGCACCAAGCCGCGTAACATCTCCACCACGACGGGGAGTAAGGATCTGCAGATGGTCAGCTTGACGCTGCGAGTGCTGCACCGTCCGGACGTGCCCAGGCTGCCAGCTATCTACCAGGTACCCCCCTCCTTGAATCGAATGGAAGAGAGAGATATATAAAGAAAGTAAGCTAACGGAATAGTCTTACGGCACCGACTACGACGAACGAGTCCTCCCCTCCATCGGCAACGAAGTCCTCAAAGCCATCGTCGCCCAATTCGACGCCGCCGAGCTCATCACCCAGCGTGAGGCCGTGTCGAACCGCATCCGCACCGATCTGATGAAGCGCGCATCGCAGTTCAACATCTCCCTGGAGGACGTCTCCATCACGCACATGACCTTCGGCAAGGAGTTCACGCGCGCCGTCGAGCAGAAGCAGATCGCGCAGCAGGATGCCGAGCGCGCCCGCTTCATCGTCGAGAAGGCCGAGCAGGAGCGCCAGGCGAACGTCATCCGCGCCGAGGGTGAGGCCGAGAGTGCCGATATCATCAGCAAGGCTGTCAGCAAGGCCGGTAGCGGACTCATTGAGATCCGTCGCATTGACGCCAGCAAGGAGATTGCGCAGACGCTGTCCAAGAACCCCAACGTTACTTATCTGCCGGGGAATGATGGCAAGGATGGGGGTAAAAGCACCAGCTTGCTCTTGGGGTTGAGGAGCTAGTTTTTTTTTTTCTTATTTCTTCTTCTTTATTTCTTTTTGTTCACGATTCTGCAAAGTAATTGATTGACTGGATGGGTTGGGCGTCGCATCGATTTCACTTTATGTTCAAACACCTGTAGCAATATCACTCCTCGCTCGACAAGCCTTTTACCACTTTGATTTGCGTATGCTCTATATACACTCATATAAACATAAACCAAAAAAAAAAAAAGAAAAAGAAAGATTAAACCCTCCGATAAAGATGCACCTGAAACCTCATATCCTCCAACCCGGCCCCCTCCCCAACCACATAACTCAACCGACTCGCCTCCCGCCTCCACCACCGCGAATCCCTCGAATACACCCTCTCCCACTTGCCCCCGGCAACAGACAGCAGCGCATGATCCAGCAGGAACTTCATCGGGTAGCGCCGCTCGGGTGCGCCCTCTTTCTCACCGCTGCCATCACCGGATGACTGACGCGCCAGCCGCAGCGTGGAGTAACTGCCGGGGCTGTCGACGACGAGGAGAAGAGAGCCTGCTTGGACGAGGTCTGTGATGCGCAGGAGGAGAGATGTGGCTTTTGCCATGGAGGTGGAGAAGAGTTCGTTGAGGGTGAACATTAGGGTTATTATTGTTGGGGTTTCCTTTTTGGTTGTAGTGGTAGGATCGAGAGAGAGAGAATCAAGTGAGAGGGTGTTGTCGTCGTTAAAGTAGAGAAGACTCTTGAGTTCCTCGTCGGGTATAGAGAGTATGTCTGCGCGACGGAAGCGGACTTGAAAATCTGTATCCTCCTTCTCATTCTCCTCTCCCTGCTGCTCCAACTGACCAGAAGTACCAGTAAACCTCGCCAAAGGCGCAGGATGCGACCTCCCACTAGGAACAGCATCAGAGCGCACAGCAGAGTCCAACCTGCGCACAACCCCAGACCAGTCGGCAATATCGACAGCCGTAACAGCGAGACTCGGTCTTCCAGACATCTCCCCTCCAGAAGGAACTCCGTTGACCAAATCCCTCATCGCAGCAGCAAGCGCAACAATCTCCGCTCCCGCGCCGCCGCCTAGACACACTACATGCGTTGTCGTCGTATCCACCTCAGCAGAAGTAATAGCACCACCCGTAGAATCCAAAACCCCCAAAACAGCCCCAACAACCCCCTAAACAGGCCCGCATACCCCAACGCCCTCGTCGCGCTCCAGCGCAGGGCATAAGCGCGCAGCAGGTCGTCGTCTGCGTCTGTGAAGGCGGAGTCGAAGTCCCTGTTGTAGAGGTGGGATTTGATGGTTTGGATTAGAGATTTTGTATTGAGGGTTCCTTCTGCTGGTTCTGCTTCTGCTGTTGCTGTAGTCTCTGGTTCTGTTGTTGTTGTTGTTGCTGCTGTAGACTCTGTCTCTGCAGTATCTGCAGTCTCTGCTTCTGCTTCTGCAGTACCCGCATTTTCCATGGACAAAGCAGTCACCTCACGACTACCTCCCGTACTGATACCACCAAGTCCATTAGAATAAAGCAACGCATACTTAAAAACATTAAGCATAAGCTGCTGCAGCGTAACCGGGACAGTCTCAGCGAAAAGATCACCATCACCGTCTTTGGAGTCCGCTGTTGGCTCCGCAGGGCCCGTCGTCTTCTTGTCTTTCTTGAGATCGTCGCGGGGTTGCTGAGGGAGGTGTTTGGGGGGTTTGGCGGGGGGCCGCCTCTGTGTTTTCTTTTGGGGGGGCGCATTTTCTTTTTTCTTTTTTATGAATAATATATATATAGAGTGTCAATATACAAATTTTTTTGTTATATATCTGGCTGGGTATATATGTTGGATGTATTTGATGGTCTGGTATAAAATTATGTTTCGGAAGAGATTTTTCAAGGTGGATGATGATGATGGCTCGGCCCGTGAACGTATCCGTCATTCTCTATTACCTTCTCTACTACATACGTACTATACATCCTTTCGACTACAGCTGTACGAGTAGATGGTAAATGTAGTCAGACTGATAAATTGTTTGTACTCAGACTGTATTGTAGTCAGACTAATGTAGTTGTCACTACCATCTGATCTCCACGCCGATCCCCGTACTCTCAACAATCAAGGAAAGAATGATCCCACCAGATATATCTGACAAGGCCAATAAGACAATGCCATGGCGGCAATGTAGATAAAGTAGACAGTGATCCATACATAAAATATGGGAAAAGATAAAGATATCAAGGAGGGCTCAGAACGAATGCAGGGAACGAAATGCTTGTCCATCAAGTGTAATCGGACATTAACGAGAGTCGAGAATAATAGAAGAAAAAAACACAGAGCATCATACATACTCTTACGCTTGAAACGACATACCGAGAAAAATGAAGAAGGGAAGAAAAAGAGATTCGTCAGACCCAAACGAGAAAAGAAGAAAGGCTGGACTGAACAGGAAGATAGAAGGGTCTCGGAAATAAAAAGTGAAGTGAAACGAAATTAGAATGAACAATCCGCCAAAATACCATATCGAAGAAATCGTAATCCAGATGGCTATTTACACGCACGAAAACGTCCCAGTATCCGGAGCGCTCAAGAAGGCCGATCTTCGTGGACAGTCCGTTGGGACGACGGCCGATCCTTGTCTTTCGTCCGCCAAAATTGCATCAGACGGCTGATCCGGCGACCCTTCCGTTTGGCCTTGTCAGGCTCGTCTCCCGGCGGCTTCTCCTCGTGACGGAGCTTGCTCCGTTCTGCGTTCGGGCCCACCACCAGCTTAGATAGGCTGGCAAAGCTCGATCGCTTCGAAGAGTTGGCCTGGCTCGTGCGACGGGGCACCGTGGCGGAAAACGACGCCGAGCGATCCGTCGACAGCCGCCGCCGGGGGAAGAAACTGGCCGAGAACCGGTTCAGCGTGTTTGTCATGGTGGATGCGCTGCTGGTGAGCGAAGGGACGTCGTCCGACGACGCGTGCGGGAAATCCATGTAGGGATGATGCGACGGATTGGAGAACTTCCGGTCGGTGGACGACGTCGCGATCGATCGAGGGACGTCGGAGGAGGAGCCGGTGAGGATCGGCGACGGGAATGAGGAGTTGGAAAGGGAGGCGCCCTGGAGGGAGAAGTGCGGGATATTCGGCGGCAGCTCGAGCGGAGAGGTGATCGGTCGACGGTCCGCTGGTGCAAACCGCGGGGAGACATCCGGACTGTGTGGGATCGGCATCCGCCGGAAATGGTCCAACGGGGCGTCAGTCGGAGCCCGCCGGGGGTCAACAAACGGATCCTTCACTTCCGGGGCGGGACCCGGGGCTCTCGAGCTGGCTGGTCGCATGGACATCTCGGCGTTCCGATCGGATCGGACACTGGGCTCAAGAACCTCCTCCTCCGCCGCCGCCGTTCCCCGCGTCGGGGTGCCTCGACCAGCTTCCGGATCCACTGGCTCAGTGGTGGGCCGGTGGGCCAGCGTATCGGAGCTGTCCCCGCTGTCCTGGGAATGTCGATCGCTCTCATCGGTGGAGGAGAAGACGGGGTACGATTGGGCGCGCCCCCGGTCTTCACTCTTCTTGGGAGATGCACTCGTGGCCGCCAAAAAGGCATCCTCTTCTTCTTCGTAGAACACGTCCGGATTGTCCAACGAGGGGTTGTTGGCGAGCCGGGCGCTCCCCAGGAAACTACGGTCGAAGGGGGGCATCTCCGGAGCACTCTCGGCGCGCCGATGATAACGCATCTCCGGGCCAACGAACTCTCCGCGACGCCCTCCACTGTACATCCGCTTGGTCGCGGCGGAGAATCCACTTTCCGGTCGGTCCTTGCGCATGTCGGGCGTGTTGAAGGGGCCGAGCGCCGCATCCAAGTCGATGATGGGACTTAGCACATCACGCTGGGGCTCGCTGTTTTGCTCGTAGAAACTCCGGGGCTTCCACGCAGTTTCCAACGAGGGCGTGGGCTCGACGACGTCCTCGGCGGACGAGGAGAGGGACCCGGGCCCGTCGGGACGGGTGGGCGTCCGCAGGACAACGGTGTTGTCGTCGTCAAAATCCACATCCAGTCCCGAGCCGACATCCGAGTTGGTCCTGGTGAGCACCGGGGGCGGAACCCGCTTCGTCCCCAGATCCGCTTTCGGTTGCTGTTTCTTGCCTTTACTCTTGCTCCTCGTCAGGATGGCTCCCGCCCACGAGCGCACCTTCTTCTGTCGCCGCTTCGCTTTGGAACGCTTCTTGGCCGTGCCGGCATCCAGATCGTGCTCGTCCTCGGATGCATCGGAGTGGCCGTCGTCGGACGAGGAATGCCTCGACGAGTCCGTCCAATGGGGATCATCCTCCGTCATGGCGTAATTCTTCCGCAAGGCAGCCTCGAGAACCCCCGAGGACATGCTCTTCCGGAACCGAGAGTGTCCCGCACCGGATAGTGGCCGTTTGGCGCGCGACTCGTTGCTCCCAGGTTCATTCGGACCGAACCAAAAGGATGCATCTGCCGTCCGGGGCCGGGGTCTCGTCTTATCCGCCCGCGACGGTGTCTGGTCGCGGGCGGGCAAGGAATCTAAACTTCTCGTCGGCAATTCAGGACGGACAGTGTCAGAACTCCTGGATTCCTTGGCCGACACGCCCTCATCAACCTCGATGGGCGGGCTGTCCCCGGGGGACTCGGGCGGATCATCCGGCGGGTACGGAGGCAACCTCCCGTCGACCAGGATCTGCGGCGAGGTGGGCGGCGTCACCCGCTGATGGAGGCTGGGACCCGCGTAGGAGACGGGTCGGGTGTTCTCGCCGCCCGTCGTCTGTGATTGGACCGGGTCCGCCGGGGTCGACGGTGCACTCCCGGCGGACGGTTGGATATTGAGCGCATTCTGAATCGCCGTCAAATCGACACTGGAGACGGCGGCGGAGCGGCGGTGGACATGTCGACGGCGGCCCGCGCCACCGGCACTAAATCCAGGTCCGGGGGGAGGGAAAGTAGGCGGCGGTTGGGGAGGTCGTTCGTCCTTGGGCGGACTCCCTTCCCTCTGTCCCCGACTCACCAGGTGTTCCCCGCCGACGAATTCGCTGCATCGCCGGCGATGACCGGCGCCACGGTTCGGGGCAGGCGCGGACAGGGATGGTTGGGTGGTATGCGCGGATCCGGGGTTGAAGGAAAAGGCCGGAAGGGCGGGACGACTCGTAAGCTGGGGATTCGGCGGCGGAGGGTCGTCCGGTGCGCGGGCGGGAAAGACGAACGGCGGGTTGGGCAACGGGGCAGACATGGTGAGGTTGCGGGAGTGTCTGCCAGGAGAATGTGCAGGAGGGCCCATATACTGGGCGAAGGCGGAAGCAGAATGCGGCTGCGGAGGGAGGGAAATCGAGGTCATAATTATCGTTTGTCGGGTCAAATCAATCCTGGAAGTGAACAATCCCACCAGACCAGACACAGGGACCCCCAGACCACAAAGGCTTCCCGAGAGAGGGAGGGAAGTGGATGGAAAGCCGGAGATCGCCTGGCGGTCGTCAAAGCCGCAAGATTCCCATTGATTAAGCGGACGTCAAGCTACACAGCCCAATCACCGAGTGTCAAACTCCGGAGGTGTACAGAGATGCGATATTAACGGGAGAGGAACGAAGGGTCCACGATAATGGTGAAAATTAAATTGAATCGAAAAAGGCCTCCTCGACTGTACAGGTGATCAACGGTCGACTGGATTCCAAGGGGGACGGGCAGGCGACACGGGGAGAACCGGTTGGGTTGAGGGGGGTTTCTTCTTCTTTTTTTGTTTTCTTTCGTTCTTTTTTTGTTCTTGTTTTCTGATTTAATTCTTCGATAGTCGAACCGGACCACGCGAAAGTGAAATTCAAAGTTGGAAAGGAGCGGACGGCCACGGATGGGCCAAGGCAAAAGAATACTGGAGCGGGATGCGGAAGTCGAGAGGGGGTCGATAACGGGAGTAATGAACGAGAGGGAAAGCGGATGAAACCACTTAAACAATAAGAATGATAAATAAAAAGGGTTTGGAGAAAAGAAGGGGGAAAAAAAGAGAGACGAGAGGAAAATGCGGAGGGAGAGGGAGGATCAACCTGGAGGGGAAGAGAGAGAGAGAGGGAGGAAGAGAGGAGAGAGAGAGAGAGAGAGAGAGAGAAGAGAAGAGGAGAGAAGATGAAGTGAGGTCGTAGGAGGGATGGAAGAAAACGAGACCTCCAGGCTCAGGCAGTTCAGGAGGAGCAGAAGGCGGCAGTGAACCAGAAACCAAACCTTACTCGTGGGGGATGGATGGGATTGGTGGGTTGTCCGGGAGGGGGCCATTTCAACGATACCGATACCATCCAGGACGGTAACTTACACCACCTGATCTTTATTACTATTTATTTTCCTCAAAGATTAAGGCATCTCATATCATTCAATACTATTACTGAGGACCACTTATAGATTGGGTATAGTTAGTACAGCTAGATAGGTAAGGTATCTTCCGAACTAATCTATCTCATTACTCAAGACGAGAGTCGATCCATTTTAGTCGTCTCCTCCAATTCCCCTGAAGACTCCCGGTCCAATCCCAGATTGAGATATCCTACAGATTGACCTTCAATATTCACAAAATATAAGACAGAGTATAAAGCATCGATGGTGTAACCACCTTACCCCATACCATACATCCCCCTTGATTGCAGGGCATCAAACCAGCAAAGTTTGGGGTATCGAAATCTCGCTTCAAAGGCCCCGGTGGAGCTGGCCGAGCGCCACCGCTAAACCAGACCCAGTAACTTCCCCTGGACGGGCAAGACTGTGATCCCTGCAATGCGACAAGAATAGAACGCTTGATTTCTTCTCATCTGGTGTCCTTTCTTTGATTGATGCATGGATGAGAAGGCATCTGTCAATCATTTTCAGAAAGGTGGTTTCTCAATTCCAACTTAAGTTATTACCCTCCTTATCTGGCACAGTCGATCCCCGGATCGGTCCCTCAGGCCCCTGTTTGGTCGAGTCCCCAAGGGGCCACCGAACCGGAGATCCTTTCCAGTTCCTGAACGAGCAGCGCCAACTACTAATAGTCTGTTCATAAAGATAGAAACTTATATATGGATCAATGGTATTGTATGATCTATAATTATACTATTTATCTTCTTTCTCTTTCCATCTATATTTGTATCCAATTTGATTTTCTTCTATCTATTATTTATTGATTGATTGATTAATGGTATTATTGATATCGACCCGGAACTTCCCCCCAATTGGCGGAGATGAACATGCGAGTCATCGCCCGCTGCAAGTCCAGCCGTGAGAACAGTTGGCCAGTTATATACAGTTTATACACCTACATTACAACCACCTTGAATACACCAATACGAGGACGACAAACTCAAATTCAAAGACCTCCCACGCATTGGGCGGAAACTTGGCCCCAATATCGGTCGCATCCTTACAGTACTAGGCACTGGCAGCAACTCTATGATCCGAATCAGTTAGACCCGTCTGATTGTGGAATCGGACAGCCAAGGGACGTCAATAGCCTTGATCCCACGCAAGGGCGTCTTCGATTGTGTCTAAGTCAGTCATCCACAATGCATTGTCTATCCTACTGAGAAGTTTAAGCTGTAGGTAGTTCCTACCAGGATAATATAGATCTTACCTTACCGACAATGTGTTTGTGGCTGTCGATACACAAACTACACCGTACTGATGACACCCATTGTTGCCACATATCAATATTTAGTTACCATTACTATCTATAATAACTACCATTTTATTACAATAAGCACTAACCAAACAACCCCCAAATACATACAGTAGAATCACGTCACCAATATGAAAATGATCAAGTCCCCACCAACCGACGAACTAGGGAAATCACCTCCCTTCCCGAACCACGGTTCACCAGTGGGAACGGAATTGTTCTGCCTTCCCTCGTCTTTCTTCCCTCCCGATCCATACGATGGGGATCCGTCAAGTGGAGGCGGATATCCATTCCTTTCTGTCCCCTCCGTCATAGGCAATATTGTATGATGATATTCTTGACACATTATTGGGTCCATGGTGGGACGGATGGGAGGGTTTTCCGCCGAACTGTGGTTCAATCTCGCTCTCTTTGTGTCTCTATTATTATTATTCTAATTTTATGTTTATTTATTTCTCCCTTCTCATGTTTTATTACACCTGTCATGTTCATCCATGGACTAACCCACTCTAACTCTGCGTTCAGACGCCATTCACAGACAGTGGTATAATCTAAACTGTCAGGTCGAATTTATGCATAAAATATTTCATATGATTCTAATCAACACCCACTATCCTACTGTACCTACTCCTAGTATCATCCCATAGAGTACCCGCGCAGTAATCCACGAAGTAGCCCACAGAAGAGTAGATAGTATACCGGTAGATCCCGGCCCTCCCACACCCCTACAACCCTCTGACGATCAAACCATGCGCTTGTTTCGGATGTCGGCGGCAACATTAAAGGATGATGATCTGGCGTGTGATAGTATAATAATACTTATCAGTATAGACTATAGTACACAGTACAGCCGATGCCGAAGGAATGTGAATGTCGGGTTGATACTCCATAAGAGGCTGGTATATGCTAGGTACTGTATATTCCGGGATTGTGTCTCTGCATGTGACGACGACCAGTGGAAAGTACCTCAGGTAGTAAGTAGGTAGGTATCGATGTGTTAGGTGTACAATGGCATAGTGATCATGAAGAAGTAAAGTGAACAGTGGTGTGGCTCAGGTGTATATCGTAGAAATCGAGTCGAGCTTCAAGTATTTTTTCATCCCTCCCACAAGTACGGAGTATCTGCAAGATAAACCACCCCATATCAAATATCAAGACAAGATATAACCCTACGAAGACAATCCCGCAAACAACTTATCGCACGATCAGAATCAGAATCCCCAGACACAGAGCACCCACGAATAAGTAGGTTGGTAGGTAGGCAATCAATCAATCTAGATAAAAACAAGCATACCAAACCCAAGTGTAAATCCTCCTACTCACCCACCAAAGTAATATCCAACTAACTCTTAGTTAAATCAAACAAGTCTATTAATTAAATTAGAAAGCCAACGCATAAACCAGGATGTTATTCCAGTCGAGTCCACATCTCTATTCACCCGATCTAGCAATACCCAATACCCAGGCTAACCAAGTGTCAACCACCTAACTAACAACCTGGACTACTACCGTCGTACCTCGCATGGACTAAACTCCTGATATAACCACCAATACCAGCCAACTCATACACTGAACAAACCTAAGCTAAGAACCCACTGCAGAATGCAATCTACTACCTCACGACCGATAGGTCAGCCCCTCACGAGGACAGGGATCCTTCCCTGTATCTACCTACTCACCTACCTAGCAGAGGAGCAGGGGCCGGGGGTATCCCACGTCTCCGATTCACCCCCCAGATGAAGCATACTGACTAGTTATATAGTTGACCAGGATCGGAAGCAGGATGCTAGCTTCCGCTCGTGAAGATCGCTGAATGGGTACTAATTTCTATATTTGAGGAAGATAAGAGTGTGCACTGCAGACTGCAGGGGTGTGGGAAGACGTGGTGGTTGGTACCTAGGCGGTATCCCCATACCGTCATGCATAAATGAGTCTACATGTGAAGAATGGCTTCTGTAACTGTTCCAGACAATAAAGGGTGGCTGCATTGTAGTAGAATGATGATTCGAGGAATGTACTAGATAATAGGTGGGTAGGTAGTAGATACACACCGAGACGATGTATGTAACAATATGTTGCATTATGTACGACCTGGATGCCGGGATACATAGAGCAAACGGAATCCAAGACAAAGAAATATGATTAAAAAAAGACATCTTACTCCATCGCAAGCAGAACGCCATCGCTTGAAATATGAATCAAATAACAAAGTGATAACCTCCACCGATGCTCTTTGGTATTCTACCGGTTTATGTTTCCACGGCGCCAGGGGAGATGGCGAGAATTACGACCAAAGCCGCGATGATCAATGCAGCAGCGATAAACGCAATGAGAGCGACACTGCCGCGACTTGCGGGGAACTTCCCCCGGATGATCCAGTACTGGCTCTCGAAGTAGCGATGGAACCCGACCAGGAGAATCACTATGGCAACCCCGATGAACGTCGTCCCCAGCGGCTTCCCTATACTCCGCAGTCGCTCGGATTTCGACGCGATTTGAAACGACGCAGTATCGTACATCTGGGGCGATAGGATCGGGGAGAGACCGGCGTGGAGCGGGGCACTGGCCTGCGCCGACGTACTTCCCTGGGAGGTGTTCAGTCGAAACAACTGGGTGATGGCTATCCCTATGGATGCGAAAGCAAGGGACGTCCGCAGCCACGCGAGAAACGTTCGCTCTGGAAGGCTGTCAGCAAGGCGATCGCACGATCCGGTAAAGCAAGTACGCACCTAACGCAAGGTGGTCTCGAGCGACGCTCCCCTTATTTTCTAGCTCGAGGCTCCCATACCGATCCGCCACGCGATGATACCAGGAGTGACGGGCTTCAGCTGAGTCGGTCGGAGAGTCCGGATGTGCCGAATCTGGCGCTGTCGGCTGTCGCTTCAATTGGCTGTTCCTCGCCTCCGATTCCCGATTCCTCAGCCCTTCGGTCGAATTATAGTTGCGCTGCGAGACCCCGTTGCTCACGATCGGGGTCACCTCGTTGACGGACGGGGCGAGCTGACCAGGCGCCGGTGCGCCGGCATAGTTCTGCGAAGTCAAGGGCGATATGCGCGGTCGGCTGCTGTGAGACGAATGGGAAGACGAAGATCGATGCGAAGGAGGTGCAGTGTTGACCCCTCTAGCGTAAGGCTCGGTCAAATCAGAAGATTGCATGATGGCGTGCTCGCCAGGCCAGCTCCGCAAGGGGTTTGTTCCAGTGTAGGGACGATATCTATCATGGGATCTCGAATAGGACGTGAGATAGGTCGGGAGGGGGGTCTATGAATTTACCCCAGCTTTCGGGTGCGGCGGTGGAGATCTTGGGTCTTGGTTTTACGAGATATTCAAATTAGCAACCCACGTCTCCCGAGAAAAGGGAATAGGGGGGAGACAAAGAATTGAGGGGGAACATACTAGCAACAATATATGGGGCAGAAAGGATATATGTGATCTCCCACTATTCTAATAGAATATTTGAACCCAGCTGAGCCGACTGCACTGTGACGCCAGAAAGGAACCTGTTTTATCCGATCAGTTCGCTCGCAATTTTCGTCCGTCATAATGTCACGCGCTCCCAATTCGGTAGACGGTCTTTTCCCCGCTAATCCCGTTTGGTATTACATCACCGCCGATCACATGAGGATCAGTGCGGCAACGCTAAGTCGGATCGAGGAATTGCCGCTGTCGATTGAGGAAGGCGGTCGGATATCTGCTTCCTGTGCACAACACACCGACTGTATGGCAGGCAGATGACTACCCCACAGTGGACAGAGACGAGTGAGATGAACAAGTGCTGCGACTCGAGATGATCAAATGACTGAGTATGTTTGGATTTGTAGGTGGGTGATATGGAAGATGACTGGACGTCCTGACCAGCAGGACTGTCCGAGCTCCACACGTATCACTTTGGTTTACAGTGTCGTTTCTATCATATATGAAAAAAACATCGAAGTGAAAATATAGTTAGCCTACTCGAGCGCAAGTGATATAACATGGATCCCGAACCCCAATATTGACTCCATTGATTTCTACCAGGAAAACTTACCTCTCATCCGAGAATACCTCTATAACAAGACAAGACAAGAAACTAAACCAAACCGCCATTAACCACCTCCAAGGAACCTGAACAACATAGTCAGCATCAAGTGTGGGGATCGCGTTTCCCCCACGGGACAACAACATGGACATAGCCCTCGTCGACCGTGTCATCGTCTCCCGAATCACTACTGGGCCAGGCGATCTCGTGGAGCCTTTCCTCCGCAGCAAAGACAGCATCAACGTCGTTGCCCGAGGGAGTAACAACCTCTAGCAAAAGACCACCCTTGGGGGCATCTCGGGGGAAGGCATGGACGGTTGCGAGTCTGTCTAGCGTGTCTTGGACCGCGGCGTAGTAGATGGCCTGGTTAGAGGGGATGTCGGATTTAGCGATAGACACTAGTGGAAAGTGGACATACAGAATGGGCGACATTTTGCTTGTTTCTGTTGCTTGTCTGATGGTTTGGTATGTTTTGCTGTGGTTGGATAGCGGTGGACTGCTCTATGGATTGGAGGATTGAACTGACCAGATGGAATGAGAAAGCAGTTGCTGATGATTCTTCCAGACAGACCAATATCAATGCGACAGCATGGAGTATTTATATCCAGGGCAGGGCATGCCCCAGATAAATGTCTTTATCAAAGGCATTCTTGACCATCCTCGACGAAGCAATTTCCATTGTCGAGTCGACGAGGTATCGCTCCAATCATCCCTCTCTATAGTCAAACCAAGACCAAACCAGCAGATAGCGACGATATTTCTTTCAATGGCGTTGTCGACAATAAAGAAAGCGAGACAAAGCACTGCACAAAGTCCCTTTATCTTTTCCATCGTCTTTGTCATAACACAATTGTCGTTCTTTGTCGCCATTACTTTGTAACACGGCCTTAGCATGGATTCGATATTGAATACTCGGCCACTATAGTGTTGACGACCCTTCTGTACCTTAGGACATACATCCACTTCCCTTGGACCGGACTATATGAGACTGCAGACATCTCTACAAAGACAGGTACCATCCTGACCATGGAACCGCATCGCGCTATGTCTTCGACTAGCATGTACAGTTAAGGTACCATCTATACTCTATACAATAAAAATGCCTTAAATCCAAGGCATAAGTCACATGACCATACCCAAAGTAGCAAGCGATCGCCATCCCGTGCTTAACCAACTCCGCCTACATGAACATATCCATAAAACCTAGACCAAGTAGCAACGCTATCCATCATATCCTCACACCATACCTCATCCCATACCCTCACAGCTAGATAGAAGAATTCCCCAATAAAGGAGGAGAAAACAAAAGAAAGAAGGAAAAAGAATGGCCGGAGACGAATACTCCACCGGCGGAGGCGGCAAGCTCAAACTCAAGTCGAAAGTGCACGACGGCCGAGTAGACAAGAAGAGCAAGAAGAAGAAGCAGAAAGAGAAGAACAAGACGGAGAGTGCGACTGCTACGCCGGAAGGAGTCGAGAGTGACCAGGGGAGGGGGTTGGCAGAAACGACATCGACAACGATAGCCACGACGCCGGGCGAGTCGAAGAGTCCTGCTCACGATGAGGGTGAAAATGACAATGGCAATGCCAACGAGAGCGAGGGCGGCGTGGTTGTTGGGAAGACGGAGACGGAGAGGAAGTATGAGGATGCGAGGAGAAAGCGGGTGAGTCTATCTTTCTTACCTCATATAGATGCATATTTGTTCTATTTGGAGCTTTGATGGATTATACTAACTAGCTAATTACAGCTCCAAGAACGCCTAAAGCGCGAAGGGGTCAAAACGCACAAGGAGCGAGTGGAGGAGTTGAACAAGTATCTGAGCCGACTGAGTGAACATCACGATATGTATGTCTTCTTCTTCTTCCCAGTCTTTCATCGGCTTTGATTGCATTGCCTCAAATACTAGGCATCACTATTTCATCCGGTGCCCCTAGCTAACTAACTGCCTACAGGCCGAAAATCGGACCGGGTTGATGGTCAAGAATCAATCCTCTGGAGGGACGGGCATTTCAGATTCATTTCAATTTCTTCAACTACCTACCTACTACCTATCTATTTATGTATGTATGTATGTATGTATGTTAAACGAGCACGCTGGGAGGTTCACAACTCAAACCCGATGTGACACTACCTTGCTTCACTTTACTAGTCTGTCCGCCGGTTGGCACAATGTGATACGTTTGGGCTGTTCAGTGGACCCAGCGATGTCGCTAATTGTTTCGGCTCCGACCTGGGTACAATACCTACTGTATTGCCTACGAAGCAGTTTTTGATTACGATAATTAGGCACTTAAACAGGTAAATAGTATGCAGTATATATTGAATGGTTGATAGGTATAGATAATGAGTCTTGGGTTATCTGACAAGCCAGTTCATCAACATTTGGGTAGGATCCGGGTCTCCAAATCTATCCACATGACTGATGACTGAATGGCTGTATATAATGGAAGAATGTAAAGAAATGATGATGATGACGACGGATAATATGATGGAAAATATACCCGTGTCGTCGACCTTGAAGCTCGTTGGAGCTCCCAGTCAAACGACAAACCCAAGCAAGCTGGCTCAATGTCGCTGCCCAAGGTGATTAAAAGAACAAACAAAACTCCTATGTATGAACGCCTCGCGAACCGCAAATTGATCGAAAAACGCCACCCCCTCCCTGAATTGTGACCAGTGGATGAATAAAGGGGAGGCGTATTATGTGGAAAGGTAGAAGACGACCTCCATGCCAGCAATCAAATCCAACACCACGCTAATTCCAAACGGTGTGAACCCGATCGCGACGGGAAGCCGGGATGCAAGACGAAAACGATCGACCTCGCGACGGCGGAGAGAAGCAAGTGCGACAACTCATACGCCCTTGATGACCTGGGTGCGTTCGTTGTTGAGCTTATCGGCGTTGCGGGCGTGGGACTCCTTCTTGCAGTCCTCCAGGCCGGTACACGAGTGGGCTTCGAGCATGCGGTGTTTCGAGCAGAAATGCCCGCTGCAGAAGCTGCAGTCGCCGACGATGCGTTGGGCGGCTTCCTTGCACTCCTTGAAATTGCAGCGAGGCTTGCGGATGGCCATTGTGAGGTGGCGAGGAGAGAAAGGCGGAGAGAGTTGCGGGTAGTGAGGTAGGTGGTGAGGAGGTACCCAAGGGAGGAGGTAGAAGGTAGAAGGTAGGGTGGATGTTCCCGTCGAGAGGAGATTGGATGCGAAAGGCTTGGAAGGGTGGTTGTTTGCGGGGTATTAACAAAGTGGTAGAAGGAAGAGAACAAAGATGTCGACGGGAGGATGAGGGGGACTAAGAGCCTTAAAAGGTGTGGGAAGTAGCGGACGGTAGATAGTAGAGGAGATGGGGTGGAGGTGGAGGGAGGGTGACGTGGAGGGAGGCGACTAATTAAAGGAGAGTTGAGGAGGCGGACCAAGGTTGGAGAAACCCTTTTAGAGTAAGTAGGGTAGTAGGGTAGTAAGGGTAAGGTTGATTAGGTTAAGTTAGGTAGATAAAGTGGTAGTTATAGGGAGGAGTAGATAAGCAGGCGGTCTGGTGTATATATAGGATACTATATTGGGAGGAAGTCGGGGGGCCGGGATAGGAAACAAACCGGGAAGGACGGGATGGGAGTGGAAAAAGAGAGAAGAGAGAAGAATGGACCGAAAAGTGAACGGAAAAATAAAATTACAATCAAATAAATAGAATAAAAAATGAAGGGAGAAAAAGAAAAGCAAAAAGGGAAAAAAAAAAAAAAAAAAAAAAAAAAAAAAAGGTTTAAAGATGAACAGGGTGGTGGCACCTGATGGAGACAAAGAAATCAGAGAGGATGGATTTATTTCGGAGTTGACTTCGTTGAGTGGCAGAGGCAAAAGGCCAGCTAAAAAATCAAAAAAGCCAAATTGGAGGAGGGAGCCGTGACGAGACCAGCATCCAAGAAGGAAGGAGAATGGAATGGGGATGAATTCCAATGAATTGCATGAATGAATCCCAGCTGAGTCACATTAATAATATGGGACTAGTTGAGGTCTAGTCAATACATTGAACGACCGGATCAAACGGGACCAACTATTGTATAGAGTACTCGATAGACATGATAGGAAATCTAGATTCTGGCCGTAATCCTACCTATCTAACAACATAGTGAACAACCCTACAATCATTATATGCCATCATCCGACCCAGGAGGTCACTATCGGATCCGACTTCCCAACGTCCTACTCCGTACAGTCCTCTGGATATAGGTTGGAGTCAATCTAACCCGATAAGGAGGCAAATTACCCGGGGAGCAATAGGGAGTCAGGTGGAGCCAGAAACTTCCATCATCGTCAAAGTCCTCCAATATCTGGCTGGATTCTGGATTCTGGATTCTGGATCCTGGATCCTGTCCGGATGCGCACGCGGGTCGGTACCAGACGATGGATGACGGATGATGAATAAGGAGGAGAATGATGAATCCAGAAGGAAGGAAAGTGGCGGTAATAAACCAGTTTGACCAGATGATAGATGGGTTATTCAGACTGGATCATGGATGGATCATGGATGCTGTTATCTCCCTTTTTCGGACATCCCTTGCCCATGTCGTGATTTGGATGGATCTTGCCTTGGATCTGCATTCTCCTCTCTACCCATATTCCTTTCCTTTTCCTCATATTTTCAATATCAGTGTATATTTTCAATATCAATGTGATTATTGTCCAGGCAATGTTTCTATAATTATAGTTCGGCCGAGTACATCCAAATCAGTGATGCATGTGTTCTCAGCATCCTAAACAGATCCTAAACCCGGCGGATCCTATAGTAGATAGTAATTGGGGTCATGACCCCTATCCGTCTACGGAGGACACTATGAGAACTCGTCATGTGGAATCGCCCAGCACACCATGCCACCTCACTTCTACCTATACAAGAGGAACATGTGTTGTCAGCTTTCACTCATTTTATAGACTTTATTTATTTAAATTTTCCTTATAGAATTTTTATATTACTTTCCCTCCCAGAGGGGAAGGATCAAGATTGAGCAAAATATAAATAAATCAACCTCAACAAGAGGTAAGCAACGAAAAGAGAAATTAATCTGTGTACCTTGACGATGCATTCATCGCCAATTAATGATTTGGCCTGCACTTGATGGCGCCCCTCGAATGTGACCACCACCGCCACGTGACAGCCATCTCCCATGCGCCCTGCATCGGTTACCTCCATCCTGGATCCTTTCCTTCTGGCTTCCAAGTTTTGCCTATCTCTTTCCTTTTCTTTTCTTTTTTCTTCTTTGTCTTTTTCACCAATGCGGTCAGGACGCTGATCCCAAGACATGCAATGTGTGGATCAGACTGACTATATCATCTCGTGTAGAGGACACAGCAAGGTGGTCAGACCCAGTCATGTATCCAAGCTCTACCGCGTGCTCTCGATGTTGGTACGACTACTCCTAAGAAAATGTAAAACTACGGGGAAGGCAACGAAATTGGCCCTCGTTGGTTGAAAATCGGACGACAACTCCAACTCCAACTCCCCCGCACCATCCAAAATGACCCCAAAAGACAAGTTACAGGTACTATGTAGGTTAGTAGAGTCGTTCAATGCCCAAAATGATTCCCCGAAAATGAGGCTGTCGGGACCAGTCAGGCCAAGCACCACCCACACATTCATAGTTCATGCGAAGCGAAGAAAATATCTTTGGTGAGGAGGGTGCAGCGGTCTTTTGAGAGAAGATCATTTTTGTCCATCACTTTAGCGTTGATGCCACATCGTCCAAGTGGGTCAGGTAGACGGCCAGACGGGGACCCGGAGTGATTCCTGAAGAAGTGGGTTGGGGATGCATGCCTGGGTGCCTGATCTTCACCTCCACTTGGTTGCGCTGGGTAGATCGCTGGTTAGGTGCGTGACACGGTGTCTTATGTCCTACACGATAGAATATAGATGCGCAGAGGGTTTGTTTCGTTTGTTTGGTGTTTTGGTCGCTTGATATGCACGCAAACCAGGAACTATATTCCTGCACAGGATTGAAATGAATACGTCGACTGGAAGTCTACCCCGGCGCTTCACTCCGGTCTCCACTTTCCGTCCTATATAAAAGTCTAGGTGGTGCTACGGGTCCCACGGCCTACAAAGGCAATTATGACGAGGGGGTCACGTTGGCCTTCGCACTGACGCTGCAGTACGGAACCCGGCAGGCTCACGTATGTATCCCGATCCATCTGACTCGGGTGGATCACTTGTGAGAAATGTCGGTCCGACAAGTACTCCTCGGGGAGGATCTTAGGGTAAAGCATTGAACCACGGTCTGACAAATGGGCTCCTATTCCAGAGGGTAATTTAGCTATCGACTAGATATATCATTCAGCTACCATATGTTAGAGCTAATGGGGTTGATCTTGACGTACTATGTAACCAATCATGGAGTCTGGAACCAGCTGCAATGTGCGTCTCCGGATATGGTTATCATTACGGACTGACAGAGTACTCGACCGGCACGAGGCAGGAAGGTAATGCACAGTTAACTCAATATAGTAGAAACGAAGATGCATTGAGGGGCATGGACGGTAGGCAGCCTCAGGCATATACAATATATATTACCCACCTCAAGCTCCAAAACTCTTGTGTCGTCTTAGTTCTCCATTTTGCGAATGCCTGTGAAGATCTAAGAAAGAATTTATGTACGTTACCTCGACGATGTTAGCAGAGAAAATAAGTACTAAAATGAGTTTGAGCTTCCATGGCAGGTTACATGCTGCAGCAGGTTTCGGATGCGACAAGAGTATCTGCAATAACCACAACAGAGCTTGAATATAACCTTGTCCTTGTATTCCTGATTATTCTTCAGAAACCCTGGTAATAGGCATTAAGCTTAATAAAATGCCAATGACCATTCTAGATCGCCGGTTTCCATCGCCGGATCCAGCCAAGCTGTAAACACAAACGTCATACTGACACAACAATGTCCAACCGCCACAACCAAGGTATATCACAGCTGAGCTACCTACTCTTTTCAACCAACTTTTCTTCTATCCCATCATTAAGACCTGTAATAATACAAATCACACCAATTGACACACCATGGAGCAACACATCGAACAGCCATCCAAGGGACCGCAGTCCCAGTTCGAGACTGGTAACTACCTATCTACATACACCTTCTCAACCCATACTAACAAGAAAAAGGCCACAACCCCCCAGTCCAACACATGAAACAACCAGGCCTCCAATCCCAAATGGGCGACCCAAAACCCACATCCACCCAACTCCCCACCGAAGACAGCGGCTACCAGACCTACAAAGCCGCCGGCAAGCTCACAGGCAAGAGAGCCGTCATCACAGGCGGCGACTCCGGCATCGGACGCGCCATCGCCATCCTCTTCGCCATGGAGGGCGCATCGTCCCTCCTCGTCCACCTCCCAGAGGAGGAATCCGACGCTGACGAGACTAGAAAGCGCGTCCAGAGCGCCGGCCAGCACTGCTACTCGCTGGCTGTGGACCTGCGCAGCAAGGAGAACTGCCAGAAGGTCGTCGATACCGCGATGCGGTGTCTCGGTGGGATTGACATCTTGATCAATAACGCCGCTTATCAGAATATGGTTGATGATATTCATGATCTTGATGAGTATGTACACCCTATACATCTCTTCTCCTCCTTTGAGACACCCAGATGCTAATGAAAAAAGCGACCAATGGATCAAAACCTTCGACACAAACATCCACCCCTACTTCTACCTCTCCAAATACGCCCTGCCACACATGAAACGCGGCTCAACAATCATCAACTGCGCCTCCATCAACGCCTACATCGGCCGCCCGGACCTCCTCGACTACACCTCCACCAAGGGCGCCATCGTCTCCTTCACCCGCGGCCTGTCCAACCAGCAGATTGGAAACGGGATTCGCGTGAATTGCGTTTGTCCCGGTCCTGGTATGTCCCCACTTTCCACCTACTCCCTATTGTCGAGAAATTGTTTGGTTGGTAAGATGCTAATGGGAAATTAGTCTGGACGCCGCTCATCCCGTCTACGATGACTAGCCAGGCGATGGAGCAGCTGCATGCGGTGCCGATGGGTCGGCCGGGCCAGCCGAGTGAGATCGCTACTTGTTTTGTCTTTTTGGCGAGTACGGATAGTAGCTATATCTCTGGGCAGTCGCTGCATCCGAATGGGGGGGTGGTGGTGAATGGGTGAGGGCGGTCATATCATATGCGATTGTGGTGGTTGACGTCATGGGATTTTGGAGGGATATGTGGTGGGGTAACAAAAGTATATGTACACGAAACAGGATTATAGGAAAAGAATGTGTATAGTATAGTAATTCAGTCATATCTTCATTTCATTTTACCTAATTGATTCTGCGCCGTACATACTGCGATAAAGAGATAAATGATGTTAACAGGTGAAAAACGCCTGTGCCAGTCGGAAAAAAAACACTCCTGTTTAGCTCGACAACCAAATCACTGACCAGCGGTAGCAAAGAAAACAGGACTATAGGAAATCATCATAGAAAAAGGGAAAAAGGGGAATCTACATGGCCATCTCTTCCTTGCCAGCATCCGGATCCAGATACGTCTCCTTCTCGGCCGCTTCGTACTCCCCGATCAGATCCATTACTACTGCTCGCGCTTCATCGAACTCGCCGAGACCGTCGGAGAAGGGGCTTTCCTTCTTGTACTGTTCCAGGAAGGCGTTGCGCTTTCGCAGTCGGTCGTACTGTTGCACGATCCGCTTGAACAGTGTCGCGACGGATGTGTGGTTCGCGAGCATCAGGCCGCTCACGCGGTTCGTGTTCTGGATGTAGGGCGACTTCCGCGTCAGGGCAACTTGGATACTGGCCGGGCCCCATGGGATAAACGATGCGAGGCGTCGCTCGCGGATACGGAGCAGGGACTTGTGAACGTCTGTCGGGTCGGCTTCGCCCTGGATGATGTTGAGGATGCTGATGTAGCAGCTGGATTTGCTGGGGTTGATCGAGACCATGCGGTTCTTGGGCTGCAACAGTCGACGCATCACGTCTAGGACGGTCGTCTTGCGCACTGTCTTGGCCTGGTCGATGTTGTCGCCTGTGAAGGGGGTGTACGATGTGAGGAGGAAGTGGCTGCGTGGCGTGGGGATCAAAGAGGCGATGATCCCGACGAGGTCGTTGTGCATGTATCCGGGGTAACGGAGTGTGGTGGTCGAAGCGGACATGACAGTAGAGACCTGCTTCTGTTAGCTTCGTACGCTTCGTGGTTTTCCGGGAGATTCTCACGAGTTGGTTAGTCTGCTGGAACGACGGTTCCTGCACGTGGAGTCGGTCGGCGACGATGCGCGACAAAGCGCCATTGTCCAACACAACCTATGTCATCTTTAGCCGCCGAACGTATACATCGCATCCGTAGAGCCTTACCACCGAGTCGGCATTCTGCGTCAACCGCCTCATAGTGAGTATGCTGTTGTACGGGTTGACCACCACGTCTGCTGACTGCGCGTCCGGAAACACGGAGTATGTCTGTATCAACTTCTTGGGGAATCGATCGTTCATGCGCTCCAGAATGAAACTCCCCAGACCGGAGCCAGTACCGCCTGCGATTGAATGCAAGAACATAAACCCCTACCAAAATGCCGTCAGCCACTCAGTTCAAGTGCGAGCAAAATCCCGGAGTTCCAAACCTCTAGCGAGTCACTGCCGTCCGCTTCCCGATCAATCATGTCAAAGATTTCCTCCTGCACATGCTCACCCGCAGCGTAGCCGGCGCCCCAGTTGTTCCCTGCACCACTGCCATGTGTCCCAATAAAGAAATTCTCGGGGTTGTAGATGTTCTTGTAGGGTCCGGTTTGGATGGAGTTGAGAACCTAGTAGGCCGGTCGACTTTTAGTGCGCTGTGCTTTGAAGACCGAAGCATGTCGGGATCACCAAGGTGGGTTACGTACCCTAGGTTCTAAATCAAGTAGGATCGCTCGGGGAATGTATCGCGTATCATCGCTCTGAGATTATCAACGTCAGCGTGCTTTCCACAACCACCCGTCGAAGTGTCGCACCTGGTAGAAGAACACGTCCTTGCGATCGCCGCCTTCGGTCGCGAACTCCTCTAGGTTTCCATCTTGGTTGATACCATGCTCCTGGCAAAGCTGTTGCCAAAACTGCCCACCGACTGCAAGTTACAATTCGTCAGCATGGGCATCGGGTTATCGCAATGGGGGCATCAGTGGTGCTGGGCAAATGGAGATGAAGATCGATCGTATGGTTTGCGGGTTTCATACCGTTGTTGCCGCACTGGCCGGCCTGGATGGTGATTATTTCCCTGCATGGTATATTAGTATCCTCGCGAGTATGTACACAATAAGTCAACTGGTGGGGGACACTGGATGGTGGACATACCTGGGCATCTTTGCTTAACCAGCGAAAGTGGTTGAGTTCATTGCGCACGCGTAGCGCGTTTCCGCGGGGAAACTTCCTTGCGGTGGCAGGCGGGCTGATGCCTGAGGCATAATAGTACTGCCGACAGAGAACAAACACAACGAAGATAAGGATGATAACCATTATCTTTGAGTATTCTTTATAAAAATGCTTTTACATACTATATTATGATATAGCTATTCAGTTTAATATACAATAAAGCTAACATCCGGTCCAAGGGTCAGCTCTTGTCAGCTGAATCCAGATATACAAAACCCATAGGCTTGACAGATAGGTTTGAATAGCAACAGCCCATACTAGTCGGTGCTCAGAACCGTGCTTTACACGACGTTACCAGCATCCCAGCGCCAGCGACAACGCCGTCGACGATGCTCACTTGACTTCCACGCTGCACACCGTAAGCCTTGACACATCCTTCTCGCACTGCGTCCTCCATCCCTGCCATACCGGCACAGCCCATACAGATCGCGGACAGCGGGTTGGGTGTGCTCTTAATCAATCTTTCGGTGGCTTCTATGATCCGTCGCTTCACTTCCTCTGGGGCAGTGGTATGCAGTTCCACGGCGGTAAGTCCGGTGGTCTCCACGCCAGCGAAGCGACCCAAGGAGCCCATCTGACCGCCAGAACCGACAAGCATTTGGGCAACAGCATTTCCGAGCTCTTCCTTCCAGACACTGCCGGTAGTAACTATCCCAAACGTATCCTTTGCTTGGGACTTCTGGAGGTCCTGAGACACCGTGAGTTGGAATGAGCTGATCAGAGACAAAGATGCCACAATGCTGGCTTCAAAAATTCCAGTCACGTATTTCCTTTTGATTTGCCCGGTTGACGAGGTACTAGTATCGGTTGCTTCCAATTTCGCCAAATCTTCTTTGATCATGCCCACGAGGGGATGAGCCGAATAGCATGCCACCAAAAACCCATCGTAATTTGGGAGGAGTGGTTCCACAAAGGGTTTGCAATGTAGAGCCGACTTGGCGGAATCATCCCCTGAATTGATGCTGGGGATGCCATCAATGACACGCCCGTCTGGAAGAGTGACTGATTGACTTGGAGCCGTGAAGAAGTCGAATTGGATGTCGGCGTAGTTGAGGTCTTCCACTATGGGACACAACGCATCAGTCATGTGGGTGGATGTGTTTGGGTTGATAACCAGGATCGAGAACTGCTTTTTAGCTGATGTAGACATGATTTTGATTGTAAGTAAATAGGCAGAAACAGTGTTGAATAGACTGTGCCATCCAGACAAACCCGTTCTATTTGTATCCTGGGCGTGGAAGTGTGGAGATAGTATTAGTATACAGCGGAAGTAATGGATTTATGGATGCGGGGAACGGCTTATCGCCCGGCATCTCCTCCCAGTTTCACTTCATTCAACTACTGACGTGCTTCCCATTCCACCATCTCGTAATCGGTCGTTTTATCGTTGATCGAACTGATCTTGAGAGATACAATAACATATCACTCTACTGTAAGTCATCCATCAACACACTATAAATCTGCGTCGTTGTTCCTGTCTGACTGTGTTGCTACCCCGCTATCTTGCAGCGATCAGTCGCATTCCGGTCTTCAGTCCCACAGCCTTCATCACGATACTTTAACGAAATGCCTTTGGTTGCTCAGAACCCCCTTCCCAGGGCCATCCTTGGTCTGATGACCTTTGGGCCGGATGAGTCCAAAGGAGCGCGGATCACATCGCTGGATGAGTTCAACAAGTGTCTCGATTACTTCCAGCAGCAGGGCTTCAACGAGGTCGATACTGCTCGGGTTTATATTGGTGGAGAACAAGAAGCCTTCACAGCCCAGGCAAAATGGAAGGAGCGTGGTTTGACTCTGGCAACTAAATGGTATCCTATCACGCCCGGTGGACACAAACCCGACGTTCTCCGTGAGCGCCTTGAACTCTCCTTGAAGGAACTAGGTACCAACCAGGTGGATATCTTTTATCTCCATGCACCGGACCGGTCGGTGCCCTTTGCAGAGACTCTGGAGACCGTGAACGAGTTGCACAAGGAGGGGAAATTCGTCGAGCTGGGTCTCAGTAACTATACGGCTTTTGAAGTTGCCGAGATCGTTACCATGTGCAATGAGCGCGGCTGGGTGCGACCAACCATCTACCAAGCCATGTACAACGCCATCAGTAAGTTTTTCGACAAGTGCAAAAGGTGCACCCTGCACTACACACCTACTGACCTAGGCCACTGCAGCGCGCTCCATCGAAACCGAACTTGTGCCCGCCTGCAAGCGCTACGGTATCGACATTGTCATTTACAACCCCCTTGCCGGAGGTATCTTTTCTGGCAAATACAAGTCGAAGGATGTTATTCCCGAAGATGGCCGCTACAGTGACAAGACGCACACTGGCGCGGTATACCGCAAGCGTTACTTCAAGGATTCGACGTTCGAGGCTCTGCGAATCATCGAGCCGGTCGTCGAAAAGCACGGCTTGACGCTCCCTGAAACCGCAATCCGCTGGGCGCACCACCACTCTGCCCTCAACATGGAAGGAAACGGTCGCGATGGGATTATCCTCGGAGTGAGCAGTTTCGCTCAGCTGGAAAGTAACCTTCGGGACGTCCAGAAGGGCCCCTTACCTCAGGAGGTGGTGGACGTTCTCGACCAAGCGTGGCTGATTACCAAGGCAACAGCCCCCGATTATTGGCACCTGGATCTGAAATACACATATGACACCCAGGAGGTTCTATTCAGTTCGAAGGCGAAAGCCTAGACGGCTCTAGAATGGCTACTAGCCCTTGGGATGGAGCCCACTACATACATAGCAATCTCATGCATCTATTGAACTCTAGCCCGTGATCCGAGGGATGTAATAAGCTATTTTAAACCGGGAGTCCAGAGTAAAGACCACAAAATACAGACAAGAACGGAGCATTTAGTCAGTCCCGACTAAACTCCAATAAAGGACGGAAAACGAACCCCAGCATGCCAGAGCCCTAGTACACGCCCTGCACGAAGTCCAATCGAGGATCTCGTCCCGAATTCTGGCGCATGTGCATTAGCCAGGATCTTGGGAATTCCACCTCACAAGGCCGGGAGGCCGGGGGGGGCTAGAATGCTCCTACTCGACCATCTGGATCCTCACAGCCCGCAGCGACGGCCCTTACCTTGAGCATGAGCGATATGCCAAAAAGCACATGACGAGATTCACACGAGAACTTGGTCTATAGTCACATTCTGCAGCCTGTCCTGTTCTAGTTAATCGGATAATCGTCGAGGGGTTGGTTGGTTACATTGGGCTTATCTTCTCTTCCTCTTCTCTACCCCAGCGCTCGTGAAGCGAAGAATGACACTGAAACATACATACATGCGGTCTTTAGCGTAACGTGACCATATACACCCTTCACGAAAGCCTTGGAAGGCGTGCATTCAAGGTCCGATATGCTACACTCTACTATGTGATGGTTCCTTGCCATGATACCGATTCCCTCACCCCGTATACTGAGACCCTCCTATGCGGCTACCAAGGAGTCCAACCGTGGCGTCGATATTTGTATCAAGGGGTCTATCTCATTTGATCTCATCTCGACGTTAGGAGTCATGGTATCGGTTATTTTTGCTTCAAGGGTATGGACTCAAGACATCCCATCGCGTGGTACGTTGTGGAGATGAACTAATTCATCTGCATGGAAGTTCAATTCAAATCATTCCCCTTCGGCCGTAACTTTAGATCCCGATACCACGCAGAGGCAATACTATATAACTGGCGCATGAGGTCGCTCCGGTCCCATGAAACTCTATACCTTTGCCTGTCATACCGTATAGGGATCCATCCCCACCTAATCCCGGAAACATGTCCCTAGCCATAGCCAGTCCACTCCCCAAGGGTATATCAACCGCCGACGACAACTCAACAACAACAACAACATCATCATCCTCAGACCTAGAGAAACACGCCAAAGCCACCACCATAAGCGTCACCGAAACGACAACCAAAACCCCCGACTCAAAATGCGCACCGCTAGGCAAACCATCCACCAGTCGCGGATTCCGGTTCCGCCGCTCTAAACGACACGATCCAAACGCAATAGCCACCCAGCCGTCAGTGTTCGACGACCCCGATCTTGCAGATGAGTACCAGCCACGGCCGGATTGGGAGAACATCCACCGGTTTGATCCCTCGGCGAGGTGGACGTGGGGTGAGGAGAAGGTGTGTTGTTACTTGATGTTGGAGTAAGATTTGTCTGTTAGGGCGTGCTGGCTGATGTGCGGTAGAAAGTCGTTCGGAAGCTGGATATGCGCATTATGGTGGGCGCTTGTTTGATGATTACGGCGTTGGAGCTGGATCGGTCGAATCTGCGTATGTTGGATTGGATGTTTTGATTTGTCTTGTGCGCTTGGCGTGTGGGTTGACTGACTGACTGACTGTCTGTAGAGCAAGCCAATGCGGATAATTTCCTGGGCGATCTCAACTTGACGAGAGACGGTATGTTCTATCGAGTGTCTTCTCTCTTTCCCACGTGGCTGGCGCATGCGATGGATGGAGGTCTGACGATTCTAGATTACAACCTGGGCAACACCATCTATCGATTGTGCTACATGCTCAGCGAGATCCCCGCCCAGTGTCTCGGCAAGAAACTCGGAGCGGACGTGTGGCTTCCGATTCAGATGTCATCGTGGTCGATCGTGGCCTGCTGTCAGTTTTGGCTATCGGGGAGAACGTCGTTCCTGGCTTGTCGGGCTTTGATTGGGATTCTGTCTGGGGGGTTTACGCCAACGGTGGGTTTGAGAGAGGAAAAGAAAAGAGAGGTTGAAAGAAGGGAATGCGCTGATTATTTGGTTACCCTAGATGATCTTATACCTTTCCTATTTCTACAAACACCACGAGCTGTCTATTCGTCTTGGGTTTTGGTATGCCGGGCTTTCGATGGCCGATATCCTCGCCGGATTTCTTGCCTATGGGATTCTGCACCTGCGTGGCGTGGGTGGTGTTGCAGGGTGGCGCTGGCTCTTCTTGATTGAGGTATGTCCCGTGGATATGGAGAGAGGACTCGCTGGTTAACCCAATTAGGGTCTGCTCACTTTGGTACTGGGCATCACATCTGTGTTGTATCTTCCTGCATCGCCGACGCAGACGGCAAACTGGATCCGAGGGAAGAAGGGCTGGTTTACAGAAAGGTACGGACGGCTGCACATGTAAGTGTTTGATACTAACAATCAGCAGGGAAGAAGTCGTGCTGGTCAATCGCCTGATCAGAGAAGATCCGAGCAAAGGCACGATGCACAATCGTCAACCGCTGACACCTAAGCTTGTACTGAAGAGCCTCTCGGATTTCGACCTGTGGCCGCTATACATTGTCGGGCTTACCTTTCTACTGCCAAAGAGTCAGTATACGTGTCCCGCGACGGCGATGTCAGGATCCTCCCGGGTGAACTAGGCTGATGATGTGGTTTGCAGCAACGGTGTCACAGTACTTCACTCTGTTCATGAGGGACTATGGATTCGACACCTTCGACACGATCCTGCTGGCCATCCCGTACAATGTAAGACGAGCTCCACGAGGCGCTCACGCTGGAGGCATGCTGACGAGCAGCCAGATGGGTGCGATAGTGACCAAGATCCTGCTGACCTACACCGCGGAGGCGCTGGGATCACTCGCTCTCATGGGGCTTGTCGCGCAGATTTGGGTCCTACCCCTGCTGATCTACATGAACGTCGTGGATTTCAGCCAGAGCAACAAGTGGGTAGCATGGACGATCCTCACACTCCTGCTGTCCCATCCAAGTGGTACGTTCAAATAGAGATTTCTCTAGTGTCGGTGCTCCAGTGACTGACAGCCCCAGCCCATGCTCTTCAGGCGGGATGGAACTCCCGAAACTCGAATAGCGTGCGCTCTCGGGCCCTGGCCGCCGCACTGTACAACATGTGCACGCAATTGTCGGGGATTATGGCGTCAAACGTCTACCAGGACTGTGAGTGTCGAGTGTCTCCCCAGTGGGTCAACGACACACGTATATAGATAGATGTGGCTGACGTGCGAAGGGGATGGACCTCGCTATGCGTTTGGGAACCGCCTTCTGTTGGGGATCGCGTGCACCAACATCGTCCTCTACATCGCGACGAAAGGATACTACATGCTGCGAAACCGCGACCGCGACCGAAAATGGACAGCCATGACAACAGACCAGCGACTTGACTACATTGCCACGACGACCGACCAGGGGAACAGACGACTGGACTTTCGGTTTGCGCACTGAAACCCGGGTGGCGGGTCCCAGTCAACGTAATGGCTGGGGGGAGAGAATATTGGTCATGGCCAAGAAGCTCGGCGCAAAGTCAAGGGGCGGAATGAGACGTGGTTAGTCATTTCCGTGGCGGCGTTAGGTAACTGAATGATGTGGAGGTCTGGAGGACAAGTAATTAAGTGGTTCCTGTTCTTTTTTCTGGGCATATGACTAAAAGATTGAACATGGGTGCCCGCGTTGGTAGGGATTTGACAGTAAGGGGGGCCAGTTCACTATCATTCCTTTGGACACAGCCCTGTGATCGCGTGGCGCCGATCGTTTTCCACTGGTGTTGTTGGTCGGATGGGATGAAGGATGTCATGACGAGTGGGCGATCGGGGCTGGACGGGTCAGCCTATCAGTATTCTTGAGAGACAGTGAGAGTAGGAGTCTCCTGATCATGTCTGATATTATCTCCAGTATTGAGTCGCAAGACAGACGAAGTTATACAAATCAATATATTGCAAGTAAGTTATGATGGTGATGATGAGTCAGCCGGATAGTTGCGGCACTAGTCCCAGAACGGAAGGTCATTGGGCTGGACCCGATGGGTCACGTGTATCCTGCCCGAAGCGGACTAGCGGCGTCCGATCGGCCGCATTCAACGTAACTGGATCTCTCGCCTCTCTCATCTCTCTTTCCCTCTCCTTGACTCTCTCTCGGTGGTTGTCATTTTCCATATTTTTGGTCTTTTTTACTGTGATTATATTTTAGATATTTTTCTTTTTTTTTCACCCATGGTTCTATCTCGAAATATCATCCCTCTATGTCATATTGCAACGCCTCATTCCCCCTGAGTTAATCGGCTTAGTCCATTTGGAGCCTGGCCTTATCGCAACCCGCATCTACCGCCATATCTCTTTTCCTCGGCTTCATCCACGCACAACTTCACTCCATGACTTGACTGTCCATTGGATTCATACCACTCCTCCATTCTTCTGGAAATATCTTCTGTATGGAGAATACGGCTCTTTTCTCCACCATTCCCTCGTTTTTACTTCGTCCGTCGACGTAAGCACCAGTCTTTCCGATCGAGTGCCGAGCATTCCCTAGGCATTCCACATCTCCCATCCTGTACAGGCATTCTCCCCAGGTACCAGATCAGGGCGTCGTGTCTGTTGAGTTTCCGTCGATCGGCATTTTATATAGCTCGATGAAAGGGCAACGGTCCTGAGATTGATACAAGGTGGCTTCAGCGACGAATACGCAACCCCCGGGTAGGAGGGAGGATCGCAGCCTATCCCCCGTTCTCGATTCTTCTGAACCCCACCATCACCCTGATGCCTCCGGTTACGATCACGATTCGGACGACGACGAAATGAATCGGCCACCTATGCGACAGTCGACGGAAGTCGCTCACCCCAATCAGCCGCTGCTGAAGCAAGAACAATCGCGACTGTCCACCTCCAGTCATCGCGATGGTGGTGCAGAAGGCAGGCCCATGCTGCACCATACCCGGCGGCCCACCATCCGCAGTAGGAGCCCGGAGCATACGGCGGATCGGGCCACCCGTCGCAAATATATCATCGCATCTGGTTTTCTGGTCTTGAGTTTGGTCAGTTTTGTCGTTCAGACTGAGACCGCCGTCTATATACAGCACGATTTGGGCTGGGACAAGCCGTATTGCATGCTGTAAGTGTTTCGCCTTTTTTTTTTTTTTTTTTTTTTGGGCAGATGCCTAACCACTGTGCTCGGACCAACAGCTACCTCACGCACGGATCATGGTCTCTCCTCTGGCCCTTCCAGCTCTTGATCTTGCGGTTACAGAATCGGAAAATGACATGGGATGCATTCTGGCGGCGCCACGTCTTCCTGTTGCGCACAACGGGGCAGATGGTGGAGGCCCAGGATATTCATCCCACTTCGCGCCATTCCCCGATTCCCTACCTGCTCAAGATGACGGTGTTTGTCACCAGCGCTCTCACCGTCGCCGGTGGGTCGTGGTATGTGGCCGTGAACATGACCACCGCCAGCGATCTGACAGCCATCTACAACTGCTCCGCCTTCTTCGCCTACGCGTTCTCCATCCCCTTACTCAAGGACAAGCTTCGCGCCGACAAGGTGTTTGCAGTGGGAGTGGCCATTGTCGGCGTGCTCGTCGTCGCCTACGGAGGTCACACTGAGAGCAAGAAGACGCCCGACGGCACGGTGGGTACGCCCCATGACGAGGCGCGAAATAGGTTGCTTGGAAATATCATCATCGGAATCGGCAGCGTGCTGTATGGTCTATACGAGGTCCTGTATAAGCGATACGCCTGCCCCCCGGAGGGCATCAGCCCCGGCCGGAGCATGATCTTCGCCAACACCTTTGGCAGCCTCATCGGCTGCTTCACGCTCTCCGTCTTGTGGATCCCGCTGCCCATCCTGCACGTCCTGGGTCTGGAGACCTTCCGCTGGCCCACGGGCGAAGCCGCCTGGTTGCTCGTCATTTCCGTCATCGCCAACGCCAGTGAGTTTCACTCCCTTTCTCTCCACAACAACCAGCCCCCTTCACATATTTTTGCAATAAAAAAAGACTGAAAAACTAACAACAAACAGCATTCTCCGGCGCCTTCCTTGTCCTCATCTCCCTCACCTCCCCCGTCCTCTCCTCCGTCGCCGCCCTCCTCACCATCTTCCTCGTCGCCATCGTCGACTGGATGCGCACCGGCCAGCCCCTCTCCATGGGCTCCATCATCGGCGGCGTCCTCATCATAGTGGCCTTCTTCCTCCTCAGCTGGAGCACCTACCGCGAGATGAACGAGGAGCGATTAAAGAAGTTGGAACACGAGCAAGTCGAGTCGGGGAGTGATGATTGATTGGTTTATATAGATTGGTTTTTTCCTCTTTTCTTTGAGTATATAGATTTTCCTACCTACCTACTACCTACTACATGTTTCATTTACAAGATTTACTTCTTTTATTATTATTCTTTCTTTTTACCCTTGTGTTTTACCCTTGTGCGTGTGTGGTCTTATCTCTTACAGGTTATTTTCCTCCACTGACCCGCTTGCCATATATAGAAACGACGTGTCTCATCTGGGTATAGATAGACTTTTCGCGTTTATACTTTACTTTCTTTCTTACTTTCTGTCTATTGTTTCATTTGTTTTTACAAGCATCAGCTGGCGCTTTTTTCCCTTTTCTCCTTCTCTTCAATTCAATGGATAGATCTCTCCCCTCCTTTCTGTCATCCGTTGCTTCCATCTCCCTGCCTGGTCGGGATAATTTCAATATAATATATATAGTATAGCGTTATAGTATATCAACTACTCTATATGACCACTACTACTGCCCACAAGTATACACAGGTCCCGTATCACACCGGGTGCTCATTTTTCTATATACTAGCTACATTGAAAACGGGGGACACGGAAGTGTAAAAAAGAAAAATTGAAAATGGAAATGTTGGTGTTGATCTGGGGGGAATAGTACCGAAGAGCCTGGTTGATGTTGAGTCCTTTCATGTATGTAGCGGTGACCGGTCAACTGGTCATGAGACGTTTGTCTAGGTAAGGGAGGGCGAGGGCGAAAGAACCGTGCATCAACAGGAAGCGGGGGTGGTTGTCTGGGGGCTAGACTAGGGAGAAGAGACGGGAGGGGTGTTGAGTAGGGATGAATGCGACGTTTCGCTTTATCTCGGACCGAGCTTGGCCAGGGCGCGAGCGCCCTGTTCTTCCCACTCTTGCTTGGAGACCCACATGTCTTCCTTGTCGGCGATCTGGAGAGAGTTAGATAAGAGGATAGGGGAGGGTTGGGTCAAGGGTTCGTACCAGGTTGGCGAGCACAGCTCCGCCCAGGAACACCATGTGTCTCCGTCGGGGCGGGTCCTCGATGCGCACCTTGAATTTCTGGGACACGTTAGCGGGAGGGGGACTAGGATGGTGATCTGAGAAATCAACATACGTTCAACCGCTCCGGATCTCCTTGGAGGACTCGCGTCAGCCACAGCTGCTTCAGCTCCTTCTCCAACCGCGACGGCAGACCCGGGTACATGCTGCTACCACCGCTGAGCACGACAGCCTTGTACAGACTGGAGCGCACATCGACATCGGCGCCCTGGATGGTGTTGAAAAGCAGTTCGGCGATACCGGGCTGGTCGACGTCGACCAGGTGGGGCTGGAAGAGACACTCGGGGGCCTCGAAGCGCTCGCTGCCGACGCGGATGACGCGACCGTCGGGAAGGGTGTAGGATTCGACCAGGACGGTGGTGTCCTCGGAGAGCTGCTTGTCCAGCTCCAGGTCGTAGGAGACGTAGCAGAGCTTCTCCTTGATCTGGCGCACGGTTTCGAAGTCGGCCGTGCGGTTCAGGGCGTAACCGCGGCGCAGCAGCAGCGCGATCAGGTTACGGGTGACATCGCGACCGGCCACGTCCAGCCGGCGGATGTGGTGGTTCAGGACGGTGGATTCGTAGACGGGGATGACGTGGGTGACGCCGTCACCGGAGTCGACGACCACTCCGCTGCTGAGACCTAGACGGGGGGTCAATCCGACAGTCTCCGAACGGGATCCAGCATGACTATATTCATCCAGCGCACTTACCCTGGGCGTACAGTGCAAGCACAGCTTGAATGGCGACGTATACACCGCCAAAGTTGTAGCCCTCCAACATGGTCTCGCACATCTGCTCGCGGTTCTTCAGGGGGTTCATGGGAGGTTCGGTGAGGAGGATCTTGCGACCCGTGGGATCGATCTTCATCTTTTCGTAAAAGGTGTAGTTCCAGAGATGTTGCATGTCGTCCCATTTCTTCACGATACCGTTTTCCATCTATGTCGGGGGAGGTCGTAGGTTAGCAGCGGAACGGGCACGAGCTAGGATAGTAGGGGGCTGGCTCATGGCGGGAAAGGTCGACTCGGAGCGGTAGGCGAGGGAACGTACAGGATAGCTGATCTGGAGCATAGACCGGGCGGCGGCGGCTTCATCACCACACATGATATCCTTGACGACGATGTCTCCAGCCTGCTCTTCAGTTCGCAGGATGGGACGCCCCACTATCGAGGGGAACTGGTGCTCTGGGAAGTTCTGCGGGGGTTAACGTTAACAGGGATCCCCAGTAAATGCAGAAAATCCAAGAGACAGATATCGTACCTGCGCAGCATATCCAACCTTGAGGAAACCGGTTCCTCCGTCGAGCACTGTGAAGGGAAAGCTGGTTAACCAGGATCGGGCGGGATACGTAACCCGGGGGGAGCTCACCAATGGGCATATCCGCCATGATGGAAGAGGGGGAAAGGAATTCAGGGGGAGCAATCTAGTCAATTCCGGTACGAGAGGAGAAAGCCGTCATGAGAGGGCAGAAGAGGGAACAAAAGGTGGAATCGAGGGACAAGATGGGGGGATGATGGGAAGGTCGCAGATGGAGGAGAGGATGGATATGAGGGGAACAGCAGGAGACGCAGTCACCGCCGTTTGCCTGGTTTGTTCCGTCACTGCCTGAGGCAGACATCTCTCCTTCTCCATCTCCACACAACAACATCTATAGTGGTATCCCCCACGATCATCTAGACGATTCAGATAGCTATAGAGCTAATCGTGTAGACTCGTGGCCATCACTCGGTATATACACTGATTCCGACCCCCCGAGCCCCGTACGCCCGCGTCCGGCCGACATCGGGCCCACCCGGCGGGTATCCAGCACCTCCGTCTATATCAACCGCTGATAGACTTGATATCTGATACACTCTCGACATCAATCCAGCAAGCAGATCCACCTCATCAAGATGACCAGAATCGGCTGGGTATGTTTAACCTCCTTTGCCTCCACAATAAGAACATCCGAACTGACAAAAACAGTACGGTCTCGGGTCCATGGGCCTGGCCATGGCCAACAACCTGCAACGGCACCTAGCCACCAAAAATGCCCTGAGCCTGCTCTACAACAACCGCACCATGGCGCGCGGCGACGCCCTCAAGGCGCTGGGCGGCACGCCCGAAGCTAGTTTCGAGCAGCTAATCGGCAAGTGCGGCATTATCTTCACCATGGTGCGTCTACCCATCGTCAGGGAAGTATCGGATACATACATACATAGTATTATCCTCTACTTCAACCCACAATGCAATGCAATGAATGGCAGCAGCCCATCAATGTAAACAACAAGATAATAACCCCCAAAAAGATCTCCAACGACACCGTCCTCCAAAACCTCATCAGCAAAGCCCTCGCATCCGGCCACTCCCTCAAAGACAAAATCTTCGTCGACTGCTCCACCGTGCACCCGCACACCGTCGGGCTAACCGTCTCCAAGCTCGCCGCGCAGCAAGCCTCCTTCGTCGCGGCCCCCGTCTTCGGCGGGAACCCCATCGCCGTCGACGGCAAGTTGGTCTTCGCGATGGCGGGGCCGAAGCGCGCTACCGACGCCGTGCGTCCTTTGATTGATGGCGTTATGGGTCGGAGGGTGATTGAGTGTGGGGAGGATGCGACGCGGTCGTCGCTTTTGAAGATTGCTGGGTTAGTTTCCTTTCCCTACCTTCATTGTATTGATTTCTATCCGTATGGATATAGAGACTGATTGCTTGACGGATGACATTATAGAAACATCGTCACCGTAAACCTAATGGAAGCCGTCGGCGAAGCGCAAGTCTTCGCCGAGCGAACAGGCCTAGGAACCGCGCCCATGGAGGAGCTAATCGGTGAAGCATTCGGGCCTGTCGCAGGAGGATATTCCAAGAGGTGATCCCCATTCTCTCTCCTTTCCTTTCCCCCCTTCATCTTTACAACCTCCCAAGTTCGAAAATACTAAAAGAAAAATAGATTAACAACAGGCGCCTACGCGCCCCCCCTCAGCACACGCCCCGGCTTCGGCGTCTCGCTCGCCATCAAAGACGCGAACCACGCGCGCACGATGGCAAAAGACCACAACGTCGAGTTGCCCGGGTTGGAGATCGCGCAGGAGAACATGGAGGCGGCGCGCGACTACGCGGGCGAGTGTCTCGATAGTAGTGCTATGTATGGGGTTCTGCGGCAGAAGGCTGGGATGGAGTTTTGGAATGAGAAGAGTAGGGGTGGGGATGGACAATAGATGTGTTTATATATAGAGCATCGTTTAGGTTGAGAACTAGATCCCAATACAGTGTAGGATAGATGAGGTTTTGATTATCATGATAAGCTTCCTTGATTCTCGCTCGTCTTGTCATTGCGCCAAGATACGAGCTATTTGAATATATAAATGTACAGAGAAGGTAATTAGAAGGTGGTGGCACAGGGGTTCCGGACGCGTGTGCGCGTCTCATGCCGTGGTATCTATCCAGTGTCGCTACAAGATCCGGCCCCGACCGTGGGAGATGCCACGAGGTAACAGCAAAGTAGCCATGACTAGACTACAGAGGCCAGACGCAGGCCTAGTTGCATACGGCGACCCGGATCAGGGATCGCCGGGCCTAGTTGGGGAAGTATATATATTCCCAGGCGCCCATCGCCTAGCTGAAATGCCAAAGACACCAAATCCACGATTAAACCCATGAGGGGAGATCTGCTGTGTTAAGCAAACGCTGCGGGAAGAATAATAAACGGATAACTCCGCTACGTTCAACCGGTATTCTTGATTCTGGCCGTCTCGGCCAAGCCAGGAAATGCGTCGACGAAGGCCGGGCCCAGTGTCCAGTTCTGCAAGTTGCGCAGATGGCGCTCAAATACCGGGTTGATGATCAGTTCGTCGCTGTCGCCCGTCGATAGGAGGCAGTCTGTCGCCTCGTACGGCCAGTTGACGGAGAGAGTGCGCGTGTACGGGATGAACCAGCTCTCGAACGGGTAATCCTTGTGCGCCGTGATCACCCGGTCCCGCATACGGGGCCATGGCAGGTAGTCCATCCAGGCTGGGTGTGGGGTGAGGATCTGCGACGGCCGCGGCGTCAGCCACTCCGGCAGGCGGTCGTAGTTCTCCGGCGTGGAGTAGATTTGCCACCGCATCAGGAGGAACATCATGTACAGCACGCCTATTTGCTCGGGGAGCGACGAGATATCCGGGAATGTGCGCAGAACGTCCGTGAACACCTTGGACAGCGGGTGCGAATAGACGCTCATTTCGGGGTTGAGCAACGACGACACGCTGGGATAGGGAGGGCCCACTAGCTTCTGCCTGGGTACGCCTTTGGCCGCCTGGCGCTGTCGATTGTGGAGGAAATCCAGCAGGATCGCATCAAGCGTGCACGTCGGCGGGATGTTTCGCACTGGCGTCTGGTGAGCCGACGCCGACTGGTCCTCGCTGGGAGATGGGTATGCCGAGGTCGGCGTCATCTGCACCGTTGGCACGGCCTCTGCCGAGCGATGAAAGCTCTCCACTCGCGGAACCCGTTGCGACGCGTCGAGGAGGAAGTCGAAGCCCATTCGCTCATCGGCCCCAAAGTCCAGCCCGTGGGCCAGGTGATGGCGCTGGTAATCGAATGCGATGCGGAAGGAAGCCCCTGCAGGGCCTGTCGCACTTCCGCGCCCGCTCGCCCCCAAGATCGGCGCCGAATGGGTGGAAGATGGGGTGCTGGTGATGGATTCGGAGAATGATTGATCGGGCGGGGCCGTTCGATGGCTATTATGAGGAAATGTATGGTGCTCGAGAAGGGAGGAGGCGGACAAGGGGGCTATCGATGTCTGAACCGGGGCGGAACCTGTCGCTGGAGAACCTTGGAGGTGAGTCAACTTCCCAACCATCAACGTCGTAGAGAGAGACAAGGAGAGAGGATGAGACTAACTGGATGATTCATGTTTCCCAACCAGGGGCTGGATAATGTCCATCATCGCCTTCAAACTCCGACGAATCTCGCGATTCTCCGCCTGGATCGCCTCATTCTGCTTGAGCGCGGACTGCAGATCCAAGAAAGGTTTCTGGGAGCTCAGCTCACGGACCTGCAGCTCCAGCGCATCAATATGAGACTTGGTCCTCTCACGAATCGCGCGCTGGGCCTGCCGATCGTTGGCCCGTTTCTTGGCCAGCTGGTCGGGAGTCAGATTTGCGACCCCGCGGGCAGACATGCTGTTCAGCTTGCGCTTTCGCCCCGCCGGACCGCATCCGTCCGTCCCCGGCGTATCCGCGTCGGCGGAGTTAGGCCCGGACGGCGTGGGAGATGCCTCCAGTTTGACGTAGTCGGGATCGAGGGGGGCGGAGGAGGGGGCGGTCGAGTGGGGGATGGACGAGGCGGATTCGAGGGCCGCGGATGATGCTAGATCATCGATATTAGGGATGCGGGTGGCCATTACCTCGCTCGAGTGGTGGTCGATCGAGAATGGCCATTCACATGCGCAGGGAGCGCTCGATAGATGGGAGGGGTTGCGCAGTCGATGGTTTCCAGAGGGACAATCTGGTCAACAAGGGAGGGATTCCGGGAGGAAAGCGTTGGTCGAGATGAGTGGAAGCAGTAGGGCGATCAATATGAGTGTGGCAATTGTTGTAATGACCTCCAACGTCGGCGGAGAGCGATGATAATGTTCTTATTGGAAACGAGCAAGGGAGAAAGAAGGAGAAGGTGAGATGAGTCGGCTCGGCAGGCGTGGAGTTTCTAGCGGCTGGACCGACCACTAAAACAACGGTGGAGAATATATCCCAAACCTAATCCTCACCACCGACCGTTCGATTCTATTTCTTAGATGTCTTAGGATTCCGGATCACTTCGTCGGCAGGATGACGCGAGTGGCAATAGCAACAATTCCAATTGGTAATTTCAAAGGATTGAAGGATTGGAAATCAGCAAGAATCATATGGAAGATATGTCTCTATCATGGAACGAACACCCCTTGAAATTAAACGCCGAGCCACTGACTCAAGAAGATACGGCGGTATCCACAGTGACTCAATATGAGAAAATAAAAATAGAAAAAATGAAAAGACCTGGTCCGGAGCGAGACACACACCAAAGAATGCCAACCAAAGTAACCAAAATCCCAGAGAAAAACACAAGGTCCAGGTGGAAATAGGAAAGGGAAGATTTACAAGATCGGATCCGTCAATGACGCTGCGCTTTTCATGACAACAGAAGCTCCAATGGAGGATGAACATGAACAGAACATTGAGTATATAGAACGAGAAAAAGAGCCAAGAACCCAGCAAATGAAGAGCAGAGACGAAGAAAAGAAAAAAGCCCTCATTGGATCATATGACCCATCTTGGAAATCTGTAGGACGTCGTCAGCAATCAAATCCTCGCGGAACAAGAACAGGAGAGAAACCAACCTTGGTTTGTAAATAGCCCTCAACTTCTGTACTCTTGATCCCCAGCTTCCCCCCAGACCTCCAGGCCAACGGGACCATCGGCACCCGCTCTTTCACCTGCACCTCCCGGTTGGGGCCCTCGACCGCGCGCACCTTGTCCGGGTTGTTAGTGAGGAGTCGAATGCCGTGGGAGTTGGCGTCGGCGCCCAGGCCCAAGTCGACCAAGATGGCCGTGGCCAGACCATAACTCCGCGCATCCGCGGGATGGCGCAAAAGCAGATTCGCCTCAACAGTGTCCGACCCCAGATCCTGCAAGTTGTAGGCCTTGAGTTTCTCCCCCAGGCCGATCCCGCGACCTTCCTGCCGGAGGTAGACGATCACACCCCCAGACGTGTTCGACGGCACGGGGAGGGCAGACTCAGTCTGCGCCGCGACCGCCGCGAGGGTCTCCATCGGAAGCGACATCAACCGGGCGGCCTCGTCGAGCTGTTCGCCACAGTCGCAGCGGGCGGACCACGCCGTCTCGCCCGTGTAGCACTCAGAGTGAATGCGCACCAGCGGCGCTTGGCTGGCGTTACCCTGCGCCGACGACGGACGGACAGGGAGGAGACCGTCGGCCGTCGCGGATCCCTCTTCGTGTCCCGTCTCCTCGTCCCAGCTGCTCAGGCGACCGGGGTGCAACTTGCCGGTGTACGCCCCCCGGATCATGCGATCCATCTCCGTCTCCCCCGGTCGCACCTTGTCCAGACTGCGGCTCCGGATGCTATTTCCGAACACGATCGCGAGGTGCTCCTTGTTGTCGAGATCGTTGTGGTAAAGGTGGAGGAACATTTCCGCGCCATTGGTGGTGGGGATGCGCGCGCGCACGATGCACTCGACCGAGGGGAGACGAGGGAGGAGTTTGGGCCGCTTGCCCGTGGTCGCGGGCTGCGTGTTCGCATCCCTGAGGAGCTGCTCTTGGTTCAAGGTGCCCCCAGGGGTTGCGGGCGGGGTGAAGGACGGGGAGAGGAGGGAGCCGGGGACGGCGGGGGTCATGTCGCCACGGTCTTGCCCCAGGCTGCGGATGTGGCTGGCGGCATCGTTGCGGAGATCCTCGACCCTGGCGGTCCGAGACGACTGTGCCTCATCCGACGGTGCATTCAACGACAGGTCATCATCTACTGCCGGGGCGGAGGGGGGTTGTTGCGCGGAGAGGGTCGGGGAGGCGTGAGACGGGAGATTCGACATGGTGTGGGATGATAGTATTGCGGGGAAATGATAGAATCGAGGGACCGAAATTATAAAGCGACCAAGGTCATCCTTGGAGGCAAGGGACACTCCGAAGCAATTGTTGGAATTGCAAAGAGAATAAATCAACGGAGTAGGGAGGATTGCAGAGTCTCAGGAGTCGGAGTCATTAAGAACGGCATGTGTTTCGGACCCTCGGGATAGCCGTTTCGGCGGGGGAATTCTGGAGGCTGACTCAGCCGGCTAGTTTCATCATCTTTATTTATTCTCTACACAGACTCTCCAGGAAGATAGTTGATATTCCAGCGTCAATTTGATCTCAAAAACCAGCACTGCTAGAAAGACAATTCGCTCGACATTCAACCCCAAACTCCGTAACGCAGTTCAAACCCCGCCGACTAGAGGATAGCCAAAAACCGAAACATTAATAATAGTAAATCCTTCAATGGGTATCACCGTACTCCCCAGATACCTGAAAAAGATAGGAAAGAAGGAAAATATCAAATAGGACAAGTTCATACGCCTTCATAACGCGTCATTTTCCGGGAATGTCCAGGACGAACCGGCGGTCCACCTCCATCTCCTTGTCGTCTTCTTCGCCTTCGAACTTGAGACGGTAGGCCTCCTTTCTCAGACCCATCACCTCCGCTCGGTAAAAGGTCGTGGTGTCCGGGTACCGGGCTAGGACTTGTTTCCCCGTGGTGTACGAGGGCAGGGTCGTCCCTGCGCGGGGGATGGGAATCAGGGAGGCCGCAGTGGTCCGGTAGACGGCGCCCTGTTCACCATTTTCATTTGGCTCCGGATCTTGGACGTCATATCTGTCAGGAGTCAGTCATGCGTCGAATGTCTGAGGTGAAAATAAAGATAAAAAATTAAATAAATATGAACCATATAAGATAAAAGAGAGATGGGGGGTGGAAAGAAAAAAAGGAATAAGATAGAAGATACATACCGTTTCTTCTGGCCGTCGCCAGAGATCTGTTTGATGATGCACTGGATCCCCTCGCCCTCCACTCCCTGTTTGTTCTTGTTGTGCTTGAACACCACCTCGGCGCCGATGGAGAGGATCCCGTTACGCTCGGCCTGCGTGCCCTTGGTGCCCTCGGTGCCCTCTTCCGCTTTCACCGACACGCTGTCACGGCTGTCGCGGCCCTCGCGGGCCTGCGTGCTCGAGACGCTAGTGCTCCGCTGAACACCGCCTTTGATGCGGCTGGCCTTGTCCGACCCGACGGCGCCCGAGGGGCCGGGGGAGTCCGTGGCCGAGCTGTCCATGTCGTTCCGCTTCTTGCGGGACTTGGACAGCGCCGTGGCTCGAGCGAGCGGGGCCTCGGCTTCGGAGGCCTGACGGAGGGCGGTCAAAAGGCCCAGGTTCTTGATGACATCGCTGGGCTCGTCTTGGAGGATGGCCCGCTCCTCTTCGCACAACTTGGCCATCTGCCGGTAGAGTGTGTCCAGTTGATTGTGCTCGGCGAGACTTGGCTCTGTTGATGGTTAGATGGCATGTAGGTCCGTAGAAGATGAGATTGATAACAGGCCAAAAACAGACAGTGTTGGGGGGGATGGCAATCGGGGATAAATAAACATACTGCTACCATCTTTGCCAATCTTCTCGTTCAACGCCGTAATTTGCTCCGACAAGGCTTTCTGCTTGTCATTCTTCTCCTTGGCCTTGCGCAGGTCCTGGAGGATGCGGTTCCACATGTCCGTTTCCTCGTTAACGGCCAGCCCATTGTCACGGGGCACCGGCGGGCCTCTCGGCCTATTACGCGACATGTTCCCAGGTGAAGATACAGGGGGAGCAGGCGGCTTTGTTAAAACCACGAGCTTCCGTTCCTGAGTGATGTGGAGCTTCTGTTCCTGAGTGGTTTGAAGCTTCTGTTTCTGAGCGGTATGAACAGTCGTCCTACTCGGGGTTGAGTCCCTCGGCAGCTTCTGCAGAGCCAACTCTTCCCACTCGAACGCAGAGACTATCTCCTGATGAGCAGAACTGCGCGTTCCACGGGCGGCTCCCTGTCTCTGACTATGGGGACGACAATGAGGGGAAGAAGAGCGATCCGAAGGTGGAGGAGTAATGGATGAGAGATGACGCTGTTGTTTGTGTTCATGATGGGGCCGGGGATCGTTCTTGGCATGCGGGAGGTGATTGGTGGATGCCATCGGGAAAGGGATGTTCGGATGTTCCGATCCGTATATCAACTATAGAGTATCAACCAGGAGAACAACTCTATTGATTTGAAACGGTCGATCAGAAGTTGGTCAGATTGTTGATGAAGATGATGGATGGTCAGTGGGAAGGGGGAAATTGGGGGGGAAGTGGAATTTCAAGTCAGAATCTCTCTTGCCTTCTGGAACCAACTGTCTGTCACTGACTGCCTTGGTATTCACTACATCCTACCAGAGTCAATGTAGGATATCCAGCCATGAGTACTACTTTATAGCTCCTATCACAAGAATTCTTTGAGATATCCTGTTGATTTTACTGGGAAAATTGCTTAATTAAAATTGACGCGTCTAATCTTGATGTCCGCCTGGAACGTGTGATAATAACTCATGATGATTACATGCTCCAGCTTTCTCACCGTTGTTCCTTCAAGTATAGGCACATGAAGGGATTGAAATGAAAACTAAATAACATAGGAGGTAGAAACAAGCCATATTGTCGTTGGGTGGCAGAATAAGGTAAGTCCAGCTACAGAAGGAGCTAGCAGGAAGTTCGTTATAGTAACTGAAGCTATACTAGTATCATGTCTGTTCTGAAGAATGGCATTGAGAGCAATACCTTAATCTCTCAGACCGTTACATACTGTCTATGATACAGATAGTACTCTGTAGTATAAGTTTCATTCCACCCCCTTACCTCCATCTATACGATCTATCCACACACGACTAGTACCTCCAGTCTCCACTTTCAAACCCCGCGATCTCTACCGAGGTTATGGGAATGATAACCCAGCTGAGCCCTGAAAACCCGAACCACTCTTCCCTGTGGAGGATCGTCGAGCGGGGACAAACAAAGCTGTGAAGAGCCCACATGAACCCAGTCATTCCATTCATTATGACCTAGCCAATGCGCCCCCGGCTTGCTCTCCTGTCCTCCCTTACCTTCAACTCCACCCACAGACTTATCTAGCCAGCTACTGAACTACTGGGCTTGCCGTGCTGGTCAAGATCAATCCACCCAAGATAGTTGTCTCTCGCGATGGCTTCACCACCCACCCCACAACCGCTCTCCTTCCTGGAAAAGGTCGACCTCCTCGCAGGCCAGCTGTCCATCGTCGGGTCCGCCCTCTGGACTGTCGTCACGGGCGTGTTTCGCGGGGATAGTTACCCCAAGGAATACAAGATTCATGTGCTGCACTCGATCGTCAGGAAATTGGTGAGCCGGCTGAGTGGCCGACAAATGCAGTAAGTTTCTCTTCCCCGACCAGTTCAAAGGACATTTCACTAAAATGCTGCATAGAGCCCTCACCCCCTCCACCAGCCGAGGATACGAGATCTTCATGAAAGGCCAACGCCTGCAACCAGAGACCGTTGCGCTCCAGCACGGTGCAGCAGGCCACTGGATTGGAAACAAGGACGCGAAGAAAGTAGTCATCTACTACCACGGTGAGTCCACCTCCCACAACCCCACGAACTCATTAAACCAACCAAACAAACACAAACAATCATCCAACAAATACTGATAACAAAAAAAGGCGGCGGCTTCGTCCTCCCCGCCGTCCCCGCCCACTTCTCCTTCTACGCCCAACTAATCTCCTCCCTAAACACAACCGGCCACGACGTCTCCCTCTTCTTCATCTCCTACTCCCTCGCCCCAACAGCCATCTACCCAACCCAACTCCGCCAAGCGATCTCCGCCCTCCGCTACATCCTCACCGACACAAACCGCAGTCCAAGCGACATCCTCCTCGCCGGCGACTCCGCAGGCGGGAACCTCGCGCTCTCCACCCTCCTCCACCTCACCCACCCCCATCCCGCAATCGAGCCCCTAGACGTGTCTAGCCCCCTCGCAGGCGTAGCCGCCTTCGCGCCGTGGGTGAACTTCGGCACAGACGGGGCGTCTATGCGCGACAATATGTACAAGGACTGCATTCCGCCGGACATTCAGCTGATGTGGGCACCGCAGTATCTCCACGGGATGAGTCAGGATGGGAAAGAGAAAGAGAAAGAGAGACAGGGCGATGCGTGGAGTGAGCCCTGTCGGGCGCCGCTCGAGTGGTGGGTTGGGGCGAAGGCCGAGGAGATCATTTTCCTGGCGGGACGGGACGAGGTGTTGTTTTCTGCTATTGATGGGTTTGTGGAGAGGTTTAAGGTTGGTTTTCTCTGTTTCTTCAATTCCTTCCTTCCATTCTTCTTTCTCTCACTCGAAACATCGATTTCAGTGGTTGGTGAGGTTGTCGTATATGCTAACGGTGTAATAGACTGTCTTTCCCAAAACGACGTATTTTATCGGATATGGCGAAACGCACGTCGCTCCCGTGTATAGTAGTCATGTCCTGGGTAGGGAGACGCAGCAGGGTGGGGAGTTGCAGAGGTGGTTGGGGTCTCGTCTGTAGTAACCACATTGTATACTCTATCGATCAATGCAAGACAAATGAACAGTGCCAGACGTAGACACGTATGATAAAAGGATGATACCAGTATCAAACAGTATAGTATGTGTCTGTCTATCTATCACAAACTCGAGCCATAGCCATACATCAACCCCGACAAGAAAACAGGGAACCGAATAACAGGCCTCGCTGGGTAATACCTGGACAATAGAATGCACCGGCTATTGCCATCATAAAAAAAGGTGTTTAAAAAAAAAGCTAAGTGTAATAAGGAAGAAAAATAAAAAAGCGGAAAAAAAGCTCCAATTGCAAGCAACCCCAACCCATGAATGAACGGAATGACAAAGAGAAGAGAAGAGATGGATTATGCTAAGAAGACACACGCGGGGCGTACTTGGCGGCGGCGACGTCGAACAGGTCGCTCTTCTCTTGGATGTCGGCCAGCAGGGCGTGCGAGGGCTGGACTTGCCTCAAGCGTCTGCATTTGATTTCAACTGTTAGTATCGAGGTATAATAATATAGAATATAAGAGTGGGGAGGAACGCACGATTCCATTTCTTCCGTCGGCTTTCCAGCCAGCACGTTCAGCACAATAGTATTGGAGATCAACTCCGCCTCTTCAGGATACTTCTCCAGAGCGGTCGACAGCGCGGCTTCAGCCTCGGGGATGCGACCCAGGTGGAGCTCGGCGACAGCCTGTCCGACAATGGACAGCGGGGCGGACGAGCCAGGCGCAGAGGCCAGTTCCTCGTAGACGTAAAAGGCCGATTGGTATTTCTCGCCGCCCTGGTAACACAGCTCCCGTTAGCACACGCACAGCACACAACACCAGGTGAGACAGGTGAAACCGGTTTCTCAAAGACAGGAAAGGGTACAACGTACGACTCTCAATCCAACCCACGACTCGGCCAGATTAACCAGAAGCGAATCCTGAGCCCAGCGCTTCGCAGCCTGGACCTCCTTCAGGGCGAGATCCGCCCGATTCTGCTGCAGGTGAATCTGCACAATCAAGGCAACACTAGAAACCACCAATTAGCCAACCCATCCACCAAACCATATTCCAGCACCTCCACCCCCCAATGGGATAAAACATACGCTTCCAAACTCCCCTGATGCTTAGCCAACAAAGCCAACGCCTCCTCGCTCTTCCCGAGCGCCTGGAACACCGTCCCACCCAGCACCTGCACGGTAGCATTATCCGGGTAATTCTCCGCTAAGTCCTGAGCGAGCTGAAGCGCAGACTCCTCGTCGGCAGAGGCATGCTGCGCGAGCGCCTTAACAGCCGCCAGGTCCGGGACGCTGTCGTCGCTGCTGATCTCGGCGAGGGCGCGGTCGGCCTGGCCCTGGGCGATCAAGGCTCGGAGCTTGAGCACGCGCGCGGGCAGCTGGTTCTCGGGGGAGAGGGCGGAGGTGTCGAAGTCGATTACGGTCTCGTATTGGCCTTGGTGGAAGGCATTGTGGATGTTGATGAGCTCTGGGGTAATTGGTTGTTAGCTATCAGCTAGGTAGGTAGCTGGTAGGTACACGTCTATAGGGTCTTGTGTCCGCATGTCGGAGAGCTTGCGAGGGGGGAGAAGAGAGAGAAGGGGGGTCGGGGCTACTCACCACCCTCAGCGGAGAACGGATCCATTGTGTATTGAATAAAAGACGTAAAAAAAGATACCAAAGAAATGTAAAGCTTGTCGTTGTGTTTGCGCGGCAGAGCAGATAGGTCCAAGTGTAGATAGATCAATAGATACCTTGCAGCGGGGAGACAACAGAAAGTCGTCACGTTGTCTTTTCCCCGTGACCTGGCTGACCGCTCGCCCAGAATCCGTTGTAGGGGCCCAGCAACCAATCACCAGCTTCTATGGTCTAGTGGCTATGACATGAGTCTCATATCTTATCAGGATGTGACATTGAGGTTAACCTCGGTGAGAAATCTCAGGGTCCTGGGTTCGACCCCCAGTGGAAGCAATTCTTTTTTTCTTTTTCTATTGTATCTCCATCTAAACAACACGTTTAGGGAGGTCTCTATCTACCCATGTCGATCGTTGATCAGTTGGAGTGCATTGTTTTTCTGCTAATTTTATAGGTATATGTGGTTATTATCCAACTACAAGCTACAACATGATACAGCTACAAGGAAAAAAGTCAAGTCTGAAATGTTATATATGCAGCCAAAGGCCTAGAACTAAACGAGCGTCCCAGCGCGTCTTCCATGACGGATAGATAATAAAACAAAAATCGAAGAAATATAATAAAGCGAAAGACAAGAACGATGTTTCATCTCCGCCACGCCGCACCACTGCCAGAAGGCTGGCCGCGAACAGGCTGGGGCGGAGAGAATAATGACGAATCAGTCAATGACTCGATTTCGCAAGGACATAATAGTACTATGCCATGCATACATGCACCAGGCTTCGCCATTTGTTGGGGTATGCAATTTTATGTCCGAAATGCAACCAGTTTGAGCGACGTGACTGACTCCCCGAATGCGACTGTCCATGTCCAATGATAGTGATGATGATGATGATGCTCAGAATGCGTGGTGAAATGCCGCCGGTAAGTAACCCTTGCCCTAAGACCAACCAACCCATACCATAATGCTAGCAAAGAAGAAAACAAATAATAAAAAAGAGAGACAACCAGACTCTCGATAAAAATGAGGCAAAGAAGAAAAACACATAGAGGGTATCGCCAAACATGAACAAGTGATCATCCAGTGACAAGAATTAAACACAAAAGATATGATAAAATATAGCAACGGCAAAGGGGGGGGGGCTGGGTGGGAGGCCACTGATCCATTGCGACAAATCTGCAAGACGAGATGGGCTCCTCTTATTGCTCAACAACGTTCAACAGCAAACGAATAAAAACGAAAAAGACAACAGTTGGCTAAAATAGATGCGACACAAGCTGGCGGAACTCCTGCTTCCCTTTATATTCTTGGTGTAAGAAAAATCAATCGAACGATGCGGGGACCAGAAAAAATAAATAAATCACTTAAAGAAGAAGGAAATGGTAGAAGCGAATGATGTAGACGAATGTTAAGGCGGCAACGACGCAGTCGATGTGGTGGAAACGGTGGGCGTCAGAGCCGGAGACGTGTTCCCCTCAGGGCTTGGAGGCGTCTCGCTGCTCTCCTTTTCTCTCTCTGTCGAAGAGGTGCGCTTGAAGACGGTCTGGCCGATCGTTCGGAGAATGCCCATGCGCTCAGCCCGAAGTTCCTCTGCGTCAAGTCGATGCACGGAGATAGGGGTCTCCTTGGTGATTTTGCAGAAGAGCGTGGAAAAGAGGTACTGGTCACCGCCGGCGTCGAACAAGGGCAGGTACCGGTAGCCCTGGGAAAGGCTGCTCAGTTTCGCGGTAAACGTAGCCAGCTGAACACTGCCGTTGTTCCCGGTGCTGCGCCCGTCCAGAGAACTCCAGACTGTCCACCGGACGAAAACCAGATCGGGATATTTGGTCTCCAGAGACAGCCTAAAGCGATCATTGAAGATCGGGCTGTACCCGTTGCTCTGCTCGATCTTGGTGCGGCGACGATGCGGAAAACCAATGCCGGACATGCCGTTGCGCGCGGATGCGTCCATGCCGCCCTCGCCGAACACGAAGCTTTGGCCGCGGTCATCAGCGCTGAACATCTCAATCTCGACGTAGGGATTGATACTGTCATCCAGGCCGATGCTGCGAGGACGCGGCAGCTGCTGCGCGGAAATCACGTCGACCGAGAATCGCACAAGCTTCCGTTCCGTAATCTTCCTCCTCTGCTCGTCAAACGAAGTGGGAGAGCGAAGAGACTCGGGCTTGAGCACGTAACCGGTGCGATCGCTGCCGGCGGCGAACATGGCCTGGTTCAACTGCATGCCGACATCGTACGTTTGCCAGTTCAGTGCCGCCATCTGGACGCCACGGCGCCAGAACTTCAAGGGGTCGAAGTTGGACGAACGCAGGCGGAAGCCAGAAGGATATACGCGCGTGAGGTATTTACGATTGTGCTTCTCCAGCTGGAATTTGTTCTCGGTGTCCCGGCAGATTCCCTCGAACGACCGCTCCGCGAAAGAGTACACATGGTTATACCGCTGAGACTCGGCGGACGCGAAGCTGTGCCACTTGTATCCTCGGGTATAGACGCCCAGATCCGACAGCGGCTTGGTGATCTTGCTCTTCTGCCGTTTGCGCCGCTCCTTCTTGGCGGACACCAGCGCTCCGTCGCTGTCTTCCGTAGCGCTACTCATACTCGCCGTGGTGACCGACCGCCGGTCCTGTGTGAGGAACGAGCTCACATTATCGAAACCGAGCGTCGGGGGGCTGGATAGAGACGGGAGACCGGCGACAGTCGCGCTTTCCATCATCGATGGGCGCAGGAACGGGGAACTGGCGCTGCGCTTGCGACCGTGCGTGGCAGTGCCTGGATTCGATGCCGACTCATGCTGCATCTCGTCGCAGGTCTTCACTTTGACCAGGATGCGGCCCTTCAGCTCTTCGGGAGACGGAAGAACGAAGGCGTTGGTCAGCAGCGGCTCTAAGATTAATTGGTCCTTGAACGCGTCTTTCATGATTTTCACCATCGCCAGCTGCTGCTCGGGATTGCAGTGCACCTCCAGGGAGAGAATCAGGGGAAAATCGGTGGTGATGAAGGCGTAACGGTTGATGACGGTGATGCAGTCGGCAAACAAAACGCTGGTGGTCATGGTCCGGCCATGGGAGACGATCGGTCGGCCGTCCGCACCATCCCAGCAGTCAATCTCGACGCAACGGCATCCTTGGGACAGGGCGCTGATGTACGCCTCGGTACTGGAGGCACCGGCCACCTGGCGTCCCAAGAGGTACGTGTTGTGGGAACTGGATATAAAATACTCGTTCAAGGGTCGATCGAACCGCGACTGGGGAGCGCGAGAAGCGTAGACTCCGTTCCAGGACGAGGTCAGAAATGAGGTGAGCGCCTCGAGGCCCATGCGCGAGACGTTCTCGCCGGCTCCGGGTTCCGGGGTAACCTGCCCCCGGGACCTGGACTTCCGAACGAACCGGTCGAAGACGGAAACCCAATAATTTCGATCACTGACGACGTCCTCCTTCTGCACGTCGCGCAGAAAATTCAGAAACTCATCGAGGGTGAGACCCGCCTTGGGCTCGGCGGCAGTGGCCTTCAGAATTTCTTTCACGTCTTTCCGCTCCTTCAGGCGAGCGACAAAATCAACAAACTCCGCAAAGTTGAGTTTGCCCTTGCTGCCGAGATCAGCCTTGGAAAATTGCGCACGGAGCATGTTCTTGGAGCAATTAATGTGTAAACTCCGACAGACGCTCTCGACCGCGTTGAAATCGAGCCGTTCCTGCTCCCCGGGCCGGAGCCCCAGCGGGAACAGTCGGGACATCTCCCTTTGCCAGTGGGCTTTGAGAACGGCTTCACTCTGACCGGAACCAGCCAAGCCAGCCATGAGGCCAATTCTATACCGGGAGATGTCCTCGAGGGTCGTGGTCCACAGATCGAGGATGCGGTCGTTGGGGGCGATGAGATGGAGGATCTTAAAGGCGCGACCCTTGGCCCGCTCGGCGTCGGCAATCACGACCGTGAACCAGCGCCGCTCCGCGTCTTGCGGGACCTGGTGCTCCTCGCGGTAATTGCGTGCGTCCGCGCCAACGCGGATTTCCTTAATGTCATCGATGTAGAACCGCTTGGCCGGGTTCGACACATCCCAATACACCTTGCCCGCGTCGAGATCGAGGAAGAATCGCACTTGCTTTCTTCGCTTCTTCGTCACCTTGGTGAGGATGGTTCCGCGCTGGATGGCTGAATCGACCTTGGGGGCAACGGCACCCGAGTTGCGCGACATGGCCATCGGGTTATCACTCGGTAAGCTGGAGGCCTCCGAGCCGCACCAGACACCCAGCGCGTCCAGGGCATCGTTGCTGTCCTCCTCATTGCTGGAGTCCAGGGCATTGTCCCGCGCGGCGGGATGTTGCACCCCCGTCTTGCTGTCGCTCCGTCGGCGCATAATGACGGGGCCAGAGCTGCAGTCCCGCTTGTCGTTCTGCGAGGCCGACTGCCGCCGCCGGGTCAGCTTGTTGGCCGCACCGCGGGATATCCTGCGCATCAACCCCGGACCCTTGTTTGGGTTTGGGATGATGGGGTCCCCCGAGCCGGACGCACAGGCATTTCCCGGGACTGCCATCACAGTCTCGCCGAGCTCGAGCGGAGTAGGAGGAATGGAATTGAAAGAAGATATGCGACCACGGAGTCCCTCTGAGGCAGGTTGTAAGGGGGTACTCGAGGAGCTCGAAACATTCGAGGGAAGGGAAGTCGGGTGGAGAGTATTGGACGTCGAGAAGTAAGAGGCGGCGTCGTATGCGGGGGCGGAGGAGGGATTGGGAGCGGGAGGGAGAGAAGTTATGACATGATGCAACTTGGGGGGTTGAGGGAGGGAAGTAGTGAGCTTTAAATTGGCGTGGGAGTCGCCATTCATGGTTGACGACGAAGTAGCGGCGTAGGCCATCGCGGCTCCTTCGCGGTCAAGCGTGAAACTGTCAAGCTGTTGTGAACCGTGCCAATAGTCGAGTCACCTGGACTCGTGAGGGGGACGAATGAACAACAGCGCTGTAACCAAATATGCTTGGTTTGTAATGGTGGGCCTATAGCTCAGCTGTAGTAATACGAGCCTTAATAGGGAGCGTGCCTGGGTGAGCGATGGTAAAAGCCACGTCCTTAGCGGGATTGCTCTGTTTTTGATATCTGCATCTTGGCCTGCCTTTGATGCAATGCGGAGGAGCCCTGTGCGGGAACACTCGCGACGAAGGAATCCTGGTTCCTGATAACAAGTGAGACAGGCACTGATTTGTGTAAGTTTGACTCCGCACAGGGTATTTTTTTTTTCTCTCTTGTCGTATTGGGAAGGTTTTTTGCTTTCTCTTTTTTTTTTTTTTTCAAAAAAAGAAAAAAAGCAAAGGTTGCGAACTGCGGCGTCGGATCGCTCACTGGGATCGGAGTGATGATTTGTCGCCAAGTAAGAAGCCCCTTTTGGAATCGATCTTCGGCACGTTTCTTGATATCGGTTCAACCTTTTTCTCTTTTCAACCCCTCGTCCAATTTGAAACACTTGATTTACCCCTCTTCGATCGGTGATCGTTTGATGCGTGGGGAAAGCTGTCTTCCTGCAGCAAGACGGGTGCGGAGATGACTCCGATGGGGAGACCGTTACTGGCAGACGAGGTTCTTCCTGGCTCGAGCCGGCGCAAAGTAGTTGGTCGAGGCAATAACCAGCGAACGGACGCAAGGGAGAGGCACGAGAAAGACCAAAAAAAAAAAATTAATCGAAATTAAGGACAAGGCAAAAGAGACACCGAAATCAAGGCGAACACTAGTATTAATTTCCAATGACAGGGTTCTGCACGTCAACCAGGCCGTGTGCGCTGCGCATGTGGTTGAGGGTCAGCAGAGCCCCTCCGCAAGACAGCTAGCTGTATGTAAGATACCGAACTCGAACAGGGAAATTCCGCGCTGGATTGACTGGACGGGGAGTTGGCGCAAGGCTGCGAGGGATGGATGGGTAATCGGCGACGAGGATGGAGGCTGCAATGCAGGATTGCCTGACAACACAGTGACGCAGGAGGTCCAAAGAGGAAGGGCGCAGAGGAGCAATCGGAGACTGGACCGAGTAAGAGAAAAGCGCGCGGAGTGTCGCAATGGTCTAGTGCGTGTTTCGATGTCTAATAAGTTGCCCAGCTTGTCCTGCACGGTTACGTGGAAAATGTACTGAAAAAAAGGACCTGCAGCCAAAAGAAAAGAAAAGTGGTAAAAAAAAAGGCCGCCAGTTGAAGTATATTGTCAGGAAAGGCGATGATCATGCGACGGGGAAGGCGGACTGGCGGCAGGGTATCTATCCTTCGTTCCCGGGTTTCGGATCGGTCCCAAACCTGTGGATTGTTTCGACAAGAGAATAAGAAAGTTGAATTGAATTGATAGAGGAAGAGGAAGGAAAGGAGAGAGTGGGGGGGAGCTGGAATAGAATTTCTGGGAGACAAGAGAAAGTCGAAAGATGTTCGACGGGTCTTCTTAAGAAAATGTTGATCCAGCAAAGAGACCCAGTGAGACAAAGGCGGAGGGCATAAAAATAATAAGAATAATTGATCCAAAGAATAATAAAAAGGAATTTCAAAGCTCGAAATTCGAAATTCGAGAAAGCGCTGGACTGTTTCAATGGAAAGAAAAGCAGCTGGAGTGGAGTTTACCGTGGAGTACCGAACTGACTAGCTAAGGCAGTAGTACGAGCTGGTATCGTATTGGTTTGGTCGTATTGTCACAGGTACCCGTTTTGTCGGTCAGGTATGTGACAGCGAAAAGACGAGAAATACCAGAGAAACTACCCAATCGGGCAATACGGGGAGGAGCTCGGAGACGGAGATAGATGGGTAATAATGATATAACCACCCGTCAGCGATATGGAGGGGTTATGTAGAACTCAACCCGACTCGGCTGAGAATAGATAATGATAAAAATAAGATAAGAGGGAGATGAAGAATTTCAAGTAAAGGTAGGTCGAACCCTGTCTTTTCAATTATCTCTGTTCTCTGCCACAGGAAAGAGAAAGAGATCAAGAGATAGGATGAAGACAGTAATGGGGCGAAAGGAGAAAGGATGAAACGGATCTATATACTGAAATTCCCAAGCTGGCGAGCAAGGGAAAGGGACGGTCAATTCTGTCATCTAGTCCAACTGGGCCGTTATCGCTGGGCATAACTGGGAAGGTTGAAGTCTGTTTTGCAGATTAAGGTGTGAGATCAAATCAAATCATCTCATCTCATCACATACTCCGTACACCGTAGGAACAACGGCGGCCCAAGCAGTCAATCTCCTACCCAGTAATCAGGCATCCTTTCTATTCTTTGTTCTGATTCTTTCTGTCTTTCTTCTGCTTCTATTTCTGCGTTTCTCTTTTTTCCTTTCATTTTGTGACTCTTTCCAACAAAGAAGAAAATTACTAGGATCTACCTGACTAGACGTCATCGCCCGATCGTATTCTCTCAGGAGTATTTCATTGCTTTTTTTCTTATTTCCTTTTCGGCTTTCGCGCCATCTGCCCGGTGAATGGAATTCCGGGGCTCAAAGCCTGAGGTCATTGGATATGGGATACCCCGAGTTAGGTATGGCGGACATAGTACCACCTCTTCTCCCAATCCCTGCATCAGTATGCGGAAATTACTTTTTTATTCTTGTTTTTGTTCGGGAGTGTACCTAAGAGAATGGGGGAAAATGAAGAGAACAGAGGAGGATTACCCCCCATGGTCCCAGCGGTCAGGCCGATCGGTTTCCTCCATTGGACGATCATCCCTTGGACTTGTCAATCTTGACAAGTTTGGATGATGATAAGGGCGTTTCACATTTCCAGAGCAGAAGAATGTGACCCCTGATTGGTATGATGGGATCGAGCTTCGCCTTGGGGATGGGTGATCAAGGAGAATGACTGGCATACTCCGTTTGAAAAGGGGGGTGGAGGGAGAGGAGAGGGAAACAAGGGGGGAGATCTCTCTCGAGCCATGTGCATCCTCATCATAGGTGAGCGGTAGATAGTCAGTGGTTGGTGGGGACGTTCCCATTCCCATCGTCAGTTGGTTGTTACAGAAGTCAGTAGTCTGTTAATCCACAGGATCCTTATTCATTCTCCCGTTGTCCATCCAACACACGGTCACGCCGTATTCAGTAATCCGGCGTGGTTTGATAGCCAGATCAACAGTGGTCTTATCCGAGGCTTTAACATTCTCTGGAAAACCATGGCGATGACGGTCATGGAGGTAATAGAGGTAATGGCAATAACCAATACAATGACCTCAGACTTAGCGCCGGTTCAAAACTAATGCCTTACCGGCGATCCACATGGATGCGCGATAGGCAGCCATCTATTTTTTTCCATACGAAGCTGGTAGGACCTTGGTGTATACCCAATGACACCACAATATATCCGTTCAGTTAACGCTTAGTGGGAGTCCTAAGGCACCGGCACGATGGTCCTCCGGGGAAGACCTCAAGACGGGCAAACGAAGCTTCTTCTCATTGGGTCTTGTTGGGTTTTCCACTTCCTTCAACTCCTCCTTCCGACTTCATCCATGAACCCATAAGCTTTTCCTCGGTATGTGTTAATACGGAATATACGCTAGGTACTATCGACAATAGTGAGTACTGAATAGACATCATCATCCCCCTTTTTCCCTTCCTGTGGACGTTCAACACAGTGGAGATGTTCTCTCAGCCTGGGGCAGCCGTAGCCTGCACACCATTACCCATGTGCCTTAGCATCTAGTACTAGGATGGGACCGGATCGAGCTTCAGTCCAATGACGGTACACTTCCTCTTTACTCTTCTTCGGGGACTTCTGACGATCAGATTCGGTGACTAGTCACATGACCGTAAACAAGGGTATCCAGCTAGGATAGATCAAATGTTCAAATCACATCCATTCAATCATAGGGGATGTCCACACTGATTGGACTCTCAAGTCCGCACCCTCCGGAGAAGAACACAAGAGAGGTGGTGTGGGGGGTGGAGAGAACGGGCAGGAAGGGGGAAGAAAAGGAGGACCATCGACGGTGGGAGACGGCAGATGCCGCTCGTGTCTATTCGACATGGCATCATTGTGGAGTTTTGCAAAAGTGGTTCTCTTTGATGGGTTCACCGGTTGGTAAGGCAGGCGGGGACAAGACTGTTGAACCACTGAAAAGGTTTTGAAATTTATTATTTTTTACTTTGGTTGACTCATTTCCAGCGCTTCTGTTCTGTTTAGCTGAACGCGGGGAAGAGAAAAAAAAATTAAAGAAAGAAGGAAAAATGAGCTAGTGCGAGATGGGTAATTTATGGGGCGGTATGGATATGTATTTGTAACTGGTTACTGGAGTAAGGCTAACTCTGTTACTTACGGAGAACGGGGGGCCATACACAGCATACCTTGACCGTGAAAGATGATCTTAGTCAGATGGAGTATCCACTGGTGAGGCTGGAGCGGTGGCAGTGAAATAACAGTCGGGGCGGTGCGGAAAGGGGCAGGCAATAAAAGTCGACTGATCGTCACCACAATGGAGCGGTAAGGATGATGAAACCACGATCTTAAACACTAGCCGGTAGATCCATTAGGAGAGGGAAACCCCGTACGGCCAGTAATATTCTGTATTTCTATGTCTCTGTGGGGCGCTTTTCTTCCTTTTTCTGACTTTACCTTCCTCTTTTTTTGTTACACCTGTCTATTGAGTGTTGTCCATCCTTACATTGATTCATTCAACGGCCTCATTTCTCCTATCATATACAGAAGTGAAATAACAACCTACGCCTTGTCAAATGTTTCACTGAGGCAATGTAATCCAGCATCATCCTCCAATACCAGACCACCCGTCAGGAGTCCAATCTCCCCGACACAAGATCCATCCATACCTACAGTAAGTAGGTTCTCCGTACGACGGTTTTATTTTTGGCCCCCTCCGGAGTACACCGCTTTTACTCGATTGGATTATCCGTAATGTCAGCACCTCAGCCTCCTGAACTTCCCATTCGTTTCTTGATCTCGGCCGTACGCGACCTTGATTATAGGCCGGTGTGTCCGTTTCCTTGATAGTAGAGCACGCGCCTTGTTCTTCTAATCTATATAGAAAGGTAAATATATTTCTCTTGGGACGGCCGAATAAACCCACGCGCATCGCTGTCCCCCAGCGTGCATACTATCTACACACCAAGGTATCGTCCATTACTTTACGTATTGAAGGTCGGATTATAGATGCGCCTCGGAGTAGGGGATGATTTCAGCTCCTCAGGCAAACCAGCTGCGAGGTAAACCGCGCCATTTTTTCTCATACATAGAAAAAGCATCATCATGATTTAATGAAACAATTTGAGAGAAAAGCAAATAAGCAAGAAAAAAGAAGTAAGACGAAAAATGTCGGCTAAAAAAAACATCATGTTCGGGGAGTGGTGTTTCCCAAACCCCGCACGTAGCTAAGCCACTTCTTGCTGAGTTGGCGGTGGTGGATATTTCCCTCTTGTCCGGATATCTCAGCTCTCTCTGTCCATCCTCTAGTTACTTGTCGTCAATCCACTCGCTCCAGCGGTCTGCGGTCTGTGGCCTGTCCAACGGAGCTGTTTAGTCTCAGATTTGTCTTGATCTCCGGTCGGCCGCAGAAATTGCCTCTCCTCATGACGATGCGGACTACTCTACTACGTACTAGGTCATAGGGCAGGTTTTCCATCGTCATGTTGTGCGGGGTTGGGACAGGTCTACAGGATAAACCCCCCATCTTGTCTGCAAGGGTTTAAGATAAAGAATAGGATGATAAAAAAGCAAATATAGCGAGGCTATCTATTCGCCTGCTGCTGCCACTGATGATACGTCTATCGCTACAATAAAGCTGTCATTGTTTACAGTGACATTTGATAAGGTGCCTTGGGTGGTGATAAGGAAATGTCCCCGCCGGGCAGCGTCGGCTGAGGAAAAGTAAAAAAAGGCCCAAGACGGGGGGAGGCTTGTTGAATGAATCGAATATTCCTTCATCCTTCCATTGGAGCAAGGTCAAACTTCGGTTCCGGGACGTAATTATGGTAACCTTAAAATGTCTCAGTATATACCCAGTCTAGCAGCTAGTCCCGTTCAGGATCAGGACATTCTTCCTCTTACTAGGAAGTCCAATGGTTCGGGATGGGTCCGCTGACCAACAAATCCCTACAATCCCCGAACCCTGGGGCTTTAGCTCGTACAGCATGCAATCTTGTTTCAGGAATGCAGCATGAAAGGAAGACAGAGTCAGGAAAAAGGGAGGTTCTGTATGGCTGTGCGGATGCCCGATGTTTTCCTTCGACCAACTGCGGGTTAGTCCCTTCTGATACCGATACCCTCGCGGTTGTGGCGGCATGGAGGCTAGTGCCTTGCTCTTTTGTGAGTGGACATGTCTCATTATTTGACCATGACGCAAGGCAGATTGCATGTAGTATAGGTAGGTGCTAAGAGTATGGAGTGCAGTTGCAGTACATTCACGGACCCTGGTCCGCATACAGTTGGTACTGAGCAAGCACTGACATGCGGGGACCAGGATGCTGACGATAGAGCCGAGTAGCAGAAGAAATTGAACACTTCTCATGTGGAGGGTGCGGTATGTGACTTGTCTGTCTGCCGGGGGGCAAGTCCGGCTGCATGAAGATGGAAGTGGTATGCACATATGAGCACATCACGGATAATCTAGGGACGGATAATAAGGGCTGTTGATACTTGATAGTGGTTAGTACCTAGGTACCTCTCCCACACGCAGGTTCAGATGCCTTGAGGTGGTTTACCCCTCCTTTCGCCACCAGTTATCCCTGAGGAGGGGGAGGGGAAAAGGATGAGTATGTTGTCACCGTGGTGCGGTGCGGTGCCCATGCTCAGCACGTTTTTGAGTCTGACCGCTTCCTCCCCGACAATTAGACGGCTGGGAATGGGGGCTGGTGCTCCTGATGACCCAAGGCGGGAAAAAATGAGGGGCTCATTCTCAGTTCCATTTCCTCGGCTCGTCTCATTCACTTGCGCTCTGGCGTGCCACGAAGTCATTGGAGTGAGGAGATTGCAACGATCTCGTCGTATCCTATCATCATCGCTGGCTCTCCTGACTGGAATTGTGGCCTATGAATGACTCTTCATTCGCGCTGGCATTCTCCGGCTGTCTGTCACTTCAATGTTGGAACCACGGACCGATTGGTAGGGAGGTAGGGTACGGAGATAGAAAGGTCGTACCAACGTGTAGTATCCAGTAACAAATGAATCTCTAATATTGTCCAACTAAAAGATTAAGATTATCCCTGTCGGCTAGGCAACAAAGCATCGATATTCTTGTCTTTATTCTTATTTTGATTATCATTCATTACTACGATAATTACTACAATTATTACCATTATTATTACTATTATGATTATGTCTTAGTTTTGGTGTGGCCGGGATTTTACTAGGTAAGTCGGGAGGCCTGAGGTACTAAGGATTCAGTTCATTAAGTGAGCGATTGCAAGCGGTCATAAATCATTGGCCCGTCCGGGTGTATCTCGTGGGGGGGTTTGACTGGGTTTGACTTGGTGTGGAAAACGGTGTGGCCCACTCTTGACAGCTTCCAAGCCTCTTCCATTCCTAATCAGTAAATTATCATAGCGGGTTAGCTTTTTTTTTTTTTTTTTTTTTTTCTTTCACGGTCAGGATCTTGCATCCGAGAACTCCTTGCTACGATCACACAATATTGAGACTACACCACCCGGGTCATCCGTGTATCAAAGAGTATGTAGAATGGTACAGTACGGTATTCAATTCCTTTCAATTACCAAGTCTTGTTTTTTCTGGTTTTCTGTCTGTTTCCCTTCCGTCTTGATTTCTCATTCACCCGCCCTTTTTTCATTACCCCACCACCATTCCATGCTCATCGGCTTTTAAGAAAGGGGAGAGGGACGATCTCCCTTACTACAAAGTCCTCGTATTGGTTATTCATCGGAGAAATCCCTAGTCAGTTTTCATCCTTAATTGTAGACAGGTTCAATGGTAGCCCTGGATGGGCGGAGTAAATGCTGTAGGAGGTTATGACATCATTAATTTCAAAGCATGCCAGACTCAAACGGAGGAAGGTAGTATTGTTAACAAGGGGTCTCCACTCCCAGGAATGGATGCAGGAATTAGGGGGGAGACTGGACAGGGCAGAGAAAAAAATAAAATAAAATTAGGGAGATACGGGGAAGAACAGGCTTGATTGTTTCCACCATAGTGGTTATAGTACCTTAGGTAAGATACTGACAGTACCAGTGTTATTGCATTCGGGTGTCAACCTCGCATGACAGCAAGGCTGTCATGTAATTACCGTTTAGCTCGTAACTTCAATACAATACAATTGAATCCCGACACTGACAGCCCTAGGGTGGTATCGTGGGAGAACCGTTCGCTTTAGATCAGGGGATTTTCGCTTCAAATCCTTCTGTTCATCTCCTTGGGGGGAAGAGGAGAAGAGGAACAGTAATAGTAGGGTTACCTCTAGTCCACCTTAGGAGGCTCCCACCTTTGACTGGGATCCTAGACAAACCCATTATTGACATCCTTTCTGCCCCCCCCTCCTTTTCTTTCTTTTTCTTTCTTCAGTTGTTGATCTTCAGGAGAGACGGCTCAACAGGCCAGTTTGTACCCCTCCTTTTTCTTTCCTTCCCAAATCACTTTCTTCCTATCTTCTTGTTCTGTGTTACCTATCTTAATGGTTTCGCGGGCTACAATGGTCATCATCCTCGTCCAATCGACGCATTCAAAATACACACAGAACAATTTGGTCTGGTGTGTACTGTAAATGATAAAATACCGAGAGTTCCCAACTGGATGGAACGTTGCGCCTCCGAGGGCAGGGGGTGTTGGCACGTCATTCTATGATTTATTACCTGTATACCCTGTCGAACACTGTCCTGCAGTATGTATCCAGAGTTTCTTATATACAAATACCAATTACCGGTGTCATAACGGCCTGGATGGAAACATGCAATCTTCCAATAGCTACGGAGTACTCCGTACAGTGATGTCTCTCAAGGTAATTAACCAGGGGTGTCAGACTTATCACGATTGTTGCGAGTAAAATGAGAAACTGAGTCAACACCAGACACTAGCAGCAGTAGTAGTAGTCCACAGTACTAGTTACCATATAGTGAGGTAGTCAGACTGAAGGAGTCGCTGTCTGCCTGAGGCTGTTCGCTCAGCCTCGTCCATTCTTCCATGCGCCTTCGATGCTTCAGCCCTTCTTCCATTTGATCTCAGGCTTCTCTCGTATAGCATTGTCATCAGCCTTGTTGTCCTGGTCTTTTCCACTGTCATCTTGCATCGTCCGAGCCCTGCTCCTGGCGCTTCCCCCATTGTCAGCCAGCCATCTAAACGTACTAGGGGATGTCTCGTAATCAATAGTCCCATTTTCTCTCGCATTTCTTTGACGGTGGCTTGCATAGACACCCGCCGCTATTTCCAACTCGTCTGCTTATCTAGCCTCGTGATTACCTCCCATTAATGACTTGTTTAGTTCTCTTTTTTTCGTTTCTTTTTTCTTTTTTCGTCTCCGGTACTTTGCATGACAGCCTCAAGGCAGAAAGTGGTCCATTTCCCGCCCCCTTCCCAACAATCAGAAGGAAAAATCCAACCCTGACCTGTGAGGCTACTTCCGCGATTGGAGGGCGAGATGTTCAGCCTGTGACTCCCGTACAGGGCAGACCAAATCCCGGCGGCTATCACATCATCTTGAGTCACGCCTGCCCTGCTCTTGTTAGTTGTTCTTGTTGCCTGATCTTGCGTTACAACTGGCCAGGCGATTTAGTGATGCTGAATGTGTGGTGAGCCGCATATTCGTTATCAAATCGGCAGATCACACAGAGAGCTGCTGCCGAACTTACTTGCACCTTTAGGGCAAGCCATCCTGTGGCAATAAGTTGGACTGGTGATGGCGGAATCGATAGCCGCCGAACTGTTTGTAGACAAAGTCCTCGACTTCGGCTGTCACTTTGTACCTTTGCTCACTTCAAAGGTACCTATCTATCTTTTATCAGGGCCAAGTCTATCTACTCATTATGCCGTCCTTTCCTATATGCCGCTTGGGCTAGTCACTAACCACAGAAGTAACGGACCAACTCCGACGTACAAAGTCCACGGTACAAGATATTGATTCTCAAATACCGTACACGATTATGTACGTTCATCAATAGCCCATAATTAACCAATGTCTATGGTATGTAGGATTATCTCGCTGTTGCTTCCGTTCTCGCCACTCTGAGCATACCGAAGTAGTTACACTTGACTTTCGGTCCGGTCCGACAAAACAAGCCACCACCGGAATAACGGCTGCCACAAATGACCACGGAAAATTATGGATAAAGCATCATGCGTCCTCCGAAGACACCCTTTTCTCGCTAGCAGAATCGACGCGGTCTGCAAAGGTTTCACCGATGTACATAGATTGTTGGACTAAACGTCCATCGATGGTATATCCATTCAAACGATGAATCAAGCTGAGCCACACAAGGCCAATCACAGCCCCTCCGTTGCGGCACTTGCCCGAGTTGGTGGGTTCTGTCTTCAGCAACCCACTGTTCCGACCAGTGTATTTCCTATCCAGGAACGGAGATGCCTTACATCTTGCTAAAAATAGCCCTATCCGATAGAGTTGGCCGCCCAATCGTGTCAAGGCCTGTGGTTTCTGGAATGCTTCGACGCTAGCCCCGCATGGACGTCGCAGTGTCAGAGATATAGACGATTGGAGAGGTTTCAATGGGCTGTGTCTACGGTGGAGCGGCCGCACCACCGGGATCGAGAGATCCTGGTCATTGATACTGTCGGCAACTGCTGGAAGCATCCAACGAGATCATTCGAGAATTTACTCTACCCCACAAGAGGCTGGCACGAGTCAAATACCGCAAACTCAGCCATTGGGGATCCGTCCGCCCGGATTGTCATGCCACTATGTCGACGCATTGAATATCGCTTGAGACCGCAGTATTAGGAGGCAGTGCGTGAAGAGTACGTCGGACAACCAAACCGCACTATCCCTCCAACCAGCACAGCAGGGTTAGTCATTATGCATCCACCTCAGGGTGCCTTGCAATGAAACTTCTAGAAAAAGGGGAATGAGGAGAACGGCAGACGGGAATCTCCGTGATGCTGTGGGACCGCGGATTGTGCAGTACACCCCAAGTTCGAATTACCATCAATTTGATCTGTATATCAGGAAAATAAAAAACGAATGTCTTCCACTTCCGTTTGTTATTCCTCGTTTCCCATCTCCCCTTTCGTCCTACTCTTCTTTCTGCCTTACAACATTCGAAGCGCCCGTTGGTCCCCACTTTTAATTAGATCCGCCTTCGCACCCGAGACCGCGATGGTTATTACAATCTATACGAAACCGAAACAGGCCAGCTGTCCAACCGAGGCGGTTTCGCCGCGGCGAGATATTGCGACGTGACCGATATTGGAGACCGGCCAGGGGCTTGCGGCTCAAGTAGTGCGGTCGGTATACGAGAACGGCCTCCGGGCTATCCACGTCAGCAGTCGGGCTGCGTGCCGGGGCTATGGTCCCACGAGAGGGATTTTTGACAATTGATACTGTCGCTAACAGTTTTGGAGTCATTGATCAATCGCTGGGCTATATATGCCGATAAGCGAACTGACTGGTCGGTCGGATCGATTGACAGTTGGATACGAAAGCAAGGCTTAGCATGCCTAAGCTAATTGGTAACACTGTGGAGGGGGAGAGAACATTCGAGGAATGCATGTCTGTTGCTTACTTGGAGCAAGCAGGACCTTAACCCCAGGATACAAAAGTCCTCTCCGACATCTTGAAAATTCCAGAACTGCAAATTGGAAAATCCAAATTTACAAAACATCAAGTTAGCAATACGGAGCTACCTCACACCTAAAACACAGCTCAATATATCCAAGGAGATTAGATCGGTTCTAGAATCCGGGGTGCATCAGCTGAAACATCCGCGGATCCGATCGTCACTACAGCTAGACTACACGGGGCGCACAGGGTGGCATGATCATAATTTCACCAGCTGTTTTATGCCTTGCGCAGGAGACTAATATTTGTGGATAGTCGGACATTGCGATACGTTGCTGTTGGATTGGATTCTCCCTTCGTGAGTCAATTTGAGACGTTGGGGTGGTGGTTTTCGGGGAATTGTGGGCGACATCATATAGGCGAAATTGGAGGGTAGATTGGAGGACCGATTTGGGGTGTAGCACCAGATGGCGACTTCAGGTAGAATGTTATGGACTCTTTCCATACTGGTCAATTGACACTTTTCCTTGAGTGCATGATCTTCCGCATAGAGAGCACATAGATATGGAGGGTCAGTAATAAGTATCATGCTATGATGGCCGAAAAATATAGGAACAGTCAGACTTCATAGCTTCCTAATCAGGTAACAACTTGTCAATAATCCTAGACAACTGTATAATGTGCGATATCTTGAATGTAAACAGAGTAAAAACCATACCAAAATGTACATCTTTGAAGGTGTTGATACGAGCAAGGGTTCCTTCCGGTCACCTGCCATTCCCATCGCTCTCACTTCCCCCTCATCAACGGTTGTCAAAATCAAGACTTCATCATCACTCCCACCTCCATCATCATCATCACATTGTCTCATAAATAAGCATATATAGACGCACAAGCCACACAGTCAGCACTATACAAGCTAGAAAAAGCAAAAGAATAACCCAAAACACCAGACAAAACAACCAGAATGAGCCCCACCAAACCCATCACCCCCGCATTCACCAAATCCCTCCCCAAGGTTGAGGTATGTACACTGTCCCCACAATCTCCAGAGATGATATAGAACCCAGTAGCTGATTATACTGATTGATGGGGAAAGCTTCATGCCCATCTTACGGGCAGCATCAGCCGCCAATGTCTGCATGAGATCTGGGCGCGCAAGAAGGCTGAAAATCCGGCTTTCGATGTGCAGGATCCGTGGGAGGTCATGCCTCCTGGTAAGGTGGATTATTCTCTGGCTACGTAAGTTTTTCTCTTTATTCTAGCTATTGTACAATGCGGTCTCGAGCTGCACCGTGTGGAGAACCATGCATCAATGGACAGTTTCACTTCAATGATGGAATCGAACGTGTTGGGGGGCAATCCATGCTGAGAGGAAAATCTTTGAAAAAGCTTCTTCAACGTCTTCTCCAACTCGATCTACAACCTCTGCTCCGATCTCCCCAGCATCGCCTACGCGACAACCTCCGTCCTCAAAGACTTCCACGCCGACGGCATCCACTACCTCGAACTGCGCACCATCCCGCGCCCATCTCCCTCCTTCTCAAGAGAAGAATACCTGCTCACCGTGCTTGACGCAATAGACGCATTCTCCCACACCCAAGCCACTCTCGACCCCGACACCCACAAAATGACGACTCGAGTAATTCTCGCTATTGACCGTGGGCAGATGTCTCCCGCTGATGCGAACGAAGTCATAGATCTGGCAATCGCCAACGGGCACCGTGGTGTCGTCGGCATTGATATATGCGGCAATCCCACGAATGGCGACGTTTCTATATTTGCGGTGGCGATGGAGCGCGCGAAGAGTGCTGGATTAGCCCTGACGGTGCATTTCGGCGAGGTGTCTTCTTCGACTCTCGCGTCGTCGTCAGCGAAGACCGCAGCGGAGGCGGAGAAGGCCTTGGAGAGTGAGTTGAGGGAGATGCTGAGCTGGAACCCACGCAGGTTGGGCCACGTCATTCATGTCCCCTCGGACATCAAGGACGAGATCAAAAAGAGAGGCCTCGGGCTCGAGCTGTGTCTATCGTGTAATGTGCATGCCAGCATGTTCGATGGTGGATTTGCGGATCACCACTTTGGGGAGTGGTGGGGGGGTTCTGATTGTGTTGTTGTGCTTTGTGTGAGTTGTCCTTTTTTCTGTCCCTTTTTTCCTTCTTGTTTACTATTCCTTTGCTTGAAATCCACTCGATGCATATTCACCTCAACCTACCTGGTCTTCCCCCGTTGCAGAAGAGCTGACTGTCTAGACTGATGATGTGGGCTTCTTTTGTAGTCCCGTGTCGAACGAGTATTTACTCGCGGCGGAGCATTTCAAACTATCGCGGGCTGATATTCTACGTCTGTGCCGGAGATCCTACGATGTTATCTTTGAGGACGAGACTGAGAAAGAGCGGCTTCGGCAATTGCTGGATGAGTTTGAATCCAACTACGCGGAGTGAGCGCGCGCATCATGAAGAACAGAAACGAGTGCTATTGTAATCTCTATCAAAGAGTATCCCAAACCATCGCTAGATAATTCTGCAAATCAACCACGCCATCGGAATTTCCCCTCCTTCAACGTCTTTACCACGCCCAGCGGCATGAACTCCCTGTTGACAGCCGCGAGACCCCCATATTTCTGCACCATCTCCGTCTGGTACAGTTCTGCCGTCCACTGCCAGTACGAAGACATACCGTACCATTCATCCGATATGATGTAGCTGTTGTGGGTGCTGTCGCCTGTCACCGCCTCATCCAATGACATCTGGTTGCGGCGCAGTTCCGTCGTCTGGTTGATACTGATCTCCGCAGGCACCGATATCAGATCCCTGTATGCGCTCAGTAGCGAGGTACTGTACGACTCCGCGTACTGCATGTACTCATCCAAGGACAAGAAATTCTGATCCTTTATGTCGAGCGTACTAGCGAGGGCGGCCAGCGCCGGCCCGTTCTTCTCGAAGACTTCCTTGTCGGACTGGTAAAGCGCCTCATCTCGCACGAAGGCCTTGCGCAAGTGACCTTGCGGCGTCTGCTTGATATTCTCCCGCATAGCGAGGAAAGGAATATACGGGTTCACCAGCCCCATCCCCCCGAGCTCGACGGGGAAGAAGAAAAACCCCTCGGGGAGATCTGTGACACTAAAGCGCTGGGCGATCATACCCCGCAGGTGGTCTGTGACGCCCCCAGGGCTGTCTGGGAACAGGGTCCGCTCGATGCGACTGAGGGTGGCAATGGCCAGGTCGATATGCGCTCTCCCGAAGCACCTGGCGGGTTTAGCGAAATTGTTGGTGAAAAACCGCCCGAAGTAGCTGTTCCAGGCCTGGACCCACGCGAACACGCTGTTGCAGGACAAAACCTGGTGCCGCAGTTCGTCGATGTGTGTATCGACCTGCTCCTGGTCGATCACGAAGCGCCCTTCGTGTGGATCTAGCTTTAGGAAGCCCCAGCGGATGTCGCCCGCGGGGAGAGACGGGTGGACTTGGGTATCTCGCGGCTTTTGTTCAAGGGCCGCATCGTCACCACCTTTGGTCTTTTGCAGTCGTGCTGTGCCGGTCTTTTCCTCGTTGAACTCCAGACCCACGACGCGGGCAAACTCAGTCATCGCACCCCACGCCGTAACGCACGTCTTCTCACTTCCCCAGAACCAGAAGTCATCGTGGAGACGGTAGAGGTATGCCCCGTCCGTAGCCTGATTCACCGTGTAGTCCATACAGAAGAGGACAACCTCGCCCAGACAATCGGACAAGGCATGGCACATGGGGATTCCGCGCCTGCGCACCTGGGCAGGGGCATCAGGGCCGTCCTGAGTGAATTTCAGCGGCGCTTCCAAGAACGTCCGGAAGAAGTTGAGCCAGGTCTCCGGGACCCCGAAATAGGCCAGCACCGTCAGCATTGTGGGATGCGGCAGAGAAGGCCCAAACCATTTGAAGTCCGACCGAACTACCGTAAACTCGCCGTGCAGAGTGGTCTGCAGAATGGACTCGGTGACCAAGAGATGTAGCAGGGAGTGCTTGGTATCCAGAGCATTCATCGGCTTGTCGTCTTCATTGCCGTCGTCATCGCCGTATTGCGGCACCCCCGCTTCGACGGAGGCCGGAAGCTGCGCCATGAAGTAGTCCTTCTTGTAGGTTTCCTGGCGGTGGTCGTTGATACACGTGGTGGCAGAAGCGTCGTCGAGGAAGTATTTACGCCGATCCCGATACGCTCTCGGGATGTGCTCGCGGGCGTTCGTCCACGCGGGGCTGGAGAGAAAGGTCTCAAAGGCGGAGCGAAAAGCGACAGCCCACTTGAGACCAAGGTACTGGAACATAAGCGCATCCAGCAAATCCTCATCCATGAAAACCCTGTATTTCCCGTTCAGCTGGCGGCGCATCTCCAAGGGAATGCCCTCGGCGGGCCAACCCCAGCTCTCCAGAGACGCAAGACGCATGTTGAGCACGTCGACGACCTCCTGGGCGACGGAGGGGTTCCGCATGAACTCTTTCAGAATCTCCGTTTTCTCCTTGGTGAGAAGGTCGGACTTGAGCAGCGCCTGCGACACCCATTCCAGCTCACCGATCGTAAACCACGTCCTCTTGGCGGTCATCTCCGTCCCAAACGACCTGATACTCTCGCGGAGAGTCTTCAGCGCCTGCCGCGACAGGTTCGTCTTCGCGAACAGCGAATCCAGATACGCACGGATAGCACCCTGGTCTACATCCGCCTCCTTAAACGCCAAACTCTCCCACATCGCCCGCTGCTCATGCATCTCCGCGCGTCCCACCTGCTCAAACTCGGCCGACTCCCCATCGCCAGCATCACTCTGCGGCGCAGCCTCAGACCCGCTCTGCAAATCCGCCAACCACTCCGTCACAAGCTCACTATAAAAAGCGGCATGCTCATGCCTCAGCTGCAAAAACCGCAACTCCTGCTCCAGCTGCCCAATCCAGTTCCCCAGGCTCCTCTCCGAAACAGACGGATCGTACCGACTCTGCAGGAGGAACCGACGAATATTGGCATGTGTCGCACGCGGGGTGCCGTTCTGCACGGCAGCCTCGTCGTCATCTGTGTCGCTCAGATCAAGGTCTTGATCTTGATCTTCCTGGTCGAAGGCATCGCCGGGGTAGCCCTTGAGCTTGGTGACGCCTTCGAGGAGCACCTGGGCTTTGGAGCGGAGGTCGGGGGTGTTGGCTGCGAGGTGGAGGATTTCGCCTTTCCGTTTTTCGAAGAGAATGCGCTGTTTGGAGAGTTCGTTGATTTTGGTGCTTGTTATGGAGTGGAGGGTTTGGGGGAGGGCGGAGCTTGATGTCATTGTATTGGAGTGAGATGATTTGCCAATTCTTGTTGAAGGCGCTTTTGATATAGTAGCAAAGCAGAATTCTTAATCTGTTTTTGAAAGACTCAATCTGTTATTTCAAAAACAGCAAGAGAAAAGCGATAGAGAGAGGTAAAAAATCAAATCAGGCTAGGAAAATCATGCAAGCTGTCGTGGACGAAGGCGAGAATTTATGCAGATCGCGGTGGGCCGTTAATCGTGAGTGAGTGGATCCGCGATCGCAACCTAATCAAATGAGATCAGCCTCATGAGTCAATGGATATTATTGAGTCATATTCTGGACCTGATGTTTACGTATACTGGTGGGTATGTCTAAGAATGTGGATATATTTACAGTATGTGGATTGATTGGAGTGTATGTAAGGTAGGATTTGCTTTCCTGTTCGGTTCCCCGACTGTAGTACACTTTGACGTATGACGATTGGGGAGGACAGAATTGGGGTAATTAGATGGGATCATCATTTTAGGATTGTATTTATACATATTGATCAAATATAACAAGGTAAGTGTCAACTTATAGATATATAGTTATACCTACTATCAACTCCCATCCCGGGGTATATACATCGATCTCTAAAATATATACCCACAGGCACACAAACACGCATATATATATAGGCATATATATAAAGAACCAGAATCAATAAAAAACCAAACACCTAACCTCAACACTCTGCCTCCCCGGCACTCCCTCCGGTGTATTCGGATCCCAAAACGCCGAATGCCCCCCGCATGCGCCACCCCCCTCCCAGTATTCCCCCCCTCCTCCCCAATCATAGTCTCACTCCACGAATCAAAACACTTAATAAGCATCACCTCCTCCGGCACCATATCACTAACATAGTAGAACCGATGCGCCTCGCTCGGCGCCACAACGTAGATCTCCCCGCGCACGGCGTACCCCGCTGTGGATGTCGCGGAGCCTGGCTCGGGGGGGACTTCTTTGCCGGTGCTGTCTGTTTCGGACTGGGTTGATTCGGGGTAGAGGAGGTCGACGGGGACGAAGTCCTGGGGTGTGGTTGTGCGCCAGTCGATGACGGAGAGGGGGTAGTCTGTGGCTGGGTTTTCGATGGGGCGCCAGACGTTGATTATTTGGTAGCGCTTCTGCTTATTGTTTGTGTCGGTGTTGTTGAGGACAGCGTCGGCTTCGTCGGCAGGGAGATGTCGACGCACACGCGCCGCCGCCGCAGCGGGCGTCTGGTCCACGTGAAGCATTTCGACCGGACTGCGCGGGGACCCGGCCACCCTGCGACGGATGGTATGGTCGAAGGGGACGACTTTCTTGATAGCGGGGTGGATGGTGCGTAGGAGGGTGTCTACTTCTGCGTAGTAGGCTGTGCGGATTGTGGACTCGTCCGTGAAGGTTTTTTCGGTGGATGGGGCATGGTGGAGGGAGAAGCCTGCTGTGTTTATGGTGAAGTCTGTTGTTGTCGTCTGGTCTCTGAGGTTGGTGACATGGCGGGGAAGTGAGATGAGGTTGAAGGATGAGCCTGGGCCGTCGACTTTGCTCCAGGGTTTGTGGAAGGGGGCTGTTGCGTGGGGATCGTAGGATTTGGGGTCGATGTGTTTGAATGATGCTGTTGTCATTTTCTTTCTTTCTTTCTTTTTCCGGTTCCTTGAGGGTTGGTGGGGATTGAGTGGGTTGAGAGTATCAGGATAAATATTGAAATGTCCGCTCCCATTAGTCAGTCAGCTTGACCCCGCTATGAAGCCATCCCCGCACTGATAAGATACGGATTTATATGTATGTGGATTGGAGATATCCTTCAGATTGATCTTCATATATTGATAGATATTACTTGGGGAACAAACAAGTATAATCAAATGAACATGTCGAATTAACAGCTGGTATCCTATCCCATTACCCATATAAAGAGTTCCCAAAAATAGAAAATGAACAAAGAAGTTTACAACCCTCTCAACCCACTCTTCGCTCCCTTATAATCTCCATCCCTCCCTTTTAACCCCCCGCCCGCTTCTCCCTCTCCCTCCCATCGATCATCCCCATACACCTCCTCTCCTTCCGCGACAGACATCGGGTCGTCGTCGACGTCTACATCAACTTCATTCCACACCGCACTCGTCGCCGGGATGGGCACAGCCCACGTCAGGGCGTAGTACATGGCGAACGAGACGAGAAATCCCGACACGTAATTGACGTTGTAGATATACGTCGCACCGATAGGCACCTTGCGGCCGACGGCGCCTGCAAACCCCACGATGTTGACCAGCAACCCCGAGAGATACGCCGCGTATGCGTGCCACGAGAACCCGCAGCAGTAGTAGTACGGCGAGTCTTTGCTGGCGCTGTAGAGGTCCTTCGTTTGGAGGTAACCCTTGCGCACGATGTAGTAGTCGCAGATCATGGGGCCGGCGATGGCAGATAGGAAAATTGAGTAGGCGGAGAGGTACGTCGTGAACTGGTTCGACGAGGAGAGGAGGTTCCACTATCCACCCATGCCTGTTAGCAAGAGGAACCATCGGATCAAACAAAAAAAAAATAGAAAAAAAAAAAAAAAAAAAAAAAAAAAAAAACATACCGGGCACATTGCCAAACCAATCATCGCGCAGATATAGCTCCCCCGGCGAATAGTGAGATACCGTGGCAGCAACGCCGTCATGTCTGTACCAGCCGACACTGAATTAGCTGAGAGGTTGGTACCCAGCTGCGCCAGCGCAAAACCGGTAGCTATGACAAACACCCCGAATCGCTGGCCCGAGCCGGCCCCGTCCAGGAACATGCCCAGCAGGTCGAGCGGGTTCCACACATAATCCCCCCCAAAGATGACGGCCGACGACGAGGACGCGATGATGCCGATGAACGAGGTGATGCCGAAGCCGAGTGGGATGGTAAAGAGCTGCGCCCACAGCGCATCCTTGGGCTTGCGCGCGAACCGGGAAAAGTCCGGGTCGTTCATGATCAGGGCCGCGAAGTTGCCCATGCAGCTCATGATCGACTTGACCACCGCCCAGGCCAGCTGGCTGCCGTGGGCCTTGCTCGGCTGGTGCACGATGGGGCCGATCCCGTTGGCTCGCGCGATCGCCCAGGCGAAGAAGGCGATCGCCGCGATGGGCGAGTAGATGGCCTTGACCGTGAACAGATGGCGCAGTTTTTGGATCGGAACCCACAGGGCTGGGAGGGAGAGCAGCCAGAAGAGAAAGAAGCTGGTGAAGTCGCGGGTGGTCACGCCTGAGCTTTTAGGGATGCCGTTGGGGATGGTGTTGTAGCTCGGCCAGATCGCCCGGATCATCAGCGTCACACATTGACCTGCCACTCACATTAGACCTGCCGCACGGGTAACCCAAAATTCCGAAGACTCTTACCCCCAATGTATCCCTGCACCCCATACCAGATGACGGCCATCACAACCCGGTTCAGCACCGGCCAGAAAGAGCCCCAGATGCCAAAACTCGACCGAGCCACCACCGGAAAGGAGATGTGATAGACGGCACCGATGCGACCCGTCAGACAGACGAAGCACGCGGCCAGAAAGTATCCGACCCAGACGCAGATCCACGACTGCCACCAGGACAGACCGTCCACGATCATCGAGGAGGAGATCATCCACGTATTCTGCTTGTATCAGCCGCCGTTCGATATATATTTCGGAAGAGAGACGGCATACGATATTCAGCGAATCGGCGATCCAAAAGGCGATGAAATTGTACCAGCTCCACAGGCGTTGTTCGGGGTCGACTGAGGGTCACATCACGGCAAACGGTCAGTCTTGGAGGACTTGTCATGATTCAAAGAAAATCGACGGCGATCGGTCGGTACGTCCCCGTCAAGGAGACGGATAGGCAGGTAGACAGGTAGATAGGTAGGTAGGTTTCTCGGTCTCACCTGGCTGCAAATCAGGATTCGTCAACATCAACTGGGCAGTCGTCAAACCCGACTCCTCCGTCACCTCCAACTTCTCCATCCATCTCTTCACGCGAGGCATCGTTCTCTGCGGTGATTGGAGTCAAACGAGTGGGAGGTGTCTCCCACAGATGATAGATCGATCGTAAACAGTCAAGGAAAGAGAGCCCAGACGAGCCCCCCTCCATAGATATATACACTCCGCAAAAGCCTCGGGATCAGACAGCAAGAGACCCATCGCCACGGCCCCCCCGGTGAACCAATCGCTTGCCCTCGCGGGATGGTACGGGGGTTGGGGGGGCCCTGCATTGCATGACAGCATGAAGTCTGTGGCTGATAAGGACGACCGGGAATTGGCCCACGAGGTGCAGATCGGAGCTCAATGGATTCCTTTATCACCCTCCGTTTCACGGCCGATGGGATGTTTGATTCGCGGGATGCATATTAGTTTGTTATCAGCGACAAATCGTGGAAGTCAAAGCAGGTTGGTGGATCGAAAAGGGTAAGAAGAGAGGAAGATCCGGAGCACAGAGAGATAAGTGGGAAGACCCACTCGTATCTAATCTGTCTCCGGATCAAATGGCTGACTCGATCGCATTGAGTAACTAACTGTTTGCCAAGAAAAGAGCACAGCAAGTATAGGAACTCATAAATATTAGCTGGGCCTATACTAGGGTTTTCCTTAAACTATTGCCCTGATCCATGGTCTAGCCAAATCTTGCATCTATATAATTGTAAAAGTCCTCCTTGGGCCCTCGAGTCCACGCCCCTCACAAACAAAGCAACCTACTCGTTTATATAACGTGGGGCCATCAGCATCAGTGTGGTCGACTTCAGCAACCGCTATCCCAATTCCATGCGGATTATTATACGGCTCCTCGTCGTTGATGTATAACAGCCAGGCTTCTCTGATATCCCGCGACCTCGGACTGTCATCGAATTGAACTCTCACTGACCCACTTGAGACGGCACAGGAAGCATACTCTGACTCGAAGCCCCCCAAAACAACTAGCTCCGCGATACACTTGACAGTCAACTGGGCCGATTTGATCGCGCCGTTGGGCAGGTCCTCGTGAGCGGGAATCACCTCACACGAAACCACCTCGAATGAACTTTTGCCTTCGAACGTATTGATCTCGCCCAGGTCTTGGTAATAGACGGGGTGGGCACGAGACGCCCAGGACCATGATGGCGCAACGTACGACTCGTAGGCGAACCGTGGGGAGTAGTCCCTACGAGATTTCCAGATGAGGTCCTTGGTTAGGGTCGCGGACCAGAGACCGGCCCAGTACGTGCCCTGCCCGAACCGGGTCTCCCACTCTGACACTATGCCCATGACCGCGGGCATCTTGTCCGCCTCGTATGTTAAGGATCTCTGGGAGTATTGCTTGACAATCGCGACCCATTCTTCGGCATTGGCCGACTGATCATCGTAGTCTCCCCATTTTTCCCTCTCCCTTTCAACTACTTGCTCCACCTCTCTAAGGTTCACCAAAGGTTTAGGGTGCGCTGTGGCCAGACCACCATCAGATTGGATTGTATGTGTGGAGCATCGCAACGCAGGTCGCTGGCCATGAGGAAAGAACATGACAAGGCGTGGACTGAGGAGCGCCTCTTGGAAAGTCCATCCCCGTTCAAAAATTGGACTGTCAAAAATGTCTTCGTAGGAGAAGTCGCTTCGAATTTCTAGAACAGCCGCCGCCGCTTGGCTGGTGCCATCGTATATATCAGCGTGCCATGTATGGATTGACTGCTCCTCACGACCTTCTGGGTAGGACTGTCGCAGGAAGCCTTCGCTCGCAGTTTTAGCCGACATGACACAGATTGTGCAGGCGGCTCCCGAGTAAATGGAGGCCATCTTACCCAGCTCGGCAATCTTGTCCGGCCCGCTGTCTTGCACAATGCAGAACGCATCCACCCAGAGGTACTGGTAACCCATGCTAATTGCGACACGAATGGCATCCAAAATCGTCTCGGGGATCTCTGCTGTGTCAATTCCGGCTGTGTATGAATCCAACCGACTGGTCGTCGTCACGTTTGGCTGTGTGTTGCCCCAACAGTAGCTCAGGCAGACGTAGCGGACTGGAACGACATCAATATCCGACGCCTTGACGAGACGCACCGTCGGTGACATTGATGCCCCAGAAACATGGAGCAGCATCGAAGGAAGATCTAAGCCTTCCCGTGGCTTGCAATCAGGGTGATTAGCCGTACAATCATCAATCAAGGCGCGGAGAATTCGGCCATCTCGAGTTAGCTGTTGTGCTAGTGAGCTCCCATGTTGAAAATCGCCATTCGCTAGGGCCAATCCAGAGAATGCGAGATTGATAGGGCTAACTGTCTTATAGACCCGAAAGTAACCAGTGCGTTCCGTATCCTCGTCGCCACCGCCAGCGACTGACACCTTGGACCACTTCCAAGCATCCTCGACAGTAATCGAGAACGTGAGATCAGCAAGCAGCCCACCTCGTGTATTTTTGAGGAGCATACAGAAGATACACCCCCGAGACGATTTCCGCAATAGCAAATCAGTATTTTGACGAAAGGACCGCTGGGACCCAGCAAATGCATCCCGGTTACCAAAGTATGCCGCTGGGTCGATTGCCGTTTCGAAGGGACTTTCATCAGTAGACAGTCCAGCCGTACTCTTCTTGCTGCGATCAATTACGGCCAGAAGATGTTTATCAAAAACGGTTGTCTGACACCAATCACATAAGACAAGGCTCGATGGAGTCGAGTCTAGAATAATTCCCATAGTGACACTAGGAAAGGTGGCACAGAAAGCCCCGTCTAGCAGGATGGAAGGTGAAGAAGAATTTTGAAGATATCCAAGCGTCTGCTGTATCTGATGATGGCGGTAGAAGGAAGGAAGAGGAGGCTGGGGGTAGTAAAATGGTGGGGTGACAACCTGGACGCCTGAGGCACAATATTATACACCCCGCATCTTGCTATGTCTATCATGACAAGCGCCCTATAGTCTATCTAGACCTTTATATGAAGACGAAGAAAAGAGTAATATTGGATATAAAGACATGAACAGAAAGATACCGATCTAAAGATCACATCACCCCTTGTTCCACTTCCCAAACCTCACATAATCATCATACAGCGCCTTAAACACCGCCCGACCCGACACATCGAGTCCAGAATTCAGCGCCCGCATGGTATCCTTAGACATCACATCGAACACCGCATACAGTCCGGGCATAATCGCCGCCTTGACGTCCGCTGCCAGCGATCCGCGGAGCGAGCTCTGCGCGTACTCCATCACCAGGTACTGCAGGTACTGGCCCGCGATGCGCTTGGCTTTCTTAGTCTGATCGGTTAGGCCGTCGTGGCTGGCGCCGAATGGCGTGGGCCGGGACACGGCTGAGACGGTTGGGTCGCAGAGCGAGGTTAGCAGCCGGGTGAAGTGCACGGCATGCGCGGGTGCGAGCTGTGCGAGCCAGTAGGGTTGCTGCGCTTGTTTCTTTTCTGTGAGGGTTGAGCGTGTGCGTTTGCGAGACCGCGCGAAGAGACAGTTTAGGAGGCGCTGCATGGCTGGGAGGATGAGGTGGAAGCGTCCGCCTAGCTTCTGGCGGTGGAGGCCTAGGAGCGTTCCTACTAGGCGGCAGAGGCGGATGTAGATGGGTGCTGAGAATGCAGGGTCGATGTGGGGCCCAGACTTGGACGCGCACACGGTGACGGCTACCAGGATGCTGTCGATGTTCCACTGGCTGACGCTGCGCGTGTGAGTGCGCAGGATGACGTCGAGACACTCTGTTGCGAGGGTGAACTGCTCGATCGTGCGGCTGAAGCGGAGCGATTCGGTGACCGCCGTACACAGCAGCGACAGGGCCTTGGTGGCCTCGCTCTCCTTGTCGTCGAGGGGAGGCAGAGATGCCGCCGCGAGGCCTGCAATCAGCAGGTGGTACTCGGCGTGGTCGCCCGTGAAGCCTAGTTCCCGGATTTCGTGGATCCCCCGCGTCAAGTCCTCCAGCGACAAGGACCGGAACCGTTCGGTGGTCGACTGGACAAAGAGCTGCTGCTCTTCGCCATACATGTGCTGTAGGGGCAGAGAATCGGCGGACTGGATCACAGGCAACACGATACTCCGATCGGATCCCCGGCCGGCCAGCACGCGTCGCCGGATGAGTCGCCGCAGGGAAGATCCCGAGTCGACCGACTTTTCCACGTAGCTCTCGATTTTCAGCAGGAACTTCTCGACATCCGAGTTATCCGTAGCAAGGTCTTCGAAATCTTCCAGCGCATCCAGGATCTTGATCAGCGTGATGGTCTCCCCCATCTCCTGCTTCTTGCACTGATCCCTGACCGACTTCACCTCCATCACCACCAGGCTGAACACCTTCTGGCGGCACGTCGCGAGCTCCGTCTCGTCGACAACCCCCGTGAGCTGCTTCCGGTGGATCCAGATCTGGGACAAGGAGATCCGCAGGAAAAAGCAGTCCATCGAGTCCCGGTCGAGGGACCGCAACTTGGACGCCTTGGCCAGGACCTTCTTGGACATCTTCTTGAACATGCGACGGCGGTCGTCCTCCGACAGAACCAGCAGCTTGGCGATCACTGCGCGGTGGAGATTCCGGAACGCCTTCATTATCTGGAGATCGACATCCGTCCGCTGCAGCGTAACCGCCTTGGCCATCGTCCACATCGGCTCCCAGTCGTTGGTCAACCCGGCTGTAGATTTGGGCATGTCCGCCAGTTTGGCCATCAGTGACAAGATCCCAACGGTGACAGTCGGCGGGCTGTCACCCTGAAGAATGACCTCCTGCAGCAAGTCGAGCAGAGTTGCTCTCTGCCGGCGCGTGACCAACGGGGCGGGGATTCTCTGCAAGCTCTCAACGAGGAGTTGGCGGCTCGACACATCTTCTTTAACTTGGGTCGAGAGGACCTTGATCAGATCGACGGCGATGGCAGGTGCTGCGAGAAGGTATTCGTGGCATACCACGGCGGCCCAGGCTTGCAGAAACCTCGCGTCGGGGTGCACGGTCTCCAACGCCGTCGAGGAAGAGTGGTACTGCGACGTTGCCAAAGTGAGCAAGTGAGCAAAGAGAGCGTGCCTAGTCTCCGGGGCCACAAGGGGCCAGATATAGGGGTCATGGATGAGGGTCACGATATAGGCCAGGGCGAGCGAGGAAGCGGAATCCAAAGTCTCTGTGCGGCCGTCCCACGAGGATCCCAGGGATAGTAGTGCATCTTGCGCGGATACCGATTGGACGAACGCGGCGACGTCGCCGGTTAGTGAGCTGAATTTATCGGCATCACGGCAGTCTCCAGACGCGTTGACCGCGGTGAGGGCAAACCGATACGCTTCGAAACACTCGAGAGCTCCACACGAAACTTTCAACTGCTTCTTATGGAGAGATCGGATCGATTTGGAAGCAACGTCAACCAACTTGATGATCGCTTCGTTGATGGGATCGCCAGTCGCTTGCACGTTGTTCTCGAGAAGATTGCGCGCAAACCGCCACAAGCGCCATTGCCAGTGGGAAGTCTGCTTTGAGGAGAGGGTCGATGACATGGTCTCGACGATAGAGGTCAAGGCTTCGTGAACGTCTGGGAAGTTCAAGCTTCGACTCCTCAAGCCGGCTTCCAAGATCACAAATTGCGCATATGCTCCGGGGGTATCTGATACCTTTCCAGAGCTAGACCTGATCTCCTGCGCGGCGGCACGCATTTGCGCTGTCGCATGCGCCTGGACAAGCGGACTGCGCATGAGATCGCTGTAGACATTGCAAAGGTCATCATCCTCCCACACCGAGAAGAGGCTCAACTTTCCGTCCTGCGACCGCGCCTCTTCCACGAGGATAAGTTGCGCGTACCACGCTTGCATGAAGGAGGGCAGGTCACGGGCGCTCATGAACGCACGCAGTAAGGGTACCACGACGCCGTTTTTGATGATGTCGTAGTTGCTGTCCGTTTGGGTGGCACCGCTGCGCCAATGGAGGATAATCTTCTCCAATAGAGCTTCCAACAGTTTTGGCGCATCATCCAGGCCCGAATTGGGAAGGAAGATATCGGCACCCAGCTCAATGAGAAGGGCAGTGAGGCTCCAATCAACCTGATACAAGCCATCTTTGAGAAGACCGGTATACGCTGCATGCGTACGGAGGGTGTGGAGGGACAGTTGCACATTTCGGGTGAGGACGACGCGGAATAGAGCCTTCAATATGGTGACGAACTCGGCGACATATGTCGTGGTGTTTTCCGTCTTGACCACGGAAAACGCTAGCTCCGCTACGGCAACGAACAGCGTCTCCAACCAAGGAGCCTCGTGAGTCTGGCGGCGGAAGGTGTCTCGGGGGACTGAGCGAGTTGCGATATCGAAGAATTCGGGCAGCAGCTCGGCTGTCTTCCAGAGACCATTATCTTTGGTCTTAGAGTCACTAGAGTTCGTGGCGTCGAGAATCGGTCTAAAGGTGTCTGAAACCGGCTTGACTGCGCTCCAGTCGGGCTCGGGGGCGGAATAGTCGATACCAGATCCTCCTCTATCGAAGAATGCGATGCGCGCCGGAAGCACCACATGGAGAGCAACCAGACGCTCCACCCCATGTAAAACATGATTCTTCTCGTCGGTGTCCAGGCGGACAGATCGGACGGCAAACTGTAGTCGCAATGCGCTTTCGAAGCAGTACTTGCCAAAATGTTCCTAGAGTATATCAATCAGCATCACAAGCAACATATATGCTTTGAACATGTAAATGACATACATTACTCGATCCATTGTTCGCATCGTCCCCGCGATAAGACCGCAATTCCCACAGATCCAAGACAGCGGGTAGCACATAGAGCAAGTGTTGCAGGTCAGTCGTCTTGCGCGGAGTAGAAAACTGGGACGTCGCCACAGCAGCGAGACTGAAAGCCTTCCCCAGCGTGACCGCCACGGACTCAGATCCACCCTTGAGCGCATGTTTCAGATGAGACGCGGCAACCTCGTCGACTCCCGCCTCCCTTGTCAGGAGCTTCACGAGGCTATACAGACAATCCAGCGCGCGGATAAAGGCCAAAAAGCACGACGTCGGCGTCTGCGGCTGATCATCAACATCCATCGGGTCCGCACCACCGCCATCTCCAGCCCTCTTCCGCTTAGTTCCCTTCTTGTCCGTCTGTGCCCCATTCGAGCGCGGAGAATCGCCCAGCGTCCGACTGGAGTCCGAATCCGCGGGGAACAGCTCCGTCGTTCCATTCTCCAGACCGGCAAAGACATCGTCCTTCAAGTCGGCGATCGCAAGGTCCAGGGTGCCCAGGAACTTCTGGTCCTTCAGGGTCGTCGCCAGCGATTTGGGCGGGATGAGATCGATCAGTTGTCGGAGCAGGAGAAACGAGGTCGGCTCGACGCGATAGTTCTTGCCCATCCGCAGCTTCTTCAGGAGCCATCGGAGGACCCATTCCTCCTTGGGGGCGGCGTGAGTCTGTACATGAGGGGTTCGGTTGATGCGCGGATGACTGGCGCACAGCGCGAGGTCCAGGCCGATAATCTGGGCGGCCTCGCTCAGTTGCGACGACGGCGACGCGGTGCCCTTTTCGAGACGGAGGAGAGCCTCTTGCGAGGAGCGCGCACGCTGTATAGCGAAGAGAAGTTAGCCAATATGCAGACTTTAAATTCTTTTTCTATTTTTGTCCGAAGTGAAATCAGTCTAAGAGAAGATCGGATGGATTCTCACCTCGGCGAAAGCAGGCATCCTAAATCACGTCGTCCCGTAAGTCAATTATAATAATCTCAAGAAACCGATCTGCCTCTAATCAGGGCGGAATCGGCATGGTCGAGTGGTGGAGAAAGAATCAAGAAAGAGAGTTGACCTGATAGCAGAAGAAGATCTAAAGGGAAAAAAGATAGTTCGTCCGTCCCGCTTCGACCCAAGCCTGACAGGACGATTTCAAGGCACTAAACCGTAACGGGAACCTACCTCTGCAGTTTTTCCCGACCGCCTTTGCCCGAAGCTCAAACGTCGTACCCGAACGCTTCCATCGTCGTCACTCCTGCTTCTCTTCGAATTGACTTGTCTCTCAGCTTTCTTTCTAGACTTAATCTCACCACCGTCTATTGCATAGAGTATGTTTAATCGCACTGCAATCAGTTCGAGAAATACACTATTATTCAGACGAAAGCTAATACCTCTCCCAGTCACCGCAATGGCCGAATCCAACGACTCCATCGTCCCCCGGGCCACCAAGCCCGTCAGCGAGGCCCTGCTGAACGAGAAGGTACTGTGACCTCTCGCCCTATACTTCCCTCTTCTTACCACCCGACTCTATCATCCGACATCAACACCGGCACCCAATGGAGTCCCCCCTCCCTTACCCCCTCCCCCGCGGGGAACCCGGAACAGGACGATACACAACTCAAACACCGAATCAATAAAGAAGCCCAAGCTAACAGATCAACCCTTACAGTGGGACCGCGCCATCTCCTCCATGATCATCCGCTCCTCTCTCGGCCTGTCCTTCGGTGTCGTCTTCTCCGTCCTCCTGTTCAAGCGCCGCGCCTGGCCCGCCTGGGTCGGTCTCGGTTTCGGTGCCGGTCGCGCCTGGGAGGAAGCTGACTGTATGTTTATCTGGCCCCCTTGGTTTGGTTTCCGTCTAAAATACTGATGTAAAACAACAGCTTCGTTCCGTCGGGGCGACTCCCCCGTTAGAGATGCGCTGCGTAGGTAGATTGCGCTGGGTTCAGCTTTCACACTGTGTATGATACCTGTAGAGCTGGGGGACAATCAGATCGCGTTGGGGTGGAGAACATATATACGTTTAAAAGAGGTTTCTACTGTCTAGCATGCAATTTATTGTTTCCGTTTGATATCTGGGGTATACCACAGGATTGTTAAAAGATACGAAGGAGGACATCCTCAGCGGATCCGTCTATTCCATTTCGCCTGTTTTCATGTCTACATGAGTGAGGCAAACTCATACCAGGTCCAGAAACAGAAACGGCGGGCGAGTAGGACCAATTGGCCGACTAGGGCATACACGTAGGCCCTTTGACAGGATGGGCGTGTAAAATGGAATGATAATAATAGTGAAAATAGTAAAATATAGAAAGAATCGAAACACCTAGAGGAGATCACACAAACATGGTAATCGATACAAAGAAGTGGAGAAGCGCAAAAGGACAAAGTGAGTAAACTTTAGCAGGATCCAAAGTCTATCGACAAGGGTATCATGATCATCAGTCGTCCGAAATACAAAGCTAAGGTCGAGTAGGGATATCGGAGCGGGAAAAAAACGGAAAAGGAAGACCCCACACTGGAGTGGGAGGACAGATAGAATGGATACCGAGGTCTCATAACATAGACGATGATGAAGGGGTCTCGGATGGATGATTGAGATGCGGCAATCCAGATGTGTCGAGCTCTGGTCCACACGTAGAGGACATGGCAGGTTGGCTTATACCCAACCCGTGGTTTTCTGGCGGAGGTGGCTCCAGAGCTATCCCGTTGTGGCCGTTATGGGTGAGGCAGCCTACACACTGGCAGTCGCTTCCACATTGGCAGCTCCCTGTCACGTCCGAGCAGGCCGGCTGGAATCGGACCGGATACTCGAGCGTGTAGTATTCGGAAGTGTGCATCATTTGCTGGGAAAAGTCGGTGGGAGGGGACGAGAAGCCGTTGGTGGGGTCGCTTGAGGCTGGGACCTGCTCACTGTAGGGAGTCATGTTGATTTGCTGACCAAAGTCCCCATACAGATACTCCTCGGACGGAGAGTCCTGTTGTTTCATAGGCAATGGCACATTGGGGTAAGCGTCGAGACCATTCGCATTCCGGGGTGTGCCGTCCAGGGCAACCATGAGACCCATTTCGCGCACATGCTCTTTGGTGGTGTTGTTGAAAGGATGAGTCGCACAGCCTAGACACTGACATTCATCTCCACAATCACAGGTATGTTTCGGTGATCCATCAAAGGCGGCTGGGACTGTCTGCGTAAAGCTCGCTGCTGAGTCGGGAACGGCCTGTGGCGTTGTGGAATGGTCAAACCCATTGCTGCTAGGCATATTCGGGTCATGGAAGCCGAATGACGGCCCCGCCGGGGGGTGGGACATATAGCCCGCCACGTAATTTAAGGGATCCGCCGGGGTGTGGGGGATCGAAAAAGGCGGCATGAAAGAGGTGGTGTCAATGGCTTTGAAATCCTCCCAACTTGACACGGGAGTGTGTGATACAGCGGGGTAGGGCGAGTTGTCGGTGGCATAATATGAGCTGGCGATTCCATCACTTCCAGAATCCACCTTGATCTGTGGCTCCGGCTTTTTGCAACAGGAACCACCCGAACCCGAGCCTGAAGCCGAGCCGGAGCCGGAGCCGGAGCCTGAGGCCGAACCCGGGGTAGAGGTCTGCGTAGGTGGTTTGGGGGTGCGAGAAGAACAACAGGAACCGCCGCCTTTCGGGGCCGAGCTCTCGGCAGTGCCCAACGTTTGGTTCTGCGGCATGAATGTACTGGGCGCTGTGACGCTCTGTTCAAGTTTGTCATGCGACGGGCCAGACCCCGGGTCCTGCAGGTATGGAGGTTGGTGTGAGGCGCCATTCTCCGCGGAGTAATTTCCAAAGTGCGGGATTGCGTCCAAGGCTTTGACGAGGTTCTCGGATGGGGCTTTGATCTGTCGTTTGCTGGGTTTCTGGATCTTGCCGGGTGTAGACGAGGGCGTTGGAGCAGTGAGGGCCGGCGGTGTAGTGGTGGAGGGGGACTGGTTTCCATCCACAGGAACCTGATACACAGGTCTACATAGACAAGTTGACCCTATATGGACATATGCATCAGTGGGGGTTCTATTTGAGATCCAAGGGTTCTCGAAGATGGGGGGCCGACCTTTGGGAATACGGATCATGAACGCATAAAGCTTCTGGCAACTGCACGTCCCCTTTGGATGAGGGCATTTTGCCAGTGGACGTCCAGCTTTGGGAACTTTCATCATCAGTCTGTCAAAGTGCTGGCATTTTGACGAGCGATGGCCACGGATGCACGGTTCGCTGGGGCAATGTCAGTCGGACTGGGGGATATGACCTCAAACCCAAAGGGCACCATACCATGACCATTTCGCGCCTTCTTCATCATGAGGCATGATGACCAAGGACCAGGCAAAAAGGCCTCAGAAAGTGACCAGTGGCTTGAAACCCAGGCACTGTTTCCTTATCAAGCCGGCGCGAAACTGCGCAACAGCGCTACCCCGCCCCGGTGACTCCGATACTCCTCCCCGCGGTTCAGCGAATCCAAAGTGTACAGGATTGAGATCGCGGATAATCCCGTGGGTATACAGGTAGCCCGCGCAATCAGTCTGGCAGTCAGATACACAGCGCAGTCGATGTCCAGGCCAGGTGGAATTGCGCAATCCCGTATCAACGCCAAGAGGTGCACAGATCAGAGAGAAGAAGAAGGCGGGCAGAAGACGAAGATTACCGACGGAGCCAATAGGTGGGGCGGATTATTCACCGTCACTTGTCAGTTGGCCCAGTGAATGTGGAACTGTGGGCATCACCAGTGGAATTCCACTCCGTCATTCAAAAGTAATTGACGAACTAAGAGATCGAAGTCACTGACAGGGTTATACCGAGTATGCCATGCGGGGGAGACCTCAGCTCATCTTGTCATATAGGAGAGTTTCGGAATTCGAGGGTGGATGACTGTCATTCCTTGTGCACTTTTATCCCTCGGATATGCATTGTGATTGGAGCCTGAGGTCACCCCAGGCACTGCACGCCATCTGGACGGCCGCATCGGGACTAGCGTGAGACAGTGCCTGTCTGCCTCAGGCAGTGTATCTCTCCCGTGATCATTGGGCGATGATTGGAGACAGACGGGGATTATTCGATCCTGATGATGCCCGTTATTTATGAGTCCGGATATTGTTCACTCCATCCATCTTCAATTGACCACACTTGTCTTTCGTTTCCCTCTATTCTCTCTTCTGTTCTTGCCAGTTATATAGTATAGCTGGTCTCCATTTTCCACTCTATTGTTTTTCCTTTTCTTTCTTTCCGTACGTTCAATGACCTCCGACAACCACGATACCCCCGGCCAGGCGCCGCCCACTGCCCCCATAACGCGCGCTCGCGACTACTTCACGGTCCCGGCTCCGATCAAGCGCATCTTCGATCAATTCCCGCTCGTCACGTACTCTCCCAATGAACTGCCCCAGAGCGCGTGGGCCACCCAGCACGGCAATCGGCTATTTGTCTTTGCGGATCCGGGGAGCGCGAAACGGGGAAGACCGTCCTTCAACCCGCAATGTCTCAAGTGGCAGGTGGGTTACTGATTCATGGATCAACACACAACGGGACGAAGCTAAATCATGTCTCTATCCGTATGACAGGCCTACTTGAAATTCGTGGGAATCGACTTTGACCTCGTGCCCTCGACCAACCACGCTTCCCCCACGGGGGCCCTTCCATTCCTCCTTCCCGCCCACCCCGTCGGCGGCAACACCCCGATCCCGTCGGGTAAATTGCAGAAGTGGGCGATCGAACAGGTTCACTGCGAAGAGGAACAGCAACTGAACTTGCGCTTCGAGGTGTACGCGTCGCTGCTGGATAACCGGTTACGGAATGCCTGGGTAGGTCGGCACAGCCGAGGTTGCGGGATAGATGTTGAACATGGACCGCGCTAACACGCAGACAGCTCTACGCCCTCTACCTAGACCAGGCGAACTTCAACGCCGTCGCCCGACGGATCTACGTCGAGCCGTCGACGACCAACGGGCTCGTCCGGGCCGCCCTGTCGTTTCAGCTCCAGCAGGCCGCGCGGGATGAGCTGCTCAAGACCGCGGAATACATCGACGCCAGTGCGTTGGAGGCGGGAGCGGGCGAGGCCTTGGAAGCCCTGGCGACACTCCTCGGCGATGACCAACACTTCTTCGGCCGACCGCACCCGGGCCTGTTCGACGCCAGTGTGTTCGCGTACACACACCTGATCTTGGACGAGAGGATGGGGTGGAAGCGCAACCGGCTGGGACAGCTGCTGCAACAGCACGAGAATCTGGTACAACACCGAGAGAGGCTGTTGAAGTTTTTCTAAACACGAATAAAGAAAAAAAGAGAAAACAATAGACATGTACACTACCGACCATCCAACCTCTACCCACCCACTACAATAACAACAACACATTCATCCTCCAAAAGAATCAAAGAAAGAATCAAACAGAATCAACATCAAACCCTAGATCCTCCGAAAACAAACCCCAAACCAAACCACCACCCCAATCCACTTCCTCGCCCTCTCCCCCAAAACCCCCACCATCCCCTCATCCACCCTCCTCTCCCTCACCTTCCTGTCGCCCTCCCCATCCAACCCAACAACCTCCAACCCATTCTCCCCCGCAACCCTAACCACCTCCCCAACCTCGTAAGAGTAACTCACGGGCCGAATCTTCTTCCCGGAACCAGGATCCACAAACCCCGCCTGGCTAATCGCTCCCATCTCTGCATGCATATTCGTCAACAGTAAATATCCCCCAGGCTTCAACAGCGCCGTCACGGACGCGAAAAACTGGGTTAGAGGGACGTGCTCCAGCACCAGTGTCGAAATGATTCCGTCTGCGGATGCACTAGCTAGAACGCCCGGATCTGGGGTTAGCAAGTCCAGAACAGCGAGCCTCACCCGTGGCGCTGGTCCCGTTCCCGTTCCAGCATTGGAATCGACGTCGGCTATACGTTTGCGCGCAACATCCAGCATGCCAGGCGATGCGTCCAGACCGAGTATCTGTGTGGTAGGCGGCGCGTGGTGCATTAGCTGGAGTGTGTTTCGGCCGGTGCCGCAGCCGAGGTCGATGAGTCTTTTGTTTGGGGTGGTGGATGTAGTGGATGTGGTAGTTGTGTCTTCCACGCGGTCCAGGAAAGCTGGGAGGAGAGTGCGTAGTTCGAGAGTGTCGAGGGCTTGGAGGAAGTTGTTGTCTGTGTCGTAGACCTGGAGATATATTAGTATGTGTACAAGTCTAGTATGAGGAAGAGAGGGGATGGATGGAGACTAGTGGGTGATGGGGAGAGAGAGAGAGAGAACGTGTCATTACTTCTGCCCATTTGTTGTATGCGTCGACGGTGTCCATGTATTGGATCGGGTGTTTATTAGGGCTGGTGTCTCCTGCTGATGATGCTGCGAGGGATTGTTGGATTGTGGGTGTTATGGTCATTTTAGCTTTATTGCTGTGGTTCTGATGCTTCTATTTGTATTTTGGGGTCTGTTGTACGGATGTGTGAACGGTAGGTATGAAAAACAATGCTGGACGATACAAAGACAAGTGATAGGTAGGTACAGAACTGTGAACCCGCACTGCAATTCAGACAGACTTTATAGATAGCCATACACACCATACTTCCATTTGAGGTATGGAGTCTGGCAGCATATGCGGGGATCTATACGATGTGAGTCATCTCATCACCGACCACTGAAAATGCGAGACCATGCACTCCGGCCTGTCATACTCTGCATGGACTGGCGTCTGCATGTCGGTTGCATATGGCGGGGACTTGATTCGGTGGTGGGGTTACGAGGTATAGTTTATTTATGTAAGAGATCGAAAGAACAGATTGTGAAATTGATTATTATCATTTCTTGTCATTCCCATTCTACTCCAAAAGTGTAGGAACATGACACATAGACCGTGAACCGTAGAAGAAAAAGAAGATGATGAATGAGTGACGAGAAAGAATGAAATAGATTGGGAAGGGAACGCTTGATCCGCTTGATCCGCTTGATCCGCTTGATCCGCTTGATCCAACGCCGTGCCAGACGGGTGCTGTTCAACAAAACATGTATTAAAGAAAAATGGGGAAAGAAGAAAACGGGAATCGAAAGAGAAATGGAAAAAAAAAGTAAAGCAAGGAGGGTGATAGAAAGTAAAAACATGACAAAAGAAACATTGCCAGTCGTGCGTCATGCTCATGCTCATGCTCATGCTCGTGCTCATTACACATGCGGACTCAGATCATAAACGTCAGCACACCGTCGCTCCAAACGGGGCTGTTTCTTTGAGATCCTCTACCAGGTCTTCGACGTTGTTGAGGTATCGTCCCAGCAAGGCCTGCTTCTCGTCGGTGGTGCGAGTGTCGCGGGGCCCCCGGGAGTTTCTGTGCCCCGGAGGGCTGTGGGAACTTCGCGACATCTTGCTGGGGTTGCGCTGTAGGCCCGGAGGGGTGCTCGGGGTGCCGGGCCGCGATGGGGTTTCCGGCATCAGGTAGAAGTAGAGAAACTCAACCAGCTTGAGCTTCACCTCCCGCGACGTCGCGCGCTGTTTGAATAGCGACGTCACGGTGAGCAGGCCGTCCAGCTCCTCGAACGTGCGCGTGTTGGCGGGATGGTCGAGCAGGGCGGTCACGAGGGTCAACAGGGTGGCGGACTGGATGGCCGGGCAATTGATCGGGTCGAGCAGGTCCAGGAGCAGGTTCATGTAAATCTCGCGCCCGAACAGGGTCCGCGACGGCGGGTGCAGGAGCAGCGCCCCTTGGATGAGGTCGAGGGTAGCGAGGATGAGAAGATCGTTGGTTCCGTTACTGCCTCGGCCTAGGAGATGCTCGAGACAGATGACTAGGCGCATGCCGACTGTTCCGAATTGATTAGTGCCCGCCATGGCTGACGACGGTCCAGGTCCGGTCGGACGTACCATTCCATTGAAACCCCTCCTGCAACTTGAAAAATTCCCGAAAAGCGAGGTCATCTTTGAGTTCAGACAGGGATTTCGGGACGAGTTGTGGACCCCCGAACGACAGTAACGACCGGCGTTTGTCAGACACCGGCTGTTTCGATTTGGACAGGCATATTTGTGCGAGGAGCCCTTCGACCTGGCGTAGCCCTTTCCGTACCTTGCTGGGCTCGTACGAAGAGAGATAGTCAAAGGAGTGCGCCAACAGAGCCTCCATGAGTACGACACCAATGGATATGGAGGAGAGGTAAATGGATAGAAGGGGAAGAAATAAGAGACTCAAATCCGAGGAGAGTGTGCGTGGGTGTTTGCGTGCGTGCGGACAAGGCCAGTGTTTTATCTCTACCCACCAGTGCCAAGCCAGACAACCGCCGGGGTGATGATGATGTGTCCGACGAAGTGGAGGAACAAGGAAAAATAAAGTCAATCTGAACCAATCCAGGAACTGGGAGGTCTCAGAGGCTAAATCTAAAAGAAATCACCTTTGACGATAGGATAACTGGACCAAATAGTCGGCCGTGGATACTATGGAAAGATCAGATCCACTTCAGCTGGTGGATGGATCGGAGGATAGCCAGGCTCCAGCTGAGATGGATGGTTCTCTCTCTCCACATCGGGCCATCCACTCATCGCGTTGCCCCGACGACCATCGCCCATCACCGGTGTCTTTGTCCACCATATCTTCTTCAGCACGATCTCGGAGACAATGCCAACCATGATGATGATGTCAAAGCTCGTCCCAGCCGTCTGGGTGGATGGAGATTTGGGCCCCATCAGTTCACCGCCAGTTTCCCCATTTGGTTTATTTGATTATGTTTTTTTGTTTCCTTGTCCGATTGTGAATTATATGAAACCAGTGTCTCTGTTATTGGTAGGAGAGCGGGGCAGCCTGATCTAATTTCGAATTAATGCAGGAGGCTGAGGAGGCTGAGGAGGCTGGGCTCCAATCATGACACCCCTTGACGTGATCCTTACATAGCTGGTTTTCCGGTCGGAGATCTGGTTTGGAATTCAAGGCTATGGTCAATAGGTTGGGCTCGGCAAGCACGACGATCTCTTGCCGATGGAGCCCGAGTGTTGATAGTACTAAGTACTCCGTAGCGATGATCCGATCCAAGACTGCCTGATCAAGATTCAAGAATGGAGAGAAAATCAAGGCGGAGATGGAATCAAACTCACGTGAGGCGGTGAGACCCACTTCTGTTTGTTATTTTCCGCCAGGATTCAGGCGTCCAGGCGCCAGCTTGATTTCAGCCAGCCAGCCACCTGGTTTTCCTTCGGACTTATTTGTCGTATTTTTTCGAAGAGATAGTGCATCTCTTCATAAACTGGGATGTGGAGCTTGTAGTCCGGTTTCTGTGAAGGGCCAATCACAAGAACACACGCAGGGGCAAATGGCCGCGGCCACTACCCCTCCTCACGAGCTCCGGTCGATCATCCGACTTTGGAACCACCCCGCAGTATTCGGTCATAACAACGCAATCCTTAATCCTTGATTATCCTTATCCCTATACTAGTCAACACGATCGTCATGCCGTCAGATTCGCCTTATCAGCATCCTGTCATCCCTCCGCGCACGAGCTCCACCGGTATGACGGACGTCAACCATCAGGGGAAGCCCCTCCACGCGATCCCGGAGGTGGATCGCGCGGGCAACGGCAACGGGGAGGGCCGACTACCAACGAATAGTAACATCCGGAGTAAGCACTTGCGTCGCCGCTCGAGCATGGATGGCACCAAATACAGGGATGGGCAGTGGTCGTCGGAGAAGGAGCGGATCTTGATGGGTCCGTACGACTACATGCTGCAGAACCCGGGCAAGGATATCCGACGGCAGTTGATCAACGCCTTCAATGTGTGGTTGCAGGTGCCGGCCGAGAGCATTGAAATTATCAATAAAGTGGTGGGCATGCTGCATGCGGCGTCGTTATTGTGAGTTCAACTCAAAGTCAGGGGATAGGGGAAAGGGAATACAGAGGCTGATTAGTGTAGAATCGACGATGTAGAAGACGACTCTATTCTTCGCCGCGGAGTCCCTGTGGCACACAAGATCTACGGCACCGCGCAGACCATCAACTCCGCCAACTACGTCTACTTCCTCGCGCTACAAGAACTCCAGAAACTCAACAACCCAGAAGCAATCAACATCTACGTCCAAGAGCTACTCAACCTACACCGCGGCCAGGGAATGGACCTCTTCTGGCGCGACACCCTCACCTGCCCCAGCGAAGACGAATACCTCGAAATGGTCGGCAACAAAACAGGCGGCCTCTTCCGGCTCGCCATCAAGCTCATGCAAGCAGAGAGCCAAACCGGGCGAGACTGCGTGCGCCTAGTCAACGTCCTCGGCCTAATCTTCCAAATCTGCGACGACTACCTCAACCTCTCCAACCTCACATACACCCAGAACAAGGGCCTCGCAGAGGACCTCACCGAGGGCAAATTCTCCTTCCCCATCATCCACAGCATCCGCTCCAACCCGCACAACCACCAGCTCATCAACATGCTCCGCCAGCACACCAAGGACGACGAAGTCAAGCGCTACGCTATCTCGTATATGGAGAGCACGGGCAGCTTCGCGCACACGCAGCAGGTCGTGCGTGACTTGCGCACTACGGCGTTGGGGCTCATCGATGAGATTGGGCGTAGTGGGCGGGGGAACCCGTCCGAGGGCCAGGATGACGGGGCCATGATCCGCGCTATCATGGATAAGATGACTGAGGCGACGCTGGCGGATACGCAGGGTGACAGATAATACAGACTATACGGACCTTGGTATATGTTGGATAAATGCGGTCCGTCTTTCTTCGTGGTTCTGGATGTACATATAATACGACTGACGACCGATCTGCATGGCGAGTGGTTCTTAATTGATTATCCTATCCTTATTTATCTTTTGAATAACACACAAGACATGACATGAGTATGTCTAGGTCACAATATTCCAAACAACTAACCAAAGATAGTAGATAGTAATAGAATCAGGGTATAACAAAGCAACCTTCCACATAATAGTATCCATCCTCGGCAAAGATGGCAAAGATCTATAAACCACAAATATATAGTATATAGTATATAGAAACCAACCCTACATAACAACACAACAAGCCTTCTCCAACTTGCGCACCACACGCGGCAAAACCCGCCGCACAACCTGCTCGACCGGATCCTGCTGGTTGTGACGCTGCGGCTGCGGCTGCGGCTGCGGCTGCGCGTGCGGTTGTTGATGGTGCTGCTGACCGGGGTACTGGTGTGGCTGCTGCGGCTGGGACGAAGGAGGAGGCATGTGAGCCGGCCCGCCGGAGAGATTCACGTAGATGCGGCCGGCGTTTTCCTCGGTGGTGTACTGCACGCCGAGTTCGCGACAGACTTGTTCGACGCGCGGTTTGATCTTTTGGACGTGGTGGGTGGAGTGGTTGCCTTTGCCGACGATTCTGTATCATTCATTATATTTGTTAGTTGAATCCTTTTCTTCACTTCCTGTAATCTTTCCATATCCCAGAATATATGGTTAAACTCACACATGTAAATGCGTCTGCCCATGCGCCTTCGCATACTTAATCCTCTCCTCAAGGATCTCCTCCGCCTCTTCAACAAACTGTCCGTGCAGATCGATCGTATCCGCCTCGACGCGTCCGTTGGCGTTATTTTCGCGGAAGATGAACTCCGACGCCTGGCGGTTGTACTCCTCCATTTTGCGACCGTGGGCCTTGCCTTGCTCGGAGAGCTCCTTGGCCGCCGCGCCGTCGCCGCTGGTGTAGGCTTCTTGGGACTACATCGTGTATCATCCACGGGGGGTGCTCGTTAGTGTTCATTGTTTTCGGTTCCTTTGGTTATGCGGATTAGGTGAAGAGGGACGCACTCGTTGGAAACATGATCCGCGCTTGTTGGCTTCTTGTCGCGCGAGATCGCGGAGTCGGTCGTACTCGGCTTCGGCGTCTTGGCTCTGGTCGTGGTTGAAGGCTGGGTTGGGTCAGCTTGCGCTTGTGTGATACGTACTTGGGTCTGGGTGTATGAGGGGGTGATGTGAGATGGGACAAGATGGATGGGATGGGTGAGCTGAGCTCAGCTGAGCCGAGCCGACCAGGGGTTGATGATTCTGATCACAGGCAAGGTGTGTGTACTCACCCCTCGGGCCCATTTGCGACATCTCGTGCATGCTGGATAAATTGGCGATATCGCGGGGATAAAGAATACGATTGGGGGTCGGTTTACAGGGATTGAACGCAAAAGATGGTGGATCAGAGACAGAAAGGGCAGAAGAAGATCAGATCGGACATTGTCTATTTACCGCGACGCCCCACAGCCCAACTTCGGGTGGCCATTCAGGGTCGGCCAATGCCGCCCGTGTGGGTGGAGAAGCCCTGGCCCCGATCGGTATCTTATATACTAGTCCCGAAGGGAGGGACGGAGCGCTTCCGAGGAGGAACAATTAATTCCTCAGTGGGATCGTGTCGATTCATAAACCCTCTCGGTTGGGATCCTTGGGAACTATAGAATATACATCGAGTGTGTTGGTGGCTTGCCCGCGACGATCTCTGACAGGTCAATCGCTTTCTGGAAATCCGATCTATTCATCCAATCCTAACGATGCATGTTATTGACCGATGCATCACGGATCCCCTCGTAATGTACGCCATGCCACATATTGGGGGCAATAGTCGCACATTCCTCCGAGCGATAAGTCGATCGCGCTTCTCCCGCTCGGAGCCATGCGGCGATAGCGGTTCCGTATCACGATCCCAACTACCGTGTGCGTCATGTCGCCACGACGCCACCCGAGAAGAACGAGCGTAGAAGGGTGGGTGTTAGGTACCATAATCTGGGGACACCGGGTCCGCCAGCGAAGGCGACTAGAAGCAATAGACAATGGGTCATCTGGAGCAGAACCATGGATTCAGTTTTTGTACCTTGAGGGACAGGAACATCCGGCGGTAGCATCCTGAAAGGAATACATGGATACGAGTTCTCTAGTCAGTATTCAGTAGTCATAAGGTAGTTGAATAAGGAGTGGGGGGTGGGGTGCTGATGAATGGACCTTTCTGCACGCTGGTTTGGTCCATCCATGATCCCTGTTGTGGCTCGTCAGTTGTCTTCCTGGGCACTTTACATGACAAAGCAATAAGGGAAAGAAATACTCAATTCGAAATGATTAATTTTGATCAATGAACAAAATGCAAAAAGAATGAAAGGATAAAGAAGAAAGAAAGGAAAACAGGAAATGGTTTCTGTGCGGAGAAGAAAGAAAGATCGACGGCAGTTCCAAGTGGAGATGATTCCATACCATACAGTACCATCATTCTGCCAGAAGATTACCATGTCGGTACCTTAGGTATCTCCCGCCATATGAATGCCAGAAACTCCTCCCCAATCCGTGGCCACAGTCCATAGATGTAATACTTCAATTGACCATCTCAGTCCTCCTCCATATATGAGTCAGTCCACTAATGGTTAGCGTGCATTAAGGTTGCCTCATCCAGAACCCTAACCTCGTTCTGTCCACACGCCGGACCCTGGGTGACTGCTCAGTACAGTATGTGCCTGGCGATCTGGTCTCCACCGTGGTGGCGCACTGAAACGAAAAAGATGGCCCTTTTGCCATGCCGAAGACCAATAATAACCACCAACCAGACAACACCTCGTGCATATCATCATCATTCTTCCATGGCATCAGTTTCCTGTCCACCATACTCCGGAATGCCCGTTAGAGGAGGCGGCGGGAGGGACCTCCGTCACCCTGAATGCTTCCAGAAGGTGTAAAACAACGATCAAGACGGATTGTCTCATGCCCTGCAGGCCACGCTGATCTGCACCGGCCGGGAAATTAAGTTCTTATCCCAGTTAGGAATCAGTAGAAACCTGCAGTCACCTTCCGGGGAGTAGACCATTGTCGCTTCTCCTGATATGGCGGAGGGGACCTAAGATAAGACGGTCTACTCCACAGTCGACCACACCTCCGACAGTCTTTCATCATCCAGCCGACATTCAAGAGGATACAGTCAGAATTCCCGGACTGAATCAGTTCGTCGATGCTCTAATGAAAAGGGGAAGTTGGCTTCCTGAGGCATGATTGGCTAACGTGACTTCTCCTGTCACCCCACCCCCTTAACCCTTCCACCAATCATGACTCTTCCGCAACCCCCTATTGCTGATCCAGTGAAATTAATCCTGGTATTTCATTTACAGGGTGTAATTTTGCGGTAACCTTACGGACATCCTTTTCCTCTCTGACGATACCTGACTTAGTTCAACTTCTCTACCCTCCTTTTCTTTCTCACTCTCTTCACTCTCTCTATCTTTCCTTTCTTCCTCTCTTTCTTTCTTCCTTCCTCTCTTTCTCTCTTTCTTTCCCAACTTCTTCTCTGGATCTCTCACCAGACCGACTCCCTGGAGTCCCTTCTGTTGGTAAGTTATCCATCCTCACTCTCGATAGCCTCATAGTTTGTTCTTTTCTACTTCTTTTCTTCCACCCTTCCCTCTTCCCAATCAGACCGTCTTTATTGCTCCTGGGATGAAGGTGGAACAATTGGACCGTCATCCCGTGGTGATATCAATCCTTTCCCTTTTCTGTCTGCTGGTTTCGTTTCGTTTGGTTTCGTCTCATTTCATCGTTACAACGTTGTATTACCTTACCCTACTTAGTCCACTCGGTTCCCTCTCTCTGTCTCCTCTCTCTCCTCTTGCGCGTCGACATTTTGAAATTTCCCCTTTGCTGTCTTCCTTTCATTCTCCGGTCCTCCGCGGTCGCTTACACCCTTAGTAATAGTAATCTTCACGCCCTTCGTTTCTCTTCTCTTGTTGCTGCTTTTGTCAATTCATTCTCCCATCTCTCCGACAAACAAGTGACTTTCACTCATCCCAGTGAGTATTTCGCCCGTTCTGTCTCCCCTTGCATTGGTCGTGGCTGGACCACTCTCTCTCCTCTCTTTCTCCTCATTCTATGAGACGGGTGCTCCCTTCAGAACTCCCTCCCCCCCTCAATCCCCCCGATTGATCTATCAAATTACACCTCCTTGCGTCTGGACGATCGCCAACCTCTGGTTTCTTGGGAGAACTCCTGTGTTTTTTGTTTTTTTTTTTTTTTTTTTTTTTTGTTTCTTTTCGGAACAACTCGCAATTGAGACTACCATCTCGTGCCACGTTCGGACTCGCCGTCCGTGCCCGATATCGCTCAACAAACCGGAGAATTCCTTTTCGCTGACCATTTGTTTCGATAGACTTTCGGAACTGAGTTCTGTGCCATTCACTTGAGGTTATCCCATCGTTTCCTATCAATCTCCATCCCGCCTATCGTTTTCGTCCAACGCCGCCAACATGGGTTGTGGTATGAGTACCGAGGACAAGGAGGGCAAGGCCCGCAACGAGGAGATTGAGAACCAACTCAAGCGCGATAAGATGTTGCAGCGAAATGAGATCAAGATGCTCCTGCTCGGTATGCGAGACCCTTTCGGATGCGCGGGCGAGGACGGCTGGCTAACGGTTCCATCCAACTAGGTGCGGGAGAGTCGGGCAAGTCCACTATCCTGAAGCAGATGAAGCTCATCCACGAGGGCGGATATTCGCGCGACGAGCGCGAGTCGTTCAAGGAAATCATCTACAGCAACACCGTCCAGTCGATGCGCGTAATCCTGGAGGCCATGGAATCGCTGGAATTGCCCCTCGAGGACGCCCGCAACGAATATCACGTTCAGACCGTCTTCATGCAACCGCCTCAGATCGAGGGCGAGAGCCTGCCCCCAGAGGTTGGCAATGCGATCGGTTGCCTGTGGCGCGACACCGGCGTGCAGGAGTGTTTCAAGCGCTCGCGCGAATACCAGCTGAACGATTCGGCCAAATAGTGAGTTTGGTCCCGCGCATCACTCCCCGAGCCATGGTGCTAATCTGCGTCTAGCTACTTCGACTCGGTTGAGCGCATCGCGCAACCCGACTACATGCCCACCGACCAGGATGTCCTGCGCTCCCGTGTCAAGACCACCGGTATCACCGAGACCACCTTCCTCATCGGCGACCTGACATACCGCATGTTCGATGTCGGTGGACAGCGTTCGGAGCGGAAGAAGTGGATCCACTGTTTCGAGAACGTCACTACCATCCTCTTCCTGGTCGCCATCTCCGAGTACGATCAGCTGCTGTTCGAAGATGAGACGGTCAACCGTATGCAGGAGGCGCTGACCCTGTTCGACTCGATCTGCAACTCGCGCTGGTTCGTCAAGACCTCGATCATTCTGTTCCTGAACAAGATCGACCGCTTCAAGGAGAAGCTGCCCGTCAGCCCCATGAAGAACTACTTCCCCGACTACGAGGGTGGCTCCGACTACGCCGCCGCCTGCGACTACATCCTCAACCGGTTCGTCTCGCTCAACCAAGCCGAGCAGAAGCAGATCTACACGCACTTTACGTGTGCCACCGATACCACACAGATTCGCTTCGTCATGGCCGCGGTAAATGGTATGTGCTCTTTTTTTATCTTATATTCATGTTTTTTCCCCCTGGTGCCGACGATGCTGACTGCCACTAGATATCATCATCCAGGAGAACTTGCGGTTGTGTGGTCTGATCTAACCACGGATCCAATAAGGCTGTCTTGTTTATCTCTACCTGGCTTGTAATCTGCTTTCTTTTATTATTTTATACCTCGTCGCAATTTCTTTTTTCTTTTCTTTTTGTCTGATTTTGAAGAACCTGGCGTTGAGACATTCATTTGTCTTCCTATTCCTTTTTCTACTAATTCCCCCCCGATTTCCTTTGTCCTGAAATGATATCTAGCCGGCTCTTTGTTCTCAGCATTACCGATATCCATCCATGACACAGAGCAGGAGTTTTTATTTTTCACCTTTCTCAATTCTCTTTCTTCCTTTTTGTTCTCTGCTCATTGAGCAGCGGGTAATCTGTGACTCCCAATTTCAAGGTCCTGTCGAACCAGGCCTCGAACGTATATGTTATTATCTCCCTTTCCAATCACCTTGGAAGAACCCAACCCGCCTTGTCTTATTGAATCCTTTTTTTCTCTCCATTCCCCTCTTGTATGTTTTCTCCCTGCTCGTGTCCTGGCTATTCATCCAACCCTCAATCTATCTCGATATCTTTTCTCTCTCTTATCTTGGTCTCGCAAGCTGGATATCCCACCCTCTGTTGGTGTCTTCGTCGCAGAGTTTGTAGTCAGTGGCGATGATGGCGACTGGGGGGACGGAAGGACGGCGCTGAATCAAGAGGACGTGGACCGTCATCTCATGTCTCTTTATAACTATTTTCTTTCTTATGCGTTATGCCGGGTTGGTTGTCATAGTCAGAGTTTTTGTACGGATTGTGGAATATCAGATATGTCTGTCTTATTGTCTTGTCTTGGCTTGGCTCGGCTTGGCTTGGCTTGGCCTGTACGTGTAGTTCTATTTACATACGTCGATTGCGACTTCGCCTCCGGACCTCCAGGTTATCGAGGGAACAGCGAAAAGAAAGACAAAGAAGATCAATGGATGTAACCTCATCAATAATACCAATAGAAAAAAATATGTGTCAAAAAGCTAAGCCACCGCTAAAGATACCAAAAATACTAAAATAAACAAATAAATGAGTTAAAACCTCAACTTCGGCCCCAAAAACACAATCAAAACAGCCAACAACCACAGTCCAAAGATCCACGCATAGAGCATCATCCGTCCCCACCACCCCTTCCCCTCCGTCATCCGGCGCAGGGTGCCCATGCGGCGCTCCGCGGCGCCCATGGAGCCCGTGGAGCGGTCGAGGCCGTCGACGGCGCGGGCGAGGACGGATTTCTCGGACTCGAGGGAGGCGTGGAAGGCGTGGGAGGAGGATTTGAGTTGGCTGGCGAGGGAGAGGAGGGAGGTGGTGAGGTCTTCTTGGGTGGTGCGGTCTGTTGTGAGTTGGGATTCGGTTTGGGAGGTTGATGAGGGGGTTGGGTCGGTTTGGGCGTGTGGGAGGGGGAAGAGGTCTGTCCCTGTTCTGGCTCCTGTTGTTGTTGCTGTGGGGGTTGTGGGGGCTGTTGTTGATGATGATGGGGGGAGGTGGGATCTGTTTCGGAGGGTTGGGAGGGCTGGTTCTGGCTGTTCTTGTTTGGTTGGCTGTGTTGTTGTCGTTGCTTGCGGTGGTTGTGTAGTAGCTGTTGGTACGGCCGATGTTGTAGTAGTAGCAGTAACTGAAGAAACACCACCCTCCTCATCTAACCCTCCCCGCCCCCCATCCCCAGAAGTACTACTCCCCTCATCAGGCGTCAAAAGATCCTCACCATCCAGCGACTCAGACTCCGACTCATCGTCTCCTTCATCCTGGCCCGCAGCACCGCGACGAGCAGACCGGAGGGTCTCCGCCTCGGTGGTGATCTCGTCGAGGACAGCTTGCAGTTTCTTGAGCGTCTGGCGGTAGAGCAGGAGGTCTGTCTGGAGGTCGTTGCGGTGGTCGGGGGCTTTTATCGTTGGGAGGGCGCGTTCGAGTGAGGTGAGGGTTGATTGCGCGAATGCTATGTTCTGGTTTCTGTTAGATGGGTTCTATCTTGGTTTGGGGGCTGGCGGAGCTAGCTAGCTCTGGGGCTTTTTGTATCTCTTTGTATACGCTCCAGGGGAGCGCGGGACTCGCGAGGATACAGTAGGTAAGGGAAGAACGTACAGCACCAACTCGCATGCGCTGATACTCCGACTGGCGTAGCGGAGAGAGATCCGCGCTTGGGACCAAGAGATTGAGCTCGAGGCGGTGCACGAGGCGCGATAAGGAGAGCGCCGTCAGATCGGGCGAATCTGCGGCGGAGACGGGATATGTGGTGAGTGTCATTTTGGCGATCCTCCTAGAGTATGCTGGTGTCGTGAGGGTATCATGGGAGGGACGTAAGAGGGGAAGAGAGAGTGAGAGGGAGACAGTTGGGCATCATGCTGGACGGACTGAGTCCAATGATGATGAAGTACGTTTTTACCGCATTGGGTTAGATCCGTAGCAATTAATGCTGATGACTCAGCTGGATACTTTACGGACATAATGGTGCATACTTAGTTGTGAAGTGCGTATATTGGAGCAAGTAATTGAATTCCAGTTTCAACATCGAATATAAGTGAACAGTAAGTGATGGCGCAATCATTAGAATCATACTATCATCGGCATACATAATATCGGCCACCATTGCTACCAAGTACCAACCCAGTACTATGTCTGCCTATCTCATCTCCGCCACAGACCATAGCCCAACACCAAAATAGGTAGTCTCATGTCAAATCCCCACCCGGAAAAAGAGCACGAAAAGGGACAACACGGAAGAACAGGGAAGAGGCGAGAAAAACAGAAAGGATGAAAGCAAAGAGGGAGACAGAAAAATTGGAAACGTAAAAAGAAAAGGGAAATTAAAATGAGAGAAAAGAAAAAAAGAACATAACAACCTAAGATGCAGGAAAAGGAATGGAACAAACCTAGAAGGATGAAGGATCCATCCCGCATCAGCCCATTGGACAGCTCGTCATCCACTTTCAGCTATACTCGACCATCAGCCGTCTCCATGTCCGCACGCCTTCTTCGTCAGCATCATGGAGTAGCTGAACAACTTGGCGACTCTTCTGCACCGGTGGCCGCGGGCCTGCCGGCTCGCCCGATAGCTCTGATTCATCGAAGTGGTCGTCGTGGGAGGGGGAGGAGTAACCTGCTAGGCTTCCCACCGGCCGCCACTCAGTCGGTGTAGGCGCCATCGGCGGTAGCGAATCCCTGGGCCCAGAGTAGCTTGATTGATCACTCCCGCCGCCAGACAGGTCACTGGCTTGGGTCTCTGAGGTCGACGGTCTCGAGTGGTCACTCGGACCCGCGCTGGCTACAGGATCGCCGCCGGGGCTACCTGCTGGCTTCTCGTTCGCAGGATGCGTGGGCTGTTTTGCGCGGCCTAGGATGGCCGCGAGATGGCCACTGGAGGGCAGTGGGGTCAACTGAGACAGCGGTTGGAGGATATCACAGGCAGACGGGAAGGATGATGTCGCCGCCGTCGTCGTCATCACGTCGTGGGAAGGGTCCTTGATGCAGGGCGCCGCTGCTCCCTGACTTGCAGACATGTCGCCACCGGACTTTTCTGGAGGAGATGAGGATCGTAGTGAGTCCTGTCGCCTCTTCTCGGGGAGCTGGTACTTCCGCTGTCGGTGGTGTCTGATTCGTCGCGCAAGAAGGACAATGCCAATCACGCAGAGCGCGGGATAGAGGACCCCGTGTGTGAAACTCTGGATAGTGGGAGATGGGACACAGTCACCATGCTCACGGCCCATCGCCGTTGGTCTCCTGCGCGGTGGAGAGAGATCTCGGCTGCCTATCAGGCCGTAATGGAATCAGTTTATAAGCCGTAGTAGCGATGCACCAGTGGAGCCCTGGGCAGAATAGCAATGGTGATGGCGATGGTGACACTTTCGATGTTCGGAAGAGATCAAGGTGAAGTATGGACCCGTTGGTATATGTGTGTCTTAAAAGCTTAATGGAGGTATCAAGGATTTTAACCAGGGAGCAATAGCACAAAGAAATCGTCTGTTTCCCTATCAAACGAGAACAGGGAAGAGGAAACGACCGTTGGGTAGGTTTATAAACTCATCAGAGGCAGATCAGACAGCCCCCCCCAAGACCACGAAAAGACATTGACTTGCGCCTCTTGTGACCCGCAGGGAATTTCACTTTTCTTTACACTAAAAACCCAAGGGAACCAAGACCCCCTACCATGCGGAGACAATGGAAGATCTCACAGTGTGAAACCCCATCCGTTTGAGGGAATAGTCTACAATCCTAGTATGAAGAGGGAGGAGGGTCTATGGCGCGCGCCCCCTCCCAGTCCAGCTGGGCCCTGATCAGCCACGAGTCCTGCTGCGCTGCAGGGGATCCACGAGTGCACCACCATCTATCATATCATCCAATATTATAGGACCGGGGCGGGGCCGAGGGTCGGAAAAAAACGTCGAAGTCCAAGCAGTTCAGCTGTGGAATGCATGCGCCACCGCCGTCGACCCTCGCAGGCTCCCGCTAGTTCGTTAGACGGGGTTTAGCGGGTCCCGGCCTAATGTAAGGCTGGCTGACTGGATGGGATCCCTAAGGGGTGGTCCGATGAGGCTCGATCAGTGAGATCGATCGCTCTAATGATAGGCAGTCATCATTGTTTCAAATTGTGATTGAAGGAAGAGGATCCAAGTTGGAATTGGATGAAGTTCCGGATGAGAGACAATTGAAGTCTCAATGGGGGGAAATGAACCGAACAAACAAGGGCAAATCCCGTGACTCCCGATCACTGGACTTTTCCATCCCGAGTATTCTCCTGCTTCAATAATTCATTTCAATATTCTCTCTTTTCCCCTCCATCATTCAGTCAGCCAAGATGTCCGGATCGACACGTCCCCCTCATCTTTCCCTGCTTGCAGATCCGTCTCTAATCCCGCTGCTGTTCGGCAGTCAAGGTTTCGACAGTCCGATCGGACTTGGTGGGGACATGCTTGCCATCAGCTCGCCATTGTCCAAATAGTCGACCATCCATCTCCACCTCGGCCATACACGGTCTATCAGATTCCCAAACTGATGATCCCATCATCTCCATCATTCCCACTACTTGGTCGCCAATTCATTCGACCGAGTCGTGGGTTCCTCCCCATCCAACGAGATGCAATTCGCCTACGTGGCGGTGAGAACCGTGCATCTCTCGGGCACCGTGACAAATACCGATGATCGGGCTGAGGGAGCGAATTGATCAGATCTAACTTATCACAGTATAGAATCGCCTCTGATCGGGATTAACTACTGGTCTATGCCATCCCTCCCCCTCCCAGAACCAAATAACCGGGTCGCCCCCATGCAGCCTGTCGATCAGCGCAAAACTCTAATATGGACGATGGGAATTCCAAATTCCGTCCAGATTTTCCAGCCTGATTCATTTTTGCCCGATGTCGCTGCCGCTCTAGCGGGCGTGCCCTGGGTGTTCGCAGCCCTGTCCATCCGCGACGCAAGGGAAGATCCATGAAGACTCATTCGATGGCAAGTGACACCTCTGAGAGAAATTTTACGTTTCGTATGACAGCAAAGAAAAAAAATATTCAATCAGCAGAGTCAGTGGCAAGTCATCGAGCACGATTGTCCTTAGGTTGACGTTTCTCGACATTGGCTTGGAATAACTAATGGGACCCAGTACTAGAGGCCTATCACTAGTCAATAGGCTAGAGTATCCTACAGTTTCTCGGTGTTCACCGCTACCTGGACCATGGTAGCACCCATTGTTTACCGGTAAGACTTTTTAATGATTTTTGATTGGTGAAGAGCTCTCATGCCAGTAAATGCAACCTAATCGGCAAACACTTGGCCCCTCCTGCCCAAAAAGCAGATTCTGGTTCTTACTGGCAATCTGCAATTTTGAACCTTGTACACCTCTCACATACTTTACTTGGTTTATGGGTTAATACAATCGCGATCTATGTGCTCGAATCAATACCCCGCATTGATCCGCCAGAGTATAAACAGTGTATAGCTTCACCCCTTGAGGGGCCCCCCAAATTAATCTCTATAGTGGCTGTGCGTGGACTTATAGTTTGGCCCGGACATCACCAGTCTTCTGCTGAATCTCCTTCTGTGCCTGGTCGCGAAGTGTCTTCCGCAGGATCTTCCCGGAGGGATTCTTCGGGATCGCGTCGAGGAAGACCACGCCGCCCGTGATGCGCTTGATCCAGGAGACTTTTCCGTCCATGAACGAGGTGATGTCCTGCGCTGTGGCGGTCTTGCCGGGGTTCAATACTACGTATGCTCGGGGCCGTTCGTCGTCGTTCCTGTTACCGATTGTTAGTACCAACTAGACGATTGCCTCATTTCGGGTAGGTAGGCAACTTACATAGTAACGCCGATGACGGCAACATCAGCAATAGCGGGATGTTCCAGCAGGATGGCTTCCAGCTCGGCCGGGGCGACTTGGTTGCCCTTCACCTTGATCAGTTCCTGGTTCTGTTAGCCTCTACTCATTGAATTCCCGGTCACGTAGTAGAGTCAAGTACCTTTTTCCGGTCAACCACGTGGAACTTGCCATCTGTGGAGACGTAGGCGATATCGCCCGTCTTCAGCCACCCATCCTCGGTCAAAGTCTCCTGCGTGGCTTGTGAATTGCGCCAGTATCCTTTCATAACATTGGGGCCTCGCACCCAGAGCTCACCGCGCTCGTTGCGCCCTAGCTCGGTCACTCCGTCGTCGGCCATGATTCTCGCCTCGCAGTTGGCGTTCAGCTCTCCCACCGAAGCCGTGTAGCTCTTCTGGGTGGGGTCCCATCCGAGGATCGAACATGTCGCTCTGTCTCACTTAGTACTCGGAGGTCGCAAGGATCATAAATTGGGGGAAAGAGGCTCAACATACTCCGTCATACCCCATCCCTGCTTGACATTAATCCGTCCCGGCTCCCACAGCTTCTCGACCTCCTCACAGACCTCGCGTCCGAGAGGAGCCGCCCCACTACCGACCGACTCAACACTACTCAAATCATACTTACCGCTCCTGACCACAGGATGCTTCGCCAACGCCACCACAACAGGGGGCACGAGAATGAGATCCGAGATGCGAAACCGGTCGGTATACTCGAGCATCTTGATAAAATCAAACTTAGGCATGATGTACACAGGTACGCCACGCGATATGGCCGCAGCAATGAAGATGCTCTGGGCCATGGCGTGGTACATGGGCAGAAAGCACAGCCAGCGAGAGCGGCTCTGCCTCTCCTTCCAGTCCGGATCCTGGTAGAAGAGGTGGTTCCACTGCAGCATGTTGGCGCAGTAGTTCTTGTGCGAGATCTCCACGCCCTTGGGCCGTCCCGTCGTGCCGCTCGAGTAGTTGAGGGCCAGCGTGCGGCGGGCCGCCTCGGGGGTGGACAGCTCGTCCCACGCAAATCCGGTCGCTTCGCTCTCCGACGCGATGAGCTCACCCCAGTGGCGGCAGCCCAGGCGGCCTTGCCCCCGCCCGTCGTACACAGCATTGTCGAATACAAACACGCGGTCTTGGGGGAGCCCCGCCAAGCGGGCCGCCTCGATGCCCGTGTCTAGGCTGGCGTCTGCGCAAAGCAGGTATGTCGCACCGCTGTCCTGCAGCTGGTAGGCTAGCTCGCCCGCGACGAAAGTGGGATTGGCACCGGAGAAGACGCCGCCGGCCATGATGATGCCCATGAAGACGACGGGGAAGAAGAGGTCATTGCCAGAGAACAGCAGTACGCGATCGCCGGGTTTCAACCCGGCACGGCGCAACCCGGCAGCGAACCGCTGACTCCAAATACGAAACCCATGGGTAGTGAAGTAATGCGTATCGGGGCGAGCAGCCTCGGCGAAGCAGCGGTGCGAGTTGGAGAGCGGATGAGTGGGGGAGGTGAGGAGAAGCGATGCCAGATGACAATCGGGGACGTCAATCTGCCAGCGGGATTGGAAGGGCATTTCAATTATAGTAGTGATCGTATATATACCGATATTGACCAGGTTGTTTATGGGTATAGAGTAAGATTTTGGGTGTAGAACAAGGCCAATGGATATATAGTGTTTTCATCCCCGCATTTCGGTCGGTTATTTCCTTGCCGAGACGGGAGTGGTTGCCTCGGGCTTCACTATTCGAGATATCCATCGGCCCATCAATATTGATTACCTTCGAGGATATCCATTTCTAAGGATTATGATTGACAGCATGCATGTTTGATCTCCATCTCTATATCTGGGGCAACTCTACACCATACTCCGATATCTACCATACTACACTCCCAGTAACACCCCGCAATATATACATCCCGGACATAACACCACAAGATATATATCAAAACAAGATACCCCACAGATCATACAACCACTAATCCAAAGCTAAAACAACACATGATCAATCGACCATCCTTGGCATACAGACGGCGAACAAATCACCAAGAGACCCGACCGTTGGATTGGGAAAGCGCAAATGAGGGGTATGTAGTATTTTATCCGTGTTTACTGGAGCTTCTTTGTTGTTCCCAGCCTCGGAGGGGTATGTTTACTTCTCTGGATTTATTTACTTGGGTATATCTATCTACCCCCAGATCTATCCCCAAACAGCACATAGCATACAATAAAGAGACATACAGACAAAAAACAGCAGAGCAAATACACAAACTGAACATAAGACAGAGATAGAAAGAGAGCAAGAATGTGGTCCTCCATCCTCCTAGCAAGCACCCTCCTAATCAACCTCTCCACCCCACAATCCTTCGACCCCAACCAAGCCAATCTCCAAACCTTCGATCTCGCCCTCGTCGGCACCGATCGCTCCACCAACAACGCCTCTTACCATAATCCCATCAGTACCGTTAATGCCGGTGATCCGTTCGTATTTCCCCATTATTCTTTCTCCTTCTCCCCAATCTACCGTGGCTTATCTAATAGAAGTGAACTATATGTTTAATTCCAGAGAATGAAGGCTAATAATTGAATAGGTTCGTCCTCCGCCATGAGGATTGGTACTTCTTGACATACACCACCAATGATAATATCACGCTGAAGAGGTCCCGCTCTTTGACGGATAATTGGGACTTTGCGGAGTCTCAAGTGGTTTTTAAACCTGATGCGTCGAGTGGGGAGCCTTGGTCGACTGATGTGGGTTTTGCTTTTTATTATCTTCTTGGTATACACTTGGATATGTGTGTACAGAGGTACAGAGCAAGGTATATATAGCTACTAACTCTACGCAGTTATGGGCCCCGAACTCCACCACATCAGTCAGAAATGGTACATCATCTTCACGGCAACCCCCGACAAAGACGCCCCACCGCCGCTGCAGGATGCAAAATGTCCGATTAACTGCCCCGCGGTTAATCACCGCATGTTCGTGCTGGAGAGCTCGGGGCCCGACGCCTGGACCTCGACCTATGCTCTACGGAGCACCCTCGACACCTTCGACCAGTTCGCCATCGATGGTACCTACTTCCATCACGCGGACCAGATCTACCACATATACAGCTGCTGGGAAGATACCTACAGCGCGTGGCCCGCCAACCTGTGCATCACGCGCATGTCCGACCCGCTGACGATCAACTCCACCCTGAGCGAGCGCGCTATCATCTCCGTCCCCGACGAGCCCTGGGAGCAGGTGCCCCGCGGTCGACCCGTGCGGCTTGCTACCAACGAGGGTCCCCAGCAGCTGGTGAATCCCCACACCGGCCAGAACTTCGTCGTGTACTCCGCCGCCCGCGTCGACACTCCGTTCTACTGTCTGGGATATCTTGAGCTCGTCGGTGATGACCCCATGATCCCCTGTAGTTGGCGCAAACACCGCGAGGGCTGTGTGTTCCAGCAGAACCCCGACGCGGGGGTCTATGGCACGGGACACGCGAGTTTCACTGTTAGTCCGGATGGGACGGAGCATTATGTGGTTTATCATGCACAGACGACGGACCAGCCGAAATGTAAGTCTTTCCTTTCTTTTCTTCTCCCATGCCCAACTCGCTTGCTGCTTTGTTCCTCGGATGGTAGATCGAATGCTGACCGATACAGCAAACCTCTACCGCACTATTCGGACGCAAAAGTTCACTTGGGGTGAGAACGGCGCGCCTACCTTCCCAGCCGCGTTGAATGGGCCTTTTGATGTTCCGCGGGGACAGAATTAACGAAATCTGCATGGCGTGTAGTCGACGTTAGGTCGGGGCTTGTCCGGAGGTGACATGATACACATAATCATTCTCATAGTATTAGCACAGTTCATGATGTCAGTAAGTTCATAATGCCAGTATAGTTATTTCAGCAAAAACCAGAAGATTAGACTGCACTCGATCAGGTCACCCGCGAGAATGATGAAAATCTCTGTCGACCGGTGATGATAGCGTGGTTGGGATAGAATGTCGGTGAACAGAGGGAAGGTCCGCCGTACCCCGTCAATGGTAGTAATTAACAGGAGATTAGAGTCAACTATCAAAGCACTTTGCCTTTGTTTGTGCTCGAAGTGGATGTGGAAATCATGGTGAAAGGGGAAAGGGGGGAAGAGGGTGGGAGCATTTGGGACTCTGAAGGGGGGCGCCAACGTGGCGATATCCTTAGTCCTAGAACAAAGAGAAAAAGGAAAGGAAGAATAGAAACGACGCAAGATGCACGTTTAAAGAAACGATCTTCCTTCCCAGGAGAGCCAGTTGTTCCTTCCACCAAGGAGGGGCGAAAGATTGCCACCACGCGGCCCTAAGCGAAGGATGGCTGGATGATGTGTATCAACCATCATATGTCCATGACGATGCAAAGATGAGAAAAGTGGCATACTGATCAGCCAAGGCTGACTTCGTTTCGTATGTTTCCGGACCAACGATTGTCTTCACGGTTCGCTGACGAAACAGCCAACTGTCGGTGCTCGAGTCGCTTCCAGCGAAAATACCTCAGCCCATCAAGCGACCGGTCTGCTTACTGTGGATGAAAATACCTCGAGAGATTACTATAGCAATGTCAGACGAGATTATCCTATATGGCCCCCATCCGATAGAGTAGACTAGGACATTTAATGGCTCATTGACGGGATCCCGGAGTTAGACCTGAATGATGTGGCCCTAGGGTTCCCATTTCCCATGATTTGATAGACCGCGTGGTTCGAGGCCACCTCGTCGGCCAGCCCCTAGGTTGCCCCGTCAGCCAGAGATCAGAGTGTTGGTCATCTTTGCCCTATTGTAAGCTTCTGAAACGCGGACTGCATCCATGACATCTGTTTCTCTGCTAGTTCCCCTACGGATCGTCAGCGTAACATCGGCTAGAGGCCCACGGAAGACAGTTGGTCCTACTCGCCCCTGAAGAACGACTGGTCCAGGGATGACTACTTTGTAGATGACATCGCCTTCCAAGGTTGTCGGTCTGAGCTAACAACCACACGGTGATTTTCTAGAATCTGACTCGGTGGCATTTCCCGCCGTTGACGTGCCGGAGAGCCCGGCCCCCCTGGCTGACTGGCATTGAGAACAGTTGTAACCATCGCAGGAAGACCTGCCACTAGACGTCGTCACAAGACAATCGTCAATATAGGTAGGATGTCGGGTGTCGGTGTACTCTGGAACTCTTAGCCCGAGCCGCTATCGCTCGGTCAACCAACAGAGTATCATGCAATTTTCGATATGTTGGGCAATGGACATCAGTCATCTGATCCTATGTAGAATCTTACATAGCCAAGCGCTATACCGACTCTCAAACTATCGCAAAGACGTTGGCAGGTGGACCCATAATCATCATTTCGCACTTGGCCACTTGCCCATATCCGTCTAATGCTAGATTTCTTGTTTGGGCGATAGATGTAGACGCCGTCGATGAACCCGGGCCAATCAGAAGCGTCAGCACGCCCTCAAGCTGGATAGCTTACTATATATAAGATTCTTCTCCACAATCGACAAGGGCGCACGGATTAGCGCTTATAGCTTAATCAACCATCCCGCCCTCGCTCTCGGACCAGGTTGGCGGACCAGTCCAGGGGGGCCGCTGGTCCATTTCCGCATGTTGCGACGTTATGACGGTCGCTTGGGTCGAGCCAACTAGCGGAGAACTGGTCGCGCGATCGCGCCTAGGATGGGCGGTGCTTGTGGTCCATGATGCGTTAGTGTCGTTGGATATCAATTCCCAACCAGCAAAAGTGTAATCTGAAGATATAGATAGCATCATCAGATTTCATCGCCCCAACACTAGTCCCATTCTAGGTGAAGATCGTCAGGTTCACCTGTCGGCTATTCTTGGAGGAACCGGTCCAGAGGTGGATGGCGATATGCAGAGACCCAAGACTCCTCTTGTTGTTGGATTTGAAGTGGGGGCCCTGTCATGTTGCCCACGGACGTCCCTCTGGGGTTGTGTTGGAAAGCAACAGAGTTGTATCCGACTGGTTCTGACTCGCTCTCGATCATTCCGTCGAAACATAATCCGTCTTGTAGCAGACGTGTGATCATCATTTCTTCACAATTTGCCTCAGTGCCCCGTAAGCATGAAGAGCATGTCGATCTGCGTCATTTGGTTATCTGGATGGAGGAAAGAATTGGAGAAGGTTGGTACCCCAGGGGCCTCAGGTCGTCTTGGCCCCCAACCTGTAAGGCGGATTCTAAATGGTTCAAGATATTGAATCGACACAGAGGCGGGGGTTTCATCCGAATGTGATGCTATTGTTAGATACACATAGCGCGTAGTTAATATCAATTAAAGGCGTCGCGGAATAGACTTGGTGTGGCTCAGCAGATATGAAGCAAGCCGACTGGAACGAAGGCAAGGTTTAGGATGAAGCCGAAGTGGGTCAGGATGAAGATTGAAATGATGACCCGTGACTTTCCTAGTCGCTCTTCCCTCTGACTGGACCCGCTAAATTTGTCATGGTGACCAAGTCACCATCGCTACTCATCTCGCTACTTTCTAGTTCTTCGACTAGTCGGAGGTTACTCCCTTACTCTTGACTCGATTCGATACCGCGTCTGTGTCAGACAGACACCGGGCGACGTGCCTCGTGCGTTCCCTTGGTGTCTCCGTCCATCCATGCTATGGGTTGGACGATGGATCCATTCATGTCCCCCACGAAGATCAGCCCCCCCCGATCGTCATCATCCATTCTTTCGTTCTTTCAGGTCTAACTTGAGATTAGCCTTGTCCTATTAGCAGGGAAACGAAAATAATAGAAACGGAAAAAGGAAAATGAAAAAGGAAAAGAAGTACAGGGCCGTTTTAGTGCCAAGATGATGAACAGAAACCATTACTGGACATGGACGCTCTCAGCCTCTCGGCTCATATGCCAAAGTGTGTCTATGAGGGAATAGAATGTTCTCTAGACCTTCTGTAATCTTGTATAGATGGTATATATTCGCCCTGTCCTCGCTCAACGATGTGGGACAGGCTCAAGTTCTACACACTCAACCCAACCCAAAGGCACTCTCGTCCTGACAACCTCTCATCCTCTTTCATTTCACCATGTACGCCTACAGAAAAGGTTCCCAGCTCGTCGAAATCCAAGACTATGACGAGAGGCGAAGGATCCAAAACCTCTTAGCCCAGCGCAGGTGGCGTATGTTCCCCCGTTGGCGGACCCGACCCTACGACAGGTGCTGACCCAGGATGCAATACAGGTCAAAAAGCTCGCCAGAGGGGAAGAAGCAACTCGCAACAGAGTCAGAGCCAGAGTCCCGAGCCCAAGTCGGAGTCGTCGCCCAGTCCTCCCTATATGGGGTCACAACAGCAGCCCCGGTCTACCCCCGAAGCTGGGGTGATCTATACTACCCAGCCCGATTCACATTCTCCTTGGATGTCGCCATCTCCTCAGACCCCTTACATGGACCCCAACAGTCTTCCACATTTGCCCCTGGTATGTGGCTACTGCTTTCTTCCCTTTCCCATATCAAGGAGAGCTCTTGTCTGACTGATGAAATAGATGGTCGATCCGAGTCGCTCGCCTCCTGGGTTACCAGTGCAAGAACCACTCTATGGACACCCGACGACACCCGAATCCACAGTGGGGTATGCATATATCCCGGCCACCTCCACCAGTTATCCGCAGACAAGTATGGCTGCAGATACCACCCAAGCTGCCCCGTATACGATGGCACATTACGGTATGAAGCTCTAGTGGTTCTTCTGTACCGAACGCGACCGACTGACCAACACCCGTATAGACCCTCAACTCGCCATCCCAGTCCCAGGCCCTGGCGTTCCCACCCCGGAAAATATGGATTCAGATGTGAAACGAAAGATCCTCGAGTCGCTGGAGGCAGCAGAGGGACTTTTCGATTGCGGAGTGATGCTGAACGTGTTCCCCGCGGACGACACCTTCCAGCGGCTTGTCGCCGAGGCTAAGTCGCGATTTCTTTCACTTTCGGCCACGGTATCATAAGCCATAAGCCGGCCCTTGACTATCACGCGCGGACATATATTAGGGGTGGAGTTTCTTGGCGATCATGTACATATACACATTGGCGGGATGGCGTGTTTAGACTAAATTGACCGAGCGGGTCTCGTTGGTTTGGGTCTTTTTTTTTCTTGAGGTGTTGTGAGTTAGAAGTTGGATGTCGTTGGACGTTGAAAGCTGAAAGACCATTATAGAATACCCAGAGCTGTCTGTTTTACCTGCAATTTCCAGTTCCAACAATCAACAAAGCTAGTAGTCTATTCGGGAATGCATGGGCTGGGATGCCTGTCCAATCCATACCACCGGTACATAAGGATATGCAAGGCTACAAGGCTACAAGGCCCGAATTCTCCGGATTATCGGCCCCCTCCTTATTTTAGCACGAAGAGGTCGTCTTCCAGTAGACCAGCACGGAGCATGGACTAAGCATACTACTACCTTCAATATCTACAGTGGGCAGTGGGCACAGAGGAAGGGCCCCACGGAACGGTGGGGACGACGGAAGCGGGTGGGTTTGAGCCCTACCGCCGGGGCCTATAATTAGGCGTTGCGCCTTCTGGGGGTTATCATTACCCGGCGGGGGCGTGGCTAGCTTCGGGGTGGACAGCCCTGAGTGGTTGGTCCGCAAAGGGTGCTATCGTACCTTGGGTAACTGATCGTTGGGTCCGGCCCTGGCCTAGTCTTTCCGCCCCCAACAAACCACTTGCTTGATCCATGGTTGTTTTTGGCCCCCGTGCTTACTGGCTTTGTTTGTTTGATTGAGGGGGAGGTTTACAAAGAAATTGGTCATGAGTTTGGGGGCTTCGAGATGGGTAGTTTGATTGTGTGGTCTTTAGGTTGGCGACCATTTCAATTAAAATGGTATTCGCTTAGTTTGTTTTACAATGGTACCACGTATGACTGAAGACCTAATATTGCTTTTCTGCTTTGCATAGTATGTTATGATAGGGTCTTCTGGCAAGTTCACTCAGCTGAGATAAATCTAGGAGTACTAACCCCTGAAAACGGTAACGCGACATGATTCTATTGATTCCATATAGTACTGAATAGAGTGCTGGTAAGCCATAGATTCTTGCCAAGCAAGACTCAGTCACTTGCTAATCAACCTTTACTCCCCTTGCTGCCCACTTATTTCAGCATGCATTGGTTGGGAGAGGCTGGTAGCTAGGTAGAGAAGTACATCTTTCTCATGGGATAAAACATACCCTATCAATGGTATGTAACCAGTAGTTTCCTACTCAATGCATAATCTGCGCAACTAGTCAATCATCACCGCCCCCCCTGGCCTTTTGAGGTCTCGTGGTATCTCACAAAGCTGTTGTTGTCCATTCCAGAACCACTTAAGTAAAATTGCTTGGGGGGGGCGCATATGGATGACATGGGAGTTGATACGCAGAATTTCACCGAGAAAGACGCATTCAATGAACACATGGATCATTGTATCAACTCAATCTGACAGAGTTTCATGTGCTCATCAGACATAGCGACAATCCATTAGCAATGGGATGGCGAAGAACAAGTCAATTTAGCTAATCCAAAAACGGTGCACATATGTAGGGACTTCGAAGCCCTCCGGACTTGGGGGCTTGAAAACCGCGCTGGAGTGTTCAGCACGAGTATCCCCATGTGCTAAAATTTTTTTTATAGAATAGAGACCACGTTCAGCGTTTTGTTGATCGTGTTTGAATGTGAACATCTCCTTGGTTTGTTGTGTTGAATGGCGATGAAATGGGGGAAGAAACAGACGTGTCGATATAGAATCTAATCCCAATCCGGTTAGCGGGCTCGGAGGTTCGGGTCCGCAATGCGGATCATGCCCCAGGCACTCAGGCACTCATCAGGCTCTTGACCCAGCAGGGAATGGAAGCTCCACTCAGTCCCTCTATCCTCTTCTCGCACTCCAGTGTACACTACAATTACCACTATTGAAACTACTATGCCCTCATGCCAGCTACCCAATCATCCTCTTCCCATGACCTGATCTTCATCAGCCAGGAATCCCTCCAAGGGCGCAAGCAGGCGCGTTCGCACCTCGCCCGCGCTGGCATTCGAGCGAGAATTCGGAGACAGAACCACCAGATCGCAGATAGTGGGAGTCACCGGACGACTCAAAGACGAAGTTCATCTCCACCGAACCTGCCAGGTGACTCGGGGTCTGCTTCCAGATCCCCCAACCCCCCCGGCCCAAAACCCCCGCGCAGATCTCGCCGTCCGGCTACTCGCTGGTCGAGTACCTGATATCCACTCACGTCTATCGGGAACTCGCCAGCACCTGGGGTGTCAGCCCGGCCATCTGTCCCGGCCCCACGCATCTCACCCATGGTTTATCACGAGCGTCTCCCGTACTGGATGCCATCTTCCGGGCCAGCGTCGCTTTTCACTGCATTGACCTCAACATCTGGTCCACCCAGGATCAAAGGCGAAATCTCCAGGTTGCGGCGCTGACCTACCGCGGAGAGGCTATTGCCTCAGCACGAAAGGAACTCCTGGACTGGATCCAGTGCGGTCCAGCAGACCATGAGGGTTCCGGTCACGTGTTAACCCGCGAGGACAGTGCAGCAGACTGGGAAGCCAGCTTCAGCATTGTCCTGCGACTTCTGCAGCTGGACTACCGTTTTGCCCGCAGTAGCGTGAACTCCCACTTTGCGGCCTGTCGTCGACTCCTCCGGGGCTCGTTGGGCGATCTTCGGGCTGATCGTAGATCCATTGGCACGCTTGCTGCGACCATTCGGAATCCCAGCCTGCATCACATCATGATCGCGTTTGAGTTCGCTCAGTCCACGGCCGAAAGCCTCGTCTGGAGCGATCGTGACCTTGATTTTCTCCAGCCGTGTCTGCAGGGATTTGTTCATCGGGTATCTCAACTGACCGCGGCCAGTGTTCATTTTGACCCGCAATCGTCTCCCCGGCTCCCGCCGTCGACCATCTTGTGGCGATGCCTGGCCAAGGAACCGGGAACCGTCGCCTCGAACATATATGGCGATGTATCCGAGGCCAGTGTCCAGTTGGGGAGTATTATGGTCCTCTGCTCGGTCTTTCTGGACTACGAGGGGAGCTGTGACAACCCGCCCTCTATCCCACAACAGTGTGTCGACGAGCTCGAAAACGCGCTGTTCTCTCTAGGAGAAAGCGAAGCGGTGTCCAGCGCCCTCAACGTCTCATGGCTGTTAGGCGGAGGCTTGGGACTACCCATCCATCGCCGGCGCGAGCGACTCTGGTTAGTTTCAGGGTTTGTATACGCTCTGAAAAGACGTGGGTGTTTTAGTGACTCAACCTCAGAGATCGACTTGAACGCCGACTCTGTAAAGGAAATTTGCTTGGATTTCCTAAGCAATAGGACGGAGACAGGGTGATGAGCTATTTTATGTGCCATGTTCTTGTGGACTCAACCCTAGTCTTGAACCCTGGCGCATCCCGGGCGATCTCAATTCTTATCCCGATTAGGAAATTGCCTAATCAGGAAAAGCTCCAGCACGCCAAGTCAACAAATTTATGGAGAAAACGGACCCCCCCTGATGGTGTTCTTGAACTTTATATGGTCCCATCTACTCCGTACCTTGCAGAAGGATAGACCACACTACTAATCGCTATGGCTGGACCGCTCTCACCACTCTCCCTGCGGAAGTTTTCCGATCACATCCGCATCTACGATCCGCAACCCGACAAAGAGCCAACCAACCCCAATGCGCCCACGACCGTCGTCCTATTCACATGGGCCGATGCGTCCCCGCGCCTCGTCCAGAAGTACGTGCAGGGCTACCATGACCTGTACCCATCTGCCAAGATAATCACCGTCACGGCACGGACCATGGCGACGTTCTTCGGCGGCCAGGAAGCCGCCAAGGCCTTGGTCAAGGACATGGTGTCGCAAGAGCTCTACAACGACGGCAACACCGAGACCATCCACTCGTATTCGTCCGCAGTGGACGGGTCCAAAGAAGAAGGAGACTCTCTCTCGGCAAGAAACACCCAAAAACAGCCCCAGATCCTCATGCACGCCTTCTCCAACAGCGGCGGCCTCAACCTCGAGGCCGTCTCCTCCACATGGCACGCCATGCAACACGCCTCGGGCAACAACCCGGGGCCGATCCCCCTCCACGGCCTAATCCTGGACTCCACCCCAGGCGGGGCCTCCTTCCGCCGCGAATTCCCGCGCTGGGTCGCCGGCATCGCCATCGGGTTCGCCTTCCTGCCCAAGCCGCTCGCCAAACTCACCGCCGCGGCCGTCGTCGTCCTGCTCATGGGTCTGCCCGCCCTTCTCGGCCTGGAAGGCCTCTCCGCGCGAGGCCGCCGCGTCGTCAACTCCCCAGACCGCATCCCCACCAGCAGCGCCAGACTCTACATCTACTCCGACTCCGACCCGCTCATCGGCCACCTCGACGTCGAGGAGCATGCCCGCGAGGCCTCTGAAGTCCAGGGCTACAAGAAGGTTGTTCTCGAGAAGTTCAGCGGCTCTGGACATGTGGCGCATCTGCGCCACGATCCGCAGCGGTACTGGGGGGCGGTTTCCAAGTTCTGGGATTCGTGTTGCTCTTCGTCGTAGGGGGGTTCCGTATATATGCTTGTAGATTGGGTTTATAGATGTTTTTAGCTATGTTTGATGAGAGTGTCTTTTATCAGCTAGATAAATTATTGATACTAAGTCCCATCTCTTTTTTCTTCCCTACAAGTATCCTTTCACCAAAGATGTAGAATTGAGAACGTGTCCCAGCAACATGCATTATACTGCTCAACCCTCCCCCCTCTAATTATTGTCGAATTGTGAGACATAAAATCGGCCATCTTCAGCCGACCTACAGAGTTTCCCTCTACAGACTGATTGTTGACTCTTCATGTTTTGCTTGCACTCTTGCAACTGTTCGTAATCTCTCCATAGCTTTGAGATTCATCAATATCATCAAAATTCTGAGCGTTCTCATCAGTCCTCCACAATCATCACTATTGATATCATTCTTAGAGTAAGCAAAAGAAAAAGTGCCTTTCTCCTCACTTCTCCTTTGCAGGAAGCTGCACATTACCCGCCCTACTTTCCAGAACACTTGAGGGGCCTGGCTGGTCTAGGAGGAGGTTGTGGGACTCAGCATAGGCGACGAAACTGTATGCCTCGCTCCGCTTCAGCATGTCCCACACCGCCACAGGCATAGTCACCCGGCAGAGGCTGGAATTGGAGTTTGACTCGAAGACAGCCTCTACCTTGATGTTCGCAATCGGGTCTGGGATTAATGATGTTAGCCATCGTTTCCACTTACTAACGTCTGGTATCGCCGTCTTCTCCCCAATAAGGATCGAAATTAGTACTTTTCCGTCCGCTAGCTCGCAAGTCCTTTCTGGAGCTGTAACTTTTCTTGGTCCTCTGTAGAGAGGCCGGAGGGTGATGGACGGATTTTTGGCGCTTGAGACGTGAATAGGGGTATAGAACAGCTCCCTGTCGGGTTGGTTGGTCTCCTTCACCAGTCTGGCGTGGATTTCAGCTACTGTAATGTCCGTATCGTTTTGGGTTTCAAAGGGTCGACAAATCGACGGATGAAGCTTTTCCCCACAGGTGCAGTGGCCGGAGACTGCAAAGCCGATGCTGCCAGGTATTCGTGATTGTCAGCGCCCATTGCCGCGGTTGAAAAACACGAGTCTAGGATAACTAAAGTATCGGCATGGCAGATCGTCGCCAATCCTGCTTCCACGAAAACCCACGGGAGGCTCGGAGCTCTGGGGTTTGTCGCGCCACTATCGTCTCCATTAGCTTGTTTCGCTATTTCTATCTGCAGGGAAAGAACGGACCATGACAGCCACTGCACCAAAATACCAAATCGGTATGTGACCGGGCTTAATATAACTGATATCCCAACATACTATAAAGTGAGAGGTGAAGCACTGGGATCAGTAGTCACAGATGAGTGACCTTCATAGATAATAATCAGGGGCACAGTGGTACCCTGTTGTTGATGGGAGTGCCGTGTTCACTGCTTGGTTGATGGAGGTTATAGCCTCGTGGAATGATCTCTCGTGCTCCATGGAGTGGATAGATCTGGTGACGGATGGAGAGCCCATTTTTGCGTCTATGATGGAAGGAGAAAGAAAGTAGACTATCTCAGCCACTGCACCAAAATATCAAATCAGCATTTTGGTCAGGCTTGATATGACTGGTATCTCAACAAGAGCGATGAGATGACAATGAGAAGATGAGAAAGGGACTATGGGAGGTGAGGAAAAGAAAGGGGAATAAAAGGTTATCCTCTAGCTGGTAACTCTCTTATTTCCTGTGAATTCCTTTCCAGTGACTTACAGTTTAGTTTGATATAACCAGGGTACAGGGATCAGAAATGTATTACACGCTTTGGTCCTAAGTCAGGCACTAATATGTCTCAAAATAGTTCTTTAGTGTTCCTGCGGCCGCGCAGGCCAAGGTAGCCTACTATACATCCAGCCAAGTAACGTTATTGATTTAGATTAACAATGATTGATAAGCTATTTAGAGTCACCCCGCCCCCATTGGGCCTGGACGGCCAGGACGTCCGTCTTACGAAGGTATAAAAGCACCTTGAATGCCAGGCTGGTCGGTAGAGAGTCAAGTGCCTCAGTAGTGGCTCATCGATGTGCGCATCATACTTACTAAGTAATAAGTAAAACATCTTTGGGTGCATCGAACAAGCTTCAACGAATCTCTATAATCCGACCTTGAGTCTAGTCCATTCCACGGAAACAGACAGCTGCAACGTCTTCCTGAGTCTTATTTGAGCGCAACATGGCCGCCACCAACGTTCCCAAGGTGATGCGAGCATGGCAATACAGCTCGATCGCAACGACCATCGAGAACGCCATCCAGCTGAAGGAGCTGTCGCTCCCGCTTCCGCCCAGCGGACTAGGTGACGACGGCATTCTGGTCAAGGTCTATGCCGCCTCGCTCAACCCAGCCGATTACAAGTTTCCCGAGCTCCCCGGTTTCATCGCCCACCGCGTCGTTCCCGTGCCGGCGACGCCATTGTTGGACTTCTCTGGCACGGTTGCGGCCGTTGGCGCGCAGGTCAGCGATTTCCGCGTTGGCCAGCGCGTGTTTGGCAGGGTGGCCCCAACCAGCTGGGGCGCGCTGGGCGAGTACTTGGCCGTGACCTCCAAGGACGCCATGGTCGTCGAGCTGCCGGAGAGCGTGAGCTTCGAGGCCGGCAGCGGCCTCGCCGTGGCGGCGCAGACCTCGTACCAGTGCATCGCCCCGTACGTCCAGTCCGGCGACAAGGTCTTCGTCAACGGCGGCAGCGGCGGCACCGGCGTCTTTGCTATCCAAATCGCCAAGGTCTTGGGTTGCCACGTTATTACCAGCTGCTCAGACCGCAACGCCGACTTCTGCCGCAGCCTCGGCGCCGACGAGGTCATCGACTACACCAAGGACGACGTCTCGGCCGTCCTCCGCTCCAAGGGTCCGGTGTTTACCCTCGTCGTCGACACCGTCGGCTCCTCGCCCGCCGACCTCTACACCGCCGCAGACGCCTACCTGAAGCCCACCGGGCGCTTCATGCAGATTGGCGTCGCCATAAGTCTCGCTGGCATTAGGAGCGTGATGGGCCGCCTTCTGCTCCCCTCCATTCTGGGCGGCGGCAAGCGCAAGATCAACCTGGCTTTGACCAAGGACACCCCGGGGGAGCTTGATCTCCTGGTTCGCTGGGTCGCCGAGGGCAAGGTCAAGGTCCCTCTAGACGAGGTTTTCCCTTTCGACAAGGCACCCGATGCATTCGCTAAATTAAAGACGGGCCGTGCGAGAGGAAAGATTGTTGTCAAGATTGTTGATTAGAGCCACTCATGGCCTGCGAACGGGGGCTGATGTATTGCCCAAATGACACTCTCACCCTTTTGGACCCTAATAACCATACTAAATGAGTTTGAAGCTATTCCCAGTCACCTAAATAGGCGTTTTTCATTTGAAATTATTAACTATGATATGTAGGACACCTGATTCTGGTAGCTGTTGGATATTATAATCAGAGTATATTAATAAACCATGTCTTAGCATGCTCGAAGATAAGAATACAGAATTTATCATAGTCTCTCTTAAACTATTCTCTAGCTGGTTTTCCTAACATATCAGCCTGTAGCCACGAATCCACCTTCGCAGTGGGCTTCTAGTCTGATAATGTGAGTGATTGCCTGACCGCATATCAACTCTTCGCCAAGCAGGGTAATCCATCGAGCCTAAATAAGGTCATAGAGCAGAGTTCCCAGGTCTCTCACGAGACAAGAGTAGAGAGCAACTCCCACCAGCTTGAAATTTAAGGTAATCCTGTTCGACGGGTCTATCAGAAGGGGCAGATTGTTCTCGGGCGAACATTGTACCCTGAGGTATCCGTACTCCGCGACTCTCCATCAGGTGCTACAAAGCGGAGAAACACAAGCTTCTGCTGCTGCAAGACAGACGCTCCTAGACCGTAAACAAGCTATCTTCAGTCAGATTCCGTGTCAATGTCTGACGTGTCTCTCAGATAGTAGTTTCCTTTCCTAAGGTGCATGGAAGACAACTCATACCTGCATTATCCCCATGTCTCAGAATTGGAGGATACATATTGATACATACTATAAGTAGACATGGAAGTACAGACTTTGCTCACATCTTCCTTTCTTCTTTACTTGTTCCTGTCAACACAATTCTACACTCACAATGGAAGATAATGACAAACTGAAGGTGTGGTAATTGAGTGACTATCTGATTACTTCGCTTCGCCTCTTCTAGACTTATCACTTCTAAGAAAAAATAGGTACTCGAGTAGTGAGTGTGAGTGACATCTTCCAATAGATTAATCTGTCCTGATTGCGCTTACCAGTACTGATCAATGAAGTGAAGTGAAGTGCATTGCCATGGCATCTGTCACCCCAAAGTACTGCTGACGAGTGAGTACTGTTGTTTGACCAGGGCTTCTGATGAGCGTCCATTGGATATTAAAGTTCGACATCAATTGGTCGTTGTCCGGTCAATTGAACCATGAAATCTCCATGAGAAACCACTCAACATATGGCGAGTTGATAGAAAGTATCATATACGTTTGATTCCTCAAACGCGATAACGAGGATTGCTCAGAGCCGTCTCGCCGCCCAACATGGAGAAAGCTGTGCAAAGCAACCTAGGCATTCATGGCCAATTAATCAAGCGGAAAACAGATCCGCGCGGGACTAGTATATAATTAGAAGCCGTAGCGCCATCTGAAGAAATCCTCAGCATCTCGATTTCGAACCAATGATCTCACTTGAATATTGGACCCCACGCTCGTTTGACCCGCTATATGATCCTATCGAGTGAAAATCCAGATGCTTCCGGTGGTCCAAAGGACCGTCATCAAGGGAGAAACGGCAAATGCGCGACTCAACACACATCGGATATGCCAAAACAGACACATACAACAGTGTGTTCATAGTCTGAAACTACAGGCCGCCACCCATCGTACCACTAGTTGATCGACGGGGCGGTGCCGCGGTGGCTTGTATGCAGTCAGGACCTAGTAGTCAGTTGGGTCCCTCTTAGTGGACGACGCTGGCGATCGCTACGCCCCATCCCGCGAGGTTTTGGATGGATTCCTCGGCATTGGGGGCAATGCTGCCATCTTCTGTCGTCATCAGGTAATAGATACCGCACTACCAGCGGAGGCGCATTCTAAGCTGCACGAAAACTACCTTATTGGGTAGGTGACTTCATATCTCCATGGCAGGCCAAGAATGTTCCAACATGTCAGAATGAGGAGGTTTCCAACGTAAGACGCAGATCCTTGGCTCTTTTGGCAGGAACTATTCCTAGCTTTGTATAGTTTCCCACGATAAGTTTCCTCAGATGTATGACGCTAAGCTAACAGGGCATAGGGCATGCGGTATATTGTAGGCATAAGCAAGCAGCCCTAGACCTAATTTTTGCATCCAACACGAGACAGGCTGCAGATCGCATAGATGCTGCATAAGGCACCACTTGTGGGTGAGAGGCTGTGTTCAAGTAAGCACGCGAGTCAGTATCCCTCTAGCATGGGATCAGTCGTCTATAAAATCCAGCTGTCGGCCTGTCCATGGAAGAGAAGAATCAAACACATCAATTGCCTCCAACGAGCCCGGAAACCTACTCGCTAATAATTACCAAGTTGTTTCTGTGCCATCATGATGAAATCCTTCCTTTTGCCGCTGCTCTGCGTTGCGGCTACGTCCGCATTGGGGATTCCTTCCAAGGATCTCCTGGTGGGAGAGAGTGAACTGGACAAGAGAAACCCGGTTGCGATTATCATGGGAATGACCATGATTGGGGCTTCCGGGAACTCGGCGGCACAGGTGGTGAACATGAACTTCGACGACAGCCTGCCTTTTGTATGTCTCCCGAAGGTCAATGTCTAAACTTGACACCAGTCACTAACGAGTGTAGAACGAGGGTTCGGGGAACTGCCGGATGTTCATTTCTACTCAAGGAGGGGTAAGGGCCCAGTATCACCAGGGACATTTAGTGGACATGCTGACAGTACTAGGTAAATTGCGATGTGGAAACCACCCCTGACTCCCGAGCAGGAGTTGGGACGGACACGACTAAGCATGACGGAGACTGGAACGTCTGCTGGTGGGACGATGAAAAGAAGATTTCTGGACGGCAGTACTTCACTGACCCGTGAGTCTTCCTAATCAAGACACATCGTTTTCAGAGCTGATACATAATCGTGCAGAGGCATTGGCAAATACAGCATCGTCTTCACTGCCCGGGATAGTGACAATGTGAACGAGGATATCGAAGGGGCCGAAGGCTGCGAAGGAGAGGGCATGTGCCATCCTCAAGTCACTTTCTACCGCGATGGATATGATCTTGTGCTGAACACTTGGGAGTCCGTGTATCAGGGTTCCGTCTCGCCTGATGGTGTTGGGCTGTGCCAGGGTGGTGTCCTGGATCAATTCCACAAGGGCGGTATGGTGCTTGGATATACGTGAGTTTTCCTTCGATCTTTGATGGATTGCATAAGCTGATCAACTGGCTAGGTGTGCTGTGCCTTGCGAGGGCGATAAGGGTATTCCCAGTGATAAATCTTGATGGGTTCTCACCCAGGCCAAGTCTGTCCAGAATCCTGCAGATTTACAATCTGTTCCAATAGTCATGAGCATTCTCAGATGTCATATGAATTTGTAGATATTGTACCATGATCTCACCTTCCCTTTGCTGTCAAATAGCTGTCGTGCAATGTATAAACCTGATTGTGTGCACATAACAAGTACACTCCTCTCGCCAGCACCTGAGCGCACTGTTTTTTGAGAGCCTATTGAGGGTTGACCTTATCGAACGTGTGGCTTAGGTACGGCTAAATGACGCCTGTGATAGTCTGTACTAGATTAGAAAGAGGAGAGGTGTATATGAGCAGAGATCTCACCTAAACAACGATTCTCTCCATAGCCACTGGCCCTATCATCTGGAGAGACGGGGTAAGTATGAACAAGGATGATGAGCGAATGCTTTAGGCAACACGGTCACCTGATTGATCCAGCCCTGCCCGTTAAAGCGGCAACATCCCAGGGAGGTACGGAGTAGAAGTGAGTTGTTTGGACCTCTGGGCAGATCCCTGGGTAGTACCTAGTCTACGCGAGTGCGAAATCCCTGACCTCATCGGCCAAGAAAGACTGTTCGCAAGAAAAGCGTGGAACACAAGGGAAAAGAGATATATTCACCACCGCCGATATCCTACTCCCCAACCTCTGATATCAGGACGACGGTCCCACCGTAAACATGCGTAAATCTAAGCTAGAACAACGACGACGACGACAATGGTACAAACGAACCCGACATGCTAATTGCAGTGTCAAATCAAATCAATCCAATCCAATCATGACGTCTCCTCCCCGCCAAGACAAACCAACGTCGCCTTCAACTGGCCCATGATCTTCTCTTCAAGCCGGTCCTCCGCCCCAGACGAGGGATCGACGGGCTTCTGCCGCGTCATCTCGAGTTCCTTCTCGTTGGTGGCGCCAATGCGAACCCGCAGCGTCTGCTTCCGCTCGAGCAACTCTTCGATGTCCTCCTTCACCTGCGCCTTGTCCCATTTCAGTTCCTGGATCGCCTGCGCGTCCACGCCGAGGCTGGCGCCCGCTTCGCGGAATTGGCCGAGGATGAAGGAGATGAGTGCGAGTGAGTACACCTCCGACGCCATGCTCAGGGAGATCCGCCGGGCGGAGGGCCCTGTGGTGGCCGTGCGGCCTGCTGCGAAGGAATCCGCGGCGCGCGCTAGCTGGCCTTCGAATTGGTTGAGGAAGGCTGCGACCTCCGGGGCCATGCGGATGACGTGGTACAGGAGGTTGAGGCAGAGTGGGAGGAAGCCTTGCGTCCAGATCGTGTACATGCGGGGAACGGGGTCGAAGGGTCCGAAGCCTTTGGGCTGCCGGAACATGTCGGCTAGTCGGCTGGTCGATAGCCGGATGAGGACCACTTCCACAGCGAGGTGCTCGGCCAGTATGGGGATCGTCGACAGCTTGACGAGGAATGCTACGCTGAGCTCGCCGTAGACGGGGTCGCCTGCCACTGCGAGCTGGTCGGCCCACGAGAATAGGGATGTGGCGTGTCGCACGACGTCGTTCTCGGCGACGTGGTACGCCATGTGCTCGTATAGCCGATCCACGTTCTTCACTTGCAGTGCGCTCTGCAGGATGGCTGTCAGGATGGCGAAGTCTTTCGGCGTGCACTTGTCTGGCTGGTCGTGCAGGTACGCAGTTAGGGTCTTGAACCCTTGAGCAACCACCGTCTTCACGGCTTCGACGACCACGCTAAGATCGGACGATATCTCCGCCTTCTTGGTCAGAGTTTCGGGGGCAGATCGCGAGGGTGTATTGAGATGGAACTGGAGAGACAGGAACAGGACGTTGAGAAGAGATCGGTAATACTCGGTGTCGTCGTTCACCAGGGCCTCTTCATATGTCGCGCGCCGAGTGCGCAATGCATCCCACGCGACCGAGAGCAAGCCAAACACCTCCGCACCTCGCGCCCCGGTCTCCACCAGTCGTTGGAGAAGAACCTGTGCGAAGTCCACTCGGCTCTGTTGGATCCGCTCGAAGATCGCCTCCTGTGGGACGCCCTTGGTGTTGGCTGTCAGGCAGCACTGCACGACGTTGGCCATCGATTGTTGTACTTCACGATCCGCCATGAAGTCCGCGCAGTGTTCAACAGCGAAAAACTTCCAGCTATTGAGAAGACTCTGTAGAGAGAACATGATTGTTAGACATTGTTTGTATACCAGTGATGCTCATACGTACCACCTGGGCCTCAACCAGAGACAAATTGATATTGGCCCGCTCGAATTCTCCTGCAAATCCCTGGTCCCGTTTTCCTGCCCATGCCACATCGTAAGATAACAACTTCGATCCTACGTGCAAATCATAGCAGTAATCCCGTCCCAGCGAGCGAGGCTGCAAGGGCGTCCTCTTGAACTCGATCAGCGTGCTACCAGAGTATCTCGACTCAAAGTTTCTTTTCAGGTTCGTATGTAGAGAACCATTGTATCCGGGCACCTCAACTGCTCCCTTGGCGTACCAAGAGACCAGCGGGATTAAAGTTTTATAGAATGAGCGATCATGCATCTCCTTGGCCGAGTGCAGGTAAACCGTGCAAAGATCGGCGACCACTGCTGCAATGCGGGTGCGGAAGATTTGCTCCTCCACAGCCAAAGAGGACAGCTTGAGTTTTGATACATAATTCACAATACTGGTAAAGAACTGCGAATGGTTCTTCAGCTCCGAAGTCGCCCACGGCCAATTTTCTTGCGCATGAGACACGAACTCGAGAAGCGCCACGGCGACTTGGGGATCAATGTGCTCAATGTTGGAGAGTTGGTCCAGGGCAATGCGCAAGAAAGGGGTGCCTCTCATGGCTGGAGATTTGCCCGCGTCGTCCTTCTTCAGCATATGGCGAGGGGACGACCCCGTAAGGATGTAGACCGACAGCCACTGCTGCCGCTTGCTGATGATCGTTGACAGCAAATGCCACCCAGCCAGATGAAGGCCACGATCGCCAAACGGTCTATCAAATTGCGACAGGACATCAAGGAAAAGACAGGACGACTCAGCCCCCAGATGGCCAACCAAGGATGGCGGCTCATCTGTAGGGTTTTGAGCAGCCCCAGAGATGAGAGTGTTGAGAAGGGCTAATGTTGGCAGCCGGTAAGCATCATGTAAAGCGTATAACTTTACGAGGACTGGGGTTGCTTTGAACAGCTGGACCTCCAGCAGGGAGTGCGAGGCTTCCAGGAGCTGGGCGGACTGTAGAAGTCGGGTTGCAAGTGCTAACGTCGACTTCGTTTGCTTCGTTATCAGTGCCAGGAATCGAAGATACAACGTGGGAGGGGTATGGAGGCCTTCAACAATGAGTCGAAGGATGGGATTGAAGGGCAAGTCTGCAGCAGACTGCGGCCTCAAAACATCTAGGATGTATTCCGCCGATGATGAGAACACGCCCGTCACTTTCGTATCGAGCTTCGTTATATCGCCTGTCCCGTAAGTGTAGCAAAGTATCCTTTCAAAGGAACTTGCAAGCACGGTGTTGATCTCAATCTTCTGCTCCAGGGCGTTGAATCGCCAATTACCGTTGCTGTTGTAAACTTCAACCATTATCCGAACGAAATTCACCAGGATTGTTCGCATCATACGCGAGGGCATTCCCGCGGTCCAATCCGACATAACTAGGGCTTTTCCGTTGAGCACATGAGGGCTCCTCCTCACGACAGCTCGGGAAGCTGCATCATCAACAACCGCTTCAAAGAACCGGACACACTCAAGAAGGAACGGGTAATCTCCCGACGTCACCTCGAGTGCTGAAATGACTGTAGTCATTATACCTCCCTTCCCGTCAGAGCCAAACAAGCTACTCCGGGAAAGTAACGGCCAAACTCTGCCTGGAAGAACGCCAAGGAGCGCAGAGACGAACCGCAAGCAAGCAACTGTGCAGTCCAGGATGATATCTGAGCCCGCTCTGGGACCGATATTGGAGAGGTTGTGCTCAAGGATCTCAAAAATGACAGAAATGACGTCGCTTTGCCGTGACAACCCATCACTTGCCAGCTCCAATATCCTCTTGGCTCCGGAGCCATCGCCATCCGGCGATTGCGCGTTCTTGGCGCCAACAAGAAGATCCGCGAAGAGTCCGATAATATCTGCGATACAATCTTCTCCCCAGCCAGCTGAATAGCCGCCACTTTCATTCCATTCTTCCAACCAGCTTCCAAGGTAGCTGAGGCAAGAGTACTGGTGTTGCCACATGATGACGGCAGGCCTTGACTCGGAGACAACTTGGCCAACAGCCGCCGCCGGGATTTCCGACGAGCCTGTGACAACCAGAGCATTACCTGCTTGTTTATCCGGTATTTGTCGTCTAGGGGCCGACTCCATCATCGGAAGGGATTTGATCAAAGTGACGAAGTTGGCATTTTCGTCTTCGCGGATTGTGTCATATCCATGGAAATCGAGAGGTACAGACTGCGTGAATGTTTCCATATTTTCCATCTCGTCGAGAATGACGGGGACACCTTCTTCATTGACCGAATGGCTGCTGACTAGGGCTCGGCAGATTTTCAAAAAAGGTACCATTTCATATGGGAACCGCGAGCGCGCCAGTCTGAAGATGTTATCCATAAGAAGATCGTCCTTCAAGAAAATCGTCCGGGGGTCAGTAGAGACAGCAGACAAGGTGTTCAGCGGCCACGAGGATCCCGGCTGTGGTCCAGCAAGAATGGCCAAAACGGACTGGACTATCTCAGGGCTATAATCCAGATAGATAACAGCGACCCGAATGAGATCCAAGAGCACCACCCGGGACCACGAGTTAAGCAACGCATCATCGACGGCCGAAGTAGAGGTGACTTTCGTGGCCAAGGCAATGATGGTATCAAACACCGTGGCCTTCATTTCATCGGTAGTCAAGAGTGCAATAGACTCGTCGGTTGTGAATTTGGGGGTCTGGGCAGAATCAATCACCTCCTCGTACAATGACTGCTCGGAAGCCCGTCCAGAGCTCGAGTGGGGTGTGTTGGACTGGAAAGAATCGACCGCGCTGTGAAACTGCTCCAGTTCGCGGGCGTCCTTATCGCTGAGTGCTAACTCTCTGAGGGTGTGCAAGATCAACCCCCATGAGAACGCACCGGGGTTTGCTATCTTCAGATCCACGCCCGCGGTCATAAATATTTCATTTATCTCACCAACATTTTCCTTGGACAGGAAATAGGGCGACTTCGATCGCGCTCCGGACGCTGTTTTGTCAATGATGGTTGGGATTGATAGAGACAGCTTCATGAATGCAAGGGTTGTCAAGGAAGCAAAGCCCTGGAGAGGTAGCAGAACCTCAATCGGATTGTCGCATAACTTCACAGGTTAGTTTCTGCAGAGCTTGAGCTTGGAGATATGACACTACTCACGACTTGCAGAGATTGTAAAAAGTTGTAGTCCACCATAACACGAAGCCAGGAGAGCAGGAGATCCGCCGTAGGTATACTCGCAGACGCCTGAAGTTGTAAAAATAATGTCTGCACAATATGCAGGATCTCTTCAACGAAGGTTGTCCTCCACATGTTTTCCACCGCTTCATTACATTCTTCAGCCGCCAGCCAGCCGCCATCCGTCTCTAGTGCGGAAAGGCGGCTTTGGATGGCCTCGATGCAAGCTTGCACGAAGGCGAACCACCCTTCTCCCTCCAACTTATTCTTGAAGACAGTGCCCCCTAATTTGCATAGCGACTGAGTCCGTTTGTTTTGCTCGGAGCTAGGCGGGGTGTTTGTTTCGACCTTGCTTTGCAAATGCAGGGTAAGGAGCTTGCGAGCGGTCTTGACTATATGGACCCTCTCCGAGAGATATAACTCGCGCAGTCGCAAGCGCCTATTTTCCCCCGATGCAAAGCTTGATGGATCCTCGTCTGGTCTCTGGCTGAGGACGTCGGCGAGGCTGGGTCCAGCTAGAGACACACGAAAGTTCTCGGCCCCAGCAGCACCCTGCAGGCTCGTTGTCTCCTCCTCTGTAAACCCAGCCAGCAGTCGCGTGGCTGGTCGACTTTGCCATTCCAAGACCGTCGTTCGCAGTGCACTGATCTCGTCGATCCCCGCTTGTTCACTCAACCACAGGGCGTCTGCCTTGATCTCCTTCAAATCGTAGGAGGTTTGCGCGGAAGTTTCTGCATGAATTGCGGCCGTCTTGGATTCGAATTCGGACTTCGTTTTCGCGGACCGCGGGGGGAAGGTATTTAGGAAATTGGAAAGAAGCTGAACGCTCTCGGGATGCGACAAAAATGCGTAAAGACTGCCGGCGTCATCGGCATGATCATTAGGGTTACACGTATACAGAAAGGCTGTTTTCCATGATCTAGAATCGCACAACTATTAGCAGACACACCCTCCACATTCCTCGAAGCAGGCGCATACAAAAGCTGGACGTCCCCAGAAAAGCACTTATCCAGGGACGGAAAATAGGCTTCCGAAACGGGAGCCATTGGCGGAACAAGCTATATCATCATAGGTACTTCCAGATACAGCAAGTGTATGGGCGAGGAGATGTCGGAGGAGGAGAGGAAGAGCGTTGGTTGGTAGTCAGAATGCGAAAGAAGACAAGCCGCAGCCAAGCTGGACCTCGAGGAATAATAAAATGTTACTTGAAGGAACGCCTAACTTTGGTACACCAGAGAGAGTCAACAATTCATTTTTGTTCTATCTGGGTTTAGTGCCAGAGCGGTCAGGCCAGCCGTTTGTCCTGTTTGACAGGAATTCCCATTCGGGCAAGCCGTCCGATTCTCACAGTGAGTCAACCAGACACGAGTTTCTGTATCACCACTATTGATCCCTTGATCAGTGTTGTCAAGAGGTAAGCGCACCTCTCCTTCTTCCTATTCTTTGGTGTCAATCAGGCGACTGGATTTTGTCTGGATTTTGTCTGTCGAGCCACTTGAAATACAATACTAACACGATTTGCCCCTCCAGACCAAGTCATCATGGCGGATCTAGTCGACCATTCACCCCACCATCCCAACAGGGCCGCGAAGCTGGACAGTGCCTCCAACGTCATCCTGATTGACAACTACGACTCGTTCACCTGGAATGTGTATCAATACCTTGTGCTAGAAGGGGCCGCCGTTCGAGTGTTTCGCAATGACGAGATCCCTCTGGAAGACCTGATCGCCCTCAACCCGACCCAGTTGGTGATCAGCCCGGGTCCGGGTCACCCGGAGACGGACGCCGGTATCAGCAGTTCCGCGATCCAGCATTTCAGCGGGAAGATCCCTGTGTTTGGGGTCTGCATGGGCCAGCAGTGCATCATCTCCTCGTTCGGCGGAAAGGTTGATGTGACGGGCGAGATTCTGCACGGAAAGACGTCGGTTATCAAGCATGATGGCAGGGGTGCCTACGAGGGGCTTCCGGCTGACCTCTCGGTGACTCGGTATCATTCTCTGGCAGGCACACATTCCACCATCCCCGATTGCTTGGAGGTCTCTTCGCATGCGGAATTGAACGATGGCAGTGGCAAGGGCGTCATCATGGGCGTACGGCACAAGAAATTCGCGGTGGAAGGAGTTCAATTCCACCCGGAGAGTATCCTTACCGAAAATGGGCGCACGATGTTTAGGAACTTCCTCAAACTCACCGCAGGGACTTGGGAAGCCAATGGCAAGTCGACCGCCCCCGCGCCTAGCTCGGCCCCCTCGAACGGCCCTACGAAGGCAGATAAGAAGGTTTCGATCTTGGATCGGATTTATGATCACCGCAAAGCGGCTGTTGCCGTCCAGAAAACCATTCCCTCTCAGCGACCCGCAGACCTCCAGGCGGCTTACGATCTCAACGTCGCGCCTCCGCAGGTTTCTTTTCCTAACCGCTTAAGACAGTCGCCATACCCGTTGTCCCTCATGGCTGAGATCAAGAGGGCGTCTCCGTCCAAGGGCATGATCGCTGAAACGGCGTGTGCTCCTGCACAAGCCCGGGAATATGCTAAAGCCGGGGCCAGCGTCATCTCCGTTCTCACAGAGCCAGAGTGGTTCAAGGGGAGCATTGATGATTTGCGTGCGGTCCGTCAAAGTCTAGAGGGCTTTACGAACAGACCTGCTATTCTACGCAAAGAATTCGTTTTTGACGAATATCAGATCTTGGAAGCCCGTCTGGCTGGTGCCGACACGGTCTTGCTTATTGTGAAGATGCTTAGCATTGACCTCCTCACCAGACTCTACCATTACTCGCAGAGTCTAGGCATGGAACCCCTTGTTGAAGTCAATACGCCCGAGGAAATGAAGATTGCAGTGGAACTGGGGTCTAAGGTGATTGGTGTCAACAATCGGGACCTGACTAGCTTCGAGGTTGACCTGGGCACCACAAGTCGTTTGATGGATCAAGTCCCCGCCAGCACTATTGTCTGTGCGTTGAGTGGGATATCAGGCCCCAAGGATGTAGAGGCCTACAAGAATGAGGGAGTCCGAGCTATCCTGGTCGGTGAAGCACTTATGCGGGCTCCGGACACATCTGCTTTCGTTGCAGAGCTTCTCGGGGGAGCCACGGAACAACTCCCGAAAGTGTCTCAAAATTCGCCTTTGGTGAAGATCTGTGGCACTCGTTCTGAGGAGGGAGCACGAGCTGCGATCGAAGCGGGGGCCGATTTGATCGGGATTATCCTCGTTGAGGGGCGGTCACGATGTGTTCCCGATGATGTCGCTCTGCGTATCTCTCAACTGATCAAATCGACACCGCGCCCTGGCGCTCAATCCACCGCCAAAACTCAAGGAGCGTCAAACGCATCTTCCATTGACTACTTTGAGCATTCTGCCAAGCTGCTACGCCATCCCACTAGAGCGTTGCTTGTCGGTGTGTTCCTCAACCAGCCTCTGGAGTACGTGCTGGCCAAGCAGCAGCAACTGGGCCTGGATGTCGTCCAGCTGCATGGTTCCGAGCCCCTGGATTGGGCTAGGCTGATCCCGGTTCCTGTCATTCGCAAATTCGCCCTCGATGAGCCTGGACTCTCACGCCGGGCTTACCACACACTGCCCCTCCTAGACTCCGGGGCTGGTGGCTCTGGTGAACTGTTGGACCAGACCCACGTCCAGCAAGTCCTTGGTGGCGATGATGGTCTGCGTGTCATCCTCGCAGGGGGCTTGAACCCCACCAACGTTGTTGATACGATCAAGAAGCTGGGTCAATCAGGGCAGAAGGTTGTCGGGGTGGATGTGAGCTCCGGCGTGGAGACCAACGGCGCTCAAGACCTGGACAAGATCCGAGCTTTTGTGCAGGCAGTCAAAGGCATCGCATAGATACTGTCATTTTTCGTTATTAGAATAAGGATTTATTGTGTCACGCATCTATGATGACGATCTTACTACGAGTTTTCTTGAGCTTTATCTCATACTTAATCCACTTGCCCTGTGCTCTCACTATTCTTTGAGCTGTTAGTCCAGGTATCGCATATAACCTTCAGTCAGATCAACTTCACATATAGACTCAGTATCTCTCACTTGAGCCTACTATCTTACTCTAGCCATACCTCACGACAACTCAACCCTTCTCTCGATCTCTATTCATCATTTCAGATTCCTCCTTTACACACACCCCATACCTTTACACACAACCCATACAACTCTCATCCAGTAGCACTTCGTTGATCATTAGATTCATCTTCACGTACAACCCATACCTTTACACACAACCCACACACCTCTCATCCCGTATCACATTGACTCCTCAACGCAAACATCCACACCGGCAAGACAAGCCCCAATATGGGCAAAACATTCGAAAAGATCAACGCCTGCTCCGCCGGGAACTTCGGCAGCAACAGCAACAAGATCCCCCAGTGGGTCAAAGCCAACGGAGGCCAGTACTCTAAGAGCGTCGTCGAGGGCGTCACCCATCTCATCACGACTGTCGAGGCATACAAGAAGGATGTCGAAGCCGGTAAGGCAGTATTGTATCTTTCTACATGACTTGGGCAGGACACTGACGGTATATATGTGTTACTACTACTAGTGCGAATGGCCAAGCAACTCCAGACTGTCAAGATCGTGTCGTACGACTGGTTGAGTGACTCGCTACTTTCGAAAACCCTGAAGCCCAAAGCGGAGAAGCAGTATCTTCTGGAGAATGTTGTGAAGAAGGAGAAGAAGGGCAAATCGCAGGTCAAGAAGGGTGTGGCGAAGAATCCCAAGAAGCCTAAGGGGAACGGTGCAGGTATGTCATTTCAATATATCTATCTTTGTTCAGCTACAGATCAACTGGATTTATTCTTATACTTTATTTCACACAGGGAAAGCTAAAGGTTCTGCTAAAGCCTCCTCTCGTTCTATCAAAACCAAACCTGCCGCCTGTAAGTTGTCATGCATGGAAATCCAAGTGAGAGAAAGAAACATAGCCCTAATCCACTGACGACTCGAATACATCCACCAGCCAACCCAGAGTACCAGATCTACATGGACAAAGAAAACCACACAACCCACAGCGCAACGCTCTACCGCCAGCAGCTCTCTAGAAACTCCAGAGAGAAGTTCCAGCTCAAGGTCAGACCCACTACCTCAAGCCCATCCCTCCTTTACCACTATATTAACGAGTGTCTCTCTCCCCCAGATGTACGAAACCAAGAAAGAGCCACACACATACACGACCTACACGAAGTACACTCGCACAGGCGTGTCTAAATCCGAGCTCCTAGCCCCACTGGACAGCACTCTCGACATTGCCCTATCCGCGTTCAAAGCGTTCTTCAAAGACAAGACCGGTCTGGACTGGGAAGAGAGAGCGAGCACCACTCCTCTACTTCCTAAGGCGGATGGCGAGGGAAACGCGCTGCCCCCTCATGAGGGATGGTTCCATTATGATGAGCGTGTTGGGCTGCTGTCTAGTATTCTGAAGAGAGATCGAGAGGATGCTTTTGACGCTAGCAAATTCAAGTAGGGTTGTTGGCTTTGTGGTTTTGCTCGTCCTTGGGGGTTTGGTTTGACGTTCTCATTTCATAGTATTTCTTACATTTGATTCTTACTTTTTGATATTTTTGCGATGTGCTCGCACGTTTCTTTCCGTTGGTTTGCTGATTATTTTTTTGCCCTCCCTTTTGATTTCGTTTCTAGTGACTTCTCATTGGAAGCACTGCATCGCATGGCTCAATACAGCATTTCACATCTGGGTTAGGTAATTGGACGGAACAATACGGGTTTCGAATATCCCAAGGAAAGATGATAGATGAACTATTATTTCTTATTGACAGTCGAATGTATATTCGCCGTCTCTCCCCAGTTGTGGGTATACATACAGTAATTATCAGAAATTCCCATCTCGACAAATGCTCGATTCGATAATCCCACTCCAATCCAAACACCTTGTACGCCAAGCAGACTTTTCTTTTCCTTTCGTAAAAATCCAAACACGACACCCGTTGCCAGCACACTAAACCGCCTAAAGGTAGTCCTTCTTGCGGCTCGTCCTCGTGTACTGCGTAAGCGCCCACTCGACATCACCGCTCGAGTTCTTCTCGAGAGACCCTCCGCGGATTTCGAACGGCCGCATAGTCATCCGCGGGCCGACCTCGGCCAGTTCCACGTCGCGATAGCCGGTCTTGACGAAAACGTGGTGTCGCACCTCAATACTGTCCTCTTTGTTCACGAAGCTGACAACCCGGTTGCCGACCTTTCCACCTTCGCGCGGGGGGAACAGATGCTTCAGGATCTGGACCACGCGCGCGCCAAGTTTCGTGTTGAACCCCTCGAAAACCAGGTGGGGGTAGCTCTCCGACACTGTGCCGCGCGCCGAGTTGGGGATATCCGCACGGAGGACAACGTTATGCAGCGAGAAGCTAGCCGTGGGGCCGTGAGGAAGGTGGGAGATGGTCATGGCGGTGGGCGTACCACGGTGTTCGTGGAGCAAAATCATATCCGACATCCCGGCACCGTTTGCGCTCGACACCAGGTCGGGAAGCACAGTGTTACCGCGGTTCAGCCGAATCGACGTAGGGAGGAGCAATCGAATTTCCTTAGCAAAGGCACCCAGACGAACAGAGGGGTTTCGAGACGTGGTGACAATCGGACGAGGGTCGACGATTCCCGAGGTGAGAGCGTATTCATCGTCCAGGTCGACATCGTCGCCGTCCTTTTCCAGCGACTCATCGTATTTGAAGTCTTCGCGAAGCGTTTTATCATCGGCGATGGACGGGTCGAGGGGTTTTCCGGAGGCCAGCGAAGCCTTCAGCTGGGCTCTTTTCTCAGCGATAGAGGCATCGCGGAGAAGCAAAGCTCTCCGGTAGAGATAATCTCGACGCTCACGGGCTTGACGACGCTACAGTAAATAAATGATCAGTAAACTGCGACACCACCATTATGCCCAGCCATTCCCCGGTATCGATCAAGGACTTACCAGCATTTTGGTTTAGTTGTTGTTGGAGAATCACATTGAATTGGACGGCGGGAAAAGAAGCGGGCAACTTTTTTTCTTGGGCTGCACTAGTGGTCCGCATTGGCCACCGCACGCTGTGTGGGATTTGGCGGCAATCCGCCCGATAAAACTAAGCCGATCGCAATTCAATGTTCCTCCCACCTTCATTATCCAATCCTCACAACAACATCCTACCATCTTGGATCCACCAGCTGGCATTTCACCTCAAATAATCACTACGGATCTCTACAGTGACGGTGATAGATCTCAATTTACTGGAGGGACTTGGCTAGATTAGTGTTGGTATTTCCCAGATTCTGCGTCCAGTGTACCTGACTGGGGTTCAACTCACCTGCATTTACTGAGACTCATATCAGCCTCGTTCCTTTCGCCCCTCAGCGTGGCACGTCGATTTTTGAGGGTCGTGATCAGGAACAATACCTTCTCTCTTTCGACGAAACCGGGCGACTGGCTTGTCCTTGACTTTTTCACGCGTTCGACGTCACATCTACGATAGAATCGAAGTTTCATTGATGACCATCTCACGACGTCGGCTTGCGAATTGAGCGTTTCGGCTACAAACATTCCTTTCCATCTCTCTATTTACATCGGCTGGATAACATAGCGACGCCCACGCTCGACTATGGCAGCTATCGGTGATGAGAGGACGGAGCTGGATGAGGCTACCTTCAACATGAACAGAGGTCCCCGGCCGCGGAGACATGACGATGACGATGAAGGGTCTGATAATATGGGAGACGACGATGATGCGGAAAGTACAGCAAGTGCTTCTCTGGCTCGCCGCTCAAAAGCGCAGGGTGACGTCGAAGAGGAGAAAGAGCTCCCTCCGCATGCATGTGCCTACTGTGGCATTCACAACGCGAGCAGCGTCGTCAAGTGTCTGTCCTGTAGCAAGTGGTTTTGTAGCGCTCGTGGAAATACCTCTTCGTCTCATATCGTCAACCACCTCGTCCGAGCTCGCCACAAGGAAGTCCAGCTGCACCCGGCCTCGTCCTTGGGAGACACCATCCTCGAATGCTACAACTGCGGTACCAAGAATGTGTTCCTGCTTGGTTTCATCCCCGCGAAGTCTGATACGGTCGTCGTGCTCCTCTGTCGTCAACCCTGCGCCGCCATGCCGTCTTCCAAAGACATGAATTGGGATACTTCGCGTTGGCAGCCGTTGATCGAAGACCGCTCGTTCTTGCCGTGGCTCGTCGCCCAACCATCGGATCAGGAGCAGCTTCGGGCTCGCCACCTCAGCCCACAGTTGATTGCGAAGCTGGAGGAAATGTGGAAGGAGAACTCCCAGGCAACCTTTTCGGATCTCGAGAAAGCCACCGCGGTGGATGACGAACCCGCCCCCGTCCTCTTGCGTTACGACGATGCCTACCAATATCAAAATATCTTTGGACCTCTGGTCAAAATCGAAGCAGACTACGATCGTAAGTTGAAAGAATCGCAGTCGCAGGATGGGCTTATCGTGCGGTGGGACTTGGGTTTGAACAACAAGCACTTGGCTAGCTTCATACTCCCGAAACTAGAACTTGGTGACGTGAAACTGGCTGTTGGTGATGAAATGCGCCTCAAATACACCGGTGAATTGCGACCGAAATGGGAGGGAGTGGGATACGTTATCAAGATCCCCAACAATCAGTCTGACGAGGTTACGATCGAGTTACGCGCCAAGGGCGATCATAAGTCAGTGCCGACCGAGTGCACACACAACTTCACCGCCGACTACGTTTGGAAGTCGACCTCCTTCGATCGCATGCAACTTGCGATGAAGACATTCGCCGTTGACGAGATGAGCGTCTCGGGATATATCTTCCATCGCCTCCTTGGACACGAGGTCGCAGCTGCGCCAATGAAGACCCAGATGCCCAAGAAGTTCAGTGTGCCGGGGCTCCCGGAGCTGAACGGTAGCCAGATCAACGCCGTCAAGAGTGTACTACAGAGGCCGATGAGCTTGATCCAAGGCCCTCCCGGTACGGGCAAAACAGTGACCTCCGCCACTATTATCTACCATCTTGCCAAACTCAACGGCGGCCAGGTCCTGGTTTGCGCCCCGTCCAATGTCGCAGTGGATCAACTTTGCGAGCGTATCCACAGGACCGGTTTGAAGACCGTGCGTGTGACTGCTAAGTCCCGTGAAGACGTGGAATCTCCCGTCGGTTTCTTGTCTCTGCATGAACAAGTCCGCCTCAACGACACCAACATCGAACTCATCAAGCTGAACCAGCTCAAGTCCGAGCTTGGCGAACTGTCCAGCCAGGATGAAAAGAGACTGAAACAGCTTACTCGGTCCGCCGAGCGCGAAATCTTGAACAACGCGGATGTGATTTGCTGCACTTGCGTTGGCGCTGGCGATCCGCGTCTCTCTAAGCTCAAATTCCGTACTGTCTTGATCGATGAGTCGACCCAGTCCGCCGAGCCTGAGTGTATGATCCCGTTGGTCTTAGGCTGCAAACAGGTTGTTCTGGTTGGTGACCATCAACAGCTGGGACCCGTCATCATGAACAAGAAAGCCGCCAAGGCCGGTCTTAACCAGTCACTTTTCGAGCGCCTGGTCATCCTGGGTTGCTCTCCCATCCGTCTGAATGTCCAGTACCGTATGCATCCTTGTCTGTCAGAGTTCCCGTCGAACATGTTCTACGAAGGTTCGCTGCAGAACGGAGTTACATCTATCGACCGTCTCCGCCGTGATGTCGATTTCCCCTGGCCCATCGGTGACAACCCCATGATGTTCTGGTCCAACCTGGGTAACGAAGAAATCTCTGCGTCAGGGACGTCCTATCTCAATCGCACGGAGGCGACGAACGTGGAGAAGATTGTCACTCGGTTCTTCAAAGCTGGCGTCCAACCAAGTTCCATCGGTATCATCACACCCTATGAGGGTCAGCGCAGCTACATCGTCAGCTCCATGCAGGCCAACGGAACTTTCAAGAAAGAGCACTACAAGGAAATTGAAGTTGCCTCGGTCGATGCCTTCCAGGGTCGTGAGAAGGACTTTATCATTCTCTCTTGCGTTCGTTCCAACGACCACCAGGGCATCGGTTTCTTGAGCGACCCCCGCCGTCTGAACGTCGCGCTTACCCGTGCCAAGTATGGACTGGCCATTCTCGGAAACCCCAAGGTTCTGTCCAAGCATCCTCTGTGGAATTGTCTCCTGCAGCATTTCAAGGAGAGACACTGTCTGGTTGAGGGTCCTCTTTCCAATCTCCAGGAATCCCTGATCCAGTTCAGTCGCCCCAAGCAAGCCTACAGAGGACCCCAGCGGTTCCAGATGGCATACAACCACGCCTCCAACGTCACCAACGGAATGATGAACGGAAGAAACGGCAACCGTAACGAATACAATGATTCTGGCTCGGTGGTTGGTTATATTCCCGACGATGTGTCGTCCGTCCACTCTTCCGCACTGGGAGGAGTCGGTATTCCTTCTGGATACCCGCCAATGTTCCAGAACTTTGGCGACTCGTGGCCTACTCTTCCTGGTGGACGACGGGCCAACGGCAACCGAGGCAAGGGAACGCCGAGCATCGCTGGCGAGTCTGTTGCGGCCACTGAGTCCGACGTGACTGGAAGCATCGTCGACGGAAAGAGCGTTGACCAGGGTGGTGTCAGTCTCGCCGGGCTGAGCATTAACGACATGAGCAAACAGCCCAGTCTCAGCCAGTCCGATCGACTGAAGCGCTACGTTGAATCCGGCGGACGAGAGCCGTATAAACCCGGGGTCCCTGACAATGGCAGCATCTTCGGAGGCAGCTCTGCCAGCATTCGTGTCACCCGCGGGGTTCCCGGTCAAATTCACGACGACGACGATACGCGCAGCGTTTCCACTGCTTTTGCCAGTCAGATCGGAGGCAACTATGACTGATTGAGGAAATTTACCAACGACACCGTTCAGGATGGTCTTCCAGACTTGTGCTCTTTCCCACAACGCAAGGGAAGGTTGTTCGGTGGCCACCCGGTCACATCGAGTATGGTTCGGTGCTCTGGGAGTCCGCTCAGGATTCCATCGTCTCAGTCGGCATGACAGACCTTTCTGTACCTTCCAGGGTAGCATCGGTGAGAGCTGAGCCTCGTCCACGGGGTGGGAATTGAAGGGCAGCAGTCCTCAGGCTTTTCTTCCATAACACTTCGATATCAGTTACCGTTGCCATTTCACATCAGCTGGGTTGAAAGTTCGGAGTATTTAGCGGAGCAAATCATCATCTCCCTGATACCTACAGTGGAAGATCTTGATTTGCCAGCTAAAAGAAACGACCCGGGTGTTACGGCGACCAGTTCAACATCTATTTCCTGCAAAGAGCAGCCTTCACAGGAAGATCAGGACGATATGCTGGGAATCTTTCAATCAGGTGTCTGCACTCGTACCCGACTGCTTTCACTCTTCGCTAGCAAGTCCCATGCTTTTTCCCCCCAGACCGGTGGACGTGAGCGGACTCTTTGCCCCTAGATACCGTGGACGATTTTGCCATTACTGCTTTTCGTGCTTTTTTTTCATGTTTCTCTACCTTCTTTTCGCTTGTTCTGTATACGCTTGGGTTTGACACTGTTCTTGCAAAGAATAGGCTGCCAAGTTTCCATTCTTGACAACGCATGAGATGCCCCTAGAACAATGATCTAAGGGCGCATTCATCGCTGTCACAGCCCCCATCCCTATTCTCTGCCATCGGACCAAACTCCAACTCCGCGCCGTTCCGGTCCAGCAATGCCAATGTCTACCCAGCCCAGCGTTCCTCACATCTCATTCGCGAAGAGAGAAAAAAACAAAGATAATAATCCAACTATAGCCATTCGCTTAACAGCATCGCCCCCTTCTTTCGTATACAAACTATATCTGCCAAGCAAAGAGAAACAAACCAGCCACTGGAACTAGAGTATACACGCCGGGGAAGCCACGTAGAACACAGAAACGCCCTTCTCTACTCCACTATAAACCGGCCCAGGCATCCACGAAAAGAAAAACATGCACATCCTTGGCATTTCGGGACGGCGCTCGACACCGCAGTTAGACTATGTCGATCGGGGCCCTCGGGACGGGACGGGCGTAGGGGTCGTGCAGACGATCAACCCTATCGTATCGCAGATGAGGAAAAGACCGCATATACGCATCCGACTCCGCCACACTGGTCTACTCCATTGATAGATAAGTAGTACCCAGGCATCTCAATATTCTTCCTATTAAGAGAGCTAGAGTGGTGGGGAGGGAGGGGGCTGTAAGGTAAGTTAGTGAATCAATTTAACGACCCAATCACTCAATATACTACTATCTAGACCATGCAGAAGAGAATCATGAATGATGCAGTAGTACATGAGGCTGGGGAGGGACCTGTCAACCTCATGTCGTAAAATGCAGAGGGCGCTGCGCCACAAGATCCGCTCACTTTAAATCATCCTGCAGGGCTGGTTCTCTGGTTCTAGCGCGTTACTTGGTTCTAATAATGGATTTTTACTTTTAGGCTGCCTTATTTGGGGAGGGATATACTCAAAGTATCATTCATTGTATTTGTAATGATATTCTTCATGTACAATTGATAGTAGGAACTATACTGGTTGTGTACGGAGTAGGTACTATAGACGCTAAGGTGGCACAGCCTGAGGTGTCTTCAGGCACACGTAGACACCTATCAATCCCAACGGGAGAATCATGAAACATCAGCACTGTTGGTGCTGCATTTTTATTTGACTTTATTTTTATGATTGTTATTATAATTATAATTATTGATACATCGGAAAGTGGCTAACTGCAAAGCGATAATGAATGCCTAAGGTACCAACGGGGCAACCACAACGAAGCTCGGGAATCCCGACGTGGCCCAGGGTGGTTAAATCATGTTGACAAGACAAACTAGCCATGCAAGATCCTGCAGGCAACACAGTTAGGCATGGGTTTCAATCATCCCTGTCTGACAGTTGGAACTCAGGTCTGATCTGGCATTGGGTGAGCTGTACAAGAGTACAGGGCTGATGGGAAGATATCAACAGGCAGATTTGGTGATGACGCTGCCTGATCGACGTTCTGGTGGCTGAGGCGCGCCGTCACGCACGTGGGACATTTCTAATTGGCTGGTCTGACTTCCGTTGTGGCGGCATCCAAAAACAGCTTCGTCCTAGACGGAAGTAGGCGCTTTGACTGACTGACCACTCTTGGCCTATGATCCTAGTCAGGATTATGAGGCACAGTTTGTTGGGATTTAGTAATTTTGGCAGGCTAGTAAAATGTTCGGAGTCATTTTGTGATTACCAACTATCGGATTCTATTCAGTACTAGGGCAGAGAATCAGGCTCATATACCGAAAACTCGGTGGATTATCTGGTTGCCTGACAACCTTCTCCTTCCGCATGAGTCACTGCGCCGCAGCCCAAAGTAATACTTTACTGCTTCGAGCACAAGGTATCAATCACCGATGAGGTACAAATATAGCGTGTATCCGTCTTGTCAGACCGCCGTCATTTTGATAGGACTATATAAATTCTATCTATATCCCACGTGCAGCAACATTTGCCGCCGGCTTCTCTAAGACTATCACTATATATATTCTGAATATTCTACGCTTGCGACCTTTGTTAGTTTGTAATTCATCTCTATACTACCTACGACGATTTCTACGATCCTACGATCCAACGATTCTACGATTCTACGACTACGACGACGTCAAGTCCCACCCTCTGTGGCGTTGCCAAGACCGCTTAGTCACAAGCGACTTCCGTTTGTTGCCTTCTTGCCTTCTTGCCTTGCTACCTGATTTGAATACCTGAAAAAATCGGCACCCCCGTTTTTATCGAGTACGGAACCTCCAACCCATACTCCATCACCGATCATCCTCGAGGTGGTCATCGCAACACGTCGCCGCGTGTTGTTCGCTCTACTTTTCGCCTCCTTTCGTCCATTGGACATTTTACTGTTCTCTTCCCTTTGCGCGCTCCCCCGGGCTTGCTCACCGTCTCGCCTCCTGAGCCACCACAACACCCGACCCGCCGCCATCTCAATTCACCGGCGGGGTTTGCAACTGCGATATGGGCGACGGGTCTGATTATCCCAGTCCAAGAAGCGAAGGTCCCAGCGGACCTACCTCCATTCTCGTTGCCGCCCAAGAATCCATCTCTCCTACCCCCAAGATGACCGATCAAATGTCCCCCAGTTTCATGGAAGGGACGCGTCCGCGACTGTCGGTGAGACGTGCGCGGGATCCGCCCAAAAACTCAACCGGCCAAATCTTTTGCGACCACCCCGAATGCCAGCAGTCGCCCCCGACGTTCCGTCGCCCGTGCGAGTGGAAGTAAGTGCATTTCCTGGTGTTCCCGCTCGTGTGTTTTTATGTTGGACGCGACGCGAAACTAACCCGTGACAACAGCAAACACATGGACAAGCATGATCGCCCCTACAAATGCCTCGAACCCGGCTGCGACAAGATTCAAGGCTTTACCTACTCGGGCGGACTGCTCAGGCACCAGCGCGAAGTGCACAAGAAGAACGTCAACGCGAAGAAGCCGCTGATGTGTCCGTATACGGACTGCAATCGCAGCACCGGGAATGGCTTTACGCGCCAAGAGAACTTGAAGGAGCACCTTCGGCGCCGCCACATGCACACTGAGAATGGGCACGCGTCCGACCTACCCATGGTGCCCAGTCCTGAACTGGACGGCGCCGTGTCCCTCCCCACCTCGGCGATCAAGCGGAAGCGCGAGTCTCTGGACGGCGACGCCTCTGTCGAGCTTCCCGACGAAGAGGGACCCGACGTTGACATGCACAACGAGCTCAAGCGTCTGCGACGCGAGGTCGAGGAGAAAGATCGCCGGTTGGAAGAACTGGAGCGCATTGTTTCCGGGCTTCAGCAAGCCATGCCCCAGCCGACGATGTCGCAGGGACAGATGAACGCAACGTGAACGGCTTCCCAGCGAAGTCCAACTGATATGTCTCGGTATCTCTTATCATGATGTTGTTTTTGTTTCTTAGTCTGCCTTCTTTTCTCCCCGCCTTTTGCCTTTGTTTTGCTTTGGACTTTATCATGCCGTTTTCGCTTCTTATTGTGTTTGCATTCCATGGGCGTTTCATTTATATGCAGTTCTACGGGCCTGGGGTTTGTGTTCTATGTCTACAACAACAGAGGAAGGTTTATGGGAAGGTCTATATTTCAGAACTCGTGGATTTACAGCAAGCAGCTTTCAAGAATATGGCGTTTGCAACGAGGGGTCGACGATGCACACCCGGTGGTGTTTTTTTACGGTTTTATTCCTCTTTCTCTATTCCCTGACATATACCCAGGCGTTGTCCCCTCATCTCCTTTGTCCCCTCCCTGCCTACCTACCTAGCTTTTTCACTCTCGTCTCCACTTTTTACTCTCTCCCTTGCTTTTGACGCTGCAGCCAGCACTGTTTAACAGCCGCGATGATAGCAAGGAGGCAGTAATTCAACATGTGCCAGTGTTTTTGTGGTTCAATAATTCTATCAAAAATTGTAATATTATCGCAGTTACAAATATCTTCCTTATTCCACTACCCATCTTCTACTACCCCATACCCCGTGTCGCAAGTCAACCCAGCCTTACGACCCACGCGCGGCACGCCTGTCAGAGCCCCAGCGCTTAGACTTGCCCTCTCGTATACCTCTCGTATATTCACATTATATCACACGTGAAAGCCTCACGCCTCCGCTAGTGCCGCATCATCACCTGGAGCCTAGCCTTCGTCCTAGCCTCCAGTAAGCAGTGTCAGCATATCACTCATCTCCCCACCTTCTTACTACGGATTTATAGTTTAGTATAGTAGGTATTTCGCAATATCTCCGAAGGGCCGAGCTCTCCCCCGACAAGTTCATTTCTATAGTAGTTTAGTTCCACAGGCTGTGACACGCGTTATGACTCGACTTGGAGGCTTGGGGCGCTGTGACTCAACTAGTGTTGCTCGGCTCCGCCTTGCTCGGGTTTTTTGGATGAGTACTAGGTAGGGCGCGTGACTTGTTTGGGGTTCTAGATTTGAGTGTATTGTTGGTTGTTTGGGGGTCATGTGATGGTGAGGCTGGTGGGGTGATGGTGTAGTTAGTGCCTCAGGCAGGATGTAGGATTGAGGCTGGTGGTTTGTATTTGGTATTTTTAGTATTTTGTTTTATTTAGCTTTATAATATTAGAGTTGTTGTATTATTCGATTGATTCTATTCTATCTTTTATTTATCTGTTTTATTCTTGCTTGGTGAGCGATGACATGTCACCTCTGATGCTAAGGTAGAATTATGCTGGTAACTCCGCCTGTGCAAGCTCACCAGCAGAACTGTTAACCACCCGCCGAGTGGCATGTTCCCGTCTAACAATGATCGCAACCTTTCAAGTTAAGAATAAGGCATTGTATGCACAACATCAGTTGTTGAAAGTCTAATGAACAGACAAAGGAAGAGGCAGGTCTTACAAAGACCCCACCACGTTCAAGATGGTCGCAGGCTAGATACTCGGTATTAGCAGTCTAATCGATCTACCCCACATATATATCAGAATCCTCAACTCTTGACTCCTTGAGATGGTAATTTAATATACAGCAACAGCATAGATCTATGTTGATACTGGACACTGTGCTCAGCAGTGGGTCTGAGTATGCACGTCTTGATGAGTCATCCACAATTGATCAATGATAAGACCAAGGGAGAAATTTTAATCTCTAGTTCTAGTCAGTGTGGACGACTAGGTGGTTCTAGTCCGATAGTCTAGCTGCCTCCAGTCTAGCAGGTCTGGCACATTGGGTGTGTACTTTCCCAGTTGTAGATTGCAGAGATACTCACTGCTTACATTCACTCCCACACTGGACGGCTTTGTTATGGTATACATTCACTCTGTGGTAGTATGGTGATAAATATGCTCATCACAAAGAAACTAACACTGGTGGTCAATTGAAACGTCTGCTCATTATTTCCCTTTCATCTTTCTCAACGTTCTTTCAACTCCACCGGGTATTTATTTGTACTGACTCGATCCCATGAAGCCTTCTTGGATCTTGTTCTTTGGCACCACCGACTCTTCTTGTATCACTTGATTGCAACAAGATTTCTCAGAGATTTCATTTCATCTTCATCCATCACACATCTCCTGTGGAGCTGCTCTACTATGGCTTTTCTACCGCGTTGTAGTGAGGTCCCCATGTCTCAGCAGCCGGACTCCCAGTATGTTCGGACTCACGAATATACGCCCGGATCAGCGCCGGTACCACAACCATCCTTCTCAATAGAAATCTATGAACAGACTGTGGCCCAGATGGAACCCATCAGCCCCGCAACCCATTACTATCAAGAGGGGGAGTTTGTTCCGCCGGGCTTTTTCGACAATGTCAGCCGGGAGATCTTCGTCCTGCCAAGGACCTCCAACGACTGGCAGTACAACATGCGTCGCGAATGCCAGGCAATCCTCCCCTACCTCTACCTGGGACCCTGGGGATGTCTCAAAGACAGAAAGAAACTCCAAGCCGAACGCATCACCCTGCTACTGGGCATCCGCGACAAGCGCTTGGCCAATGCGGGACTGTACTCAGGTGACAAGGCTGCGGCCGACCTGGGCATCGAGGCTGACACCGTCGACATCCTAGACGGCCAGGAGCTGATCTCCGAACTGCCCCGCATCATCCGCCGCATCAACCAGCACATCTCCACTCCCAGTGTGGCCCGGTTCGGCCCCGTGCCGGACAAAAAGGTTCTCCTCTTCTGCGAAACGGGTAACGGACTCTCCGCTTTCGTGGTCATCGCGTACCTGATGGCCATGTTCAACTTGGACCTGGCCCACGCCCTGCAGGCCGTTCACATTCAGCGCTTCTGCATCGACACCGACGAGGCTATGAGGCCGCTGCTGGTGTCCTTTGAGTCCATCCTGGCTGCGAAACGTGATGTCGGCAAGGCGACGCGCTCTGACTTTGCTAGTCCCAGTTTGGCACCTCCCTCGACGGTGGCTAAGAAGAGGAGCTTTGCGGATCGGGAGGACGTCGACGGGGTGGAGGATGGGGGTATGGATCTTGATTTGGAGGAGGATTGGGTCCCTGATAGACGGCCCATGGCGCCATTTCAGGATCGAGCTGGATGATGGAGAATGGAGATTCATGGGTTCTACAGGATTTCTTTTGCTTATTTGCGTGTGGCGGTCATCACCAATACCCTTTCTTGTTATTTTTATCTTTTTTGTCTCTTGTATCTTTGTGTCGGTTCTTTTTGATCCAAGGGATCCTGTGTAAATACACAGATATGTTGATTCAACTCAATGGTATCATACGATCTACTGTGGTAGATACAGTTTACAATCTCGCTACCCAGCAATCAGTCTAGATGGTATGAATGTAAACCCCATTGCCTATGTCGTCACTGCCTCAGGCCCTGGTTTTCCCCATGTCAGCCACCAAGTTCAAGCATTGCAGCTCTTTCCCGTTTAAGCCATTAAATCAGTGATTGGGCTCATTTCACTTATCTTAACAACGAGCACAATTCCTTCTCCATCACTCCCTCTCTCCAATTCATTCTCATCCTGCTCATCACAATATGTTTAGAAAAGCACGTGTCTGTTTACGTGGCTCAACACGTTTATCTATATTAATTGCGTACGTGACTCAATTCTCTCAGCTCCATCATGAAGCTTCGCAACAGCATTCGACCCCCAGCACGATACAGTTCCGGTTTCATTTACACGTCGCCATCATCAAACATGTCCTTGCGAAAGAGAAGGATTCTTTGTCCGATTGTTGAACTTGATCCGAATCTACCTCCTGCCGCCTTTCCTACCCTAGATATACAGCGTGAGCGCCGCGCGAGCTATGCCAATGTCATCCATCGGGGACCCTCGACCGATTTTAGACAGACCCCGGACAGTGGTCGTCGAGACGGACAGAATGGCGATGAGGAGAAGGGAGTGGACTTTCAGGATACTCCACTCGATGAGCTCGAGAACTACGCGGCGAGTAATGGGGAGCATAACCCGGTCTATGTGAGGAATATGGCCATCCTCGGGGCGTTGACGGGGGACTCAACATCGTCTTTGGAGAAAGAGATGGAAGATAGTGATCTCGAAGTGGCGACGAATAGTAATGAGCAACAAGGATGTCCTGAGGTGAGAATATCAGACCCTATAAGGCGCGACACCTGCTGACTTTGTTTTCTTTGTCTACTCGCCAGACTACCCTCCCCATTTCAGACGAATCTTGGAAAGGCCTATGCCCTCATATGCAAGTTGAGATATTTGTTAATCTTCTTCAATACCACAGATGGTGGGATGCCTCCGAGATGCTGGGTTTCGCAGTGGAAGACCACGAAAACCTTCGAATGCTCCTGGCTGAACGGGACGAGCAGACTGACCTGGAAGACGCGGGTCTATCAGAGATGAGGGAAAGACAACTGAGGGCGCTTCTGATGCTGGATAATAGCAATCGGAGGCATGGCCAGTCATCCTGTCAGCTTGTCTTCCGCAAGATTTCCCGGCAGACCAGGCGCATCTTGAAGGAAAGCCTTGAGACAGACTACATTACATGCCCTGCTAAGGATGTCGCGGATGCGAAAGTATTCTTGCAGAAACGTGGAATAGATGACAGGTTCGTGGGAGAATGGGCCGACTGCATCAACCCACTGGGGCCCTCACGAGATTACACAGGACCCGAAGCACTGCCTTCAGGAGAGCTAGAGCCCGAACCTGCGGTCAGTACAAACAGCCCAAATCTCTCCAGCAGTAACATGTTCGGCTCCTTGAAAACTACGCAGCACTCCCCGGTCAACACCGTCGAGACCTCCTCTGCGACGGGGACAACGGATCCGTCACAGAGCCGGGGTGACTTGAACCTGCCTTCAGAGTGGCTAACCTTTCTTCATCAGAATTACTCACATGCAGTAGAATCCTTCCGGCTGACACCCCAGAACGATGGGCTGATTCGCCTCC